TAGTAGGCGTAAGGCCGAGGAGGCTAGTCAGGAGAACAAAGCAGGGCAGAGCTCTGCCCATATATCTTTCTGCACCCCGAAAGCCAAACCTCTGGCCCAGCAGTCCTGTGCGACATCCACAGTTTCCTATTTTCCAAGGATTCCCTGGATTTTCTGCAGGCCAATCACAGCTATGCACAGCACAGCCAATCACAAGCCTCACTTACAGCCAGCAGGTTCACCCATGTGTCTGGAAGTGGAGGAACGGGTGGAATTCTAGGGTGAGTCAAGCCCCTAGGTGGCCCCCCTCTCAGTGGGAGGGATATGGGGGCTGTGAGGGAGAAGTGGGGTGAAAGAAGGACAAGAGAGAGAGCAACTGGTGTGAGGAAAGGGCAACAGGGAAAGCTGGTGAGAAGCTTCAACCCAGAGGGGGAGGAATTGAAGTATTGGGGGTGATTAGGAAGGTTGAGGGGGCAGAAATCCTCCAATGGTGGACTTGAGGGAGCAGGGTTTCCAATAAGGCAAGGAAGCTTTGCAAAGGAAAGGTTAGGAGCCTTATTGTGAGGTACTTACCTGAGGAAATAAAACATACAAATCATGGGGTCCATGATTATAAGGTAGTCCCTATCCTTGGGAGTGATGATGGGGTTGGGGTGTGACAGGCAGGTGATTATTAATAATAATAATAATCTGAGCACAGAATCCAAATAATAATTACATTCTTATCTATGCATTCACAAGTTAGTTCAGTTCACTTAAAAATGTGGACCAAACAAGATTATCTTCCATCTTTCCTACCCCCCCCACACCCTACAAAGACTCTCCGGAGCTCTGTCCATGGTCCTGATGCCACTCCTAACTTGAACTGTTTGCCCACTTCTGCTTCCTCTCTAAAATTACTTCAGTCAACCCTTTTCAAGAACTGAAGCTCTTCTCCACCTCTGGTCAATGGCTTTTCTGGTGGTCTCAGCCTGGAACAGGACACATTCACAAACGAATGAGCAGTTTGGTTTAATATATATATATTTTTAATAAAACGTTAGCTTGAAACAGTATTATTGAACATTTTAAAGAAAAGCACATTTACGTGTACTTCAGTTCCCATACTTGGAGCATCTAAATATCACTGGGGAGCAGTTTATGTCAACAGGAGCATTTCAAAGATGGCAGAGCAAATGCGAATGGATTTGGGTGTGGCGAACAGAGCCTAGGTTTCCACAGTCTAGCAGTCAGTAACACAGGGTTGTATTGGAAGGACACAGCTGCCCAGAAAAAGGATCGGCTGAGTACGACCCCTGGAACCAGGCCTCCACAACCACATAAAAATCCCCACATCTCTTCAAGAAGCCTTGTTCCGCTAAGAAAACAGAATCAGGAAATGGCCAGAGGACAGTCCTCTATGTCCACATAACAGGTCAAATTGAATACGGCAAGCAGATGTTGATAATGAAACCACTAAGGGTGAGAGTTGCTCAGAGGCCAGCCCTTTACGTCCAAATCAACAGCAATGATGATTGCTGTGAAGACCCTGTAATGACAGCAAAACTTTCTGAGCAGAGCTCTCTGTGACCACAAGAACAGGCAATAAATAAACTCCCTGGAGAAGGAGGACAAGTCAGAGCTCAGCTCCAATGATTGCTAAACAGGCAGCAGTGACATTGGTGAGGGTTTTTAATAAGACTGACCGGCTGCAGATGAGATTCATGGGATGTTGGCCAAGCTATCCCAGTCATTAGGCAGGGTGAAGCCACTTCCTCAGGTGGCGGAATCCCCCCAGCTGGCATGCCCACAGGTGACCTGGCTGCCCGGCTGCCTCCACCAGCGGCAGAGAAGCAGCATCACCGCCAGCTTTGATTTTGAGCAAGATCATGTCTATTTGGGGTGAGATCTCACCCCAAATCAGCGCCATCTTGCTTGGAATCTGCACCAATGGCAGTAGTGCTTGCTTCTCCGCCGGTGGCAGATACAGCAGGGCACACAGTGGCAACAGAGCAGAAGGAGCAAGTAGGGCATGGCGGGAGCAGCCGCAGGGCAGGACAGCATTTCCCATTTTTCCTCAAGTGAGAAAACCAGATACACCAGCCCTGGGTGTTGGCCAAAGCTTCCAAGAACACATAAGTGATATGAGATAAGCTGCAAGGTGGCTTCCTCTGGGGGTCACCATATAAGGCCTCTATAACTACCGCATGGAAGATGGAATGAACTAATTGGTCTTCCATAGTGATGAATAGGTGTTTGTTTGCAGGAAGAAATGAGTGCCACAAACAGGCAGGTTAAAAAAAAGGGCAATAGACTTCCGGGGTGGCACCATCGGCAATGGCGGACTCCCTCTGAATTGGAGGGACTAGCTCCACGCGAAACGGGTCCTTTCCGCTACGGCGAAGCGGGGACCCTTTTAAAAATCACAGGCGGATGAAGCCTGTGACCATGGGACTCGGCGGGCACCCTTAGCGCCCCCCCCAACCCGCAAAGGAACCCACTAACGGGCTCCGAAGCGAAGAGGGGGAAGTGGTGCGGTGCTGTGAGTCAACTGCTATTTCCGTGGAGCGAAGCCGCACAGCCGTTGCCGGAGAGCGCTGCCTTTTTCCTGGGACAATTTGGTTTCTAAAACAAGCACCCGTGGGTACTTAAACTTTGAACAATTGGACTTTAAATAAGGACTTGCGAGCAGAAAGGAATTGGACTTAAAAATTTACTTCAATTTGGTACTGAAACGGGAAGGTCTAAACAGGAAGTCAGCCTTCCGTTTCTTTGTAGACAGAATAAAGCAAAGACAATGTAAACTAGAGCTCAGAAAATCGCCTCTAAAGGATTGACTTTCATCATTTAAAATTGTTGAACCCCCCTTCGGCAGCAGGAGAAGAAGGGGTTTTTTTTTTTTTGGACTGTTTAAACCTGCAGAAGTGAGTTTAAAGTAAAGTAACTTTCCACCGTCCTGATCCTGGAGCAGGGTGTCAGGACTGACGTTTGAAGCTCATTGACCAGAGACAAACGCTTTTGACAGATAGCTAAAAGAAGAGAAACATAGTGATTCCATTGTTTCCTTTCGCACCTTAAAGGAACAAATATTGACAAAATATCTGAAAAAAGGAAACTCTGTTGCTAGACTTGTCTTTAAAAGAAAGATTAAATAGAAGTTTTCCCCCTAGAGGGAGACTGTGAAACTGTAACCAACTCCTAGGAGCTGGCAGCTGCTACAGATTACAATCGTGGGAACAGACATCTGACCTTCAGGACAATGTATTCAGAAGCTCTGTTGTGTGCTTTCTATAAAACAAATGCCCTACTGGAACAGCTACATGAGAAGACGAATTTGATGGCGGATTCGATTAGAAATTTTGAACAGGCAGTGGGAAATTTTGAACAGGCAGTGGGAAAATAAGTGGAGCCCACCCAGGAATCAAATCAGGAGTGTGCCCTGACAGAACAGGCCCAACAGGAATATGAGCTTTCGGATTTGACAAATGAATTTGGAAAAAGCCAGATTTGGAAAGAAAAAGTTTGGTTTGGTTTGGAAATGGGGGGTTGGATAGACCCTCCTATGCAGGGATGTTTGGACTTTTCAAGTCTGGCAATGGGCCGTGAGATGTTTGAGATTGTGGGGGCTCTCAATTTTGGAGGGATTTTGAAACATGTTTTTAAATACCACATGGAATTTAGTGTCGATTATGGAAAAGGGGCTGATCTGTCGAGAAGGGTCAAAAATATTGCTAAGTTGGAGCTCCCACGAGTGAAACGAGCAGGAGACAAGGGAAAATACAGTTACAAATATGAAGAAGAGCTGCGGAAGGGACATGGAAGAGACTTAAGGGCCTCGGATATAAGGTTACCAGGTTAATGCGCCAGATCAATGGGATAATAAGGACTGACAAAACCCGGGACCAGGAGGAAGGGACGCTGGATGAAGATTGGATTTGTTTTTATTTCTTTTTTCACTACTAGGACTGTTTTATAAAATTGATGAATGTTAGAAAAATGTTGGAATGAAATTACTTGGCTTTAGTAAAAATGTTTAAAGAATTATGCAAGAATATTATGGTTATGAGAAGTTGGTAAAAATAAGATTTAAGTTTTAAGTTTCAAGGTTTTTTATAGCAAGATAAGATTAAAATAGTTTAAGGTAATGTAATGACAGAATATTATGAAATATGGAAAGGATTTGCTCTGACAATTAATAACCAGGATACAAGGAAGGGGAGGAGGAGGAGGTCAAGGAAAGAGGGTAATGACAGCTGAGGAGTTGAGAATAATGGATTTGTTTTTAAATGTTTTTAAATGTTTGTGGTGTATTTTTGTTTTTTTTTCTCTCTTATTTTGAATTTGTATATGTATGGTTGGAAGTGGCTTCTCTATTTCTACTTTGTTTCTCTTTTGTAACTTTAAAAAAAATATTTTTTCAATAAATATCATTTTAAAAAAAAATAAAAAAGGGCAATAGCTCCATGGTGATTGTTGTTGTTATCATCATCATCATTTTATTTATTTGCTGCTCATATGACTGGGTTGCCACGAGCCACTCTGGGGAGCTCCCAACAAAATATTAAAAACACAATAAAACATCAACCATTAAAAACTTCCCTGAACAGGGCAGCCTTCAGACGTCTTCTAAAAGTCAAACAGTTGTTTATCTGGTTGACATCTGGCGGGAAGGCGTTCCATAGGGTGGCTGCCAATACTGAGAAGACCCTCTGCCTGGTTCCCTGTAGTTCCCTGTAGCTTCACATCTTGCAGTGAGGGAACCACCAGAAGGCCCTCATCCCCGGCATCTTCAGGCAGGGTTGAAAGAGACTCCTGCCCAAAATCCCAGACAGCCACTGCCAGTCAGTGTGGACAATACTGAGTTGGATAGGCCAATGGTCTGATGCAGCTTCCTATATTCCTAAGGGGCTGGAGATGTTTCCACATCATTGTAATGGGTGGCAATTCATGCAAGAAAAGCCATTGCAATGGGAATCCCACCGATGGGAGGGGGAAAGGAAATCCCCAAGCTGAAAGCACAAAAACCCACCCACTCCAGTATCTCAGAGCTGCTTGCTGAGTTTGCGCACTTGTCTCTCGCGGGCCTCAAAAGCTATCTTGGCATCCATCAGCTCGGCCAGAGCCTTGCGTATTGCCTCCATCTCCTGCTCTGCCTGCTCGTAGTTCTGGGCCAGCTCCCGGTTCTCCTGCTGCAGCTGCTCAAGGATCAACGTGACGTCCTGGTTCTGCCGCCTGCAGCGGTTCTTGAGCTGCTCTGCTTCAGCAAGCAAGGTCTCCACCGTCTTGATCATGGACTCAATCTGCTCCCTGGACATCGCTGCAAAAGGGGAACATGAATATTTCACCTAATTCTTTTAGAAAGAGGAGCTCTTGGGTCAGATCAAGGAGTCACCAAGTCAGTTTGGCCTGGTCCATTAGAGCAAATGAGGCACTGCCCTACCAAAGCTCAGCCAGCCAGCCAGACCCCATATTCCTGCCTTCGTACTAACAACCAGTCACTGCAGATGGTGCTGCCTGTCAACTCCTTCCTCCTTAGAATACATTCACACACCATACATCAGGCTTCCTCAGCCTCGGCCCTCCAGATGTTTTTGGCCTACAACTCCCATGATCCCTAGCTAGCAGGACCAGTGGTCAGGGATGATGGGAAGTGTAGTCTCAAAACAGCTGGAGGGTCGAGGTTGAGGAAGCCTGCCATACATTGAAAGCACAATGATTCCACTTTAAAGAGGCATGGCTTCCCGCAAAGAATTATGGGAGCTGTGGTCTGTTAAGAATGCTGAGAGTTGTTAAGAGGCCTCTATTTCCTTCCCCCTCCCCCCGAAAAAAACTACGATTCCCAGAGTGCCCTGGGAAGGAGGGTTGGTTGGTAAACAACTCTCAGCAAGAGCCAGTGACAGGCAGAGCCACTAATTATAGTTTTGTCCCCATCCTGCTCCTCTCTGCCAAGTTCTACAAGGAGCAACACTGAGACTAAGGAGGAGGAGGAATCTGGCAGGCAGGGCCATCACTTGGTTTGGTTATAAGAAAGAAGGCAAGCAGTTGGGGGTTTACTGAGGACAGGCTGATATTGGTGGGGCAGTGCCCCACTTGTCCTAATGGACCAGACTCCACTGCAGATCAGTGCAAGCAATCCACTAGTCCAGAACTGGCTGCGGATCTCCAAGATCTTAGACAGAGAGAAGCTTCCTGCTGCTTGATCCTTTTAAAAGGAGATGCCAGCTGGGATTGAAGATGGGACCTTCTGTATACAAAGCAGATTGAACTATGGTCCCTGCCCTGGAACTGATACCACAACAGCACAGGTTCAGTATTGTCTACTCTGACCAGCAACCACTCCCCAGGACCTCAAGCAGAAAGAGAGTCTCTCCCACCATCCTGCCACCTGACTTTTTAAACTAGAAATTCTGGAGACTGAGCTTAATACTTTCTACATGCAAAGTGTCTCCCTTCCACGGTGCTTTTGTCTCTTCCCAACTAAGAAGATCTCCAGGATCTGACAGGGGTCGTTCTCATAATTTGCTCTCAGGTCTTTGTAACTTGAGATGCCAGGGATTGAACCCAGAACCTTTTGCAGGTGTCCTGCCACTGAGCTAACCAGCCCTTCCCTCAGGCCCGAGGCAGTTTCAGTTTTTATAAGACAGTGTCAGTTCTTTGACTTGAAAAAAACCAAAATACATGGAAGGCTCTTTAAGAGTGGTCCAGTAAACTACAGATATGCCATATTCTGCAACTGTTGAATTTCCCAATTGATGCTGAAAGGCAGTCCCACATAGAGCAGATTTAATTAGAGTGACATTATTATAATAATTATTATTAATAAGCATATTAGTTCCCTTTTTTTTACAAAAGTAACTCAGAGACTCGCACCAATAATTAAAAAATAATGAACCTGTCAATTATGATACCCCCGGTTTCTCAGGAAAACATCTGTTCACGTTTCTGCAGTGGTGTGTGATTCTTTCTTTGAATAAAAGCAACGTAGTGGAAGTTTGTCAGTATTTTAGTGAGAAGAATTTCTCCTCATGGGCATATTTTTCTATGTAGCTTTGGGTGATACCTTTGCACAAGAATTCTCTCTAACTAAATGCATTTCTGTATGCTATTTTCACTAATGTATGACCTGTGGAAAGACAGGCAGACATAGTTGGTTAGAGAACTTCACTGTAAAATTCAGAGAATTTTACAAGGTAGCTTTGTTTGGGTTCACATATTGATTTGAGAAGTGCAAATCAGGTCGTTTCTCATTCAAATGCAAACAAAATTATAATTCTCCTCCATCCCTACATTGACATCTACCAAGGAGAGGGGGGGGGCGGTTTATGGCTATAAAGCAGAAGGCATCACATTATGGGCTACTCTTCCCTGCCCCCCAACACACCTCAGGTCTTGCCCGTCAGGAAAAGCTGCTCACTCACCAGCTGGGCTGCAGGAAGGCCTGAAGTAAGAGTTGAAAGAGAAAAATCCGTCCAGCTTTCCTGCTTAAGACGCTCAACCTAAACAACTGGGTCTGTGTAAAGATGGGGCCTTGACTCCTTCCGCACTGTCAGGCCACAGGAGGGGTGCTTGATCGATCAGCTCATCAACATGAGGGTCCCTGAGTTTTCCCAGACAGCGACACGGAAGCAGATGCAAAGGATTGAGGAAAGGGATTAAGGCAAGCTAAATCCAGCTGAACATTCAGAGGCTTTACTGCCTGCCTGCTCTCCCGACAATCCGCGGCCTGAGCCTCGACTCCAGTTAGGGAGGAATGAAAGCAAGAACCATTGACTCTTTTCCTTGGAGAATGCTCAGATCCTCTAGCTCCCCAGAATGCTCTGGGATCTGGGGAGATCTCAAGCAAAGCAATAGCAGAGCATCCTTCCGCCTGGAAGTGAATGGGGCAGGTAAACAAAGGATTCCTTCACTCTCTGTGCAAAATGAGAAAAGCGGTCTCCTTAGGGCAGTGGGGCCTGGACAAATTTTTTGAGGACTGTGACATTTGCAGGGAAACCAAAATGCTTGTTTGCTATTGTACGACCAACCTTACTGTATGCTTGTGAAACATGGACCACTTATAAACGTCATCTCCAACTCCTCGAAAGATTCCATCAATGGTGTCTCTGAAAAATTTTACACATCACTTGGGAATACAGGCAAACAATGCCAGTGTACTGGAAGAAGCAAAGATCACCAGTGTTGAAGCAATGATTCTTCAACATCAACTTCGTTGGACTAGTCATGTTGTTTGGCTGTCTGATCATCATCTTCCAAAGCAACTACTCTATTCTGAACTTAAAATGGAAAGCGTAATGGTGGTGGTCAACAGAGGTTCAAAGACTCTCTCAAGGCAAATCTTTAAAAATGTAGTATAAACACTGACAACTGGGAAACACTGGCCTGTGAGCGCTCCAATTGGAGAACAACCTTTACCAAAGGTGTCATGGGTTTTGAAGATGCTCGAACTCAGGACAAAAGAGAGAAACGTGCTAAGAGGAAGACACACTTGGCAAACCCTCACCATGATCAACTGCCGTCCAGAAACCTCAGTCCCCACTGTGGAAGGATGTGTGGATCCAGAATTGGCCTCCACAGTCTCTTACGGACTCGCTGTTAAAACCGTGTTTATGGAAGACAATCTTACTTGGCTATGAGTGATCACCTAAGAAGAAGAAGCCACTTTGCCCCACCCACCCAAGCAGCCCTTTCAATCCAAGGGCTGCATTCCTTAGTCAGCAGCCTTCTAAAGGCCACATGCTGAGTGGGGCAAAGGATTCAACTCTTATAAATAATAATAATAATAATAATAATAATAATAATAATAATAGTAATAATAATATTTTATTTATATCCCGCCCTCCCCAGCCAAAGCTGTGCTCAGAGCGGCTAACAACAATAAAAGTAACACAGCATTCTAAAATCAATTCATTTTAAAATCAAACCAGAATCAAATTAATGGCAACCATTGGGCTAGAGTTCTATGAGGATTACCAAAGGAGGGGGTCAGACTGTGCCTTGGCCAAAGGCCTGGTGGAACAGCTCTGTCTTGCAGGCCCTGCAGAAAGGTGTCAAGTCCTGCAGGGCCCTAGTCTCTTGTGACAGAGCGTTCCACCAGATCGGGGCCACAGCCGGAAAAACCCTGGCTCTGGTTGAGGCCAGCCTAACCTCCCTGTGGCTCGGGACCTCCAAGATGTTTTTGTTTGAAGACCGTAAGGTCCTCTGTGGGACATACCAGGAGAGGCGGTCCTGTAGGTACGAGGGTCCTAGACTGTATAGGGCTTTAAAGGTTAAAACCAGCCACACTCACAAGTCAGATGGTTTCACGGACCGGTTGGGCACAGAGGAATGGTAGGAGCAACCAGCTGGGGAACCCCCCAAGAGCAGAAGGCTCAGAGCCAGGGGAGTGGTGGTGGGACGACAATGAGTGGTCAGAGAGAGAAAAGGGAGAAGACTAGGAAGCGGAAGTGTCAGAAGCTGAAGGAGTAACAGGGCTTAGTGAGCAGGGGGAGTCTGTGGCAGAGAGAAGTCCAGAATCAGAGGCAAAGGCAAAGGCAGAAACAGAAGCAGGAGAGGAGGAGGAGGGAGGCCAAGAGACAGAGATGGGTCTGACTGCTGAAGAGGCACGGGTGTCTCCCCTTCCTGCTGCAACAAGCTCCCCTCCTGCCTGGTCTCCCAGAACCAGGAGAGGCATGAAGAGGCCAGGGGGAAAGAGAGCTTCACGCAGGGGCAGTCTCAGATTGCTTGGGGAAAACCTGGAGAGGAGGGGACTTAGGCAGCTGTGGGGAAGCAGGGACCTTCAGTCTCTGCAACTGCTTCATGGGGGCAAGACCTGCCAGAGATGAGTTGCTGTGCTCATTAGGCCTGACACTCCTGTGCAGATCCTGTTTTTGCTAATAAAGAGTTAACTCCACTTGCTCAGGGTAATTTACTGCTGGCTTGCTCCTCTCAGATGGGCCTCTCTCCATCCAGAACACTAATTGACTAGAAGTGCTCAACTTGCAGTAACATAAATTGTTTTTGCACATGGAGGTGTTTTTTTAATTGCTTTTACATGTGAGAGCATTTTTTTATTTTGTGTGTATGTTTTTTAATGGTTATAATTGGTTTTTCCGTATGAAATGGTGCAATTGTTTTTACGGCTGGTGTTTTTGTTGTGAAATCGCTTTGGGATATTTTTACGGGAAGAGATTCGTTGAGTTAAATAGATATTTTTTTTTAAGTTGTACCAATACATGGCAATATGCAAATGGTGTGCAAATCAACATTCCCTTCTGTTTTTACTCTCTCTCTCTTTTAGCATGCTTTGTTGGCTGCTTTGATGACACAATCCCCTTTCTGAGAGGATTTCTGTTCTCTGCAACCACCCACTCTGACTTCTCTCTCTTTCTCTCTTGCTCTCTCCAGCTGGAGCATGCTCCCAAACTCTAAAAGCACCCTTTGGTAATCTTCCTAGTCTTTCTGCTCTGCCACCTTTACAATCCCATTATCCCTGGCCATTAAGAGAGAGAGAGAGAAAGAATCTATTTACCTATCTATGGAGAGAGCAAGCTCTTTGCCCCAGGAAGGGCTTATCTTTCAGGGCTTCCTCTTTTGCTAGCTACCTAGGAATAGCTCCATCGATTTACATTTACATCCAGGGAAATGGATCCCTATCACAGTCGGCCTCAGGAATCCTCCAGTGACTTCACAGGCTGTTTCAGAAGAGGAGGGGGGCTGAGCTGTATATGAATAAATAAAATTATTATTATTATTATTATTATTATTATTATTATTATCATCATCATTATTTTATACCCCACCCACCTGGCTGGGTTTCCCCAGCCACTCTGGGCGACTCCCAACAAAATATTAAAAACCCAATAAAACATCAAACATTAAAAACTTCCCTAAACATCGCTGTTGGTGATGAGGGGGAATATTGTGGTGTTTTGTAAACTGATGGTCAAGAAACTCACCCGGCTCAAGGGGTTAAATCTGGCCATCTGGGCCTTTCTGAGTGGCCCTCAAAACTCTCCTCAGACCACAACCCCTCACTGGGCCTGCTTCACACCCAAGTGTTCTTACCAGGTTCAATGGTGTCCACAGTTAGCACCCAAGTAAATGGACTTGGTTGCCTGGATGGAGGTCGAAGGATGGTGTGTGGGGATGTAAACTATCCTACACACCAAGGCAAAATTTGCATTTCTAGCTCTGCCTACTTTTGCCTCTTGCCCCACCCACCACCACTATGTGGCCCTCAGAATGTCATGGCCCTTGAGTTGAAAAATAATTCTTTTTTTTTTTTAATGATATTTATTAAAGTTTCACAAAAATACACAAAACAAAGAAAAAAGTATAAAGTACAGCAAAAAAGTAGAAAATAAGAAAAAACATACAAAATAAAACAGTTAAAAACACAATAATGTTCCATAACCTATCTTCCTTACTCTTATTTCCCCGGAAAAATAATTCCCCACCCCTGTTGCAAACTATGGGTGCCTTCTTTTTGTTGTTGCAAAAATTAAAACGGGCCTTTCTAAGCGTGTGTGTGTTTTTAACCAGAGACTCATGTGGGGCATGTTGCCAAATGAACCAAAAATGAAGAAAGGAAAAGTTGCTATCTTTGGGGGCAGACTCTGTTCTTATGACTTGAGCAGAAGCCAGGCAGACAAAAAATTAGCAGGTGTTGCTTTTCCATGTCAAATACCATGTTTCTGTGTGGCTAGCTGCTATTAAAGGGTCAGAGGAAGAATGTGGCAACCCCAGGAGAAGAGAGCAGGGATCGAATAGGAGGCCTACTCTCCTTGGGGTGACCCTTGGGCTGTTGTCGGAATAGAATAAAAAAAAGAGGAATGGGAAATGGGGAACATGTTGAGACAAAAAGAAAGGCCGTCCATCCTTCAAGTCCCTAGTGGGCATGGCACCAACACACAACAATCTTGGCCAGCTGCCAGAGTCCTCCAGGACCCTGACAGGGCCCACTGCTGGTGCCTGCCTCACTCAGGAGCATTGTGGGAAATTAAAATGGCACCTTCCTGATGCCTTGTGCTCATTCAGAGTCGTGCTTCTGCCCATCACCACCACAACCCACATAGGAAGCTGCCATACCCCACAAGTGTAACGAAAAAAAATAGAACATCCCATTTTTTATTGCCACAGAATGGCGGCCATTTTGGTTGCTGTGATTTCACTCGATTTCCAGACACAATTTCCCAATGCAATTTCCCCCTGAAAAGTGTTTGGGGGGGCACGACCTTGTGCAGCACCCCAAAATGCGCATTTTTTGGTGTCGTACCTGGAAAAAAAACCACTTTTGTTGGAGGACTGCAGCTCAAAAACAAGCAAGAGCACAGCAACCAAAATGGCTGCCGTGCTCTCACGATGAAGAATAGCAAGATGGTGTCCTGGAAGTAGTAGCCTCGATTTGGGCTTCAAGGTGTTGGAGGGTATGAGCTGCTGTGCACTGAGTCAGACCAGTGGTCCAGCCAGCTCAGTACTGCATGCACTGGCTGGCAGTGACTCTCCAGGATTTTAGGCAGTGGACATTCCCATCTCTACATGGAGATGTTGGAGACTGAACCTGGGACGTCCTACATGCAAAGAGGTTGCTCTACCACTAAGCTACAGCCACAGCATGGTAGGAGGTAGCTCCAGGAGAAGGTCTAGCCAACATAATGAATCCAGTAGTCCCAGTGGTCTAGGTTGCTTAGCAACAATCGCAAGAGGCCTAGCAAAGCATCCCAACTGTTGCATAGCTAGACCGTGAGAGGCTTCTGTTGCCACCATCTTTGTGCCGACCAATATCAATCACACAGGGCAGCATCACCCCCTCTCTGTTGCCTGGCAACCACAGCAAAAGGCCAACCTTGCCCCCGCCTTTTTGTTGCCAAGCAACCATTACAAGAGGCTTAGTACCACCATTTCTGTTGCTTAGCTATTCACATTCGAGACTGGCGGTGCCATCACCACTTTGTTGCCTTAGCAACGTACACCGGACAAAGTAGGGCTTAGCGGAGTCGTCAACAAAACAGATACCGCCACAAGCGTATATCCTGAAGAGAGTTTTATTGGCTCCAAGCACGGTGTGGGTGGATGGTTTTCTTCTGTCACGAAATCTGATTTAATCTTTGGTCTGGTGGTCTGAAAACAATCTGTCAAATAAAAGACGCTGGGCAGTCAAAAAAACACCCCCAGAGCTGGTAATGATCCCGCCATGGAGGCCCCTGGCCCCTCCCCACGAGCTATTCGTAGCGGTGCTTGCGCCTCTTCGCCGCAGATCGGATCATGGCGGCTGCCACACCCATCATGCCAATTGTCCCCACAGCAATGGCCTCGGTGACCTGTAAGAAAATGAGAGAGAACAGTGGGTGGGCTATGAGTCAGAGAGAGATTCACAGAAGTCGCACACTGATGTCACACGCCCAACACACACTTCCACTTGTCATGTGTCTAAGCGGCTTTACCTTTCCCCCCACCGTTTTCTTTTGGATAAACCGCTCTTTACCGCTAAATCATCACATATGCCAAACCCCTGGTTTTCCCGGCTGGGCAAACAAAAGTGTGGAGACGCCCCATCTTCACATCATATCCATTCTTCTAATAAATGCTTACAAAACAGACTTGCAAGGAGGGCTGGCTGAATCTGACCCCATCTTACATTTAAAGAGGTATTATACCCACTTTAAACAGTTGTGGCTCACACACACACACACCCAAAAAATCCTGAGCGTGCTAAGAATTGTTAGGAGTCCCCCATTGCCATCACAAAGCTACAATTCCCAGAGTAGTTTAACAATCAGTTCCTCTTTGCAGGGATCTCTGGGAACTGTGGTGCAGCTGGGTCCATCTGACTGGTTCACTTTCTCTCTGTTTCTCATTTTTCCTCAACATTTCCATCTCAGTTTGCAAATTCATCGGCATTTCAGTATGAATATCTCCTATATACGCACACGTTTTCGTATGCAATTTTGCAAAATGTGCACTTTTTATCCATGCAGTTTTCCACCAATGTAATGCTTTTTTCCCCAGGTTTTTTTTTTCTTTACTAATTATGCTGTTTTATGCACACTTTGTCCCCAAATGTGCATTTTTTCCTACACATTTCTTGCCTGGAGAACAACATTGCAAAATTCAGAGGAGCATGAATTTCGAAAGATAATTGTGTTTCAGTTTGTGTGTTGTTTTGGAAAGCCCCGATTCAGTGTGTTTACCTTTAAATGCAATTTTATCCCCCATCCATACTTGTAAAGTAGGGCGGGATCGGGATCCCTACTTTGCAGAAGGGGAAAACACTGAGGCTGAATGAACACAGCCTCACTTCAAGTGAATTTGAGGCCACACTTGAACCAGAGACTTCCTGGTTTACAGTTTACTAAGTGCAATGCATTAGCTCTAACAGGGTAGGTAGCCTTTGGGGTGAAAGGGAAGCAGCAGTTGTACTGGGATTTTTGCTGCAGAGAGTTGAAAGCGCTACAAAAAAAGGACATCACTGCTGCCATAGTGAACATGCTCATTCTGCTCTCTTTTCTGGTCAAAGAGGTGTTGCAGGTTTTTGGCCTTGCTTCAGGAACCTGCGAAACCTGTCTGAGCCAGGCATGACAACATAACAAAGGAAATGTAAAGCAGAAAGAAAGAAGCCTCCCTCATACCACCTTTACTTTCCTCCCTCTTTCTCTTCAGTATACCTGAAGAAGCATCTCCACCTCCATTGTTCTGCCTGGACACTGAGGTCCACCACCGAGGGCCTTCTGGTGGTTCCCTCACTGCAAGAAGCCAAGTTAGAGGGCACCAGGCAGAGGGCCTTCTCAGTAGTGGCACCCGCCCTGTGGAACGCCCTCCCACCTAATGTCAAAGAGAAAAACAACTACCAGACTTTTAGAAGACATCTGAAGACAGCCCTGTTTAGGGAAGGTTTTAATGTTTGATGCATTACTGTATTTTAATATTTTGTTGGAAGCTGCCCAGAGTGGCTGGGGGGAAGCCCAACCAGATGGGCGGGGTATAAATAAAAAATATGTTGTTGTTGTTGTTGTTGTTGTTATAAATGTCAGACTCCAGCCTTATTTCCATGTTGTAGAAAGGAAAAACATTGAGGCTGAACTAATGCTGTCTCATGGGACGCGGGTGGCGCTGTGGGTTAAACCACAGAGCCTAGGACTTGCTGAGCAGAAGGTCGGCGGTTCAAATCCCCACAACGGAGTGAGCTCCCATTGCTCGGTCCCAGCTCCTGCCAACCTAGCAGTTCGAAAGCACGTCAAAGTGCAAGTAGATAAATAGGTACCGCTCCAGCGGGAAGGTAAACGGCATTTCCGTGCGCTGCTCTGGTTCGCCAGAAGCGGTTTAGTCATGCTAGCCACATGACCTGGAAGCTGTCTGCAGACAAACGCCAGCTCCCTCGGCCCATAGAGCGAGATGAGCGCCGCAACCCCAGAGTCGGTCACGACTGGACCTAATGGTCAGGGGTCCCTTTACCTTTACCTAATACTGTCTCACTTCAAGAAAGGAGATTCCAACTAAACATGAGGAATCACTTTCTGAGGGTAAGAGCTGTTCTGCAGTGGAACAGAAGTCCTCGGAATTTGCTGTGATTTCTGAAATGCAGGGTGGGGGACTGAACTAGACTGGGCCCCTTCCAGCTCTACATTTTGCAATTCTACCTGGTCACTCATTGCAACTCCATATCGCAGGTCCATCACAAAGTGTTCACAGTTGTGGCTCGTCAGATTGTAGGGCATCTCCCTCCCAACCAGCTCCTCTGCCCGCTGGAGGATCTTGGCAAGTGGCAGCACAGGAATCGTGAGGTCGTGCTTGTTGTTCACTCGGAACTGGTCTTTCCTCACCACAACATCAAGCCAGTCCTTCTTCACGTAAGCTCTGTCAGACAAGACCGCCAGTACGCTGGCAGCACCGTTTGCAAGACGGTCGCCTGTTGGAGGGAAGGAAGAAAGAGGTGGGGAGACTCTCAGGGGCTCAGAATCTGCAAACAGGGCAGGAAGAACTGAAAGGACAAATTAAAATAGGGAGATCTGGGGAAGCAAAAATTTGGAGCACATTGATCACCCTCCTGCCATTAAGATGGTTGTTGTTGCTGCTGCTGCTGCTGCTGTTTCCACTATTATTCCACTAGACCCTCTGGTGGAACACTCTATTTAAAGGAAACTTGTTTTCATCTTTTGGCTCCCACAATGCCTTCCTACAGGGAAACGTGAAGTCTCTCTAGATGTTGCTGGACTCCAGCTCCCATCAGGCCCTTAAGTCAGCATAGCCAAGGATGATGGGAACTGTAGTCCAGCAATATCTGGAGGACCACAGGTTCCTGATCGCTGCAGCAGGCATGGGGAACCTTTGGCCTTCCAGATGTTGCAGAACTACAACTCCCAGAGGCCCCCTCAAGCATGACCAAGGGAGTTGATGGGATTTCAGCAACATCTGGTGCCATGAAAGTTTCCTGCAGCAGCCCTTCGAGACCCTCAGAAGAGTTCTGCTGGATCAGACCAAAGGCCTTCCAATTGAATAGAGTATTTGAAAGAGCCACTGAACAGAAGCACTTCCATGCAGCAACACTTTGTTGCAGGCGGCACTTGTGCCTTCTACAAGCCATGTACAATCCTTGGAGTTCTGCACAGAGTATCAGGAAATGCTCTAAAGTGTGTGTGTGTGTGTTATAAATTAAGGTTACCAGATGTCCCTGTTTCCTGGGGACAGACCCCAGATTTACAAATCAGTCCCCATTCAAAATCCATTGAAGTTGAAAAGTGTCCCCAGATTCATTGGAAAAAATCTGGTAGGTAAAGGTAAAGGGACCCCTGACCATTAGGTCCAGTCGTGGCCAACTCTGGGGTTGCGGCGCTCATCTCGCTCTATGGGCCGAGGGAGCCGGCGTTTGTCCACAGACAGCTTCCAGATCATGTGGCCAGCATGACTAAGCCACTTCTGGCAAACCAGAGCAGTGCACAGAAACACCGTTTACCTTCCCACTGCAGCAGTACCTATTTATCTACTTGCACTTTGACATGCTTTCGAACTGCTAGGTGGGCAGGAGCAGGGACCGAGCGACAGGAGCTCATCCCGTTGTGGGGATTCAAACCACCGACCTTCTGATCGGCAAGTCCTAGGCTCTGTGGTTTAACCCACAGCGCCACCCACGTCCCTTTAAAAATCTGGTAACCTTATGATAAATGGTTCTTGCTGTCATTCTGTTACAAAGTCTGAACAGCTCAGACCTCTCGCACAAGCACAGCCATGGTGGGGGGGGAGGCGCTTAGCCAGGTTTTTTGCCCCAGGTGAAGCCCCCAGAGGGGTGTCATTGAGGCTTCCAGCCTCTGTGTGTGTGTGCGCGCGCACATGTGAATATGCGTGAGGGGTTGCCAAACTTGGTCTTTGACCTGAGTGAAATAAAGCCTAGTTTCGCCCCTGCCCATAAGCCATCCTAGGAGCTCTTGCCATGAAATAATTCTTAAGAAGGAGTGTTAGGATCCAAGCCACGGAGTTGCCCCTTTAAGGCCTTCTGCAACCCAAGGAAGGGGAGAGGCCTGAGTGGGTGTGGTCTGTCCCTGAAGGTATAACAGGCTTCATTCCACTCCAAGACATTGTAGGAGCAAGGTATTTCATGGGCTTTGTCCTGGGCTGATGGGTTTTCATGGAAACTTACATTCAGGAGCTAAGTGAACAACTTTGCCTTCCCCAACGTAGATGGCCCAGTGCTGATAACAAGAGCGGAAGATCTCAATAAGGTCGCCAGGTTTAATTTCATCCTACAGGTAAGAAAAGAAAAAGGAAATTAAAGAAAGATTGAAGTGGGGTTTTTGGGTGGGGCTAAAAGGCTGCTGCTTGCCCATCTCCCAGAGATGAGACAGAAAGGTAGCATTTCCTTTTGTGGCCAAGATTGCTGTTTCTGGTTCCATGCCCAGTGCTTCACCCCAGGGGTAAAGGTAAAGGGACCCCTGACCATTAGGTCCAGTTGTGGCCGACTCTGGGATTGTGGTCTCATCTCACTTTATTGGCCGAGGGAGCCGGTGTACAGCTTCCAGGTCATGTGGCCAGCATGACTAAGCCGCTTCTGGCGAACCAGAGCAGCACACGGAAATGCCATTTACCTTCCCGCCGAAGCGGTACCTATTTATCTACTTACACTTTGACGTGCTTTCGAACTGCTAGGTTGGCAGGAGCAGGGACTGAGCAACGGGAGCTCACCCCGCCGCAGGGATTCGAACCGCCAACCTTCTGATCGGCAAGTCCTAGGCTCTGTGGTTTAACCCGAGTCCCTATCACCCCAGGGGTAGCCAATGCCAATAGTCAATGGATGTGGCTGGACTACAACTCCCATGTATGCTGACAGGCCTTCTTCCCTGCCCTGCCCACTGCACCTGCTCGTTCATTTCCGCTCCGTATCGTAGCTCCATAACAAAATGCTCGCAGTTGGGGCTGTTGAAGGTGTAGGGCATCTCCTTGCCCACCAGCTCCTCGGCCTGCCAGAGTATCTTGGCCAGGGGGAGCGGCGGCTGCGTCTCGTCATGTTTATTGTTCACCCGGTACCGGTCCTTCCGCACGACATCTTCCAGCCAATCCTTCTTTACGTAAGCTCTGTCGGGCAAGACCGCCAAGGCATTCGGAGTTCCATCCGGAAGATGGTCACCTGGGGAGGAGAAGGAAGAGTGGGGAGAGACAGTGAGAACGGGACGAAAACAGCACATCTCTATCTCTCGGAAAGCTTGCCTGTCTCCCCATCTGTTCTCTAGGCATTCAGACACCTCTTAAGATCCCGTAACCAAGTTGGCCATTACGGTTCCTGAGATCAAGGAGCAGGTTTCTTATCTACGCTCGGTAGTGACTGGATGCCATTTTTAATCAAGATGGCAAACTGCGCCTTTCAAAATTGCAGTGGCTTTAACTAAGGAGACAGCTATACAGCTGCAAATGAGACATTTTAAGTGTGTTTTTAAGTGCATTATGCAAATGTGACACTAGATGGTGACTGTGAGCTTATGGCAAATTCAATATTTTCCAAAAAGCTTTTTAAAGAAGCATTTTCTAAGTGTTTTTTAAAAATGTGTCTAGATTGCACCCAAATTTGGCATGGTGGTTGTTAATCTCAAGGACTCATTTTTCATCTGTGTTTGGATACAATTTGGGTGCCATTTTGAATGCAGGTGCAGGACTGAACCTTTCGAAGCTGCATTTATTTTGAGGTTTCTTAGAATTCCTGAGCAACACCAGTTACTAGGCTGCTGGTATATGTTAAAACTGGATTGATGCAGAGAGACTTCGCAAGGCCCAGGCAGCCATGGAGATGCAAAGTTAACAGGTGCATCAGAAGTCTTGTAGCCCTGACTGAAAAAGAGAGGAGCTAGTATAAGAGCTATTGTATGATTATTTTGAAGTGGATTCAATATTCCATTAAGTCCCTTTGTGATGATTGCATATTTGTCCCCACCTGTGCTCTGTCTTGCTCCCCAGAGCCATCTTTTCCTTGACTCCAATTAGCATACCTAATGGGTAGTATCCCCACCACCACAAGAGCCTGAATCTGCCCACACCTGCCCTGAGGGGATCTATGAATTTGCAGTATTTACTTCACCTCTTTCTTTCTTTCTTTCTTTCTTTCTTTCTTTCTTTCTTCCTCCCTCCCTCCCTCCCTCCCTCCCTCTCCCATTCCTTCTCTCCTCCTCTCACTCCCCGCCCCCTTTTGGCCAAATGGGCCCATGGCCCAACTTCAATTGACAGCCAGGGCAGGGGGAAGGGGTGTGTGGTGGGGGCAGTCCGCCCCAGGTGTCTCCACTGAGGGGAGTGACAAAATGCCAGACGGCACTCACTGAGGGGCCTGCAGCACGCCCAAGCCATGCGTCTCTCTTGGGAATAACGCGGTGACTTGGACGCCCGCAGGCTCCACGCTGCCCCAAACAGTCCGCTTGCCGTCTCCCCCTCAGCTGTAGGGTGGCTGAGTGGGAGAAGGCAGGCAGACTTCTCAGAGGCCCCGCGGAGCATCCTGCCCTGGCTTGCCCCGCCCCAGGTGTCCAATCGGCTTGCTCCGCCACTGGACCAGGGCACCCACTTGTCAACCACATGTTGACACCAGTAAACTTTGCATCTCTTATTGAACTGTAAACAACTCGTCCCCCTCTTCCTAGCTTGGTGTTAAATCCCTTGGAGCTAACTGAAGAGTACCACAGTGTGCTGAAGTGCATTGTTTGGGTACTTCTATGCCTGCCAGTAGGTGGTGCTGTTGCTCTGCTTATCCTCTGCTTAAAAGGCACAGCAACAGTGCAATTGTAAGAAGGGGAGTCGTTGCAGTGGTTTGAGAAGAGAAACTCCCCCAGGATTCAGACAAGGGAAACTTTGGACTCTCCTACTCCCACCACCCCTTACAGTTGCCCACGCTAGCCAGGGGTGGTTGGGAACTGGAGTACAACCACATCTTGAGTGCCAAAGTCTCCCCACCACAACTCTAGGGATAGGTCATCAGAACCGAGATAAGTGGCCACGAGTCTTGCTGAGCTCACCACATTCAGTTGCCAAGTGGACAACCTTCCGATCCCCAACATAGAGGGCCCAGTGCTGACAAGAAGAACGGAAGATCTCAATGAGGTCTCCAGGTTTTAATTCATCCTAGAAGGAAAACAGGAGACAAAGTTTAGTTTCTGCTCTAAACCATCACAATACCATGCTGGGGGTGGCCTGCATTTGCATATCCTCCAAGCCAAAATCTGGGACATCATCTTCCCGGATGCCATCTTCCCATTTTTTATCATAAGAGCATGGCAGCCATTTTGGTTGCTGTGATCTCACAGCACCATGTGAGGTCCACAACAACGTAGTTCCCCCTACCACAAAAGTGCTTTTTAAAGGCACAGCACCCCAAAATATGCATTTGGGGGCACCTCAGAAGATTGCAACCGTGAAAAAGCAGTTGGGGGGATTTTGTGCCGTGAAAATGCCTGAGATTGTGGCAACCAAAATGGCTGCCGTTCTCTTGCGATAAAAAACAGGATGTTCAGCTTTTTCTGCGACACTTGTGGGGTATGTTGTTTTCCATGCTGTTTTATTTGTAGCAACCTGGAGTGTAAATTCTTCAGTTTGATAAGAATGATACTTTGTTTTTCGTCTGTTAGCTTAGTAAAGTTATTTAGCAAATCCGCTTCCTCTGGTACTGACCAGTCTGATGAATCTGGGACACGATTATTATTTGGTACTGCAGTAGGCAATGAAAAAATCTTCCCATTGACTGAGAGCTTCTTTAGCTGTAGAACAAGTGCCAACTTTGGACGAGTAGATAGTATTACTTTTCGAGCAAGCGGGGGGGGGTAGGTTGATTTGTCTACAAAATGCTGGTATGGAAAGAAGCCTTTCTGCACTAAGTGAGCCTTCTTTTCCATGATTATGGTTGGAATTCTGTGGGTGTTGAAGATGAGAAGAGTTCTCATACAGTGTCCATCTTTAGAGAGACCTTTGGTTGTTTTTAAATCAGCAGTTCTCAACCTGTGGGTCCCCAGATGTTGTTGGACTACAACTCCCATCATCCCTGAGCTCTGGCCTTGCTAGCTAGGGGTGATGGGAGTTGTAGTTCAACAACATCTGGGGACCCACAGGTTGAGAAAGGCTGTTTTAAATCAATGTCGTCAACAGCGACACCTAAATGGCCGAGCAGGAATGGATTGGCCATTAACTGACCGAATGCACAGGCAGGCTGGGACTGCAGCCTAGATGGCGCCCTTGAGGCAGTCTGCCCAGCTAACTGCAGAAAGAAGATACGTCCACAAGCACAACTTCTGAGAACCCTCTAGGCAGCTGGCCATTGCCATGTTCTTATCTGGCTCTGCGCCCCCCCCCGCCCCGCCCCCCCGCCTGCCAAATTCTGCTCATGAGCTGCCCAGAGGGCCATTCATTTTGGAATCGAAACCCTTGCAAATCCTTTTTCTGGGTTGCTGGATCCAGACTTCCTGTGCCTTTTTAAACAGCTGTGCTGTAGGGGGGAATTTCACCACTTCCTTCTTATCACAGCTAACTGCATGGCTGCAGCAGAGAAGCTGCCACTGGCAAAACTACTCCCTGCTGTGCTGCTCTTAAAGAGACAGGAGATTTCTTTAGTTTGTTTTGGAGGAATGGTTACGCTAGTCTGGTGAGGGTTTCGGATTGTATCTGTCGCCATGTCCTATTATTAGAAAAGTTAACCAGCAAACGTAAGCTTAAGCTAGCACGGGGACAAGCAGAGGGGGATGCCTTCACCCCGGTATCTCCCCTTTATCACATATAAAGGTAAAGGGACCCCTGACCATTAGGTCCAGTCACGGATGACTCTGGGGTTGCGGCGCTCATCTCGCTTTATTGGCCGAGGGAGCCGGCGTACAGCTTCCGGGTCATGTGGCCAGCATGACTAAGCCGCTTCTGGCAAACCAGAGCAGCGCACGGAAATGCCATTTACCTTCCTGCCGGAGCGGTACCTATTTATCTACTTGCACTTTGCTGTGCTTTTGAACTGCTAGGTGGGCAGGAGCAGGAACCGAGCAACGGGCGCTCACCCCGTTGTGGGGATTCAAACCCCCCACCTTCTGATCAGCAAGCCCTAGGCTCTGTGGTTTAACCCACAGCACCACCCATGTCCCCTCTTTATCACATATACAGCACAACAATAGAATTGACTTATTCCACCACCACCACCACAGCATATGAATTAATACGCCCAGTACTTTTTTTTTCTTAAAAAAAAAAAATATGTTATGGGGTACTCTCATATTCCACTCATATTGAAATACTGCCCCTCAATGTGGCCAAACTTAGATTCACAAAATTTTTAGGGGTATGTGTACCCCCAGAAAAAAGCACTGAATATGCCTAATCTGACCCATACAAACTGGCCAACCAGCCTGCAATAGTTCTGGGAAAATCCAGATGTATGGCAAGCCTTGTCGGCAGTGCCGTTTCCGGCAATTTTACTTTAAAGAAGCTCCAAAACATTTTTTAAAATGCATTTTTTCCCAAAAGAACTCCTTTGGGCAAAATGTAAAAAAGGTAAACAACCCACCCTTTTTTGTCTGGATTTTCACTGTTTGAAATATGTCAACACACACACACCCTAAAAAAACCCTGCGCTAGAATGAAAGAACATTATCTCTCCCCACCTCTGTCTCCTCTCTTTTTCCGCATAATGTCTATGACAATAGTGTCTCTTACCGCATGTAAACGAACTGTGAGAAAGACTCTATGAAATGAAAGTGGAGAAGCTATACAGTATGTACTTTTTTGTTACACAAGAAAATCTTCGATGAAAAGTAGGGAGGGGAGGGCCCTCTCAAAAGTCAACAAATACCATAGCACGGATATTTCAGAGGTGGTGGTTCTCTGCCCCCCCCCCCTCCACCCCCAGTTATGACGAAGCTCCCTCTGCTGGCAGTTTTGTGCTCAGCAGGAAAAGAAGAGAAATAGGAAGATGAGTATGTATTACACATTTCTTCTTCATCATCTCCCTTTCCTTTTAATAGTCTGCCCTTTCACCAAACAACTCAAGGTAGCCTACAAGGCTATATCTCTCCCCCTGCCTCCCAACCTGCCTCAGCTTCACAGCAAATCTGTGAACTAGGCTACCTGATAAATGAACTCCTGGTTCAGTCTCACCCAATGCACTTCCTGGTTTAGCGGGGATGTGGACCCCTGTCCACAGCCTTCTAGGTTTATTACAGGGGTAGGCAACCTAAGGCCTGGGGGCCAGATGCAGCCCAATCGCCTTCTCAGTCCGACCCGCAGACTGTCTGGGAATCAGCGTGTTTTTACATGAGTAGAATGTGTGCTTTTATTTAAAATGCATCTCTGGGTTATTTGTGGGGCATAGGAATTCGTTTATATATTTTTTTCAAAATATAGTCCAGCCCACCACATGGTCTGAAGGACGGTGGACTGAAAAAGGTTGCTGACCCCTGGTTTATTAGGTTGCTCTGCCAAGTTCAGCCAGTCTCCACCTGCATGCCTCTTTCCTTACAACCAGCCCAGTGGGCGACTCCAGATGTCCGCCTCCTTCTCCTAAGTCTCAGCGTTGCCTTTGTAGAATTCAGAGGGGAAGAAAAGGAATCAGCTCCACAGAGACTGTCCACGGCGAGCATCCCAGGGGGGCGGGGCAGCAATGTCACACAGACCCCAGGGATGACATTCCAGGTGGACCACACCCACCGCACCCCCTTCCTCCGCCAGTGCAGCTCCACCTATCATTGGCTCTGGCTCCACCTACTGTTGGCCTCGTTGCCAGCGGGCACTAGCCTCCACTGCATCGGTACATCCCAACATCTGGAGCAACAGAGAAAGTACCCTGCTCTGTCGCCACAAATTCCCTTGCCCGCAAGCAACTCTCCTGCATTGGAGGGGGTTGAGCTAGATGACCCTGAGTGTCCCTTCCAGCTCTGTGATTCAAGTGGTGCACTGGTGGCAACTTACCCGCTCAGCTGGGTTCTTCACCCTGATGAAGAAGGCTGAGTGGTTTTGCTCCTCGTCGTTCATCTTCACTAGGCTTGGTGTGTTATTCTCAGTGTCGGCTTCCAATGGGCATAGCTAGGAAGGAAAGCATTTGGGTAAAGCACAGATAGCTTGTGTTCCTCTTCCTCTCATATCTACTAAATCAAGGGCCAGCCAATGAAGGTGAAGTGTCGTATAAATGCATACAGAGTGTCCCAGGTTTGAACCCTGGCATAAAGCTATTGGTGGTTAATAGCCACAGTAGTAATAATCCCTGTAGCTTTGCTTCTCGCAGTGAGGGAAACGCCAGAAGGCCCTCGGCGCTGGACCTCAGCGTCCAGGCAGAACGATGGGGATAGTATACTGGGCCGAGGCCGTTTAGGGCTTTAAAGGTCAACACCAACACTTTGAATTGTGCTCGGAAACGTACTGGGAGCCAATGTAGGTCTTTCAAAACCGGTGTTATGTGGTCTCAGCGGCTGCTCCCAGTCACCAGTCTAGCTGCCGCATTCTGGATTAGTTGTAGTTTCCGGGTCACCTTTAAAGGTAGCCCCACGTAGAGCACATTGCAGTAGTCCAAGCGGGAGATAACCAGAGCATGCACCACTCTGGCGAGGCAGTCCGCAGGCAGGTAGGGTCTAAGCCTGTGTACCAGATGGAGCTGGTAGACAGCTGCCCTGGATACAGAACTGATCTGTGCCTCCATGGGCAGCTGTGAGTCCAAAATGACTCCCAAGCTGCGCACCTGCTCCTTCAGGGGCACAGTTACCCCATTCAGGACCAGGGAGTCCTCCACACCAGCCCGCCCCCTGTCCCCTAAGAACAGTACTTCTGTCTTGTCAGGATTCAACCTCATGCTTTACCTCCTTATGCTTTGCCTCGTCCGATAGAAGGCAGTATGCCAGTTTCTGGGACTCACAGGCAGCAGAGAGTGCTGTTGTGCTCAGATTCTGGTTTCCCAGAAGCCTCTGGGTGGTCACCATGAGGACAGGATGCTGGACTAAATGGGCATAATCCAGCACATTCTTGGATCTCCAGCTGTTTTTGGACTACAACTCCCATCATCCTTCGCTAGCAGGGCCAGTGGTCAGGGATGATGAGAATTGTAGTCCAAAACCAGGGACCCCTACTTCTGATGCCCTGCTGCTCAGCCTGGATCCCCAGAGTCTGCATCCCTCAAGACCCGGGCTGGAAAAGGGGCTCCCACTTCTCTTCTGTGAGGGCCTTGCATTGTATCAACACCTGCTCACTAACAGAGGCAGCCTGCCGAGCGTGAGGCAGTCGAGAGCATAACAGAATGCCAGGTTCCAGGATAGACAGCTGCCCCTTTAAGGCTCTACTCACCTCAACAAGGAGGCAGAACCTGAGGAGGAGAGGTCCCACCCAGCGTGCAGAGAAGGGCTTGAGAACATGAACTCTAGTTCAGGGATGGGAAAGTTTGGGCCTTGCAGAGGCTGCTGGACGGCAACTCATATAGCTCAGTTGGTAGAGCATGACCCTAGTGGTCCCTTCAACTCTACAGTTCTATGATTCTACGATCCCTGGGACCACTGGTCATCCTGACTGGGACTGATGAATATCTGGGGAGTTAAAGTTCTCCCACACATCCCACTCAAGTGGGATCAAATCATTTGCTCCCTGAGCTCTGCTGTCCAGGGTCCTGAAAGACCTGGTTCAAGTTCCTGAAAGAATCTGATTCTGGCTGAACTCTGCCTATACTCTCCCTCTACCCCAGCCCACTTGGCATACAAGTACTTATAAAAACAAGAAACAGCCATGGATTGTCTGAAAGGAGGTGGGTGAGAGAAGACGGAGAGGGAGAGGGAGGTTCAGAGCACAAGTATAACATCCTCTAAAGCAGAGTTTCCTAAACTTGGCTCTTCAGCTCTTTTTGGACTACAGTTCCCATCATCCCTGACCACTGATCCTGCTAGCTGGGGATGATGGGAGTTGTAGTCCAACAACAGCTGGAGATCCAAGTTTGGGGAACCCTACTCTAAAGGGATGTGGGGAACCACTGGTCCTCCAAATGTTGCTGAACTACAGCTCCTATCAGCCCCAAGCAGCATGGCCAAGGATGATGGGAGTTGTAGTTCAGCAATTTCTGGAGGGTCAAAATTCCCAACACCTGTTCTAAACATTGATCCAAGAGCCTGGGAGTGTGCCTAGGTCAATTCTGGGTAACCAAGCCCATCAGGCCTGTGTAATGGCCTCTATTTTTCAGAGGGGTGACTGCCTGTCTGGTACTGAAAAGAAAAGGAGAATCAAGACACAACATCCAGTTGTTGGGCTGGGTGTGAGCTGGCCACAGATTGCATGAGGCTGCTCTGGATATTGACACATCAGTCAGGCAAAATTTATTCCAAGAAGGCCGTGGCAGCTGGGAACACACCTAGGAGACCCTTTGCCTAGAGTGGGGAATGGAGAATTGCCCAAGCACGCTCACTTTCTACGTCTTATTAGAGGATGTGTGGGGAACTTGTGGTCCTCCAGATAGAGCTGGACTCCAGCTCCCATAATCCCATGAGCATGGAATGAAAACACAAGACCTAGATCAGACCAGAGGCCCATCCAGCCCAGCTTCCTGTTTCCACAATGCCCACCCAGATGCCTCTGGGAAGTTCACAAGCAAGACCTGAGCACAAAAGCGCTCTGTCCCCTCCGGTGGTTTCCAGCAACCCTACTCTCTCTTCGTGACCCCATGGACCAGAGGACGCCAGGCACTCCTGTCTTCCACTGCCTCCCGCAGTTTAGTCAAACTCATGCTGGTAGCTTCGAGAACACTATCCAACCATCTTGTCCTCTGTCATCCCCTTCTCCTTGTGCCCTCCATCTTTCCCAACATCAGGGTCTTTTCCAGAGAGTCTTCTCTTCTCATGAGGTGGCCAAAGTATTGGAGTCTCAGCTTCAGGATCTGTCCTTCCAGTGAGCACTCAGGGCTGATTTCCTTAAGAATGGGTAGGTTTGATCTTCTTGCAGTCCATGGGACTCTCAAGAGTCTCCTCCAGCGCCATAATTCAAAAGCATCAATTCTTTGGCGATCAGCCTTCTTTATGGTCCAGCTCTCACTTCCATACATCACTACTGGGAAAACCATAGCTTTAACTATACGGACCTTTGTTGGCAAGGTGATGTCTCTGCTTTTTAAGATGCTGTCTAGGTTTGTCACTGCTTTTCTCCCAAGAAGCAGGCGTCTTTTAATTTCGTGGCGCAGATGGTGACAGCAACCCTACTAGTTCCCCCCAAATATTTTCCCTTTGCAAAAAAAAGGGGGAATTTTATTGTAGGCAAACACAGCAGGTGGGGAACTGTGAGAAAAGCTTCACATCAGAGGAGGACCCCAGTCCTGCCACTCGCCACCTGGTCTAGGGCAGGGCCTGACAGGCCATATAAGAGCTGCTGCTGGGCAGAGAGGGCTCTGTTTTTTGTTTTTTTTTTAATTGCTGTTATTTTTTACCTATGGCATTTAAACTGTGATATTAATGCTGTATTCTTAGTTTTAGATTTTGATTTATGTGGAAATTGTTTTTCATTTGGTTGTGTATATTTTGATGTGGTTTATTTATTGATGACTTTCGTAATTATGTAAATCTTGTCATGTTGTAAGCTGCCTTGAGCATTGAGTTATTGTTTTGTTGCAGTCTCAATTTATCTCCTTCTTGCTCCAAAATTTCCCAATATGTCGGCCATTTGGCCTCCATATTGAGCCTTTTCAGAGCTTTTGCTTCCATTGGTGACAGCCACCTTGGGGTTTTATTTTCCAATAAGTCTTTGTATCTTATCCAGACATTAAACAATGTTTTGAAAAATTAAAAAATAAAGTGAGAGATTGGCTCCACTACTATCAGATAATGGAGGCATATAATTTGGATAAGAAAATAGGCTTTCAAGTGGAAAAGTCAAAATTAGAAACAGAATTGTTAGAATCCAAAACTAAAAATTTGTCAAGAATGTATAACTTGCTGTTGAAATGGAATACTCAGGATGAAACGGTGAAATCTGCTATGATTAAATGGGCACAAGATGTTGGACATAATATTATGTTCGCTGACTGGGAACAGTTATGGACCACAGGTATGAAGTTTACGGCATGTAATGCCTTAAGAGAGAATATTATGAAAATGATATACAGGTGGTACATGACCCCAGTCAAGCTTGCAAAAATTTATCATTTGCCCGATAATAAATGTTGGAAATGTAAAGAAACTGAAGGTACATTCTTTCAGCTTTGGTGGACGTGCCCAAAGATTAAGGCTTTCTGGGAAATGATATATAATGAACTGAAAAGGTATTTAAATATACCTTTCTGAAGAAACCAGAGGCCTTTCTCTTGGGCATTGTCGGCCAACTGGTGCCAAAGAAGGACAGAACCTTTTTCATGTATGCTACAACAGCAGCAAGAATACTTATCGCAAAGTATTGGAAGACACAAGATCTACCCACTTTGGAAGAATGGCAGATGAAGGTGATTGACTACATGGAATTGGCGGAAATGACTGGCAGAATCCGAGACCAGGGAGAAGAGTCGGTGAAAGAAGACTGGAAAAATTTAAGGACTATTTACAGAAATATTGTAAAATTAAGGAACTTTAGAAGGATGCTGGATAGAAATTAAGAGGTTTTTAGCTGTAATGCTTTAAGAGACATGGAAAAAAAAAGGTTAACAATTGGGTAAAAGATTAATGGTAAGGATTTGCTGAACCAACAAACTGAATTGGAATACAAAGAAGGGAGGTATGAGGAGGTCTGGGGAAATAAGAGTAAGGAAGATAGGTTATGGAACATTATTGTGTTTTTAACTGTTTTATTTTGTATGTTTTTTCTTACTTTTTGCTTTTTTGCTGTAATTTACACTTTTTTTCTTTGTTTTCTGTATTTTTGTGAAACTTTAATAAATATCATTTAAAAAAAAAAGAGTTATTGTTTTGTTGTTTCTGTTTTAACTATTTATTTGTGCTTTTATCTTGTGTTTTTATCTAGCGAATCACCCTAAGATCTTTCGATGAAGGGCGGTATATAAATCTTAATAATAATAATAATAATAATAATAATAATAATAATATCTATGATTATTGTGGTTTCTTGAATCGGGAGCATCATCCAGCATAAAGTCTTCCCTTAACATTGAGGTGCAGCTCCAAGGGCCTTTTGGCAGTTCCCTCACTGCAAGAAGTGAGGTTACGGGGAACCAGACAGAGGGCCTTCTCAGTAGTGGCGCCCGCCCTATTGAGTGCCCTCCCATCAGATGTCAAGGAGATAAATAGCTATATGGATTTTAAAAGACATCTGAAGGCAGCCGTTTAGGGAAAATTTTAATGTTTGATGTTTTACTGTGTTTTTAATATTGTGTTGGAAGCTGCCCAGAGCGGCTGGGGAGGCCCAGCCAGATGGGCGGGGTATAAGTAATAAATTTTATTTTTATTTATTTATTTATTTATTAACTCAAAACCTCTAGGTGGGAATCGACAATAGTTCAGCAAAATAGATGTCAGTTCCTTTCTACACACAGATAGCTCTCTGCCTTCCCCACAGGACCCATGTCATACCAAACAGGACAAAAGGCTGAAAATACCAATATATTTTGGTTTCTGTGTATACACACACACCAGCTGGTGCATGCAGTGACTAAGACCATCCTCTTACCTCATCCATGAAATCACTAAGAGGCCTTAGTTAAGCCATTATTCTCTCAGCCTCAGCTGCAACATGAGGGAGCAGTGGGTAACAATCATGGCCTACTTTGCAAGACCATCGTCAGGATGACTTGTAATGTTCAAACAGTGCTGCCTAAATGCCATTCCAGCTACGACTAATACCAATTTTAATCAGTGCAGCTGAAAGTCAAGGGCAGCCGTGTCTGTTTCAGAAAAGCTATTTTGGGTCCGGCCTGTTGCTATAATAGGACATATAATGAATAAATACTGGTGGCCTTTCCTTCTGACAATGAGTGATACGGCTTGTTTATTCAACAAGATTTCTCCAGCACCCCAAGGTGCGTTTTCTCATTTGCAAATTCATTTCCATTTAATCACTTTAAAAGACAGATGATTAATCAACCAAAATTAATATGCATTAATCGCCCGCCCCTCTTTGCCTGTATTTGCCGCCCTCCCCATCCCTGCCACTTCTGTTATTTAACTTCGGCTAAAATTTAGATTGTAAACCCCTTGGGAGCAGGGGCCTGTCTAAATCAACAAATGTCCTGTATATAGATGACTATATCAGTCCTCGCCAACCAGATGTTTTTTTGACTGCAACCCCATTTGCCCTCTGCTGGTGAGGCTAATGGGAATTGTAGTCCAAAATAGAAACATAGAATCCTGGAATTGTAGAGTTGGAAGGGATCATCTAGTCCAGAAATATGCAGAAATATGCAGCTGTCCCATAAGGGGATTGAACCTGCAACCTTGTTGTCTTCAGCACCCTGCTCTAACCAACTGAGCTATCCACCTGGAGGGCACCAGGCTGGCAAAGGCTGCTCTATAAAAAATACTGTAGCAGCTTGGCAGCTTGGCTTAGCATGGGCAGATCATCAGATCCCAAAGCAAGGAAACCAATATTCTGACAGCTAAATGAATCCGAGAGAGAGACTCTGTTCTCCCGATAGCATCATAAGCCTTTGTGTTGGCAGTGCCCAGAGCAGGAGGAAACCAGGAGAAGGAGCTAATTGGTGGGAGGTGGGGTCTCCCTGGTGGGCCTCAACCAGCCACTTTAGAAGTCGGATCAGGGGTCCTGGCTCCTCCCCACCACCTCAAAGCAGAACAGAAAGTCTCTGCAGAGGCTGGAGGAGGCTGCGATGGGGAGACAACTCAAGAGGAGGAGAGCACTCATTTCGGATCTCCACAGTCCCGCAAAGCAGGTGAGCCCATCGCGCCTCGTCTTAGAAATGAGGCCGGGGGCACAGAAACCACTGGGACCTCTTCCCTCAGTCCTGAACATCTTGCCTCATTCCTGAACTCCGGAATTCCAAGCTCAGTGTCTGCGGACCAAGCCTATACCCTTAACTTCCCTGATGGAAGATCTCTTTTCTTACTTACACGTCAGGGCCTCCTTCTGCGAGTGTTGGGCTTGAGGTAGGTACAAATTCAATACACCCCAGCAACCACCGCAGATAAAGTAGAGAAGACTAGAGGCAGAAACCCCCCTTCCAACCACGTACAAACCCTTGTGTACCTGCAGTGGGCTGTCAATTTTTCCCTGTGGCAAATGAATTTAACCACCCATTTTCTACCTGATGCTTGGAGTGACATCACAGGGAAAGCGCTACCTCATCTGTTACCAAGTAACCATTAAATACTGTTGGGAGGGGGGGATATGTGAAGTGGGGGAGTATGATACCATTTGCCCCACCAACTCGGGAAAGTGTTTACTCGCTTTTTCTCAGTTCCTTCATCCGTGGGGACAAAGTCACTCGAGAGACTGCCTTAGCCCTTACATTGGGGCTAGGGAACCTTTGGCCCTCCGGGTGTCGCTGAACTACAGTTCCCATCCCAGCCATGGGGCTGCTGGGAGTGGGGGTTCAGCAACTTCTGGAGGGCCGGAGGTTCCTGTAGAATTTCCTCTGCAAGTTCCAAAGATATCACAAGCCCACTTCACAGAGCAGGACTTTCAGTGTGGCTGCCCCTGTTCTGCGGAACAGCGTTCCTGTTAGGATACAACAGCCATAGGAGCCAACTCCAAGGGGCTAAGGTCCCTTACCTGCCCCCCCCCCCAAATATTTTATTCAAGTTGGCACCCCTGCACTTTCTGGAAACAATATAAAAAAATTCCTTCCAGTAGCACCTTAGAGACCACCTAAGTTTGTTATTGGTATGTGCTTTCGTGTGAATGCAGACTTCTTCAAATATCTGAAGTGTGTATCTGAAGAAGTGTGCATGCACACGAAAGCTCATACCAATAGCAAACTTAGTTGGTCTCCAAGGTGCTACTGGGATTTTTCTTATTTTGTTTCGACTACGGCAGACCAACACGGCTACCTACCTGTAACTGGAAACAATATGTTGCATCAACAAGCTATCCTAGCTGGATAAACAGATCTCTGCCACAGGTGTCTACATTATATTGTTTTCAAATTGATCTGTTGCTATTTATGTGCTCCCAGTCACCAGTCTAGCTGCCACATTCTGGATTAGTTGTAGTTTCTGGGTCATCTTCAAAGGTAGCCCCAGATAGAGCACATTGCAGTAGTCCAAGCAGGAGATAACCTGAGCATGTACCACTTTGGCGAGACAGTGCGCAGGCAGGCACTCAGAAAGCACACCAGATGGAGATGGTGGATAGATGCCCTGGACATAAAATGGACCAGGACAGCTGACCACTGTGTCCAGGGATTGCATCACCATCACTAATTGAGGTGTTACAGAGAAATAAATTAGCCCCCCATTCCTCTGGAGACATTAAGGAGGAATTCGATTCCACATTTACAATTGCTTAAAGACCAGAGAGGGAGACATTTTTTTAAATAATTATTTACATTTTCATTAAGACTTTAAAAAAATAAAATCCACCTTTCTATTCTAAAAACAGAAGCCACAAGGCATTTTTATTTTTTTTACAAAAGTCAACAGACAAAAGGTACCTAAGACAAAATTCTAGAAGCAGAGAAACAGCAAGCAGCAGTCATAAAACAGGCTGTCGCAAGCTTGTCTCTCAATGTGGCTATCTAGAAAAGGGGTACCCTTTAAAAGAAAAAAGTAGTTGTTTTATCTAGTGTCCAAAAAGACATAAAAAGGAGAGCTAGCTAAATCTCATGCAGCAGGGGATTCCCACAGCTCAGGTGCCACCACTGAGAAGGCCGTGTCAGTCATGCCCACCAAGCACACTTCAGGTGGTGGGGAAACAAGGAGTGCAAATGTGGCATACCAGCCTCCTTTGAGGAATAAAATATGCGAACTGGTTTCTGTGGCTTGTATGCAGCTAAGTTCTGCTCAGAGTAAACCCATTAAAATTGATTAACCTTGCTTTAAAAAAAGGTAAAGGACCCCTGACAGTTAAGTCCAGTCACAGACGACTCTGGGGTTGCGGCGCTCATTTCACTTTACAGGCTGAGCAACGGAAGCTCACCCCGTCGCAGGGATTCGAACCGCTGACCTTCTGATTGGCAAGCCCAAGAGGATCGGTGGTTTAGACCACAGCGCCACCCACGTCCCTTAACCTTGCTTAGGCATGCCTATTAACTTAAATGGGCCAGCTCTGAGTAGGGCTACCATTGACTATAACCCTATGGTTCAGGTACTTGTCAGTGTTCAAACTTGATTTCTGGGATAATATTACTTACAGAGTTAAGCATCTCCACTCCTTCAGGGAACACTTCCCACACTCCCCACATGACATGCGCTCTTCCTCTGAGCATCTGTGAGGTTTCTATAAGATGCCCTTGAAAACATTCCCGGTATAACAGCACAAAGTCAACATGTTTAACCTTCACTGAGCAGAATCTTGCGTTTAAAAACGAAAGCGTCATCTCCTGAACTGCGCTGATTTCAGAATTTGAAACAGACTAGGAAAGAGGCTAAGTTTCTAACAGGAGAGCATTCCCCGCCACGGGGATTGGTGGAGGAGTGCGCAGCCATTTATTCCTCTCTGTGCCTTCTGGGCAGGAGTAAGCTGCTGACCACTGTCGCCGCAATGGCCACGAGGCCTACGCCGAAGAGCCCTACTGTGCCAGCAACCAAGGTGTCTCTCACCTGCAAACAACACAGAAGGGGAAACTGTTAAGCTGTGTAGGCCTCTAAGATGTTGCTGGGCTACCTGCCAACATTTCTCCAGTGAAAATAGGGACGTCGTCAATAATAATAATAATAATTTTATCTGACTGGGTTCCCCCAGCCACTCTGGACAGCTTCCATCATATATAAAAAAATAATAAACATAATAAAAATGCAACATTTAAAAACTTCCCTATACAGGGCTGCCTTCAGATGTCTCCTAAAGGTTGAATAGTTACTTATCTCCTTGGCTCGGGGGTTGCATAACTCCACACCCTCCAATGCAAACAGGGACATCCTAAGGAAAAGTGGGACATTCCAGGATCAAATCAGAAACTGGGATGGCTTCTGTAAATCCAGGACTGTCACTGGAAAATAGGGGCACTTGGAGGGTCTGCTTAGGTTGATGGGCATGTTAAGATACAGTTCAGCAAGATCTAGATGGTTCAGAGTTTCCCCACACCTCCTCTAGATTTTGCTGTGTGTGTGTGGCTTTATTTTCAGACGGAACTCACCGGAACTCAGTTCCAGCACCTCTCAGGTGGGGGCCATTGCCATTCTAAGAGAACAAGGGAGGCATTCACGGTGAGTTCCGGCACCTCTTTTTCTAGAAAAACAACACTGTTATATATATGTGTGTGTATGTAAATAAAATCCTATACAGTATGCTAGATGCACCACAGTCTGCAGTGACCTTCATTCCAAGAGAACTGAACTCTGCATATGCACAGGAAACTCTGGAGTCCCTAAGCTGCTCGGCAATTGGGGAACATGCAACGTCATTCTCACTACAGCTGCTCCAGGAAGAGTTTTTACACCAATACGTTGGGAGAAAGGGGCTGATAAGATTAACGTTTTTTCCTGAAGGCCACAAAATTGCTCTGCCCTTTCGAAGCAGTGAGACTTGTGCTTCTCTGGCACACTGCAGACACGGCTGTGGCCCATCGATACGCACCTGGTCGCTCCTAGCCGTGCCATAGCGCAGCCTGGTGACAAAATGTTCACAGTTCTCGCTGGCCAAGCTGTAGCGGATTTCTTTGCCCAGGAGCGCCTCCGCCTCCTGAATGATTTTGTTGGCCGGGAGCGGCTCGTATTTCTGATCGTATTTGTTGTTGATGCGGCATGCGTCGTCCCCGACGATGCTCCACAGGAGTTCCTTCTTCACCACGGCTTTTTCGGACAGGGCAGACATCAGGCTGGAGGTGCTGGCCTGGTATAAGTCATCTTGGAAGACACAAAGGGAACATCAGTAATGCAGTAGGCCTGTTTTTGTACTCCTCTCTAGCCTCCATTCAGACAAGCACAAGGCATGATCAGACTTCAAGGACACATTCCAGACAGGAGGGTGTGGAGCAAGGCTGGTGAGGGGTGCTAAGGGCCAGGTAAAGAAGACCAGAGGGCCACATTTGCCCAGCGCCTCCCGGATCTGAGTTTCACCAGCCTGTAATAACATAATCCATTGTGATATCCAATATCTTTTACAATAGGAATCATTTAAAGAAAGGATCCTGACCATTGATAATTCACTCTTCTTCAGAATTGACAGTCCTTGTGCTACCTTCATTATTCAAAATCACCCATGTAGTTATACAGGATGAGCTTTTTAATACACAAAACCAGAACTAGAAGACTAGCTGTGCCAAATGTGATCCTATAGGTCTGGTTTCTCAGCAAAAATAAAAAAATAAAAAGACCAATAGCTGTCCCCCTTCACCCTCATCATCCCAAACAATAAAGTCTGGAGGATGCAGCCCTTTTAAGGTAGGACTAGAGTGGAGATACTTTCTCACCCCAAGGGCCACATTCCCTTCTAGGCAACTTCCCAGGGGCCACATGGCAGAGGTGGGTGGAGCCAGAGGCAAAAACAGGGTGCAGCAAAAAAAAAAAAAGGTGGGGCAACAAATGTAAATTTTACCCTCTCTGGGCCACAACCCTCACTGGCCAGTGTGGTGTAGTGGTTAAGAGCGGTGGACTCGTAATCTGGTGAACCGGGTTCGCATCCCTGCTCCTCCACATGCAGCTGCTGGGTGACCTTGGGCCAGTCACACTTCTCTGAAGTCTCTCAGCCCCACTCACCTCACAGAGTGTTTGTTGTGGGGGAGGAAGGGAAAGGAGAATGTTAGCCGCTTTGAGACTCCTTTGGGTAGTGATAAAGTGGGATATCAAATGCAAACTCATCTTACTTCACCTGCTCCTTGAGTGTTTTCTCTGGGCTTAAATGTGTCCTTGAACTGTGTTCATGCCCAGGGCCGTAGCTAGGGGTTGGCGAGGTGGGCCCCTGCCAGGGGCACAGGCGATGGGGTGGGGTGCAAAATCAGCTAAAAAATATGTCTATAAATATAAATACAGTCATACCTCATGTTACGTCCACTTCATGTTACGTTCTTTCAGGTTATGTCCCGCAGCAACCCAGAAATACCGGAAAGGGTTACTTCAGGTTTTTCCGCCCGCGCATGTGCAGATGCGCAAAATGACGTCATGCACATAAGCGGCGAATCACAACCCGCGCATGTGCAGACGCACTGCTGCAGGTTGCACTCTTTTCATGTTGTGAATGGGCCTCCAGAACGGATCCAATGCTGGCAACTGTAAACCCTGCCTGACTTGGCCATGCACCCGATATAAGCCTGAGCACCTTACCTGAGGGAGCCAGGTGGATCACGTAACCGGAACCCACGTAGATGGCCCAGTGCTGGTAGCCCACACGGGAAATCTCTATCAGGTCTCCAGGCTTTGGCTCTATCTGTCGAGAGAGAATCAGAGAAGCGAGTGCCAGGAGAGAGCTGATGTGATAAAGGTAAAGGTAAAGGGACCCCTGACCATTAGGTCCAGTCACGGACGACTCTGGGGTTGCGGCGCTCATCTCGCTTTATTGGCCGAGGGAGCAGGCGTACAGCTTCCGGGTCATGTGGCCAGCATGACTAAGCCGCTTCTGGCGAACCAGAGCAGCGCACGGAAACGCCGTTTACCTTCCCGCTGGAGCGGTACCTATTTATCTACTTGCACTTTGCCATGCTTTCGAACTGCTAGGTTGGCAGGAGCTGGGACCGAGCAATGGGAGCTCACCCCGTTGCGGGGATTCGAACCGCCGACCTTCTGATCAGCAAGTCCTAGGCTCTGTGGTTTAACCCACAGCGCCACCCGCTTGCTGAGTGTAAATCAGCACGGTGACAATGCAGGCAGGACTGTGGCAGGAAACCGAGGATGCCAGGAAACCGGGAATTATGTTCACATGTGCTGGAAATATGTACAATGTTTTGGGTAAAGGGTGTTTAAGGAGATAACAGAAATCACTGGGTTAAAGCTGACCGAAAGTCCAGAGGTAGCATTATTATCAATTTACGGTGGGGTGGGTGGAAGATTTGCAGGCTTTGCAGGGCTTGCTCACAAATTTATTGACAGCTGCACGAATTATTATAGCCAGGAATTGAAAGGGGCAAGCAGAATATAAATTGGAAGAATGGTATAAAGAAGTTTGGGATACAGCTATTAATGATAAATTAACATGTGCCATTAAGGTAAGGCAGGGAATATGCAGGAGAAATGATTTTGAGGAGATATGGAAGGTGTTTGTAGAATTTGTACTGTTAAAACGGAAAGGGGTCAAACCATCACAAGAGATGTTGAAATTTTGGGAGGTTGGATAGTTACAACGGAATGGTCTCGGTGGTGGGGTGCACATTGTTATTCTTATTTATTTATGATTATTACTTTGTAAATAAAAAAGGACTGTGGCAGGAGGGCAAACGCTGAAGAAAGCTTTGTGCTGGGATTTGATTAGATACTAGGAGAGGATATATTTATTAGATATTATCCTTCCTCCCTCACGTTAGTGTGTTCAACATAGTGCCATCCCTTTGCAGCCCTGTTTAGGGGAGTTTTTAATGTTTGATGTTTTATTCTGTTTTTAATCTGTTGGGAGCCGCCCAGAGTGGCTGGGGAAACCCAGCCAGATGGGCAGGGTATACGTAATATGTTGTTAATGATAGTAATGATGATGATGATGATGATGATGATGATGATATGCCACCTGTAGTGGTTCAAGGGGTTGCTCGTGCGTAAGCCGGTGCCCACACCTGGCTGGGTTGCCTAAGTGAACCTTTTCTGTCCGGACAGCCACTCACCCGTGGCTGTCTCAATCGCTGGCAGAATCTGTCAGTGGGCGTTTCTTAAACTTCTTCCAGCAAAGAAGTTATTTCACGCCCAGTCGCCTCCTACTTTCCCTGCGCGGAAGCCTTCTGCGCAAGGAAGGCGTAGGCAGCGGAGGACCCTTCCTCCCCCCGCTGGTCCCAGGCAAGGAGTCCTGTGACTCCCTCTCAGAGTCCCCCATCTGCCCCCCTTCTCTCCTGGAGCTGGGCTGATTCCCTTCCCCAGAAGATGGGCTGCCTCTCCCAATCCCGTGACGCTCTCTGGGATCCCTCTGGAGCTCTCTCTCTCCCTCCGGCACTGATGGCAGTTCCCTGACACCACCCATCTGACTTTTTTGCCCAAGCCACTCTGGGCAGCTTCCAGAAAAATATAAAAACTCCATAAAACATTAAAAACTTCCCCATACAGATAGGCTACTTTTAGCCTTTTCGTTTTAGTAATCCAGGTCGCTTTAAGGCAGACTGGATTTTCCTGGTATTACCTCCTTTTCTCCCCCTTAAAATAACAATCACACACAAACAGTTGCAAAATGTAAGAATAACTTTTTCCCACTCAGTATATGTCTTGAAGAATATCAGAGATAGCAGCTAGGTGCAGGCAGGCTTAAAATGCTAACTGAGTTCCTAAAACATACTAAGTTTAGCTTAAATACAGAGTCTGAACTGGGGCTCAGAATTACAGGTGTCGTCATGGGTGTCCAGTGCCACGCACCACAACCTGATGTCATGATTAACATTTTTATGCTGCTTTTCCATATAAATACATGCTCAAACCAGCACACCACAAAACCGCTAAAATTCAGAACAATGCATCATTACTATAACACTCACATACTAAACCATTTCACAACATGAAGCAATATTTTTTTAAAAAAACCCCAATTTGATTCCATGCGTCAAATCGAAAAGCCCTGTCATTTAAGACACAGCAGCGCCTTCGTGTGTGTGTGTTTTGCCACAGTCCTATGAACTAGAAACTTATCATTTAACAGCAAAAACAGCAGTCACTTTGAATGTCCAGAGGCCTATCTGGACGCTTTGCTAGGAGTCGAAATCCAACCTTGAGCAGCATAATCCCTGAGGGCACCCACAGAAGGCTATATTTAACTCGGCCAAGAGATGACAGAGAGACGCTTTAGAAGCGGCCGTGCTCTGTGACACACCACAATGCGCACCAACAGAAATGGCCAGAGCAACAGCAGAGGCAATTCGGCTTCTCTGTCAACTGCAGTTGGTACTTACATAGCCAGACATCTTGAGGAGCTGCAGGCAGGCCGGCCCGGACGGATACTCCACCCTCGCCAGCAGACAGTGGCTTAGTTTAGCGATTGTGGACAGCTGCAGGCAGGGCGGGGTGAAGGCTCTAAATCGCCTTTGCGCTGGAAGGGGCCTGGGCTGAGGGTGTTGAAATGGGCAGAGGCAGGCATCCCAGAGGGACAGGCTGACTTGCCAAAAGCCAAAGCCCAGGAAACTGGAGGAAGCCTCTCATTAATTTTCTTTTCTTTTTTTTCAAAAGGTGCGATATTTGTGCTTCGCCACAATGTGGGCCCCGCCACCGAAAGGGCAAAACTTTCCCCTGGATTTCTCATGCAGAGGAAAGGTACAAAAACATACAAAGAGAGGCTTGTAAATAGGACATTGTTTGCAACCATCTCTGGCTGCCTACATGCCATGCATTGGAAAGGCCGCCCCTCCCTCTCACCCACCAAAAAGAATTGTGGGAACTGCAGTTTTAAGGGTGCTGGGAATTGCAGGTCTCTACAGTTCCCGGGATTTGGTGTGTGCGTGTACATCGATGTATCACAAGTTGTGCTGTTTAAAAATCAAACAATCAATAATTTTTAAAAGGATTTAGACCTTGGCATAGTCACGAAGTAACATATTTTTCAGAGAAAATACTTGTGAAATACTGGCTGCATGCACAGCATACATTTAAAGCACACACACACAAACACACTTGAATACTGGCCAATGTAATGTTTACTGAACTAAACACCAATTGTGGGCAGCTCATGGGAGTCAGAATAAATGGTGATGTGTACATAGCCTACATCTGTGAATGCTGGCATAAATAAAGCCTTGAAGACCCCCTCTCCAACTCCCACAAAGGGCAGGCACCTTGACTATACTGTTTTAGACGCCTGCTGAAAACTTGTTTGTTTCATCAAGCGTATCTGTAGACACATGATTTAGGTACATTTATTTTAAATGTTTTAATAACGGAGGGGTGTGAGGCTGGATTTACACACACACACTTGTTCTCTATATAACTGAAAATGTACACAGCTTGGAGATGTCTGTGTGTTGAGCAAGCGGTTAATAAATTTCCTAAATAAATAATCCATCAGTCCAGCCCGTTTTATATTCATGGAATTATTTTACTGATCTCACTTATAAAATATTAGAAGAACAGATGGTACAAAACGTACTGTAAATAAGGAGCAGAGTCACAACATTGCTGTTGTTAGTGTAGCAACGGGAAAGCTTGCTGCCCTTTTATAGATTGCAACGTGCATTTTAAAAATCACTTTTTTGTTGTTATTCATTTTGAAGATTTAGACTCTCGCCGCTAATCAACGGGTGCCCAAGGTGGCTTTACAGGTTGCAACAATACAAATGCCAAAAGACTCCCCTCCCCAACCCTTCATCTTCTGGGTGATGGATGGCTCTCTTCTGTAGTCCCAGAACAACTGGCAGAAAAGTTAATGCCTCCCTGCATCTGCTCCTTCTCTGGACCAGTGGAGGAGGCCAGACTGACCTCTCCTTGGATGTGCTTTTTGGGAGGCATTCCTTCTGCTCTGCAGTCCATCATCCTCTCTTGCAGGGACAGGCAGCTTGTGGTGGTGGCTGGTACCCACTGGGATTGGTGGGGTGGAAGGCAGGGAACCCAACAGTAAGGTGGCACCAGAGCCAAATGCAGACGGAGCCAACGAATTCTACTTTTGTCCCCATCTTCCTCCTCCCTGCTGAGTTCGACAAGGGGCAACACTAAGAAGGAGGAGTTGGGCAACTTTCTGGATTGGTCGTCAGGAAGAAGGCAGACAGGTGAGGGCTGGATGAGGGCAGGCTGGGGTTGGGGGGGGCAGTGCCTCATGTGCCCAAATGGAGCAGACTCCACTGCCAAGAGAGTCCTATGTGACTCTCAGCTGAATTTCATGTAGCTGGAGGAGTCCCAAGGGAGAGGAAGAGGCAGGGAAATGGAAGGAGAGTAGACAAGCCCTCGGCAAGCGACTGATTCAGACCACTGGGAGAAGTAATTTCTCTCCCAGGCAGCCAGCTTGGATATGTCCATTTTTGGTTGCTGGCTTCAGCTCCACCCTCTGCCAGTATGTGGCCCCTGACAGGTTATCCCTAAGGAAATGCAGCCCTTGGCAGAGAAAAAAGGTTGCCCCCACCCCAATTGTGATTTTACTAACATATTATCATTAGCTACACAATAAAACTGACTGATAGCAGCTCCTGGAAAATTCCCTAAAAAGATGTTAGGCAGGCCACTTTCAATGGGCATCAGAAACTGCATGTTATAAAGAGAGATAAAGAGACATAGCATAGGGCAGGGGTGGCCAGCTTCCAAGAGACTACAATCTACTCACAGAGTTAAAAACTGGCAGTGATCTACCCCCTTTTGGGGGTTCACGTAAAAGTTGCTGAGCTTCTTTAGGGAAGAGGAAAGCGACATTGAGCTTTTTTTTTAGGAAGGAAAGCCCTGTTTTTGGTGGTTCAGGTCATTTTAGGGGTGCAAGGCAAAGATGTTGAGCTTTTTTTAGGGGAGCCAAAGTTTTTTAGCTTCTTTGTGGGGAGCAGTGATCTACCGGTGATCTACCACAGACGTCCAGTGATCTACTGGTAGATCACGATCTACCTGTTGGACATGCCTGGCATAGGGTAAGGATTTCAGCCAAAGTAGTGGCTTGAGGAGGGGGGAAATCATCAAGCTGGCCACCACATCCATCTTACAGCTATAAGGTCTTCATTTTTGCAGGGATGTTGCCAGGGAAGTTTCTATGTCTGAGATGCTAGAGAAGCAAACACACACACACACACAAATGGTGTTGGGCTCAGAACCTGAGCACCTCACCTTTCAGTTATTTTTTAAAGTCAAGTTTCTAGTCCTTATCACTGTGAATATATGCTTTGAAAGTGTGTGTGCATGGAAGCTGGAGTGGGTGCTGAATAAGATGCCCAGAGCCTTGAAGTAGGCCTTTGGTATCCTGAATTAGGCTCCTTATCCTTTCCCACTGCCAGCAGATAACACAAATCACTAAATAAAAGTACGGAATAAATTAGTCAGGCACCCTCATTAAATTGTTTTATATGCCTATTGACAACAAATTTTATTTCAGCAAGCCTACCCAGACATATATCTCACCTATGTTTGTTTGAACAGCCTACTGATTTCCTCAGAATTTTAATCATAATTTTATGTACGGTATATTAGTTTTTTTTAAGGTAGCTTTGTGGATTTTAGCTGTGTTTTATCTAGAACTTTATTACATATACCACTTAAAGAGCTCTTGCCTTATCCAACATGAATCTTTCAAAATAAATAAATAAAATAAAATGCAGAATAAGAACAAAATATGCAAATACATGCTATGCTCTGTATAGGCAGAGTTGTGTCCAATACTGTATTAGTCAGAACAAAATCAAGACTAATGGACATGACCAACTTAGTCCATTCATTTCCGTGAGTCTAAGTAAAATTTGGATACAATCCACGTGTGCTGTTTAGAATTTACACCTTACCACACCCCCATCTAAATCCAGAGCGCTTTATCGTGCAGTGGTATACAGAAATTCAGACAAAAAGGGAGTGTTAAACAAAAGAAACAAGTGCTGAAAATCACCTCTACCACTGCCAGTTTAAGTTATGCTCTCCTCGTGGTTCATGTTTAGCTACACTTCTGCTACAGGCCTAAGCTACCAACTAAAAACACCTCTGTTTAGACTTCTGGTCTGCTGTGGAGGCAATGGCAGCGTGCTCCGTGTCGTCAAAGTAAAGGACGACATGGTTCTGGCTGCTAGGGCTCTGGGGGAAAATGCCAGGGCTAGGCGACCCCCTGAAAAAAACCCATGGGTAAGTGGGGACTCCAGGGGTCCAGCAGAGCGAGAGAACTCGCTTCACCCTGACCCCCCCCCCCCCCGTTGCTGTTTGCAGGGGGAGAAGGGAAGAGGCTTTGCCCTTCCCAAACTGGCACCAATCCCTGGCACTGTCCATTGAACAGCAGGAGCAGAACACAGCCTGTGGAGGCTCATGCCCCAAAGGAAGACACCCCCCCCCGCCCATCTTTTGGGGAAGGGCCGTTGAAGCTCAGTGGTAGAGCAACTGCTTGGCATGTAGAAAGTCTCAGGTTCAATCCCAGGCATCTCCAGGTAGGCCTGGAAATGTATCCAGTAGGGATGTCGGGGAATTCCAACATAAACGGAAGGCAGGAGCAGAAATTGCCGGTGTTTGCTTATTCGTCCCGTGTCCAGAACGAAAATCAGTATGATTGGCATTTGCTGTTGCATTCAGTCTGCAATCAATACCCAATGGATCACACTGTTCCCCTCCATTTGGATTGTGTTTCCTTTGCACTGAAATGAATAGAATGGGATAACGTAATGACAACGTAACTTACACAATTAATTACATAAATGATGCAAATTATGTGATTTTGCCACGGCAGACGGCACGAATGACGTTGTTTGGGGCAGAGGGCGAACTGCGGCAGAACAGAGACAGCACTGCAGTTGACAAATACAGGAAGGGATGCCCTCCTACATCCCTAGTTTCCAGTCCGAAACCCTGGACAGGTGCAGCTCATCTGCATGGGTAGTGCTGAACTAGATGGACCAATGGTCTCTAAAGGCAACATCCGACATTCCAATTTTCCGCTCCAGGGAGGCCGAGAAGAATTGCTTTAGACTTGGGACTCAGAGAGAAGCAAGCCACTCTCAACAAGGAGTTAAGAAACAAGAGAGGGCGTCCAAGGCTGTGGCCCAAAATGGGAGCAACTATTGTGCTTGTTTGTTTGTTTGTTTGTTTGTTTGTTTGTTTCCCCAAAGAGGTAATTGTTCAAAGAACACAAAACCTGAAAAAGAAAAAAATCAAGGGAGCACGGAAATCTCAGAGTCTCTGTTATTGGTTCTGTTATTGGTTCTGTTGTTTCTTCCTCTTGACCACGGCAGCACCAAAGAGTCCCAGGGCGGCCAAGCCCAGCCCTGCGATGCTAACCCCCACCAGGGCATCTCGAACCTGCAGGATCAAAGGGGGAGCCAAGTCAGCAAAGACCACCAGAAGGATGTTAAGTATAAATGTTTAATTGCACACTGAAATGGAGAATGCCTGTATTGCGGAAAGGGTTTAACATTGGAAATTTCCATTGTAGCTCTCTCTGAGCTCTGACTGAGTTTAGAAGAACTGTTGTTGTTCTCTGCTAGCTTAAACACAATGTTTCATCTTAGAGCATGTGATTAATTTATTCAATTGCAAATCTCCAACTTTTTTTGAAGACCGTGAGCAGGGATCTTAGATCTGCTTTTTCTTTTTTTTTCCCTTTTTTTGCAAGCCACTCTGAGAGCAGGGTGCAAATGCCATTGAGTAAATAAACAATAAGAATAGTACCTGATCACTCCTGGGCACACCATAGCGCAGCTCGGTGACGAAGTGTTCGCAATTTTCGCTGGTGACTTTATACTGCAGCTCTTGGCCCACCATCTCCTCGGCCCGCTGGACGATCTTGGTCCTGGGCAGTGGCGGGAACTTTGTGTCGTGCTTGTTATTCACCCGGTAGCGGTGCTTCCCTGCCACCTCCCGTAGCAGCTCCTTCTTCACCAGCGCCTTGTCAGTTAGGGTGGACATGATGCTAGCACAGCCTGCTCCTGCATATTCAGCTTTGGGGGGGGGGGAGAGAGAGAGGCCGAGATGGGGGAAAGCTGGCTACAAAAACCTTTTACCCCTGTCCCTTCAATGCTCATGCATTTAAAGCACACAGATTCCTTCCCCCCAAAGAATCCTGGGAACTGTAGTTAACGCTTCACAGAGCCCTTAACAAATGAATTCTGAGGGGCAAGCCATGTGCTTCCAAAGGGCATTCAGTGTGCTTTAAGACATATGGTGTAGATGTATCCCTTGGGCCACCACAAAACTGAGATGCCTGCAAATGGAGCTCCGTACCACACCCATTAGGGTTTCACTGGCATTTTCTCTCCCCTTCGATCATTTTCAAATGGAATATGTCATTCGTTGACGGAGAATGTTCAGGTAGTAGTGGGGACACAGAATAAGTTTTTGGTGCAGCACCAATTTCAACCAGGCAGAGGGCCTCCTTGGTAGAGGCGCCCGCCCTGTGGAACGCCCTCCCATCATATGTCAAGGAAATAAACAACTACCTGACTTTTAGAAGACATCCGAAGGCAACCCTGTTTAGGGAAGTTTTTAATGTTTGATGTTTTATCGCGTTTCTAATATTCTGTTGGGAGCTGCCCAGAGTGGCTGGGGAAACCCAGCCAGATGGGCGGGGTATAAATAATAAAAAATTATTATTATTATTATTATTATTATTATTATTATTTAATTAACATACCCTGTAATAAAATAAAATACTGAAAACCTTCCCCTAGGCCTATGGAGGCTAGGGTTGCCATCATTCTTGCTGGTCCCTGATTCAGTGCCTTTAACTGCACCTTGACTAGCAAAGATGGAAGGGACCCCCAAGAGTCATCTATTCCAAAATCCCCTGCAACGCAGGAATCAAGCTGCATTTAAGATGCACAGGGGAAGACCACCTCTTCCACCCACCGTACCGAACCGCCCGGTCACTTGGCCATCTTAATCTTACGATTCCTTACAGGGTGGAGCCAGGTGAATCACAAAGCCGTTCCCCACGTAGATGGCCCAGTGCTGGTATCCAAAGCGGAATATTTCAATCAAGTCCCCAAGCTCCAAGTCATCCTGTAAGAAGAGCAGACAAGGGGAAAGTGTTAGTCAGCCACACTCGGCAGCAGCACGTATGGAAACAGGAAGAAAGAACTAGGAAACAGGGGCACTGCCGGAGGCAGCCTTAATTGAAGTCTGGACGATCAGGGCTGGAGTGAAAATGAAAGAGAAGGCTGTATCAGGAGTGATTTGGGTTGGAAATTAGTTGGCTTGCTTTCTGTGACATGTAAATCATAAATTTGTACCTATACCATGTGGGGTGGGTCCATTAGAGTGAATTGCATTTCCACCAACCTTAGTCTGCCCTTGGCCAGGACCACCACCACTCACCCCACCACAACCACTGCCTACCAGTTTCCCCCATCATTTCAGTGCTGCCCTTGCAGAACTCACTTGGGAGGATGAGGACGGGGGCAACATTAGAATTACCTGGGTCTGCCAGTTATTGGTTCTGGCTAGGGCTGGGCGATATATCGAGATATCATCCAAAACCAGTTCCAAGTCCATATTGCGATACTGGTTTCATAATTTTTGACATCACAAATCATTATGTGTGTGCGCTATGCAAAAATTATGACGCGGGAAAACCATGAAACCATCCAATGCATCCACATGGCTCCATCTTTATTTCAGACATTGTGATGCATTGGTGTATGGTGATGTTTAGCGGGTGATATATCACGATGCTGAAAACCAGATACAGTGGTACCTCTGGTTGCGAACGGGATCCATTCCGGAGGCCTGTTCACAACATGAAAAGAGCACATCCTGAAGCACTGTAACTTGGCACTTATGTGCATGTGCGAGCAGCGACACAGGAAGTAACCCTTTCCGGTACTTCCGGGTCACCGCAGGATGTAACCTGAAAAAACGTAACACGAAGCAAACATAACATGAGGTATGACTGTATCACCCAACCCTGGTTCTGGCTCCAGCTGTCCCCAGCCACATTTCCTGCTAGCCTCTTTGCCTACTGCTTTACTGTTCTCCATGGACACCAGCCACTGCTGCTCTAGGTATTACCTGCAAATGCACACCTTAGGCAAACTTGTTCCTATGGGCTCCCGTGCTCCAAATCGTTCAAATGCCTAGCAACGCCCCTGCTAGGGAAGTTTGAAAGAAAAGGCACACAGAGCCCACAAACAAAGCAAAAGTCAGAGCCAGCGAGTCATGGGAAAGCTCAGAGCATCGCAGGGGCATTCCAGAGCAGTCACAAACGCAGCCCTATGAAAGAGGGCACAGACTGTTTCTGGGTCTGATGGAGGCCAGCTGGAATCCCATTGTTTCTGCTACCATTCTAATTCTATCATCCCATTGTAAGCAATTCTTTGGTGTGTGTGTTGTTGTTGTTTTTTTAAAAAAGCTGCTTTTATCTGTATTGTGTTTATGCCTGCATTATTCTAACGTCTTCGCATTGTGCGCACCTCTGAGCACTCTTGTTAGGGCTTTTGGCAGGGTTTGTACTTTTCTAAAAAAATGATAATAATATGCAAGCATTGATGGCTGAGGACAGAAATATAGAATATTTATTTCAGTTCCCAATTCTGCTTGAGAGCGCGCAGTGGAAAGTATGTTCCATTTATTTTGGAGGAAGCTCAATAAATGTAGCACAGTTAAGTTGCTCCATCAGTTTCTGGAGGCTATTTTTCAACCTTTCAAATCATTGATTATTTCCTAGCCTATCCATAGGAGGGCATTATTGGAATGCACTAGATTTATCTTAGATACAGGCAACATTTTTTACATGCTTCTGCAATCAATTGTAGATTGGATACAAGGTCATTCATTTCCTGCTGATTTTTTTTTAAGGTTTTGGGGGGGTTTTCTAACTTTCTGCACAGCTGCCTTCTTTGATTTGAAAATTTGTACAGCTTTGTTTGCAACAGTCTACGGTTTGTATGGAACAAATTACCTATCTATCTATCTATCTATCTATCTATCTATCTATCTATCTTTCTGACAGTTACACCTTGATACAAGTTATGCACGCGCACACACACACACACACACACACACATTATGTTCTTAATTCTGGCTTTCACTTTTCTTTTAAGAGCAACTTTCTAGCCCTTATGATTTCACTAAATACTTGAAAGCACATGAGTCCTGAAATATCAGAAGCCACAAGGTTGGCTTAAGAAGACTTTCATTAATTCATAGAATTGTAGAGCTGGAAGGGACCCCAACAGTCATCTAGTCCAACCCCCTGCAATGCGGAAATCTCAGCTAAAGCATTCATGACAGATGGCCATCCAACCTCTGCTTAAAAACCTTCAATGAAGGAGAGTCCACAACCTTCTGAGGGAGTCTGTTCTGCTTTCAAACAGCTCTTATCGTCAGAAATTCAGTGGGGGCCTCTGCATAGCTGCTTGTTCCATAACTAAGAAGAGTATAACTGTGGTAAATAAGCAAAGGTGCATGCATATATATATATATATATATATATATATATATATATATATATTTAATGCATGGGCTCTTTCCAACTACTCAGAACAGACCCATTGAAATAAATGGAGCTAAGTAAATTGTGCCCATTAATTCCAATTCTGCGTAGAACTAATAATGGATACAGACCCTCCAAGTGTCCCTATTTTCTAGAGACATCCCTCGTTTAGAGAAGCCATCCCATTTTCTGATTTGACCACAGAATGTCCCGCTTTTCGTTAGAATGGATTGGAGAAATGTTGGAGGGTATGGAGTTATCCAATCCCCGAGCTGTCTGAAGGTAATCCTGTATAGGGAAGTTTGTTTAATGTTTTATTATGTTTTTATATATGTTGGAAGCTGCCCAGAGTGCTGGGGCAACCCAATAAGATGTATGGGGTATAAATAGTAAAATTATCGTTATGGAATGGGACGTCCCTATTTTAATCTGAGAAATGTTGGAGGGTACTGTATGTTGGATACAACCCCATTCTGCGCTGCATGAGATTCAGAATTTGGGTTCCTTCGGTACAACACTTTGAAACCACACACAGAGTCCCAGCTATTGTCCTAATTCCACAAATATTCAGTAAACAAAGGGCTGAAAACTTTATTAGAACCCAGGCAGGGCTTCTCCTGAATCCTGAAGGGATGCAAGTCGCTATCAGTCAGAGTAAAAAAGTAAAACTGAAAGTGCTTTTCCCGTAAGAGGCTCCTTTCTAGAGTCCTATACTCAGTAAGGGAACATCAGCAAATTTCGTCCACAAAGGATGCTACCTGCACTATTAAAGCTAATCTCCTGTGTAGTGACCATAGTCCACTCTGCTAACCTGATGCCTTCCAGATGTTTTTGACTACAACTCCCATCATCATTTGTGTCCAATTCTAACCTTACTCAGGAGTCCTACTCTAGTCCTACTGAGAGCCAGAGTGGAGCAGTGGTTAGAGTGTCCGACTAGGACCTGGGAGACCAGGATTCAAATCCCCACTTGGCCATGACGCTCACTGGGTGACCCTGGGCCAGTCAATGCCTCTCTTAGGCTAACCTACCTCACAGGGTTGCTGCGGGGATTAAATGAGGATGTCGTCTTGAGCTCCTCAGAAAAAAGTGGGCTATAAATGCATAAATAAGAGCAGGCCCACTGAAATTAATGTACATAACTAATTTAGGTCTACTCTACTAGGACTATCATTGGCTACTAAGTCCTGAAGAGCTACGCTGCACAGCTTCGGCTGCAAGGTCCCAAAAAGGAAAGAGAAACTAACCTTTCACAGGTTAGTCAGAGGCCACAGAGACAGGCACACACCAATGCAAACATCATGACAGGGTCAAAGTATTTTACTCCCAAGCAGTGGTGTAGCATAGGAGAGGACCACAGGGGCGACTGCCCAGGGTGCAAAATTCTGAAGGTGTGCAACCAGGTTCCCCCACGACAAGGTCTCTCATCAATGTTGAGTGGCTGAGCTCCTGCCGCTTTCCAGAGCTGGGGGGAGGCAAGCCAGGCCTTTGGGGCTGGGTCAGAGCCTCCTTCTCCTCCTGGCCAGCGAAGGAACGCCTGCATGCACCATGTCCCTGGGCTGGTCGTAGGCAAGGTTAGGCTGGCTCCCCCTTGCGCACTGCACGATGCATTGCAGGGGGTTGGAGTAGATGACCCTGGGGTTCCCCTTCCAACTCCATGATCCTATGATGTGCTGGGCCCGCAGGGAAGGAAGGAGGGCATGTGTTCAGTGGACACACCAGAATCCACAACCAGAGCCAGAGCACAGGCAGAACCGGTCTGGCAAGTGTCTATTAAAAGCAGAGCAGACCTGTCAAAAAAGCGCATCCTCTGTGTATAAATCAGGGAAGATCTGTGACAATGGATTCATTGGGCCAGGAGAATCAGCTAACAGGTATTGACAGGTACCTTGAGTCACAGGAGACAAGTCATGCTCTCAAATTTATGTTCGTGATGCTTGAGTGGTCTTTGGCTATGGGGATGGGCAATTTCTAAAGTCTGTAAAAGTTGTCACACACCTTTGTTCTGGGTCCGTCACTCCCTTGCAAGGTGGGTGGGGGACTCTCATTACAACAGAACATAAAGATTTTCCTTGATTTCCTCAACTGCTTCCTGCCTATACTCATTCTTCTCGTACTTAAGGGATACTGGATCTCTCGATGGGGAGTTGGGCTGCGAAAGTCAAGCCCTCATTTTTTTGTATAACACGGGGGTGGCTTCCCACATTTCAAAGGTCATAAACTTTATCATTGGAAAAAGATGGGAGGAAGGGGTTGCTCTAAGCACCATTAAGTCCAGAACCCAAAATCACCAAACTACACCACTGTTCTCTCCACAATCAGCCAAAGCAACAGATCACTTCTGCGCCACACTTTGTTACCTTAAAATAACGATCCAGCCCCCCACCCTTGCTAACACAGCTCACTTACCACATCAAATTCTGGCACCTTGCTGTGCATCGCCATGATCACCAGGACTGCCGCTTCCTCCTTGTCACCAGGGTAGGAGCTTTGCAAAAAACCTCAGGAGCAAAGGGCTGGAAAGTTGACTACAGCTAAAGCAGGAAGGATCCTGACTGCTGCCCGGGACTTAACAAACAGCTGGGAACAAGCAGGGACAGGAAACTCTGCCACTAGCGGAAAAACAGCAGACTCTGCCACGTCAAAATAACTGTACAGTCCAGTAAGGGACTATCTCCAAATTCCTAATTGCTCACGGCAGATATTACCCATGATGATGACAGAATCCTTTTTTGAAAAGGAAAAGGAAAAGTCAGCTGTGCCAGGCAGGGCAGGGCTGAGAAGCAGACAACAAACAGGACCCGCTCAACAGAAGGAGCAGGAGGAGCCTCAGGGGAGATTAAGCAGGCGTCTTTCCTGTTAACCTTTACACTTCTGCTGAAAACTTTCATCCACTGAAACTTAAGACGATATTACCAGTCTTACACTCAGCCAGTCCTACCTGAAAGAGTTGCTACAAGAATAAAAGTGAAGGAAGATCAATATATATGCCCTCCTGAGCTCCTTGGAGGAAAACCAGAAATCAAATAAATGTTTAAAATAAACCTATTCAGCGCCAGCTCCTTGTTTGAGGGGACTCTGGGCAAAGTGCCATCTTCTGGGAGGTCCTATTACATTGACAGGCCTCTTCAGGTCTGCCTGGGAATAATGGCGGCAGCGCTAATCCATCTTTATTTCCTACAATGCCCTGGGGTGCTCAGCGTAGTGTCACTCTTGGGTACAAAAAGGGGAGCTCACGGTGCTGTGAAATAAGTAAGCTCAGTGTGCCTTACCAGATTGGGAGACGGCGGCCTGGAAAATTTATGGTTGCTCCTCTTGACATCCATGTTTCCATGTGCAACAGCTAAGGCAGTCCCTGTGAAATCAAATCCGACAAGTTACTTTCTAATGCTCCTGATCTGCTTTTTGGAGCAGATAGATTCACTTTGATTTCTAAGTAGGCCCTCAAACCTACCTAAGGTTTGGTAGGTTTCTTAAAGGGCAGGGTATATAGGGTTTCCATTGCTGCAGTTGTGGCACTGGATTCCCTGAGGTTTAATGGGGAGAGGGGATTTTTAGCTTCAACCATGGGAGGGATTATGGTGCTGGAGGAGACTCTTGAGAGTCCCATGGATTGCAAGAAGATCAAACCTATCCATTCTTAAGGAAATCAGCCCTGAGTGCTCACTGGAAGGACAGATCCTGAAGCTGAGACTCCAATACTTTGGCCACCTCATGAGAAGAGAAGACTCACTGGAAAAGACCCTGATGCTGGGAAAGATGGAGGGCACAAGGAGAAGGGGACGACAGAGGACAAGATGGTTGGATAGTGTTCTCGAAGCTACCAGCATGAGTCTGACCAAACTGCGGGAGGCAGTGGAAGACAGGAGTACCGGCGTGCTCTGGTCCATGGGGTCACGAAGAGTCGGACACGACTAAATGACTAAACAACAACATGGGAGGGATTCTCATTTTTTCGTTTACTTCTCAGTAAACATGTGCCCTGGTAGGACTGTGGCAATTCTGCAGCCTGATCTTTTGTATTCTTTTTTGGGAGCAAGTTTCCCAAGGCTGAACTATGGGCGGGGCTTTACTCTCAAGTCAGTATGCATAGAATTTCAACTTTAATATTTCAGTGTTTATTTAGAATGAAAATAACTTTTATTTAGTTGCTTTTAAAAAAAAAGAATTGTAAAATGGAAAACTAAAAGAAGGGGACTTTTTAATGAAAAAAAACCTACAGCTATACGCTACTTCAGTGTGGGAGAATCGGAGCATTTTCTTCAAACTTCAAAGGTGCGACAAGGAACAGTCGCTGCCAATGTTAGGTTCTGAGAGCGATGAATCTTTCCCAGAAATCCTGTTCAGTTTTCTTTCTTTTTTTATTTCAGACAAGTTGACATCAGGAGGGAGCAGGAGCAGAGAGGTGTGAATTAAAGTGTGAGGGAAGGCAGCACAAGGTGGAAGAAAGCAAGCAGAGTCAAAAAGGGAAAATGAAAGCGAGACGGAAAGGCAATAGCAGCAGGTGAAAAGAAGCAGGAGGTTAGAAAAAGAGTGGAAATGTTTGAGAAGGTAAAGAGAATGTGCCGGAAGAAGGGGCGGCAGGGAAGAGGCAACAGGTAGACAGACAGCTGGTGACAGAAAGGATTGTGAAAGCAGGTGACACACATGGAAGTGACAGCAGATGAATGGCTGAGGAGGCAAAAAGAAGGCAGAAGATGAGAGAGGAACACAAAGGCAAAATAGAGTGGGGGACAAAAAGTGCAGGAAGGCAGGGAAAGAAAAAGGCAGCAGCAGCAGGTGATAGAGAAAGAAAGGAAATGATAGGATTTTTGGGGGGGTAACAAAATGCATTCACAAATAGGAATGATGACTTGCTGTCTTGCACAACCACAAGCTTCACTGAGGAGAAAACCACTGGAAATCAAAGCGAGGACATAACTATGAACAGGGTTCAAATGTTTAACCAACAATACATGAAATACTGGTTCACTTGTATGGGGGGACAGGACGGACAGTATGCCAACACCTCAGTGTGTGATATGCGGTGAACAGTGAAAATGTAAAAGTCCCAGGTTCCTGTGTTGAAAATCCAACATGGGTCTGGACGGACTGAAGATGACTGCTCTAGAAAGGTTTCGTTTACCTTCGTTCTGACTTGTAGCATTTTAAAGCCTGCTTCGCAGCTGGGCTTGATTGCTAGAGCTACCTGTTTCATAAGCACTTGCTCCCTGTGTCATTGCTAACTATGATCCAGACAGGTTGGTGTTGGGCCGCCCTACCTTTGAAGAAGGAGGTCTGGCGAGGCGGCTTTTTGCTTCTTCTCGACCCTATAACTCCTGTCCTGAATGTGCCAGGGGGGCCCCTGGTGGGCACCCCCACTTGGTCTCCTTTGGCTTGCATATGGGGTGCATGAAGTAGGCCCCCTGGCTTTGCCACCAGGCTTTTAGACATTCTTGCCAGTTGCTTATCGTAAGAACAAGGAGGTTGGGGGACACAACCCCCAAAGCCTTTGGGGATGGTCCCCCAGGGACGGTTGGCTTTCCCCATCGCATTATTTTCCGGACGTATCACTCGGCCCCTCTCTGATTCATCCCCACAGCACACTCTCTTCCATACTAGGTTCAGACCCCTCCGAGTGGAGGCAGCAGTTTCCTTATTCAGTGGGTATTCTTTCCGACTCAGCACTGAAGGTTCCTTCAGGACTTTTGTCATTCTCTCAGGTCCCACTTTCGCTGAATTTTGGGTTGGAGGTGTCAGCAGAAGCATGCTGTTCTCACGGAGCAGAGGCTGGAGTGGGGCTGAGGTCATGGCTTCTGCGGTGCCCCCTTCTCGAGCCATCAGGGTCTTTGGCTTCTGGGTGGCCTTGTGGCAAGGGCCCCTGTCACAGATCCTCAAAAAAATTTCAGACATGTCACTGGTCTGATTGGTATTTTTTTCCAGCACAGCTGGAGGTGCCCATTGAGGGCCTGAAGAATTATGACAGCCTGGTAACCACCGGCAACGGGCCTAGTAGTAGCAATAGTGACTCCATTTTGCCAGGGGCTCCTGATTGGACTGTTGTTGTTGTTGTTGTTTAACTTTTATTGAAAAATGCAATACTTACAAACACAAACCAGAACACTAAACAAACTTATTATGCACACACCTCTCAACTTAGATTACAAAAAAAGAAAACATACATACAAACTAAACATACAGACATAAATTTTGACTTCCCTCCACCTATATGTGGCTTCCTTTGTTTCTTTTCTTCTTTTTGCTGTGTTATCAATATTATACCCATCTTATACCCATTTCTTCTTAATATTTTACTCTATAAGTTTCATTCATTGCATATTGATATATTAATACCAGAACAATGTTTTTTGATGTATTCCTTCACGCAAGTCCACTCCTCTATCAGTTTTTGGTCTGATTGGCCTCTTACCACTGCTGTAAGTCTTGCTGATTCTATATATTCACAAAATCTTATTTGCCATTCTCTTATTGAGGGAATTTTTTTCCCCTTCCAATTTTTTGCTATAATCATCCTGGCCGCAGCGGTTGCATATAAGAAAACTTTTTTCCTAGCTGCAGGAATGTCAGTCGATATAATTCCCAAGAGGTACGCCTCTGGTTTCTTTTTACATTATATTTTAAGCATTTTTTTAAAGTTCCTCTTGAATGTCACTCCAAAATTGTTTAATATACACACACTCCCACCACATATGATACATGGTTCCTATCTCTGTTTTGCATCTCCAGCACAAATTAGATTTTGATTTATAAATTTTTGCCAATTTGACCCAGGTTAAGTACCATTGATATATCATTTTCATTATATTTTCTCTGATTGTGACGCAGGCTGTGAATTTGATATCATATTTCCATAATTTCTCCCATTGGTCTAATTGAATTGTGTGGCATATATCTCTGATTGGACTGTTGTTGGCACCCGTCTGTCTCTAGGGACAATGGAGTGTGCCTCCGGGGATGAAGTCAAACCGCTGTGTTAGCAGTGCTTAAGTGACTTCCCCAGGGGAGCAAACCTGGGCAGTGTGTAGTGGGGTCATGGGCTGTGCAGATGATGACACACACACACCCCTCGGCTTCACTGATGTGGTCCAAAGGAAAGCAGAACAATACATCTGGCACCAGCTGGGCTGCAGGAGTTGTTGGAAGGAAGCATGCAAGGTGCTATCCAACCATCTTAGAGACTCTAGTCTGAATATGTGTAGGGTTTACTCCTTAGCCCTTTCTCTTCCCAAATATATCCCGCAGGGCAGAGGAGGTTTGGGATCAGAGTCTTCCTTCTCCAAATGGGCTACATTCCCAAGTTGATGAGTCCCATCTGCTCCTCACTTCCCTCTAAAGCCGTGGTTCCCAAAGTCGGGCACACGCCCCACAGGGGGGCAATTTGATTTTTAAGGATGGCAATTCGAGAATGAGTTATTAACAGTGAATGGCCTTTTAGGCTTCCTCCATGTGAATACGAGTTCACTTGAATAATAAGAACTATATGTCATGGGGTGGGGGGGAGGCATCAGAATTTTAGAGATGCTTAGGTGTGGCATGGCCAAAAAAAGTTTGGGAACCACTGCTCTCAAGAATGCGCAGAAATTACCTTCTTGGTCATTAGACCCACTATCAATCTAATCTGCTCAATCCACCAGAGTCTGTATTCGCCTGCAGGGGAAGTCCCTGACTCACGGAGGGTTTGAGTCCCATCAGCTGCCGTCACCTGGTTTAGCCGGCTAGTCGAAGCCATTTCCCGGTGGTGTGGCCGCTGTCGCATGGTGACAGCTTCAGGGAGCCACAGGTGAGAGATGAGTTCAGGATAAGGACCAAAGGTGGACAAACTACCCTAGAAGGAGTAAGATGTGTCTCCCGCCAGAGGTACTGTCATACCTCATGTTACGTTTGCTTCAGGTTGAGCGTTTTCAGGTTGCGTCCCATGGCGACCCGGAAGTAACAGAACAGGTTACTTCTGGGTTTCGTCGCTCACGCATGCGCAGACACACAAAATGACATCACGCGCATGCGCAGAAGCGGCAAATCGTGACATTTCGTATTCTGTTTTGTAATATATGTTTGAAGTGAAGAGGACACAGCATTAATTTTGGGAGGGCCACATATTTATCTTTGCAGTTCCTGAACCACAAATTTACCTTGAAGATATCACCATTGTCTGTGTGAAACCTCATTCCTGCTTGCACATGATATATTTCTGGCAAAGGATTAGTGCTCTGATCTTTTATGCAGCTATCAGGGTCAGGACGCTAAGCGTTCTTTCCAGGTCACATTTGAGATTGTAGCTTTATGAGGCTTTGCCCTCGGGTGGGAAAAATATTGCGCCCGGGAAAGGGAAGCGGGTGTCAACAGACACTCAAGAAATAGTTTCGGAGAAAAAGCTTTTATTTCTACCATCCATGAACTGGTAGAAGGAGCAAGTGTGATAAGTCACAAAAAGCATGCATGAAGTTCACAGTCATGTGCACAAGCATATATACCCATTTCCAGTTCCCTCCCCCTTTCTCCTCCCTCAGGAGTCCTGCCCATGAGTTCCTCTGAGCATGAACAGAAAGCTGTCTTGGGACTAATGGGACTCTTGGCACCCTTCCCAGGAAAGGGGGTGGGGTGGTTCAGCCTGTCCAAAGATGTCCAAGAAGTTGCAACTAGAATGAGATAAGATTCATTTCTCAGGCCTGCTATGAACAGAGCCTATTCATTAGCCTTTAAAGGTAACATTTTGCCTTTTGCCACAGCATCTTGTGAGAAAAGCAGAGAAGAGCAGAGAAAAGCTGTTTTGGATTTTTAGAAGACAAAAGGAGTTTTGGACAGTTTTGAGGCCTGGGGTGATTATTGAAGCCTGGGGTGATTTCACAGACAGGATTTGGGTATCTTGACCCTTCAAGATAAGCTGTTGTACCAGGATCAAAGGTGGTTCATGAGGAGTACATACGAAACTCATGCCATGAGCCACAGAAATAAGACATGTACAAAGTTCAGACTAGCACCCATCTTTACAAGCCAGAGGTGAAAGTGAGCAGAGCAGTGAATGTAAATGCTACCTTTGTGCAGTAACCTAATTTCTACACACCCTCACTATCTGCCGTCCAGGCAAGCAAGAGGCATAATCAGTGTTTGAGGAAACATTACAGCCACGTGGAAATATACAAGGCAGGCACAGAGCAGCAGCTGAGAGCAAGTCTTTGCCCTGCCCTATCCACCAGCTTCTCAGGTAGTATGTGTGTACATACATCAGCTGAGCCAATCACACCACTCTCCTTGTCAAAGATGTGCCCAATGCTCACATGCATCTCACATAGCTAGCTAGCTCACTCCCCAGCCCATCACGTTACTTAAAGGGAAAGTGTTTTCACATAAAATCATGAATCTGAGCCATAATCCTTCCTTTGCAAGGGGGTTGGGCTAGATGACCCCTGTGGTCCCTTTCAACTCTAATATTCTATGATTCTATAAAGTGAAAATGGAGAATCATAGAGCTGAAATAGGGAAGGGCCCTGGTGCAGGAGTAGAGCCTTGCATGCAGAAGGTCCCACATTCAACCTCCAAATTATCCAAGCAGGGCTAGAAATGTTCCCCAGCTAAAATCCTGGAAAGCTGCTGCAGGTCAGTATAATGACTGGACTGAGCTGGATAGCCCAATGCCTGACTCTACATAAGGCAGCTTTCCTATGTTCCTAAATTATAAGAGGGATGCAATCCACACTTTGCAATCCTCTCTGTAACATATATGGTTATTTCACTGTCTAGGACACACCAAAAACACTTATCCTACTACCACCCTGCAGAAATGCGCTTTCCCATTTCTGTCCTCTACCACCTCACTTAAAAAAAAAATGGTGCTGAAACTTGGAACAGCAAATAAAGGAGAAAGGAACTTCATGAGCATGTCAAGAGTGCTACTGTCTTGAGGCAGACTAAGGCAACAGTCCAGGTTTTTTTGCAGCACAAAGCATCCAAATCGACAGCCCTTCCTTATATATAACAATGCATAATCCAGAAGACAGTGGAGATCTTAATTGTGTGACTTCCCCAATAAGTAGAAAGGCAGGTCCTCAAAAAATAAGCACGTACTTTGCACGCAGCATCGATCCCCGACATCTCCAGAGATGGGAAAGACTAGTCTAGGTAGGAAGTCCCCGGGTAGCTACTACTACCAGTCTAAATTAGCTAAACTGAGCTAAATCAGAGAGAGGGGAGATACGGCCCACCAGGCCGTGCTGGACTACAATTCCCACCCTCTCTGACCATTGGTCATGCTGGCTGGGGCTGATGGGAGTTGGAGTCCAACAGCCCCTCGACGGCTACAGAGTTCTCCAATCCTCAACTAGAGAGGATCGGTGGTCAGATTCTAGAAAGAGAGACGCAAAACTAACCTTTAGCCGGGTGGCAGTCCTGCAACAGCTGAGAATGTCCTGGGCGGAGAGAAGAGCAGAACCAGGAAGGCTGCAAATAACAAACAGTGACGTCATGCTAGCTCTGTCTCCTCCTTCTGTCATCTGGGGAAGAGCAAAAGGGGAGGGGGAAGCGGGGGATTAAGGCCTGGGGTTGCCGCCCCCTGCTGGAGGAAAGTTTGTCTGCATCATGTTAATTTCGTGGCTTAATTCAAGTTTAAAGGAGCCTCTCTCAACCTTGGGTTCCCAGGTTTTGGACTACCACCCCCATCATCCCTGATTGCTGCCTCAGCTGGCTATGGATGATGGGAGTGGTAGTCCAATGGCACATGGGAACCCAAGTAGGGTTGCCGTATTTCAAGGAGTGAAGATCTGGACACAAAAGTTGGTGGTTGTTGAGCTATTCTTAAAGAAAACCGGCCCCAGCAACAGTGCCAACACTGCCTGTCATACGTCCGGATTTTTGCGGACACCAACCGGTTGCAAGGGGTTTTGTCCGGGAAATACCGGGTGTATGGCAACCCTAAGGTTGAGGAATCATAGACTCAAAGTTGGAAGGGACCCTGAGGATCATTCTAGTCCAGCCCTCTGCAATGCAGCTGTCCCTTACAGGGATCAAACCTGAAACCTTGACATTATCAGCACTACACTAACCAACTGAGAGGAAGGCTGTATTTTGCAGGAGGGATTTGCGTGCGTATACTTGAAATATAGGTTTGCACATTTATTTACTATTTATTAGTTATTTATAACTATTTATTAGTTATTTACTGCTGTATCATTCACAGCAATAAAACCATAAAACTGCACAACAAAACCATAAAAAGTGTGCGTGGGAGGGTTAATGGCATCAATTAACCATTGCGGAATGATGTGTTCTTAATTGCCTGCATAGGCCTGGTGGAATAAGAAAAGTTGTGTCGCCCTACCACAACAAATCCATTAAAAAAAAAAGACTTTTGTGGTTTGGAAAGTGACAAGGAAATGAACTGAGAAGTATTGTATGAACGAGATAATGGGAGATAATGGGAGACATGTAAACAGCCTCAAGCAAATCAGGATGAATGCACATTGCAGTATAACAGCCCCATAAACAAATCAGAATGAATGCCCAATGAAGATCATCCACAGCGCCCTGCAGACCTCCTTGTTAATGTGTATTCACCATGGTTTATGCTCATGGTGGTATCAGGGCACTTCCAGATGGCAGTAATGCAGTAACACTGCGGAAACATCACAAACAACTAATAAAGCAAAATGATGCATGGACAATCCGGCATAAATCCTGCCAGTGACGCACTATTATTGCACCAATGAAATGTTGCAGGACACACCTGCAGAATAAACCACCAGCCTGGAAGGGTCCTTTGTCTAACTACCACGAGACGTTTGCATGAGCAAATCAGGACAAAGGCTGGCGAAGATCCTAAGGCTCTTTGCCACTCCAGAAAGTAAGTGCTCCCCTTTGGGTGTGAACAGTGGTGTACTGGAGCAGTGATGAAGCATTGGAGGACCTTGGCCCCCTGTAAAAGGTAAAGGGACCCCTGACCATTAGGTCCAGTCGTGGATGACTCTGGGGTTGCGGCACCCATCTTGCTTTATTGGCCGAGGGAGCCGGCGTACAGCTTCCGGGTCATGTGGCCAGCATGACTAAGCCGCTTCTGGTGAACCAGAGCAGCGCACAGAAACACTGTTTACCTTCCTGCCGGAACAGTACCTATTTATCTACTTGCACTTTGGCATGCTTTTGAACTCCTACGTGGGCAGGAGCAGGGACTGAGCAACGGGAGCTCACCCCGTCGCAGGGATTCGAACCGCCGACCTTCTGATCAGCAAGTCCTAGGCTCTGTGGTTTAACCCACAGTGCCACCCTGTACAACACCCAAATTTGGCACCCCTCCGCCTCTTGTGTCCCATTCTAAATGATAGCTGCAGCATCCCCAGCAATGCACCCGAGGCTCTGCACCCAGTGCAACCAAACCAGTCACTCTCCCCTAAATCCAGCTCTTGATGAAGCCTTGTTGCTTCATTGTGCAAGGGCAATGATGTTCTCACCTGGGGCACTATTTGCCTTTCTTCTGCGTGACACTTGGATCTTGGCAGCTGCCTTGGCTTCATATGCTTGAACTATGTTATTGAGCTGCAACTCCCATCAACCCTAGCAAGCAAAGAATAATAAAGGCCCCACTTTTGTGGACGATGCTGCTGTTTTGGCTACGTAAGTTGTGGCACAGAGAGAACTGAACAGGAATTAAAATGCAAAATGATGTGTTACTCCTGGAGCCCAGCGCAGAGTACCCGATTTGCATGCAGAAGGTCCCAGGTTCAGTTCCTAAGAGGATGAGGCCACAAGTGATAGAAGAGGCCATTCTCTGTTGAAGTCAAAGTCAGACAATCCTGGGAAGGCTGGGCAAACGGCCTCACCCGACACAACGCAGCTGCCAATGTATTTATATGTATATTTAAAGAGGGCCTCTGGAAGGACACACACTGCAAACTGGGTGTAGAAAAAAGAGCAAACCCAGATTTGGGAATTCTTGATGTTGCAGAGTTGCTGTAGCTTAGCAAGTGTGAATCTGGTTCGAACCATGAATGATCAGTGGGAGGGTATATTGTGGCCCATGCAAGAGTAGGTAGACTGCATGCTTCTGGAGATAGAAATCATGGGCATGTTTCCTGGGTGACTATGCAGACTGACCAGAGAATGTGCATATTGCCCAGAGAATGTTCAAAATGCACTCAAGATGTGCACATTCCCCAAGGTTTGATGGAGATTATGCACAATTCCCTCCCCACGGACAGATTATGTACACTGTCTATGAGGCCTTGTGCATAATGGCCAGTTGTTATGCACATCATCCATTCAACTCACAGTGTGTGTGTGTGTGTGTGTGTGTGTGTGTGTGTACACATGGGGAGGGAGGAACAAACACAAATCAAAACAACACAGTTTCAGTATCTTGGTCTTTATTTTTGCAGTTGCAAAGTGGAATGCAATTCTTTTTTGCGCTTTATAAATATGATTTGGCATCTACATTCCCTCCCCCACAGCGTTGGTCCCCGGCTGAAAGTTCTAATACAATGACTAACAAGCTCACAGAGGGAGTTCTTAAGACGAGGAGGCAAGGAAATGCTCTCAACAAGAGAAAGGAATGATCACGCAACCTGGCTGTATGAGCACATAACATGGGCAGTTATCAACAGAATTATTTCTTGGGGCAGGGGAGCAGCAGGTCCCCGATTTGAACACTCCCCTCCCTTCTGTGTAGAACCTGTGTGTTCCAAAGGGAGCCGAAAAGAGCTTCTTCCTTTCCGAACCAATCTGAGCTGCAAGCCAATTTCAACTGGTACGCGGCAACACAGAGAGGGGCACCCCCTTGCTATACGATACATCCAATACAGAGGGGGAAAGAGTGTGAAAGGAGGGAGATTTAAATGCAGGCTAACACTACTCATGGCCTGGTTGCAGAAAGCGGATAACAGGAGTTGCCCCGTCTTGTTCTGTGCTGCTGGTGTAACCCTTCAAAAAGACACAGGTGCAAACAGGTTGCCCACACCCCATTTCTTCAAACCGTTACAGCAATGAGGCCAAGAACGACTCACGCATCCCTTCCCCGCAACCAGGTTATCGTGCAAATGTGCCCCTATACGCAAGTGAGAAAGAGTTAAGTTACCCGCCGACGAGCAATAGAACAAGTGGAATGTTACAGCCACCTGGAGCTCTAGCTAAAGTCGCCCAGATGACTTCACTGCCATCACAGCCTTGGAAAAATGTTTCAACTCCCGCCCCATGTGTGCACGCATACACACGCTGTAAACCGTTAACACGAAACATGTGCCGTTGGGAAAGGGGCACCGTGAAAAGCTGTCCCACAGGTGTGGGGGAACCCTTGTTGCTGAACTACAGCTCCCATCAGCCCCTGCAAGCACGGTCAATAGCCAGGGATGATGGGAGCGCCAAAGTTCCCTCACACCTGGTTCACCAAAAACACAAGCAAGCTATGGAATGGAAAGGTCAGTGGGACCACGCAAGGGAGGCCACCCCAACAAGCAGAGCAGAAATGAATATTAAGCCGTGTGGTGCCAGTTTCTCCCTCCGCAATGCAGTGGGCCTAGAAGCTGTCAGTGTCTTGTGCTTTTTGATCAGGATATTATTCCAGCTGCAAAGGGGAAAGGGGACAGCAAAGCAGCAAAAGGCAAGGCCGAAAAGGGAGCCTCCACCCCTGGCCTTATAAAGCTATTAAAACCTGCGCGGAAAGGAGGAAACCAGGAATGTGAGAAGAGGCAGGAGTAATTAAGAGCCTTGAGCAGAATAATAATGATTTTTTTGGTGTGGCACAAGAATAAGGGAGAGACGTTGGAACCGAAACAAGAACCAGACCCTCTGCCCAGACATTTCTGGCATCCAAGCAGACTTGAACTTTCTAACGGTCACACGGTGGGGCAGGCGTTGTTTGTGGGGAGAGAAGGCTAGTGGGGTTAAGGGCTTTGTTTTGAGCATTATGCAGAATGGGAGTCTGCTTCCTCTTCCCCCCACCCACCCTCAAATAAGACTTTAAGACTGTGAGCTCACTTGGCCAATCCTCCTTTCCCTAGTCCAGGCGATGGATCTCCTAGGCCTGCTCCCAGCCTTCTTGGAATAAATTTCACCTGACTCACAGGTCAATATCCAGAGCAGACTTGCACAATCTGTGCCCAACCAAGCCTGACCCAGCCCACAGACTGGAGATTGCATCTTGACACACACACTTTTTTTTCCGAAGTGCCAAACAGGCAACCTGCCCCCCGACCCCATAAGAGGCTGTCACACATGGCTGTTTGGCTTGATGGGTCGCAGGTTGCTGATCTAGGCACATTCCCAGATCGCTGCCGAGAGCAAGTGCAGCCAACAGGGTACAGATATCACAGAAGTACAACCAGCATCAGCCCAAGGCAGCAAGAAAAATGGACAGGGATTATGGGAGTTGTAGTCCATCAACATCTGGCAGGCACCATTGGTGGCTATCCCCAGCTTCTACGGTACACAGAGAGTTGCAGCCTACTACTCCCACTCAAGAGTAGACCTACTGAAATAAATGAGTTAGTCATGTCTTGCGGGTCTATCCTGAGTAGGACTAGCATTGGATGCAACCCTCTGAACGGAGGATTCAGCATTGCCATGGGTATTCGGCTGCGCACACAGCTGATTTGTTCCCACAGAGACGCCTGCCTGGAGCCTGGCATAGGGACACACTCGGTCCCCCAGCCCTCACAACGCATCACGGCTGCACGAGAGCGAAAGCAGGATCGGAATTGGGGGCAAAAGGACAGAGATCACAGTCTCAGCGCCTGCAGGATGCTAAATAAATCAGTTCTTCCCTGAAAGAAGCCTACCAATACTGTTTTCTAAGGCAACAGCAGGACTAAGGGAGGGGTCCCTTCGCTGCCACAGGCACAAGGGTGCTTGTTCAGCGTCACAAAGGCACAAGTTGCTTCGGATTGGCCCTGGCACAGGCCACAAAATCCGCATCTTCCACTTTGGGGCAAAGGATGCCCAAAGGAGAAGCCCCGCCAGCAAGATGGCTGCAATGAGCTGAAGCACTGGAGGTTTCGCTGCCGGTAGTGGTGCAGCTGGTTCTTTAGGGAAGGGAGATAACCGCTGCCTCCCATCCCCAAGAAGAATATGCAGAAAGAGATAAGAAGGGGGTAGTGGAAGGAACAAGATCAGCACCTGACGTTTGGGGGGGTGTCCCCCCCCCAAAGCTCCCAGGCAAGGCACGAACTGGTACAGAACGTTAAAGCTGATTTTTCTTTTAAAGTGCACAAAAATTAAAAGGGAGGGGAGCAAGGGAAGCAGTTCCTTTTTTAAAAAAGAAAGAAATATTAAATGTGAAGGGAGCAAATAATATCCGGAACCAGAGGCTGAGTTGCTCTCTAGAAGCCCTGCAAGCGATTCCCGGGTTTGCAGGCTGCAGCGAGACGGTCGCTTTGGCCACGAGTTTGTAGCTTTCTCTTTCCTGCTAAGACCTCACTTGCTTTTCTTATCCTCAGGTCTCGGCCTAGACGACGGAGGCCTGGAGGACGACGACGAGCTGCTTGTTTCCGCAACCTGAGTGGAACTGTTTGTACGGTTGGTGGCCTGGGGAGAGGGGAGAATGGTTAGGTCATACGATCACGGGGTCCAACCCCCTTCAATGCAGGAATAACATTCAAAACATTGAATCGTCAAAAGACGTAACAGGTGGCATTCAGTCACACAAATGCCTTCTGAGGAACTGAGATTCCTGCTCCTCCCTCCCCCATTTTTTTCTTTTCATATTTATTTGAGGCCAGGTGCTGCAAAAAACAGAATTGAGAGCAAGATCCCACTTTTGAACAGATCTCCTCTTCCCCACCTCCCATCAGACGGCAAAGAAATGAACTATTCAACTTTTAGAAGACACCTGAAGGCAGCCCCATATGGGGAAGTTTTTAATATTTGATGCTTTATTGTGTTTTTAATATTTTGTTGAGAGCTGCCCAGAGTGGCTGCGGCAACCCAGTCCGATGGGCGGCATATAAATAATATTATTCTGTTAGTAACATAAGAACAGTCCTGCTGCATCAGGCCACTGCCCTATCCAGTCCACCATCCTGTTCGCACAGTGGCCATCCAGATACCTCTGGGAAGTTCACAAGCAGGAGACAGATCTAACATTCCTCTCCCTGCCTATGTTTTCCACCAACTGGGATCCAGAACAGTGGCGTAATGTGGGTTGTTGGCGCCCAGAAAGCGAAAGGTGGCCGCACAAGCCCAAGCCCTCATCGCCGACTGAGCTGCAGCGGTCTGAGCCTGCTATGAGTGAGGCAAAGCGAGGGGAGGGAGAAAGAGACTTGAATCCACCTCGTGAGGAGGAGAGACCTGAGGGCTGTGGCATCCTGTTCGCAAAGGAGGAGGCAGCTGCCAGAGCCTCTTGCCTCAGTAGGTAGCAGTGGCAGCACCCTTCCCCCTTCCTCGCCCTCAGCCAGCCTAGGGTTGGGGCACGCAAGGGCCTCCCTTTACCAGCCGCAAGGAGGAGGTGCCACTGCCCCAGCCCCAAAGGCCCGGCCTCAGTGAATGAGGGAGCCTGTCATGGGGGGGTGCCTGGTTGCACCCCCTCACACCCTTTCCAAAATCTGCGCCCGGGACCACGACCCCCCAGCCCTCCCCAGGCTACGCCCCTGATCCAGAGACATATTGCCTCTGCCATCGCACCGTTTCATTACGGTGGGTGTTTCTGTTGGTCCCTGCATGCCATGCGATACAGAATACTACATATGGAAGCGCAGGTCCATGTGGGGCTATTTCCTAGGGCTTCCACAGTTAATCCACCTGGTGCTTTGTAGGCCGCCACTCACCCTTTCCAGCAGGAACTCGGCCGTAGTGTCGATGATGACGCCCAGCTCGCGGTACTGGCCTGAGTAGCGGATGTAGCCCCAGGCCAGGAGGCAGAGGAGGAGGATCCCTACGAGAAAGGTGCAGAGCTGGGCAACAAAGCCGAGGCCGATGTAGTTTGAGAAGTTGGAGCCCATGTAGAGGGAGATGATGAGGCTGAAGATGGCGGCAGGCGTCCGGAACGTGTTGAAGATGTTCTTGCTCTGGTTGTGCTTGCAGAGGTCCTCATAGATGCTGTTCATCTCCCTCACCAGCTCCTCCTCATAGCGCTGGCTGAACTCCTTGCCCCCCATCTTTTTGATGGTCTGGAAGTGCTTCAAGGCCATGGCGCTCTGCACGCGGTGCTTCTCCTCCAGGAGATCCGGCGCGACGTATGGCTTGTCGCCGCCACACAGCTGGGGGGCAGGACAGGGGATACAGGTGTTAACACTGCCAACCTTCCAAAGCAGGCTAAGAACAATGCTGGCTAGTGCTCACACTGGGTGGAAGGCAAGGAGCCTGACAGTAGGTGGCGCCAGAGCCAACGGCGGCCAGCACCAACTCACTCTAGCATCTCGCCATCCTATTTGCTGCTGAATTCTGCAAGGGCATCGCTGAACTAAGGAGGAGAAAACTTAACAGAAACTGCCACATCCTGGCATTGGCTGAGGGTGGACTAAAATAGATGGGGCAGTGCCCTATTCACCCTAATAGACCAACCTCCACTGGCTATAAGCATCCTTTTTAACTCAGTCCTAGGAAGCTGCCCCATCAGAGGTCAGACTATAGCTTGGAACTGGTGAGATAAGGGAGTTCCATTTGTAGAGAGAGTGTCATTGTGCCCTACCTTGGGGAGGAAATATCAGACGTGAATGCCACTACCTTATAACTTGATGGGCTGTCTTGGTTGTATTTCTGTTCTTTGGGCCTGTTGGTCTCAACTGTTTCAGTTGTTTCAGTTCAGAGAAGTGTTTAAAGAGGAGCTTCTCTAACTGTTCTGTGTCATCACTTTAAAATGTGAATTTCTTGCCGTTTTATTGCCCCAACCCCAACTCCGTTCTCACCTTCTCCATATTGGTGTAATACATGTCCTTGGCCGAAGCAACAGCAGCCAGGTTGTTGGCTTCGGCAGTAGCCTGAAAGCAAAGATCGTAAAATGAGCACAGGGATGTAATCAGTTCCACCGTCTGTGCCCCCCTCCACCCCCCCAACAAGGCATTTTTCCCACTTCTGCAATCTTATGCCCTCCCCACAAACTGGGGTACATGCTCAGCAAACATGCCTTTGCAATCATAAGGGCCAGAAACTCCATTGCTTCTTTTTTTTAAAAAAGGGGGTGAAAAAAAGCTGAGTTGTTTGCAGGTGAGTTCTATGTCCCAGACTGCAAACTACCCACTTGACCAAGTGCCCTGGCACCAGTGTCAGCCAGTGTTAGAAACTCAGATATGTAAGCTGGATGGCAAATGTCTCCTTAAACCAAGGTTGCAATCGCCAAAACAGAACGTTTAGTTACCATTTGAGGGCCAAACAGTTTTTAAATCGTATTTTTCAATACAACTTTTGGGTTCCTGAAATTCGTTCTGGTGGTGCAGAAAAAAATACCATGGATAGAATTCTACAGGATGTGTTGTCAGTGTGTGAAAACAGGCAAGACCCAAGGATCCCCAGGCATGTGCCTCCTACTGCCTGGGCATCTTTAAGTTGGTCGCAAGTGACTGATAGCCGGGTGCAAAACGCGTCTGACGAATTTCAAACACTGGCATCAGCAAGTGCTGTGGGACAGTCAATCTAGCACCCATCACAAACAGGGAGGTGCTTAAGACTGCAGGAGGCATGCGGCGCAGAGGGAGGCAGTGGAGAGCATGGCAGCTGAGCTCCACGCAAGACCTCTGAACAAGTTTCTCCCCTTGGCATGCTTCGTGTAGCTGCCTTCTATCCAGCTTGCCCCTCTGGATCTATCTAGCCCTGAAATAACATGGGAAACTGCCTTCTGCTGAGTGAGACTCATTGGATCCATTTAGATTGCTAATGCCTAGCAGTGGCTCTCCAGGGTTCCAAAGAGGAGGCGTTATTCCCAGCTCTACCCGGAGACGCTGGGAATCGAACCTGGGACCTTCTGCATGCTGAGCATGTGCTCTCCCAGTGAGCCAGGGCCTTAAAAAGGAAGCAATGTGCCCTTCTTCCCACAGATGCAATGGTCCACCTAGCTCAGCAGTGTCTATACTGACTGTATCTTGCTACCCCAGGCAAAGCTCACCAGCAACATGGACTTGGGATGAGGCAGGTCTTCCCCCTGGTAGATCTTGATATAAGCCTAGAGGGAGGAAAGGTCAACAGTGTTCAGCTACAGTCATTTGCCAGTAACAAGAATACCAACACCAATTAGTTAACAAACAAACAGAGATCCAAAAGAACAGACTGAATCTTGAAGCTGGAATTACAGGAGGCTGCTAAGGAGTCATGGGAGGATGTTGGAATACCCGGTGCCAGTGAAACTGCTATCAAACAGAGAAGGAGTGGTGTTTAATCTGTCTGAGTCACTTAAACAGAGGATATTTCCAAATGGAGCAGTTAATAGTGAATTCTAGCTTTGTTGCTGGGACTATGTTTTCCTAAAACCATCCTCCTTCAAATGGCCGGATCCTCTGTTTGGATGGTTAGGAATGGGTAGACAGTCTTCTGACCAAAGGCACTGAGAAAAAGAAACCTATCGGCCTTAGCGGATACATTTGCGATACAACCTCTGAAAAGTTATTATAGCTGGGACTGGCAAACTTATTTTGTTCTTTCACTGGAATGTCTAGTAACAATTCAATACAGTAACTTAAGAATAAAACAAGAGAGTCTTAGGTGGTAAAAGTACTAGTTGCCAGAAACAAGCGACACCTACAACAAAATGTCGCATTGTGGAGTGATCCTGCTCAGCGATCTAGCCAGCCATGCCCTCTCCCAGGATACTCCATTCCATTTCCCCTCTGGCTTTCTATTTCTTTCCATTAACAGGCAGTCAACATTCTATGCCCCAGGAGCATGCTCAGTCCTCACATCCAACTGCGGAGCCAGAGCATAGCCATCATGGCTAGTAGCCATCGCTAGTCCTTTCTCTTCATGAATTTGTCTCATCCTCTTTTGAAGTCGTCCAAGTTGGTGGCCATCACTGCCTCCTGTGGCAAGGAGTTCCACAGTTTAACTAAGCACTGTGTGAATAAGTCCTTTCATTTACCGGTCCTGAATTGTCATTAACATTCAGCTTCACAGGATGCTCACGAGTTCTAGCGATTAAATGTGCCGTGCATCATTTTACAAACTTCGGACATGTTACCTCTCACCTGCCTTTGCTCTAAACTAAAAAGTCCCAAACGCTGGAACCTTTCCTCATAGGGGAGTTGTTCCATTCTGGCTGCCCTTTTCTGAACCTTTTCCAACTCCTCTTTGAGGTGAGGCGACCAGAACCGTAAACAGAATTCCAAATGCGGCTGCACCACAGAGTGGGCTGGAGCTGATGGGGTCCCATGACATCCCCAGGCACAAGGGTTCCCCAACCCCTGCCTTAAAGGGTGGGGGGAGAGAAAGAAACGAAGCATACCCTGAAGTACTCCAGCAAGCCCCGACAGGTCACTTTGGAACCATTGATCTCCTTCTCCAAGAGCTGGCTAGGATCCAGCACAAACGGAATGAGCGTCTGCAGCTGTTCTTTAAACTCATCTGCAATGTCTGCCGGAAAAGAGATAGACAGGGGGTAGGAGAAAATCGAAGGAAACTGCTCTCATTGGCGGATAGCTGGAATTCTGCGATTCCACATAAAAAACACACCAAATACAGCACTAGGTACACAAATGGCAGCTGAGGAAATCAACTTTCTTTTTTTAAAAAAAGAAGATTGACAATTCTAGTCCTCATGATGGCAAAGCTATTCTTTTTCTCTCGACCTCCCAATAATTTCTATTGGTTTTCATGTAAATATTACTGTACAGTGGTAGCTCAGGTTAAATACTTAATTCATTCCGGAGGTCTGTTCTTAACCTGAAACTGTTCTTAACCTGAAGCACCACTTTAGCTAATGGGGCCTCCTGCTGCTGCTGCGCTGCCGGAGCACGATTTCTGTTCTCATCCTGAAGCAAAGCTCTTAACCTGAAGCACTATTTCTGTGTTAGCGGAGTCCGTAACCTGAAGCGTATGTAACCTGAAGCGTATGTAACCCGAGGTACCACTGTATTTTAATATTTGGTTGGAAGCCGCCCAGAGTGGCTGGGGAAGCCCAGCCAGATAGGCGGGGTATAAATAAATTATTATTATTATTATTATTATTATTATTATTATTATTATACCAGAACTACATATAACTATAGTAACTTGTCCAGCGGCACACGTATACAGCACACAGTACAGCACACATTACACAATCAATATGTTTATTTATGCATCATCAGTTCAAGTATCCTGTCCACAGAGATTCTGATGGCAAAGCTATTCTTGAAAATTTGCGTTCAAAGCCAGGGAAGCAGCTGAACTGGAAAGCAATACAGTTCCTTGACCTTCCCAATCACAATTATTTCAGATAAATATACTGGGTTTTTTAAAACAAAAACAAAACAAAAGTACATGACACAAAAAGATCAACATGATAAAAACCTAAAATGACAACCAATTGCAGGAAAATTTGAGCTATTTAAAAATGAAAGCAGAATAATCAAATGAGAATCCTCCAAAAACCCAGTTAAATAAAATCAAGCACATTTCTCTCTGGAGGTTGTCTAAATACAGACCAGGAGACTTTTTCTCCCAGGTACCCCCTGTGGCTTATCTCAGATAAGTGGAAGGACCTGAACCTTGAAAGCAGGACCTTGAAAGCAGGACCTCGAAGACATTTATATAGGCAAAAACAATTCTGGAGATATTCCGGTCCTAAACGCTTTAGGGCTTTTAAAGGTCAAAGCAAGTGTCTTGAACTGAGCCCCAAAGCAAACTAGTGGAAGTCAAAACAATTATGCAAAGTAAGGAAGTGTGCAAAATCAGTTATGCAAATTTGAGAGAGCACGTCAATTGGCATACAGGCCACAGAATTTCAATAGCCTTGTTGGAAAGTTACATATACTGTGGTACCTCAGGTTAAGTACTTAATTTGTTCCGGAGGTCTGTTCTTAACCTGAAGCACCACTTTAGCTAATGGGGCCTCCTGCTGCTGCCGCACTGCTGGAGCACGATTTCTGTTCTCATCCTGAAGCAAAGTTCTTAACCCAAGGTACTATTTCTGGGTTAGCGGAGTCTGTAACCTGAAGCGTATATAACCTGAAGCATATGTAACCCGAGGTACCACTGTATATAAAATATTCCCCTCCACAAAAGCACATACAAGCACTCCCTTGGGTACCTCTGAAACATTTGCATCACACCAAACCATGGTTAAGGAAGCTTAGCCATTGGTTTGTGGGACAACATAAGGGCTAGTCGCACCAAACCATGGTTTGGTGGTACATGAACAGATCCTTCAGATCCCTCGGGCTCGTGCACAACAATGCCCGCCCACCAGATCACAGTTTTGCCTTTTCACCTGCTGCTTCCACACCCTGCAAACCGGGAACAAAGCAGAGTTTCTAATCCTGGTTTGCTGAGTTTGCCTTTGGACAACATGGGGCCCATACCTTTCAGACGCCCATCAAAATTCGGACTGGTGGCCACTTTGAGGCCTGGATGGGGCAGGAGGAAACAGTTGACGTTGGTGAAGCAGGAATGGATGTGTTTCCGGACATGCTGGATCTCCTCGTGCTGGTGAGATTTCACCTGGTGGTGGGAAGGACCATATGTCATCTCACACTTTTCTTTTTTTTAACGACGAGAGAATACACAAAAAGAATTTCAAGTTAAGAACAATGTTAATTTCCAAATTGGAGGAAATAGAAATGGACAAAGTTAAGGAGAAGGATGCTTGCATGCTGCAACGTGGTAGTATCCCTGAGTTTGTCAACTTTCATTTAAAATAAAAACCCAGCGGAGGTTCTAGTCCTGTAGTTACTTTTCCTAATAATTCCATGCCATGACAACCTCCTCTCCGCCAGGTCTTCTCCAACAGGTTCAATTGCTTTTGGGTTTGTTTGTTTACCTGCAAACGCTTGTCCAAGAAACGCATGCCACCTTCCAGGCCGTAGTGGTACTCATATGGGAAGCTCCAGTCACGGACCAGGAACATCAGGGTCTGCATGGGGCGAGAGAGGCGGGAGGACTGAGAAAGGCCCTCAAAAACAGATCTTCTGAGTAAGTTTGGCTCAGTTCTAGAAGACAGGGAGGCAGGTGTGGCTGGGAGGGCCCCTTGAGAACCTAACCCAGTAAACCAGGGGTCAGGAGACTGTCCATCGATAGTCCAGCATCCTGCTTCATGCAAAGAACAGCCAGATGCCCCAATGAGAAGCTCATGAAGAGGACATGAGAGAAACAGACCTCCCTCCATGGGAGCAAGCTCTGCTTCCCCTGAATGAAATGGGAAGCCCCCCCCCCCGACTGGCGGGGGGTTTATTTTGGGGGAGGATGTACAGTACAGTGGTACCTCAGGTTAAGAACTTAACTTGTTCTGGAGGTCCGTTCTTAACCTGAAGCTGTTTTTAACCTGAGGTACCACTTTAGCTAATGGGGCCTCCCGCTGCCGCCGCGCGATTTCTGTTCTCATCCTGAAGCAAAGTTCTTAACCTGAGGTACTATTTCTGGGTTAACCGAGTCTGTAACCTGAAGCATCTGTAACCCGAGGTACCACTGTATTCTGCAACATATCATTGATGCAGTAATAGTGCTTTCATGATGGGTTTTATACTGGGCCATCCACGCATTGTTCCATTTTAATAGGTGTTCAGCGAGGCTTCCCCAGTGTTACCGCTGTCTGGAGGGAGGCATTCTTTGCACATAACCACCCTGACACCATCAGAAGCAAAAACCATCACGAATGTGCCATAGAAAGGATGCCTGAAGAGGCCATGTGACAGTATCTTTATAGAGCATTCCTTCTGATTTGTTTAGGGGGTTTGGCAGTTTAACAACAAGGAGCATTCATCCTGGTTTGGCTGTCTACATGCCTTGAAGTGCAATGAAGGTGGGTAAAAAAACAACCACCACCCACCCTGGGACATTTGCGGTATGAAAAGTTACAGGGAAGTAATAGGGCAGGCGGGACGCGGGTGGCACTGTGGGTTAAACCACAGAGCCTAGGACTTGCCGATCAGAAGGTCGGCAGTTCGAATCCCTGTGACGGGGTGAGCTCCCATTGCTTGGTCCCTGCTCCTGCCAACCTAGCAGCTCGAAAGCACGTCAAAGTGCAAGTAGATAAATAGGTACCGCTCCAGCGGGAAGGTAAACAGCGCTTCCGTGCGCTGCTCTGGTTCGCCAGAAGCAGCTTAGTCATGCTGGCCACATGACCCGGAAGCTGTATGCCGGCTCCCTCGGCCAATAAAGCGAGATGAGCGCCGCAACCCCAGAGTCGGCCACGACTGGACCTAATGATCAGGGGTCTCTTTACCTAATAGGGCAGGCACCAATGGGAAATGAAGCAATACGTCCACCTAGAATTTTCTGCAAACACAAAGGATTGAAAGCAGGACCGCATCAAACTGCCCAGATACCATCATGAACACAACCGACCATAAATGCACCATAAAAAGGATGTTTGGAGGGGACCGGAAATATGTCAGGCAAGTGAGAGTGACTCAACTCTAAATATATACAAGCAGAAAATCCAATTTCACCACTCAGTTCAGTTCTACAAAACTGATCCACCTCCCTTTGCACTCCACGGTTCCTTGCAAGCAACTCAGAGCATTGTCCTTTCCCCAACCCAGGCCTGAAAAAAAAAAATCCTCAGAACATCCAGTGAGGAAGGTTAGGCTGAAGGACTGTGAGTGCTCCAAGGTCGCCCAATAAGCTTTGTCATTGAGCAGGGATTTGAAAAAACCACCCCTCTGCCCATTTCTCCCCACTGAACCTTGAAATCTGCATCAAGCTTCCGTACAGTGGAGTAACAAATCTGCAAACTGCAAATCTGGGGTGTGCATGGACTGCGGGAAGTGAGGGCCCACCAGCCAAGACTGTATGTGTGTCTCCCACCTCCTGGCCCAGCCCCATCTGTTCAGATGCATACCTGGAATGGTTTGAGGAAGCTCTCGTCCATGGCCAGGCGTCCATACTCTGTAAAGAGCTACAAAAGGAAATCAAAAACATGCTGAATTTTGTTTAAAGAGCTAAAGCAGCGGTTCTCAAAAAAATTTTTGCCCAGGCCACACTCTCAGAAAAAGAAATTGCTTGCACCACACCAAATTTTCTACTGATAAGAAATGCATTGGAAAACAAAAAGAAACAACACCAATATCACTCAAGGCTCTTGCTCTCATTTTGAAAATTTATCCATATTCTGCAAATAAATAAAAATTATTTTGATACAGTACTATTAATTAATTTTATAATGAATGATTTTAGAGTGTTGTTTGTGCTGTACTTTTGTACTGTTTTATTGTTGTTAGCCGCCCTGAGCCCGGCTTCAGCTGGGGAGGGCGGGATATAAATAAAATTTATTATTATTATTATTACTATCCTGTACTGGGACTATACCATACTATACTACACTGAAATGTTTAAGTGTTCTTTGATGGTCCTTGAACCTTCCTGCCACGCTTGCCATTCTCTCCTGCCACACTCCCTTTGAGAACCCCTGATAAGGGAAGGGCAGCAACAGGTGTGCCCCTGATTCCGGGTCTCTCACGGCTTGAGCTCAGAAAGTATAAAGAACACAGAAAGAGCTCTGCTGGATCAGACCAGCATCCTGTTCTCACAGTGGCCAACCAGATTATCATCACAGTAACCTGCAAGCAGAACTAGAGCTTGTTCTACTTGGAAACCACTTAGAAGCCTATCCTGGCATCAAGCAGTAAGTATAAATAAATAAATAGGAATTATAGCAACCACCACCACCACAACAACTGTATCCCCTTTTGTGTTCTGCACAGCACCATGAGCATTGCAAGGGGAAATGTTTTTCTTGTTTTTCTTATCACCTACCTGTAGCTGCTGCAGATCATCTTCCTGGATGTTCTGAGACAAGTTGTAGATCTGAAAAGGGGGAAAGGGACAGCTGCAATGGTGAAAAAAATCCAGAAGGGCAGCCGCCTTAGCCTGTTGCAACAAAGACTCTTATGGCTCATTCAAGATTGCCTTAACTGATTTAATCTGGCAGAAGGTCCCAGCCTCAATCCCTGGCATCTCCAGGTGGAGCTGGAAGAGACCCCCGGCGGAAACTCAGGACAGCCGCTTCCCAGTCAGTGGAGGCAACACTCAGCCAATGGCCTCGCTCAGTATAAGGTGGACCAATGGCCTCACTCAGCATAAGGCAGCTCCCTACATTCCTAGATGCTTTCACTTAGACTAGCCCAGGGCTTCCCAAACTTGGGTCTCCAGCCATTTTTGAACTACAGCTCCTATCATCCCTGACAGCTAGTCCTGGTACCTAGGGATGATGGGTTTTGTAGTCTAAAAACAGCTGAAAACCCAAGTTTGGGAAACCTTGGACCAGGCTTTCTTCAGGGCCCAGGGATGAATAGGGAAACAACAGGACAAAATTTCACCGCGTTTTTAGATCTTGTTCTGTTTTGCCAGCTTTCACTTTCTGGGGCGGGATTTAAATATACATAATTAAATATAACACTCTCAGGTCTCCAAAAGGCTCCCAAGCTCAGATTCCTGATTGGATGGGTGAATATATATATTTACTTACACACACACACTTCCAAGGCCAGGAGAGGCCTAGCGACACAGACTGCCTTCCCAGAAACAACCCAGCTTTGGCTTTTCTGTCTTGATTGATCCCCTCCAATCGATGAGGAGGTGTGAGTCCCATCACACGCCCATGGCGAAAGCCCTTGCCACACCTTAGTCAAACGACAACCAAAAAACAGGGGACACTCACCTGAACAGAACTCGTCATGGTGCTGAGAGCAAAGATGGTGGCGCAGTCCTTGACTGTTGACTGGCTGTCAAAAGCTCCCTGGGTGTCCATCAGCACGACCGCCACCTGGAAGCACAGGTGAGAGCATCAGGCTCAAGAGATGCTCCAGTGCTCCCTGCACCCCACCCCACCCCGTTTTCCACTCTCCCCACCCCCTGGCATTCTGTGGTCTCTGAACATACTCAGTCCTTGCTGGATTATTATTTTTTTAAGGGTGGGGGTGGCTGGGGCAGCAGTGTGGCCTGGGGAAGAGTTCAGAGGACCTGACAGCAAGGACTGGAGGGTGTTGTGAAATAGGCACAGAGTCAGAGGCTGCAGGGGTACCAGATGGGGAGCTGGGTCTGGGCTCAGAGCTGGCTGTGGAAGTTAGGGAGAGCATGGGGTCTGAAGTGATGGGGCAAGAGCTCCCAGAGACACTTCCCAGACCATTAGGGCCTTTAAGGCACTGATCAAGCTGCACAGAAAAAGCATTTTTGTTTCTGAAATTCTGATTGTGGAGATAAAATATAACTGATAGAATTCTACAGGATGGGGTATTAGTGTGTGAAAACAGTCTGGCTAATTTCTAAAACTGCTATAAGGAAAGAGCCTGGACCCTTGCAGACACCTTCTCCTGAGCCAGAAAAAAAGCCAGACGTTTCCCACTGCAAACCAGAAGTCCTGCCGTGTCAGAAGTGCCCTAGGAGAGAGGAGATGGCATGAAGGAGGAGCTCCCATCTTCAGACCACAGGGTTGGCCCTTTAAGGTTCTGACGTTCTCCCAAAGGGGTGGAGCTTGGAGGAGGCAGTCTGCAGGAGGCCCTTTGCTGGAGAAAGTTGCTCACTTGGAGCTGTCCATGGTGCAAAAACCTTCAACCAACTGTGCCTCTTTCACCATGGTTCCGGCAACAGACCAGAACACAGCAGAGGACCACATTTGACCCCCAGTCCTGAGGTTTCCTACTGTGGCCATGGAGGGGTGAAGAAATGTTTTCGCTTTCCGTTTTAATCAAATTCCAACTCCTTCTCAACTGCCCCCGTACCTTCTTTCCACTTGGTTTCTCCACAATGAAAACTTCGCTCCAGATTTGGATGCCAGTGGTATCTGGGTCAGATCCACCGCGCCAGGAAAAGCCCGTCAGGGGTTCATCCTTGTCGCCCAGCCAATTGGTGCTGCCCCCTTCTTTCTGTGGAACAACAGGGAAACAGCACAAATGAGGAAACTCTGTAGTACAACAAGAATGAGCCATCAGGCTCCCACGTGTCCCCTGTAAGAGAATAACAGCTCCTGCTTTCAGTTTTGACAAAGGCTTCCAGTCATATTACAAACCTGCAGAACCACGGTTGATTCTATCTCTAGCTAAATAAAACAAAGCAGATAACGTGGCCTGTTATCATGATGCAAAAAAGCCCAAACAAAACCCGATTGCATGGTTCCACCAAAAGTTTGGGGACTGAAGATGAACAGAATGTAGGCCCTTTGCAAATAGGAGCCTTGTGTCCATTTTGTTTTACTTGTGAAAATTCTCTCTTAAGCACCAGGTGCATTTTTTAAAACAATGCTTATTTTTTTATTTATAAAAAAAATATTTATATACTATTTGTTTCTTAAAAAAATCAAGGCAGTGTACAACAATTGTACATAAAACCACACACTAAAAATCATATCAAAAGTCAAAATCAGAAGTCAGCTAAGTATTGCGGAAAGATGCATTCTTAATTGCCTGCATAAGCCTGAGGGATTAGGAAAGTATTCAGTAGGCATTTAAAAGTTGGCACAGAAGGCACCTGCTGAATCTCTACTGGCAGAGTATTCCACAGGATTGAGCTGGTGACACTAAAGGCTTGATTCCTTGTTAAATGACCCTCGTCAATTTGGAGAACAGTCAACAACACTCCTGTAAATGATCTCGAGGACTGAGATGGGCTGTAAGGGTTCATTCAGGTGTTCCCTGAGGTACACTGGCCCTAGGTCGTTCTGGGCTTTGTAAATTAATAAAGGAGCTTTAACAATAGCAACAGACAATGAACCAGTGAACAGGGGGATGGCTCACCTGTGTGTACATATAACGCAGCAGAAAGTCCAAGAGGAAGGATTTGCCTTTGCGGAAGGCACCGGCCACGGACACCACCACCACATCGAGGTCCCGGATAGCATCAGCCAAGAGGACACGACTCAGCGCCTTCTCGTCCAGCTCAAAGGAGTGTTGGTCTTTGTGCACCAGCACAATCTGCACTGGGCCAGGCTTCGCTCCCCCCATGGCATCCCCAGCTGCATAAAGGAGAGAAAGGGGGCTGGGTGTCAACACACAACAACAACAACCAGGCTAGCAAGGCCTGCCCACCCCATACATTTAAAGCACGTTTATAGTACTTCAACAGTCATGGCTTCCCCCAAAGAATCCAAGGAACTGTAGTTTATCCCTCATTGAACTACAATTCCCAGCACACCATAACAAACCACAGTTCCCAAGATTCCATGTGCTTTAATTGTACGGTATGGTATAAACCAGGGGTCAGCAACCTTTTTCAGTCCACCGTCCCTCAGACCATGTGGTGGGCCGGACTATATTTGGGGGAGGGGGAATGAACGGATTCCTATGCCCCACAAATAACCCAGAGATACATTTTAAATAAAAGGACACATAGTACTCATGTAAAAATACGCTGATTCCCAGACTGTCTGTGGGCCAGATTTAGAATGTGATTGGGCCGCATCCGGCCCACAGGCCTTAGGTTGCCTACCCCTGGTATAAATACACAATTCTTTGGATATGCTAAGATTAGCATGTCAGCAGCTTCTAGTGCTTTTTTACCTTTGCATGTAAATAAGGTTAAAACGATTTGTGCCGTTGAATTGTCATGTCTCAGGACATTAACAAGTATTTCAGCCATAACAGCTTCCAAGGAAAGCTTTGATTGGATATAGCATTTAAACCACATGAAGTGAACATTGATTCCCCCACCCACAATAATCTAGTTATTTGAGCTCAAGTAATTTTTGTCACGGGGGGAAAAGATAATGAGAATCATGCAGGAGTAAAATTAACCAAGCATACTCTCTTCAGTTTTGTTAAGCTGAAGATCAGATCTAACATACTTGGCTGAGGTTGGGTGGCTATCTGTAACGGATGCTTCAGTTGAGATTCCTGAATTCTGGGGGTTGGACTAGATGACCCTTGGGTCCCTTCCAGCTCTACAATTCTATGATTCTAAGACCTCAATCAGTCTAGGGCAGGGGTGAAAAACCCGTGGTCCTCCAGATGTTGGCGGAGTCCAATTGGCCTGGGCGATGCATCAATACATTGTCCAGGACCAGTTTGAGGGCCAGATCACAACGGTATTTGGACTCAGAGGTATATTACAGGTGGGGCTTGTCAGCCGGCTGGTGTCTTAACTTTCTTCTCTGGCCAAGCAGGCAGACCGCCTCCTTTCTCCCTTCGCTGGGCGCTGGCAGTGGAGGGCATGGTGGTAGCAGCTTCACCCTGGTGCCTCGCAGGGCCGGTGGCTGATGCTCCATCCTTTTCAAGATTGTGATGTATCACTTTATCGTGATGTTTAGCTGGTGATACATCATGAAAACCTGATATCGCCCAGCCCTAGACTCCAACTCCCATGAGCCCCAGCCAGCATGGCCAATGGTCAGGGATGATGGGAGCTGTAGTCCATCAACAAGTGGCAGGAGACACATAAGTTTCTCACTCCAGTCCTGGATTGATTAAGATTCAAACACAGAGAGAGGGGGGGAGGGAGGGAGAGAGAGAGAGAGAGAGAGAGAGAGAAATAACCTCACAGAGTTGCTGTGAAGATAAAATGGGGAGAAGAACTATCTAGGCCTCCAAGAGAGAGAGAGAGAGAGAGAGAAACAAAGAAAGAAAGAAAGAACCTCACAGAGTTGTTGTGAAGATAAAATGGGGAGAAGAACCATCTAGGCCACAGAGAGAGAGAGAGAGAGAGAGAGAGAGAGAGAGAGAGAGGAAGGAAGGAAGGAAGGAAGGAAGGAAGGAAGGAAGGACCTCACAGAGTTGTTGTGAAGATAAAATGGGGAGAAGAACCATCTAGGCCACCTTGAGCTCCTCACAGGAAAGGTGGGATTTAAATCTCAAAATAAATGTAATATATGCACAGATACAGAGAGAGATACACCCTTGTGTATATGTGTTTGTGTTTCTGCCTTGGTATTAAGTGGCACAAATCGAATACTCTTGCCAGGACTACTGAAATTCTGGCATGCTAGAAACCCCACATACATACACACCGGATGCCCCACAGATCAACCTGTGCATTATTAGTGCAGCAAACAGGAGCCCCACTCGTTGGCTTCTCACCATCCATGTGCACGGAGCCGAACCGATCCTGGAGAGGCACTTCCTGAGGCGAGGGTTCACACCTCCATGGCTCTTGCCGGCCGGGACCACTCACTGCCCCGCGAGGCCGGGTCAGAGGAGCCCACCTGTGCGGGCAGACTCTGCGAGATATTATGGGCCGCCTGGGGGTGGCATCCAGCAAACTGGGGCAGCTCCTCGAGGGCCGCGGCTTCTGTTGCAAGCCTGGCTTCTTCTTCTTCTGGGCTTTCATGAGCTTTCAAACCAACAAGGGCAGGAGGAGGCTAAAAGGAAGCAGGGCTTCTAGAGGACAAAACCCATCCACTCTGGCCCAAGGAGATCATAACAATCCGGTCTCCACGGCAACAAAGGGCTCACTAGGCCGAGTTCCAAGGAGGAACCATTATTTCACTCAGGTTTCTATCCTTTCTAACCCTCCTTTCCCCCTCCTCAGGAGAGGGCCAGAAAGAGGGGTCTGGAGGGCCACATGGGCAACTCAACCTGAGGTTCCCCCACAACGAAACGCTTTTGCTACGTGAAAAGAACCCTTTTTCTTTCTCCCCTGAACTCAGCAGTTTGCAAGCTGTCGAGTTAGGACCACACCAGCCTCCTCTCTGATCTTCTTATCTGCCTGGTTGAAAAATAGGCCAATTAAATTAACATCACCTTTAAAACCTCTGTTTTCCTGCCCAAGTAATTCAATAGGCCACCTGCTCTTAGCACTGCAAGAGCACAGGCTGGGAGGAAATTAAACACAAGGGAACTTTTATTTTTTATTTATTTGCAAATAAAAAATAAAAAATATTTCTACCCAGCCAACATTAAGGAAAAAATATTACGGCAGCAAACAGCATTGAGGTAAATAAAATGGCATTCATAAAGCAAATAAAAAAGACATCACCAGTTAGTATTTTGGCTTAGAGAATCATGGAATTGTAGAGCAGGAAGGGGCCCCAAGGGGCTTCTATTCCACCCCCCAGCTATGCTGGAATTACAGCTCAAGAATCCCTGACCGGTGGCCATTCAACCTCTCTTTAAAAACCTCCAATGAAGCAGAGTCCACTACCTTCCAAGAGACTTGGTTCCACTGTCAAACAGCTCTTGTTGTCAGAACGTTCTTGCTAATGTTGAGTTAGAATCTCCTTTCTTGCAATTTGAATCTATTGGTTTGGGTCCTACACTCCAAAGCAGCAGAAAACATGCTTGCTCCATCATCCATGTGGCAGCTTTTCAGGTATCATATCACCTCTCGGTCTTCTCATACAGCATGGAGTGGTTCTGTAAGTTCCCTCGATCTGGTTCCTGTACCTTTGTTGATGAAGCCTAGAACTGCATTAGCTTACTTTGCTGCTGCATCACACTGCTGACTCATGCTAAGCTTGTGGTCTACCCTAGATGCTTTTCACATGTATTGCTGGCAAGCCAGGTATCACCCATCCTATATTTGTGCATCTGATTATCCCTGCCTAAATGCAGAGCTTTACATTTGTCCCTTTTGAAATTCATTTGGTTAATTTTGACCCAGTTCTCCAAACTGTTAAAGCCATCCTGATTCCATCTTCTGAGGTTAATTTGTTATAATGTTTATGTTAGTTTTAAGAAAACACTTTTGGCATCTTTTGAAAAACCGATGAATATATGTAATTAATAATAATAACAATAATACAACTATTGTTCCATACACACACACACACACACACACACACACACACCTGCTTATTAAGCTCATTTCCAGATCTAAGCTGCCTACCCCAGATAATCAGAAGCAGTATAATGCAGAATTTGTTGTTAGGCCTTCCCTGTGGGCTGCTGCTGCCTAGAGCAGCTGTGTGCAAGGACTGGCACTGTTGCAGCTGCTAGCAGGTAAGAAAGGTTGCTCAAGAACAGCAGAAATAAAGCTAATATTGTGTAGTAGTTACCAGAACATCAGGCAAGAACTGGGGGGACCCAAGTTCAAATCCGCACCCTTAGACTTTATTCATTGCAACATTTCAGGTTATGGGTCCAAACATATTGGCTGTGTCTGCTTGACAATTTTCAGGGGAGCTAGGGAACAGGGGGAAGAATCCAGTTAAAATGTCTCCTGCAAAGATTGCTGCTGCTAAAATACCTTCGTCAGAGATGCCCTAAGCTACTTCTGGCAAGCCGCAAGTTCGGAAGAGGGTTTTCCACACTCCTCTGAAACATAAAACTTCCGTGAAAGGAAAAAGGCAACACTGAACACACCCAGTGGGGGGGGCGGTGAATACAATTCACTCACATACCATGAGCTCTGCCAGCTAGCCGCTGCCTGCAGTGAGTCAGAAACCTCAACCGCTCCCTTGAAATCTCGCCTGTTTTGCATTTAGCAGAGGTTGCCACTTGTCTGGAAGGGAAGCCTCTCCACCATCTCCTCTGCTCCATGAAGCAGAGGCCTATGCAAGTGCTATCTCTACACAACCCATCACATCTTCTGTGGCCTCCCAGCACCTCAATAAAGCAGAACCCCTCTTTCTGCAAACTCAGCTCATAAGAAAAGCATTAAGGCAACAATCATTTCACTCACCTCCCCGATCCCCAAGTCACAACTGGCATTTACAGATATGCTGCCTCTAAACAGGGAGGTTCCGTTTAGCCATCACAGGCAATAGCCCTCAATAAACCTCTCCTCCTCTATGGAAGGACTGTAGCTCAGTGGTACAGCATCTCCCTTGCATGCACAAAGTGCCAGGTTCAAACCCAGGTAGCTGTGGGAATGTCCTCTCCCTACCTGAAACCCTGGGGAGTTGTTGTCAGTCAGTGTAGACAATATTGGGCTACAGGGACAAATAGCCTGGCTCAGGATATGGCAGCTTCCTATGTTCCACGTCATTGTGCAAACCCCTGTTTTGATATCATCAGAGCCCACAGAACCGCCAGCTAGCTACGCCTCGTGGCAGCAAACGCCTTAATTAAATTACTGTCACTGATCGTTAAATGATATTGTGCCTTCCAGTGGCGTAACAGCACCCAAGGCAACTTGGAACTGGTGAAAGAGCTTCAGAAGTATTCAGGCTGGACCAAAACAAAGTCCTATGTGGCAAACAGATGCTTCTCAGAAACCTACAAGTGAGAAAGCAACTCTCCCCAATCTTAGCAACCAGTATTCGATGGCATCGTGCCTCTGATCCTGGTGGCAGTGTACATCCATAATTGGTCTTATGCTTAAAACAGCAGGAGGTAGCGATGGTCAGCAGCTTGGAGGGCTTTAAAAGGGGATTAGTCAAATTCATGGAGGAGAGGGGGACCACATGGGTCATCTGCTCCAGCCCCTTTGAATGCAGGAATTTTTGGGGGCTTGAACCCATGATTAAGAGTCTCATGCTCTTCCAACTGAGCTATCCCAGCAGTATTGATGGCTAATACCCAAAAAGGCTATGTTCTATGCCTCTGAATGCATTTTCTATGCCTCTGAATGCCTGTTGCTGGAAACTGCAGGCAGGCAGAGAGTGGCTGCGCTCATGTCCTGCTTGTGAGCATCCCACAGGCATCTGGTCTGACACAGCAGGCCCTTCTTATGCCCTTATAACACATAAAAATATAGAAAGCCAATACAACCGCATAATAAACATTGGGAGTGAGCATAACCAAATATTTTAAAAGGTGCATTGGAAGCTATCTTATGCTAAGTCAGACCATTGGTCCATCTAGCTCAGGACTGTCTGCACTGACCAGCAGCGGCTCTCCTGGGTTTCAGGCAGGGGTCTCTCCCAGCCCTACCTAGAGATGCCACTGGAGATTGATCCTAAGGCGTTCTGCATGGAAAGTGTGTGTTCTACCACCGAGCTGCAGCCCTTCCACTGAGGCTCGTTGAAATAAAAGTTTTAAACTGGAGCTGAAACGCCATCAGGGAAGGAACTCAGCAAATGTCCAGTTCCAGCTTTTGAGGCATCACTGTGGGGAAAGCCCTCTCCCACTTACCCACCAACCAAACTTCCATCCATGGCAGTGGGAGGCAGAAAAGATCCTCCCCATGTGGATCTGCATGAATGGAAAGGCTTACGCAAGATAATGCAACCCTTCCAGTATCTGAAGCAGTTTAAGACTCGTGCTTTGTGCGTGAAGAAGTTGCCATTGCAGCAACCTTCTTCAGGACTCTGCTGAAAGGTAAAATTGCCACACCACCTGGATCGGTGATCTCGCCCAACATGGCAGCAGCGTGAGCAGTGAACAATTGAGAAATATGCTGAAATACTGGTCGGGGAATTTGCCTGCCAAATACTGTCAAACCTGGAAGAGGGGCTTGTCCAAGCGCAACATCCCTGCATTGCATGCATGTTTGAGGTGGATGCTAAACACGGGTAATTTAATGAAGAAAGACAAGGAAATAGCATTGAAAATAAGATCCTCCTTTCCATACTCCATCTCGGCTGAGCTTCCACAGAAGAAATCCTGCTCACACTTTTCTTAGAAGTGAGCCCGATTGAAAACAGTGGTGCCTAACTTCAGAAACACGTGTGGTTAAAAGTTCAAAATAGAGAATTGTGCAAGGCTCACTACCTTCAGGTTGTGCACAGAGGGACAAGAGAGGAAGAATTGTGTCTAGACGCTGCATTCTTATAAAAGTACTTCTATGCGTTTTATACCAACCCTACAGGGGCAACCCAAACTACCCCCTTCCAATGGTGTGTTTGCATTCTCCCCATATTAACTTCAATCCATGGGGCAGTGTGGCTCTCTAGATTTTGTTGTACTCCATCTCCCATCATCCTTGACCGTTGACCATGCTGCCTGGGGCTGACACGAGTTCAACAACAACAGGAACCACAGAATTGTAGAGTTGGAAAGGACCGCCATCTAGCCCAACCTCCTGCGATGCAGGAATCGCCCGACATGGGACTCGAACCCACGTCCCTGAGATTAAGACTCGCATGCTCTACCAAACAAGCTACCATGCCCCAGTCCCCCAACTCAGCTTCCAGAGGCATTCTGGCTCTACCGCAGAGTTTGCATCTAGTACTACAACTCCCATTATCCATGAGTATTGATCACACTTGCTGGGACGGATGGAAGTTGTAGTCCGACGCATCTTGAGAGCATCAGGTTGGGGAAGGAAAGTAAGTTTCCACTGTCCCTGGAAAGGGAGCGGGGCTCCATTCATTTCCCCCACAAATGGTCCCGGTCACTATATGGGGCTCTTTGCAATCTGCTCCAGAGGCACCTCATCCCTATGGGACCCAGGCTCCCCCGCCCCATCTTTGGGGGGGGTGTTCATACAGTTTCTCCACAGAGGCCTTATTTTCCATGGGGAGGGGGATATATTCCTATCTCTCCCCATAGAGGATATTAAACCCCCCCCAAAAAAGTTGGTTGATCCAAATCCGATTAAGAAAAGAGGGCCCTTACCGCCCGCCGCCAGCTTGACACCGTTCGCAGCTACCGCCGCCGAAGAAATGACACGGAGCCGCCTCCTTCCCGCCCTTCTTCCCGCCCCATCTCGGAGCAGGCAAGAGGCGGGGTCGCCGCCAGGCATGAAGCTGGGAAAGGAGGAGGGCAAGGAGCCTTGGGGAAGGGTGCATGCTGGGAGTTGGAGTCCGAGCAGCCGCCGTCTCTCGCCCACGGAACTGGGTAAGGGGAATCCAAGGGAACTACAACTCCCAAGAGACCAAGGAGTGGAGAATCAAGAAAGGGCGCGCTCACTCGCTTTCTCCCCAAGGGAGGATCTTGGGAGAAGCAGACGGAAGAGGTCGGGCTTCTTTCAGAGTCGCCAGGGAGGAGCTTTGGAAGCGCGTGCTGGGGAAGGCGTCCTGTTTTTGAGGATCGCAGCGGCTCCTTATACAGTACCTTTAAATCTTTACTTAAAAACATTTTTTTAAAAAAAAGCAGGCCGCTTTTGCGCAGATTTGCAGAAAAAGATGCTAATTTATATGCAACTTTATAAATAATCACAAATATTTCCTTTATAAATAATGATTTGTAAATAGAAATCATCAGGACATTGGCAGAACCTGCTGGATCAGGCCAATGGCCCATCTAGGACAGCATCCTGTTCTCATAGTGACCAACCTGTGGGAAGCCTGCAGGCAGGATTCCAGCACAAGGCAGAACATAGGCATCTGGGCTAGTGGGTATCAATAACCTTATCCCCCATGAATTTGTCTAAACCTCTTGAAGCCATTTGGTTCATGGCATCCATGCCTCCTGTGGAAGTGAGTTCCATAGTTTTTTTAACTATGCATTGCTTGAAGAAGTCATTTTATCTGTCCTGAATCTTCCAAATGTCAGCTTCATTGGATTTCCCAGAGTTCTAGTGTTATGAGAGAGGGAGAAAAAACTTTTTCCTGTCCACTTACTCCACTCCATGGGCATAGGCAGTGGAGCAGCTCCCCCCCCCCCCCCATCACATAAATAAATAAAAAAAACTTAACTAACTGACCAGTGACTTCACAAGTAGCTCGGTTCTGCCCCCCAAACATAAATTCTCGCTACGCCCATGCTCCACTCTATGCATAATGTAATAAACTTCTATCTTGTAACCTCTTACTCACTTTTTCTCTAAACAAAAAAGTCTCAAATGTTGCAACCTTTCTTTGTCCACTCTATCCTTTTTGAGATGAGGTGACCAGAACCACATGCAATGTACTATTTTTATTTTTATTATTATTAATGTGTATATCTCCACTTTCCTCCAAATAGCTGAAGGTTACATGCATGCTTCTTCCCTCTTCCCATTTTATCCCCACAACAACCTGTGAGGTAAGTTAGGCTAACAAACATTGCAATGGTCAGAGGATCTGGTGATCTGTGTGTGTGGTGTACAGGAGATAGATAAATTACAGTGCATTAAATAACAGCAATAATAAAACAGGAGTTACAGGTCTGTCATGTGTCATTATCACAGTACAGTCAAACCTCGGTTCTTGAACCGCTCCGTTGCCGAACATTTCGGCTTCCAAACGTCGAAAACCCAGAAGTAAATGCTCCGGCTTTCGAACATTCCCCAGAAGACGAACATCTGACGCAGCTTCCACTGTGCAAAAGCCTAGCTGTCGGCCAATCAGAAGCCGCGTCTTGGAACTTGGACCTTTCAGAACTCGAATGTCCTTCCGGAACAGATCACATTCGAGTGCCAAGGTTTGACTGTATATGAATGGAAAGAAGTGGTAAGCATTGAAATCAGCTAAACAGTACATAAAACAACATAGCTGTTGTTTATCAACTTTCAAGGCTGTTTCTGCTCACCCCTCTTATAGTTCTGTGTCTTTAAACCAGACTGGGGAGCTCTGTTTTGGCAGCAGTACACACCTGCAGGCCTCTGCCAGTAACCCAGATCTCCCCCAACATCACTGCTGCTGCCTCTGCACTCCCCCTCCCCCCATGAGCCAATGCCTGAGCCTTTCAAATCAAGGGACCGTCATCTGTACAATAACATGCTTCTGGGAAGCCTGCAAACAGGACCTGAGTGCAACTGCACATTCTCCACTTGTGATTCCCGGCAACTGGTTTTCAGAGGCCTACAGTGGAGGTAGAACATGACCATTATGACAAGAGTTGCCTGCCTTTGGGGGCCTGTGGGCACATTTGCAAATTGGAGCTCTTATGGGCACCACAGACATACAGTGGTGCCTCGCAAGACGAAAAGAATCCATTCCGTGAGTCTCTTCGTCTTGTGGGTTTTTTCGTCTTGCGAAGCAAGCCCATTAGCGGTTTAGTGGATTAGCGCTACAGTATTAGCGGCTTAGCGGGCTTAGCGGATCAGCTGATAAGCGGCTTAAAGATCAGCTGATAAGCGGCTTAACGATCAGCTGATAAGCGGCTTAGCGATCAGCTGTTAAGCGGCTTAGCCATCAGCTGATAAGCGGTTTAGCGGCTTGGGAAAAAGGGGGGGGGAGGAAAAAAAAAACCCGCAGGAACTCACAAGACATTTTCGTCTTGCAAAGCAAGCACATAGGAAATTCGTTTTGCGAAGCACCTCCAAAACGGAAAACCCTTTCGTCTAGCGGGTTTTCCGTCTTGCGAGGCATTCGTCTTGCGGGGCACCACTGTACTGCAATGTATTCTGTTGGCTGCTCTTGTCGTTGCCGGTACCTCTCCTGATCTGCAGCATATGTTCAAACATGAAGATAAACCAATGCCAAAATCTTTCCGTTTCATTTTAGGCTGCTAAAAGCACAGGAGCAGGATTTATTTAAAAAATTAAACATTTGCAATTGAGTTTCTATGTGTGTAGTACAGCCCATTCAAGAATGAAAGCGGAAAAGCTCACAGAGATAAAGGAACAATTGTTATCTTACCTACCATTCCTGCTTATCGGCCTCAAGATTACAAAGGTGTTTGTATTACGGATTAGAAGTATATTTAGAACTCTTAAGTTAAAGACACATTTATTTATATATTTAGTGCTCTTTTGATTCTGATGTGGAACCATAATCAGGAATGGAAAGGAAAATGTTCACACTGTTTTCTCAAACTAACAGCAAGTAGAAGCTTTTGTTGATTAAACTGGAACCGATACTTCACACAAACCCCCATCACCTTGATAACGCCAAGGTTGCAGGTTCAATCCCCATAAGGGACAGTTGTTGCAGGGGGTTGGACTAGATGAACTTCAGGGTCCCCCTTCCAACTCTATCATTCTATTACAATATTTGAATACAGTACTGCTATTCATGCAGTGGTGACTTTCAGATTAGACTACTATAATCTGCAATCTGCCCAGTGTGGGGCTGCCCTACAATAATCTGCTTGCAAATAAGTCTCAGTGAACTCTGTTTCTGAGTAAACATGAAAGCAGAAGTGCTGCCAATGAACTATGGCCCTTTCCCTTGAGGAGCATAGGAACATAGGAAACTATCTTACACTGAGTCAGGTCATTGGCTTTCCAAACTTTTCATATTGGTGACACACGTTTTAGATGTACATTATTTTGCAACACAGTAATTCAGTTTTACTAGCAAACCGGAGGTTAAACTAACTCCTTTCTAGCCCCAGGAGAATGGGGAGTGCTCGTGGGACACACCTACACACTGCAGCCAAAAAGCTAACGTGTCATGTCAGTTTGGAAAGCTCTGATCTACACCATTGTTTCTCAAACTTGTTTCCCCAGATGTTGTCGGACTACAATTCCCATCATCCCCAGCTAGCAGGACTAGTGGTCGGGGATGATGAGAATTGTAGTCGGACAAGTTTGGAACCCAAGTTTGAAAAACGCTGGTCTACACTGACTGGCAGCAGCTCTTCTCTGCCACTGAACTATGGCCCTTCTTTATAGGTAAGCCATCTTATACTGAGCCAGGTCACAAGGTGTGACTGACCTACTGCCCTTTCCCAATTCCAAATTTCAGGAATACTTAATGCATCCCTACTGCCATTTGGAAAGAGATTTTTCAGGAGGAGGCGGAGAAAGCGTCCCTTCAGAGCTGTTTTCCCCCTTTTCCTAAAGGTTCGAAACACGACTCAAAAAAGCAGATTCTTAAAACACAAAAGCGCCCGCCCGCGTTTCTTGGCCGTTTATTCAGGCTCCTATGGCTACTGCGCACGCGTAAGTGCCGGTCTTACCCGCGCGCGCGCTCACACACAAACGTAATAAACGGACTTGGAAAGCTCGCGAGAATGGGGAGGGGGCGTGATGCGCATGTTCAGTGACCAGCCTCAAAAACCGCCTATTTTCTCTCACACTCAAAAAAAATCCGCCGCCCCCTCCCCGCCGCTTCTAATACCAACGCAAGGGAGGAGCAGAAATACTCTGCGGGAGGAGGCAGGAGGCACAATATACTGTATCGTATACAGTATTCTTCCTTCCAGACTTCTCACTGCGCCTGCGCCGGAGAGCAACCTCCCAGACCCGCCCCCCCGGAGTACGCCTGCGCGGCGCTCCGGCCCGCCGCCCAGTTGCCGCGCCTGCGCAGTCTGCCCTGATCTCCTCGTTCTTGTCAGTCAGCGCCTGTCTGTTGAGAGGGGCGGTCGCTTATAACCAAGGTCCTCGTCGCTGGTTTCTTTTCCCCCCCGTAGCTTTCGCCGCTGCCGCCATCGACGAAATGGCTGAGCCCGCCACCCAGTCCCCGTATATTTCTTCCTCTGCTGGGGGTGGCTCCTCGGAGCCAGGAGGCCGAGACCTCAAGGGGGCAGGTTCCCCCCAGCCTTGCGCTGGTGAGTGTGGGGGGTGGGCAGGGGAAAAGAACAGCTGGTGGGGGGGAGGGGGCTTGGCGTAGGGAAGTGCCGGGTGGTTTGTGGGCACGAGGAAGGAGGAAGGGGTGGGCGGAGGCGGTGTAGCAAAAACGTAAAACCCTGAAAGGCACCAGGATTCCCTGAGACGCTTAAATCATTGCATTTCCGAATCCTGTTTTCTTCTTATTAAGACCAACTCAGGTAAATCGGCTCTTACAGGGAGTCCTTTGCCTGGAATGAAAAAAGGAAAGAAAGCAAAATAGACTTTATTGTCATAAAACATGCAGGCAGGGCTAAAGTACTGACTTTCATGAATGCCATTTTTTTTAGTAAGTCTGAAATATGGTAGACAAGAGTTAGCATTCACAGAACCAGGGTGTGTGTGTTTCTCTATATAAGCATATACATATTTATATATATATATAAACTAACAGCTATTAGGAGAGGATTCAGTAAGGATAACGTCCCTTTATTGACATCAAAGTTTGCCTTTAATTTTTTGCAGCTGCTGTTAGGACTAATGCATATTTCCATTGATAATATGTGGGTGTTTTGCATAGAAGGCTTCCAAAGGTTAACTCATTTTCATTCAGTATGTGTGTGTGTGTTAAAAGGAGGGATACAAAGATGACCAGCCTATATGACAGGAGGTGGGGCTTTGGGGTGGAAGAGCAGTGTTGGAAAAACATATTTCACTAGAACCAAATAACATTTGTCAAGCCAAGAGTTCACATTGTGTCATATAGATTTGTGGGTTACACTGATCCCTTCATTGGGCCTGATTAAAGTATAATTATAAGGTGGGAAATGGTTGGGGTTTTGGGGGGGGGATCCTACTGCTGACTGACTATAACTGCATAGGAAACACTTTTCTTCCCTCTTTTTTTAAATATTTATCTCCCTTTAAAATTTAGCCTGAGAGAGTAAGAGTACTGTGTTACAGAGCAGCTTGCATATTGTATTGTGAACATATGGCGATCCTGCTAAAGGTATTTGATGGTCCCTGCAGAAGAATCAGTGAGTAGAAGATGAAGCATGGAGCTGAAATAGAACTCCAAAGTGGGCTACACTTAAGGAGAGAAAGGGTGTGTCTGAAAGGTTTAAGAGGAACTGTTCTGGAAGAAAATGCCATTTTGGATTATGTCCATTGGGAACGTGTAACGCAGAGAGGTGCACCAAATACAAAATGTGTTGTGGCTAATGTGAGGTTAATGAAGATTGCTATGCAAACAGGACTGTGTGGGAAATATGGTAGGATGGGGTGGAAGGCAAGCAAGACTGTGGGTGTGGTGTTGGTGCTATGGACAATCCTTAGGAGACTAAGGCATAACACCAGAGTGTTATGCTGGTTGGTAATGGGGTGTTGGGAGTTGTATAATAATTGTATGTCCTTTGTGGTATGTAGTTGTGTATAGGGGTGTGACTGAAGAACTGAATGTAATAGTCTTTTGTACATAATGGTGGTATTCCTCCCACCATTCAGCAACCTGCTGCTTCCTAATCCACCATTTCATACGCCTTGCAGCCTTACCAGGCATGATGCAATGGCAAGGTTTGGATTTCAGACTCTGGGGAGGCCATTCCCTGATACTGGCGGTGATTCTGAATGGGATAAGGAAAGCTTGGGTTTTAAGGGCACTCTTCCGTAGCAAACTGGGGAACAGATACACTTACGGTTGGCTGAATGTTGCTTTTGTACCTTTTCAGTGCATTTCCAAATGTGGTCGCTTGCTAAGCACTTGAAAAACAGCAGCTGGGCTAGAGGCTGAGAAGGGAGTGGTGTCTCAACTGGAAGGTGGGGAGAGGGAAGCTTCTGTCTGCTGTATGTTTGTCAGATTAGACTCCAAAATGTGTCTCATAGCTCCAAGAATTGAGCAACCTTTTCTATCTGCTTTGGGGAGGGCTTGCTGGGGTTTTTCTGGATCTAGGCTAGTTGCTTCCTTAATCTGCCCCCTCCCCTTTCCTCAAGCAGGTGATCGAACTGAAGGGGGGTGCATTGCCTTTTCCCTTTACAGTTGCTCTGTCATCGTCTTGACTAAGGTCTCTTGTTGTATTGCTGGCTCCCACTTGAAGCAGGAAAGCAGTCTTAATTATTTTAAAACCTTACCTGATAAAAAATCCCTGTAACCTTGGGTTTTTTTGTGGGTGGGGGACATTTGGAGGTGTACATTTAATTATTTGTCTTTGAGAAGGCAGCTTTGACGACAGATCTTCCCTTTCGTGATGGCTTTAGGCAACTGGAGAGGGGGCAGGGAGGCACCCCAGAAAACATTTTGCAATATGTACCGCTCCTCTCCTCCCTCTCCTAATAAGCTTCAGAGGGCTGGGATGTAAATGGTTCTTATCTTCTAAGGCAGCTTTCAGATAGAGGTGGGAATGCTCATTTAAAAAACCACCGCCACAACAAACTGCACTGCAGATGCTTCACTGAGGGTGGAATACACAGGCCCAAGTGACAATGCTTTAAAAGGGCTGAGTCTTGCAATGCACCCCATCTAACAATAGCTCTGCCTCATCAAGTGGCCCAGCTGGGGGTTAGCTGACTTTAAAAAAACAAAAAAAAACCCACCCCTTTGTGGATTTTGTTTTGAAATTCCTGACCACGCTCCTTCCCTTGCATGGGCATATTAGTAGTGTCTGGTATGCGGCAGTTCTTGTAGTGCCAACGTTTCAGTCAAGATGCCGTCTTTCTCTGTATATATTCTCTGTATATTTTTACGTCTCTAATCTGTCAAGTCTTGTCTTGAGATGTCTGAATTGTGGCTGCTTGCTCAGGAAAGAGCAGTTTCTTTCATGCACAGTCTTCCTTGTAGAGTCAAGGTCAAATGGCAGCTATATTGCATGCAGTAGTCCATTGTCTTGTGACTGACCAGTAGGCAAACACGTATGATGTATGACTTAATGCCAGATGGGGAAGGGATGTTGTTGATCCTTGCCAGCCATATAACTGTTTCCTTGTCCGTGGTCTGATCTTTGTGCCCCTCAAGTTTAACAGTTCCTCAGAGGCCGCTCCTGCAAACCCAAACCAGCTGTCTTGAGAATCAAGCCCTTTCACCGCCAGTCCTTCTCCAGATTAGTGAGCATCAGTCTTCATCATGGAAGCTGAGCCTTTTTGAGTAGAGATGAGGCTCCAGGCATAAGGCTGTAAGGTGCTCAAGATATGTATGAGATTCAAGGTCACCTCATTTAATACAGAGCAAGGTGTGGACTTCATCTGCTTCCGTACACATGCCCAGCTCCCCCACAGATGCAGAGTAGTGCTATCTGCATCGTCTTACAAGATTCAGGCTTAACATGTCAAAGAAGAAGAATGTTAACTATATGTACATGTGAATGTGTATCTCTCTGTGTAGTCTTTGTGCCTTATCAGCAGGACACGCAGCAGATGCTCTTGTACCACAATGGATGGGCAGCACTTTGAACACACACAAAGCCCTATAAATGATAGGTGGTATTATTGCTGAGGACTCGCAAGTTCCAATGTACTTGAACCAGAGGTCAGCTTCTTACACCTCTCTGCAGAGCCATTTTAACCAGTTAATTGTAACTTTAAAATTCAACAATCAAAACTATTCAATTGTGACTGTGTTAACGGTGCCCCAGCATGTGTTCCACAGAAATGTTGTGCAAGACCTAACTGAGGAAAGGCCATAGCTCGGTGTCAGAGCACCTGTTCTGCATGCAGAAGGCACCAGATTCAATCCCTGGCATCTCCAGGGAGAGCTGGAAAAGAGCTGTCTCCGAAACCTGGGAGAGCTGCTGCCAGGTCAGTGTACGCAATACTGACCAATGATATAAGGCCTATGTTCCTAATTTTGAGCTGGGCATAGAAACTGACATCTTGTGAACTGTTTAAGAGAGCTAGTTTCTAACCCTGTAAATATGGAGTTGATAGGTGTGTCATCAATGCTTTCGCCAAGTTGTGTGTGCAAGGGTGCATGTACACATGTGGGGGAGGACTCTGGGTGACCAGGAACATGCCTCAGTACCATAAGCAGTGCTTCTTCGTGACTAGCAGAAGCAGGGCAAAGTATTCTAAATAAGAATCTGTTTGCATCTGTTTACGACGCACAAATTAGCCACCAGGCCTCCATTTTGGCCTGTGGCTCGTGGTTCTTTCACTGTCATGTGGACACAAGAACTGGGCACATCTTTTAGCTTGACAATACATCAGCCTTGTATTTAAGCAGAACCAGAAATTGCACCCAGGTGAGTGAGTGGGCGAGTGGAGGAGGGATAAAGCACATTGTCCCTCTTCTGGGCCCAGCATAGAAATGGGACACTTTGTTTCTCTTTTGCCAGGCATCAGCAGGCTAGGATTATTTTTTTTGTAAAACATTTTTTAGCAGGCTAGTAACTTTGTGGGCTTTATTTTACAACATTGCAAACCGTAATGGAGTAGTTTTGATGCAGTGAAGAAAAGGAAACACTATTTCCTGTACCTCTTCCTAAAGCCATTTTCTGCCTCTCAATATTGAAAAGGATGGCTAATTTATAATCACTAGCAAGAGAATTGCAGATCCAAATTGGTTGAATTATGGTCTTCCATCTTTTCTTTTAGAAAAAGGCATCTTAAGGAATTTAATAGACTTAACTGACTAAAAGAACTGGGCTCTTCAGACATTCCTCTGCTGAGTCACTATGACAGGGTACAATACCCTCTCCCTCAGAATGGGATAGCATGGTCCTACCTTGCAGGAGGGCTGAGATCTCCTCTCATTAAGTTGGGTTGCCATATTTCAAAAAGTAAAAACCAGGACACCCCGAATGTTGAGCTTTTTCGATTGACTTGCCTGAGATCCAGGACAAAGCGCTCTCACTATCTCAGAATTGTGAGGGTGGTGAGCTGAGTTAACAGAACCTGTTCTTGAAACCTTGGACTTGCTTTCCAAAATATTGAGGTGACCGCTTGGCATCCAGGGTCATGGCTGTGTATGGTTCTGCTGTTGTACTTGTGCAGCAGCATTTACTCTTGCCCATGATTTGTTTGTGTGTTTAATTCATATCTCGCCTTTCTTCCATGGGCTCAAGGTGAGTGCCTGGCCTAAGGTTGCCCAGTGATTTCGAGGCTGAGTGGGGATTTGAATCTTGGTCTCTCAGGTCCCAATCTGATACCTCTCTGCCCTGCAAGAAAATTGTATTTAGAATGTTGGGTTAAAACCCTAATGTGGATCATGGCACCCCTTCCCTGTTGGATCAGTACTTCTTCTTTTGCCTTCCTGCAATGATACATTTCGTTGTATTCCAGCTCCCATCATACCTGACTGGAAGCCATGCTGGCTATGACTGTTGGGGGTTGGAGTGCAACAGCAACTGGAGGGCATCGGGTTGGGGAATTGTGCACTAATGCATTAAAAAAAGTAGTCTTGCAGGTGCTGCATTGCAGAATCAATTGCTAAAAAAGCCTGGGATCCTTTTGCTGTTGAGGAGACAGAGCCCCAAAGGATGTTGCAAGAGAAAAATAAATGCATCCATTTACTCTTTGAGATGCATTTGGCTGGGCTGAGATGCAATCAGAGAGCTGCATCCATTCTCCTTCATAGCTAATAATAATAATAAATTATGCAGCACACTTGCTTTGCATTTGGGATAGTTATGAATAAGATATTGGTCTCTGTGTGTGCGTTCTGGTGAACAATTAGAATATTTGAATAGTTACCCATTTCAAGGCAATTTGATCCTGGGACACTGTTGTACTTGAATCTTTTTCCCCCCAGCCTTGGATTGCAAACTTAGTGGATCTCATTAGGAGAGATATTATGGTTTCAGAGGTCTGGGTCCAATGTAGCCAAGCCACGGATAGGCCCTTGTGAGCAAATGGTGGACCCCTTGGCTCTGTCTTCTTCCCTTGCACTCTCCACTTGCCTTCTTTCCTTCTTGCTTTGAGTCAACCATAGTTTGCTTCCAGAACTGGAATTAGAAAGAAAGCACAATTTGAACTCATATTCCAGATTTTGGTTGCTCAAAGCAAGGGAGGGAGGGGATTTCGGCGGGTGAGTGGAGGAGGGAGAACGAAAGCCCAAAGTCTGTACACGGCTTGGCTGTGATATTTAAACTGGCCCGTTGTCTTGAGTCTTTCATTGGGACACTGACCTGCCTCAAACAGAATTATTTGGTGGCTTGGAGGCTGCATCTGCCCATGGCAGTAGAATGAGGAACTAACATATGCTGTTTCTTAGAGATAGCCAAGTGATGCCCTTCTGGTGTTGGTGCACTTCAACTCATATCATCCTTGACCATTGGCAACGCTTGCTGGGGCTGATGGGAGTTGGAGTCCAACAACCATGCAGTTGGCTTCCTGCTCCATGTTAATCCCTAATGGAGACATGCCACTTTTGCTTTTTAAAATAATCAACAGAGGAGAACATGGGGGGGAGGAATGATCCCCGCCTGCAGCGCTTTTGTCGATCCATCCTACCGCCTTATTCTGCTCCATTTGTAGAGCAGTCCTGAGATGCAGTTTGTTGAGAACCTTAATTTAAAAAGCATTTGTCTGGCTGAAATTATGGGACTAAATCATCATTTTTTGAAAGCTCCAGGTAGCTCATGAGTCAGTTTATAAATTTTTTAATGTTTTAGGGTGAGGTGATGATTCATGGTGTGATTCTGGGCTAAGAGATGCTACTTCTTGGAAAAGCAGGCCAGTGAAACTGGAAGTGTTGGTCCCAGTCATGTTTTAATTGGGGGTTGATATGGACCATCTCTGGTTTGGAGTTGATGCAATACATGTGTCATGAAGCTCTTAAACATGATGACACAATGGCCCAGACTTTGCTGCATGGCAGTTAGGCAGCTGGTAACTTGGGATCAACCCACCATGTGAAAAACCTTGGCTTGATGTTGTGTTTGTATGGACTCTTAGGAAAACTAAATTCGAGACCGGTTAGAAATACTGGACTCCAAGCAGCTCCGTTAGATGCCTGACACTCCTAGCCAGAAGTCTGGGTACTGTCCCTCAAGCAATTAGGAAATGTCCCTTGTTTGGATGCATTTCCTCTTACGCAAGGCAGCTTAATTGTGTTTCCCACTAAACAGAAGCAAAGTTGACAACCTGCTTTTCCCATCTCTCTCTCTCTCTTTTTCTCTGCATTGGGAATACACTGTGCTTCTGCACAAAGGCAGCTCTAGGCAGCCATCCAGCTTTGTCCCAGCAACACGCACCCACACCAGCCATCATAACATGCAGCTCTTTCCTGTGATCCACCCCTTATGTGCAGGCTGCTGTTGCTTCAGCTGGGATGGCCTTAATGCTTCTTTTTTTTACAGAACAGGTCTCTGGTGCTCATGAAACAGACATGGTGCAATCCCATCTCACAGCATCTTTTCCCACCACATTAAAGCAACTTGGAAGGGCGGTGGACATACAGATTTTGATAGGAGAAGCGACGTTGGGGAGATGGGGTGCTCTTGTACTCTTTTCCAACACGCATGAGCTGCTGTTGTGTCAGCTAGGAAGTGGAAGAAGGCAGGTCTAAGACTAGTACCTGTCTTTCTCCCTCTTCCTCCCCACCCAAAGCATGTCCAGCGTAATTTTTAGGAGAGTAAAAGAAAGGGTTTTTTTAAAAAAAGAAAAAAGTGAGAGACAGTGCTCAGATCAAAATCTGAGCTGCTTCTCTGTAGCTTTTCAAGCTTTGTTTCTGTTTTTTAAAAAGAAAAGCTACAATCACGCTTCTTAATGAAGTGATCCCCAGTATACCTGGGAGTGGTACTTCTAAAGGTCATCATTACTCAGTCTTCAATTGATGTGAAATGAAGGGAGGGAGGTGGTGTGGTATACGTTCCATGATGTGAATCTGTACCAACCACAAACTTCCTACGGCCAGGCCTCTAGCCAGGAATGTTGCAGTGAAATGGGGTGGGGAAGTATCAGTGCAACACAGCTGGAAACTAAATATAGGTAGCCTGTTATGCTTATAGCTGTGCATTTGTATAAACAGTAAATTCCAATTGCTTCTTAGTTACCCCAAGGACTCGACACCCGTTGGCCAGAACGCTGGTGGGTGGGAACAGGGCAGCTTCTTACTGAGCATTTGGATAGAATTCTGCCTGCAGGGTCCCCCCCCCCAAACAAAAGAACTAGAGACTGCTTTAAAATTAAAGCTGAATGTTCAGGGAGGAGATGTAAAATTTTCCTAATTTCATCAAGCAGAGAAGATTCTGTGGATAGCGGAGAAGACTTCTGCCACATTGATGGCCCCTGAAAGAATAGGTGTAGATTTCTCTGACATTATTATATTGGTGGCAGCCTTGTCATAAGACTACATGAATCTTACCACCAACATGTGATTGATTTGCCTTATTTACACATTTATATGCAACCTATTTACTGCCTCCATCACATCCTCAAGTAGCTGTCCAGCAGAGCTGTTCTGTGTTGTGCAGGCTTTGCTGACACCCTCAGAGGCCTGCTATGACTTTCTGCTGCCCACGTGTGAGGCTCATGAGAGGCCTTGCATGACTCACCAGCAGATCCAGAGCCACCATTTATTTGAAGACCAGTGGTTTAAGGATTCTTGTTTATAACCCAGCTTTGTTGTTTAGATAGCGCCTACAGCTGGGCCTTGGGGTATGTCTTCTCTCATGTGAATCTCCTCCAGTTCTGAGTGATGCTGTGGTAAAAGTACAGACTCATATGGATGGCAGATCAGCTTCCACAAGAAGCAAGGCTTCCTCAGTTGTGGCTCCAGTGTGTCATGGTCATTTGTTATGGTTGTCCTGTCATTTTCCCCCCAGTGGAAGGTGAAGGCATTTCTCTTTTTGCCATTCCTTTGGGGAGCTATGTCCGTTGAGAGTGTTCTGCTACAGTGCTTATTTTCCTTAATTTTGTTTTACTTTCAATTAAGTGGTATTACATTATTATTACTACTACATCTAAGGGATATATTTTTTTCTGCCTCAAAAAAAAAAGAAAAGAAAAAACAATTGTGGGAGGGAATCAATTGCATTGTGGTCCTAAGATTGTCCTATGACTGTCTTGTTTGTTAACTTGAACTCTGCAAGTAGCAAATGTTTCTTAAACCAGAAAAACAAGTTAGAAGATTCTGGAGGAAAAGAAATATGTGAAAACGAAACAAAAGTAAGCTGGGGGGGAGTGTAAATTGGTGAGGGGAGAGTTAGTGGCCAAGAATGTGATTTGTGATGCCCCAGCCACAAATATCCTAGATGTACCTTGACAAGCTATTTTTTCAGCTTCCTCACCGGCTCTATCTACATTGAGGATTTAATCATGGTCTACTTGGTGGAGGTTGTAAAGACTACTGAGATGACGTAAGAAGCAATTTGAACGCTAATGATATAAATGCTGGACTTGATAGCTGTACAAAGGCTAACTACTGCCCACTAGTAGTAATCTGCACTTTTAATGAAGATTCAACCTTTTTTTAGGAGGTTAATATCTTTGCACTTGATGACAGTCAATAAATCTTAAAATGGTTTTCAGACCATTTTGTGATCTTTAAACACAGCCCTGGACAATCAGAAAAACTGACCATATGTTTTGGGAATGGCGTTAAAGCTTGGAGTAGCTTGTGCTTTTTAAGCTTACTACATTGGTCTGTGCTCGGATTATTTAAATGTTTTATTAGATGCTTTAGATCTTTGTAGTTCTTTTGGGGGGGCCCCTCCGCTGGGTAGAAAGACAATGGTACAAATATGAAAGAATGATAAGGAATATGTCTGTAACTTGACCTGTTTTGCCTTGTGCTGTTCTCTGTCAAGGTCTATCTTGTCATAGGTAGAAAAATGCTTTGTTGTTCATTGTTTTGGTGTTGTTGTTTTTTTTTTAAAAAAACCGATATTGTTTCCATGGTTTTTCAGCACAGTTGCTTTTTCTCAATGCAAATCCCAGCTTGGGATCCGCTCAGGCTACCTCAGAAAGGCCTCCACAAAGAACCATCTAGAACTCTGCAATTATGCTCTGGCTGTGCACGCAAGCCTCTTGCAAGGTCTGATAAATCAAAATAAAGATTCCTTTGAAAGCTTAATCCTGTGGGCAAATGACACTAAATAGCCCTATTGGCAGAACAGCTGGGAACGGAGGAGTGATTGATAAGGGGGGCCAGGGGCTTTTCATTCATTTATTCTACCAGTGCATCTCTTCCCCCACCCCGAGCCTTGTTCTCTCCTGCACAACATCGGGCTGTAGCTAGGGAATGCATTTGCCAGTTGCTTCACAATGCACCTCTTTTAAAAGAGGGAGACCCCTGGTGCAAATTGTAACTTGTCATCTATGGTCTGCATAGAGCTGCTGTTCATTGTTGCTAAATAAGCTCCGGTGTTGAAATTTTCCCCTTGCGGAGGGGTGTTTGGGCAGGGATAAGCATGAGAAGCAACTGGCGAGAGCCTCCTCCCTTTCTTTTTTCCCCTAAGGAAATATTGCCAATACCAGTTCCCAGCCTGGCATGTCAGGTTTTCAAGCTTGTTCTCTCTCTTTTCTGTACAGTTACTCTGGAAAATATGAGTCATCTACCAAGGTCTGTGATAGAGTGGATAAACTGGTTTTGTCATGTACAGTTTCCAGGCTATAGTTCTAGCCTTAAGCAGACTGCAGAATGTGAGATTCCTTAGGTATGGGTTGGACACAATCCTTTTTGGCAATTCCACACTGAACCTCAAGTTTCATGTACCGTAGTCCATGAGAGACAATCACTTCTCAAAGATGTGTGTTAGAAACCGCACTTTCAGATACTTTGCGATGCATCCGATTAAACCCTACTCAGAGTAAACCAGTTGAAATCAATGAACTTGTTATTGATGATCATTGATTTCAACGGCTTCTTTGGATACAACCCTTGTAACACTTATCCTTGTTGGCCATAGATTATATTTATTAAAACGTATGTAGCCTGCCTTTCAGGAAAAATCTTACAACAGCTAATGTAATTAGTAAAAAAAAAATATAATACAAAAAGCATATGTCCTGTAAAAATTTGTTGCAGCAGCTAATTATAGTGTGTGCTAAAACTACAAATTGAAACAGTTTTGGTAGGAGAAAACCTTTGAGGGGGGAGCAGCCATGCCCAGGCACCTGGAAACCATTAAAGAAGGCGCAAGACCCCTGCCCCCTCTCTATAGCTCCCAGTTTGCAGTTAGAAGGGCGGGAAGTGCCACACAATGCAGAAACAGGTGTGTTCGTGAGTGTCTGTGTCCATGTTCCAAGCCAGCTTGGAGCTGGAGTGTGGAAGATGGAGGCTTGCTTTGACTGGCTGCATTTGTCAGCTGTCCCATGCATGTATGTGTGCCGCCTCCTCCCTGTTCCAGCTCTGAGCTCAAGGACAAAGGGAAGCTCATATTGCCAAATCAAATCCCTTGCTTCCTCTGAACCTTTGGCTGGGGGAGCAGGTGGGAATCCTCTGCCCCACTGGCAGTGAGGTTGCGAGGAAGCCTGGGGCTCATCACACTTGCCCAAGGGCCAAGGGCTATCTGAATGCATGCCTTGGCAAGTAAAATTGTGGAGCTCAACCATGGTTTGGATGCTAAGGTATGGTTAGTACAGACCAACCTTCCCCAACCTGGTGCCCCGCAGATGTTCTGAACTCACCAGCTCCCATCAGTCCAGCCAACATGGCCAATGGCTAGGGTTAATAAGAGTTGGGAGTTCAGAACATCTGGAGGGCACTAGGTTGGGGAAGGCAGATGTGAATCATGGCTTGGCATAAAGAACTCTAATACGTAAACATTTCTGTCTTTCCCAGCAAGAAGGGGATGTTGGGCTTGGGCAACGGAGCTGTTTTCTGGTTAGATGCTGGCTGTGAATGGAGGTGTGAGAAGCACAGAAAGCAAAATGACAGCAAAGGGTGTGACGTGATTAGAGAGAGAAGAATCAGCAATAAGTGAGGGATGCGTTTTGAGGCTCTTGACTGCAGATTCTGGTAGCATAACTGATAGTATGTTTTGATATGTATTGTGTGTTTTAGAAAGAGTTTGAGTAAGGGTTCAGACGGGTTTCAGTGGCTTGGCAAAATTCCTCTACCTATTTTTATAAGGAAGTTGAATTCATTTCTTACTAACATTGCATTGAAAGCCAGTGCAGGAAAGCTGGCACGGCGAAGCTAATTTTGTCATTCCTGCTGCATCCAGGTACTCAACTTCGGGAGCTGCAGGAAATGATCTAGTAACCAGACTCTGACAGGGGCCACATTGGCTGCCCAAAATGGGGTTGACCAGTTTTCTCTCTCTAAAGTCTCATTTAAGCAGTTGCCAAAAGCCTTCCAATTACCCTGAAGTGTAGCTAGTTGCTTGTTACATACCTGTTCTTTTCCTGGCATTTCAAGCAAGAAAAAGAAAAATCAGAAGGAAAAAAGTGTGTTGTAGGTATTGTCGTGTGACGAGGTTATCCTTTTCCCTTCTTAAGCAGATGGATAATATCCTTCAGTTTGGCTTTGCTGTCGTAGAAACTTCATAAAACTTTGCAGCCAGGTGAGTGAGTAGCTACTGATCTTTCCTCAGCCCCTCTCCCGTGGCCCAGGTACAGCTGAGACATCTGGAACTACAAAGCTGCTGTAATGTTTGTTTTTTCCTCCTTTCCAAGGTCATCAAGTCTCATCCTATGTATTTTCCTTTCAGATTCCTTTGTTTCTTCCTCTCAGCCTGTCTCTCTCTTTTCGACCTCACAAGGCAAGTCTGTCATTTTTCTTGTACCCCTGCTAAAAGAAAAATGTTGCAAAAGAGGCTGTAACTGGGAGCAGGATAAGGTTCATCTCTTTCAATTATCCCACACATCCTCTAGCTAGCTCCATAACAGCTTGTTGGGTTATAGTCAACAGAGGTTCATTCATGGCCTAGTATACGGTAGTTGGTGTCTATCTTCCCATTACTATTTCTAGCAAGGTGTAGCGTTAAACTCTTGTCTGTGTTAAAGGTGCAGTCTTGAAACCACCATATTTGCTAAAAGTACATGGATTATTGTTCAGTGAAACAATATATCTTTCAGGGAGAGTGGGGGCTTGGTTGCCCCATCTGTGAAGGGGCAAAATTTTAGATCAAAAACTTCTTCAGATCGTGAAGTTTCAGGAGTTTAAGTTTAGAAAGGAACTACAATCTCAGTATGGCTCCAGTAGGCCTCTCCAAGGCGTTGTGACATGTTTCACAAAATAAATCTCCTTTGCTCAAGTTAATGATAATCAACAGAACAGCCATACCCTTATGTAGTTGTCTGTTTGGATAGTATTGCATCCTAGGCTACTGGTTTTCAAACTCTGCTCTAGGGTACTCAACAGGTACCTCTGAGTGGTCAGCAATAGTAGTAAGCAACTTCCTGAAGTCCAGCTTGGCTGTGCTTAACAATCTTCCCATGTGATGTGTGGCTGTAAGGGAGAGTTGAGCATGCACTTGGTTACATATGTCACAAGGGGGGCAGTGAGGTCCAACAGACCTGCCCGGTGCCCTGTAAGTGGGGTACGCTTGACAGATCATGCACAATGGCTCCCATAGAAGATGCTCCAGTATGTACTTTGCAGACAGGCTGGTGGCCTGTAGTGGTACAAAGTTTGGAAAATTGCTGTCCTGGACTCTCTGCTAAAGTGAATGAATGGAAACTCTTTCCAGCTTGCATGCCTTTGGCAGCAGATAGTTTGGTGCTGGCAGTGTTGATGTGGGTTTCCTTCGCAGTCATACAAAGTCTGTTAGAAGGAATGGTGGGACCTGCCTTTGTTGGGAAGGAGGTGTGTGATGTACCAGGAAGATGCTGGTAGGGAAGGTGCTGAAGAGTTGATAATTCTCTTGGCTCTTTAATACAGTTGGTGAGGAGGGTATGGATAGGCTTATTAGGTAAAGGTAAAGGGACCCCTGACCATTAGGTCCAGTCGTGACCGACTCTGGGGTTGCGTGCTCATCTCGTTCTATAGGCCAAGGGAGCCAGCGTTTGTCCACAGACAGCTTCTGGGTCATGTGGCCAGCATGACTAAGCCGCTTCTGGCGAACCAGAGCAGTGCATGGAAACGCCATTTACCTTCCCACAGGAGCAGTCCCTATTTATCTACTTGCACTTTGACGTGCTTTCGAACTACTAGGTTGGCAGGAGCTGGGACCTAGCAACGGGAGCTCACCCCGTCCCGGGGATTCGAACCACTGACCTTCTGATCTGCAAGTCCTAGGCTCTGTGGTTTAACCCTCAGCGCCACCCGCGTCCCTACATATTATGTATGTTACTTAATAAGGGAGGGTCGATAACTCCATGGTGAAGCTCATGCTTTGCATACCAGAGATCTCACATTTGATCCTTGGCATCTCCAGTTGAAGGGATCTGGGAGAGCTGTTGCCAATTTGAGTAGACATTATCGGACTAGATGGACCATATGGTCAGATTTCCTATGGCAGCTTTAAATAACAAGACCAGGTAAGAAGGAATTTGAAGATAACTTGATCCAGAGATGGGAAACCCGTGGCTCTCCAGATGTTGGTGGACTACATTTCCCATCAGCCCAAACCATCATGGCCAATGATCGGGATGATGGCAGTTGTAGTCCAGCAACATCTGGAAAGCCACCAGTTCCCCATACCTTATTCCATGACAAAGCAAATAGTAGGCTCCAATTGCAATGAAACAAAATTTCTGTGTTTCCCGCCCTTAATGTTTCTCAGAGAAGTCACATGAATAATGGTGCTGATGTCTGTCTTCAACAGGATTCAGAATCTCACATCTTACCTTCCATTAGGTGAATTTTCACCTCCATGGAACTCTTTATATGCCAAGTTACCTCGCAGAGGATGCCGGGTGTTGGCCAGGCTTAGTGGACCCCTAACCATTGGTCCATAGTCAGCCTTCCCCACCCTGGTGCCCTCCAAATATTTAGGACTCCCAAGTTGCAACTAATTGGCCATGCTGGCAGGGGCTCCTAGGGTAGTAGTTTTAAGAGGGCTCCAGATGGAGGAAAGTTGGCCCACATAAACAGAATTGTGCCCTAGAATAGCTTGCCTAGTAGGCAACTAAGAATTCCATTTGGGCGGTTCGGTTTCTGTGCTAAGTGCAGAGGAAGAAAAGCTCCTTTCTTCATGACCAGTATAGAAATGCAAAGGGGGCTGGCAAAGAAGAACAGTTCGCTAGGTAGCCAGTCAGTGTGGTAGAAGGTTACCTCCTCCTTAAGTCTACAAAGAGGCAGAAGGCCATGCTTCTATGCAGGCCATGCAGGATGGGCCTACCCCTCTTCTACTGCCAGCATGAAAATGCAGGCCTCATGGCAGGCTAATAATTTTAGTGAGCTTATTTACAAACCTGTGCTAGAAACACACACACACACACACACACACACATCACATTCACCTGTGACTTTACATTACATGAGAAGACTACTAGTAGCATATGATCTGACAAAGTTTGTCTGCCAGTCCTGATCTTCTCACTGAGGAGCCCCAGGGCTCCCCAGAACACAATTTGGATAAAACCACTCCCCATGACCATTAGTAGAGGTAGAAACTTAGGACCTGCATCCAGGAGTGTGGAATCTACAGCCCTCCAGCAGTTGTTGAATTGCACTTCCCATCTTTCTTGGTTCTTGGCCATGCTTTGGAGGGCTGAAGGGTGTTGGAGCGTAAAAACATCTGTAGGGACCACAGGTTCCCCACCTCGAGCAACACAGCATTTCAGGCAAGGCCTTAGAAGTTCACGCTGGCTTAGGTTTGCTCCCACTGCCAGCACAGGTTGGCCCAGTGAAAAGTGGTAGCCATTTCCGCCCCCAGAGCTAGCTATTTGCTGATGGAGGGTTCGGGTTTGAAATGTTGGCTGCTTTTTGATTTGCTAAAACACCCACAGTTGTGACTTGCTATAAGCACCGTATGAGCATGTTGACACGCCAAGGTGCAAGCCAGGTGTGATCTTGAGAATCAGGTTGCAATTCATTCCTCTTCAGCAACACTCCTGGTGGTGTTGTTGTCAGTCCAGCATTTTGCCTTGCATCACCCCATTGGCACCCATTTCATCACTGTTACCGCTACACCCGATACTGTGGATTATTGTCCACTGCGTCATGCAGCTGGAAGGGAGTGTTGGCTGTCAAGATATATCCTAACCACCCCAGTTGAGACCAGAGCAGGCCTCGGCATTGCCCTGGCCAATCAGCATCTTGTTTCCAAACAGTGTCCTGCTAGATGTCACTACCACAAGGGTAGCCAACCTGTGACTCTCCAGATTTTGGACCACAGCTCCCATCATCCCTGACCTTTGATCATTGTGGCTGGGCTTGCCAGAAGTTGGGAGTCCCAACAAAATCCAGTGGGCACCATGTTGGCCTATTCTAGAACAGGAATAGGGAATCTGTGGCCTTCCAGATGTTCTTCGTCTCCCAACTCTAGTCAGCCGCAGCTGGCTTAGCCAGCAGTAGAGTCCAGCAACATCTGGAGGGCCAGAGGGTTCCCCAACCCTGTGGGGCCCTTTTATTTGTCCTTAGCATTCAGGGGGTAGACTGAAATGATTTAGACATCTGAATTGCTTTCAGCCCCGGAATAGGAAGCTGCTACAATGAAAGACATTTGGGGCAAACAGCAGCAAACCAGTTACAGCCTTTTTTGTAAACAACAACAAAAAACATTTTTCTTCTCACTCCCCCCCTTCTAATACTTAAAGTTCCCTCGAGACCTAGCTTGGCTGCAAAGTCCTGGCTGATTTCCTTATCTTGGTGCTGTGGCTTATCACGTGCTATTTCTATGGCTGCTTCTGCACGCTGTGTTTTTCTTTCTCTCTCTCTCTCTTGAAGAGCTTCACCTTTGTCTGTGTAAACTTGCTTTTTGAAGAAACCAAGCACTCGCCAGTTCGATTTGGCAGGCAAAAAATGGAGGTGTGGGGTGGCAATGGCAGTAAAGCATGCAGGCGACTAAAATTTCTGGGCAAGATGCTTAGTCAGGAGGGGCTCTAGGGCATGTGCTGGTAAAGAAATCCTGACTCTGATCCAAAAATCCTCCTTGATTCTGCAATGGAAACAATTCATGTAAATTTGATTAAACTGGAAAAAAAATCTGAGGGCTTATTCTTGGTTAGCAGAATCAAGGTAGTATTTGGGTTTTGTTTTTCCAAGGGATGATGTGGAAGATAGGTAAGGTGGTTAGGGGTGCAGTGACATAACCAGATATTATGGCAAATTCTGATGTTACAGCCAGACTATGTCTCAGGTTCACCCACTCTTTTTCCCTCTCCTCCCACATGACCAGATTCCTCGCATTCTCGCTTTGTGAATCACAACAACTAATTTGCCATGACATCTTACTTGCACAAGCTATGGGCAATTTGCCTCCAAACTAGAATTGGAAACCTTGGTTTGAACTGATTTCTGGCCTTCAGGTAAGCTATGGTTTGGTGATGACCGTAGCTTACTCCATTTTGGACATAACAACAAACCATGGTTATTGTAAATTGAACAGTCAGAGGGGGAATCAGGATTGCAGAAGGGAATTTGTGAGCCCAGGTCACAGCTCTGGCAACTAAATTGTAATATAGCCATGACTATTGTAAAGAGATTGGACAGCTTGGAGCCCCTTTCAAATCTGTTCCTGTTTTGGAACCTTTAACCCACTGGTTTTCAGGCTCCCTACCCTCCACAAAGGCTCTCCACCCTTATTAGTCAACTGAGGAACCATTGTATATTCCAAAAGATTCTAAAGCACACTCAATATACTCATGGCACCTACTGGGCCTAGAATGTGTCCAAACACGTCTCTGAGTATTGCAGTGGGAAAAGCTTGTTCCTAATTAAGGACCCCCTAATTAAGGATACCCTAATGAGGATATCACAGCTGTCTGGCACACTGTTGGAAAGCCACTGCTTTAATTTGATAGTAGCAATCACAAGATCTGCTTTTATTTAAAAGCTAGGGAAAAAAGAGCTGGAAATGTGTGTTTGAAAACTGAAAAGGTAGAGAATTTCTGTTTTAATCAAGGCAAAAACTACTACACTGTACCCTTATGTAAGGAGCCCTCTTGTTGTTAAGCCAAGGTCTGTTGCAGCATGTCTATTTTGAGTAAAAGTTAGTTGAATTCTAGCCAGAGATGATGTCCAGGTGCTGGGTGACTTAATTAGTGTAGATTGAAATAGATTGAAATGATTTGCAGGTGGTTTTTGTTTTGTTTCCAAGTTAGGCAGGCTGCTGTCCTCTGGGCCTGACTTAAAGCTGATGTTGAAAATCTGAGGTGCAAATACGTTGTGCTACCTGGTCTTGCTAATCCATGTCTCTTTCATTGTGTGTCTTGTTGGGTCCAGCAGGACAATGGAGATAGAACATACCCTATGTCTTTCTTTTCAGAATGGCCTGAGGGAGATCTCTGAGAATAATTCCACTCTTCGTAAGGCTACTGACTAACGGGGTAACCCCCACAAAAAATTAGAAAACTGCCTTATTGCAGCCTTCCCCAGCCTCATGTACTCCTGTTGCTGGACTTCCAACTCCCATCACCACCAGTGAATATAGTGGATGGTTGCGGATTACAGGAGTTGGACAGCCAAAAACTAATGGAGGGCACCAGGTTGGGGACAGTTGCCTTTATTGAAGCAGAGCCCTTGGTGCATCTACCTTGGTACACTCTACTATGGCATCTGTCCAAGCAAGGTTCCTATTTCTCTCCATGGAGAATGCCAGAGGTTGATCTTGGACCTTTTACATACAGTGAGCATTCTGCTACTGAGTTGTAGGCACTCCTGCAAGTTAAAGAACGTTGATGAAGTTGTCTTATACCAAGTCTACCTATTGGTCTACCTAATTCTGTGTTGTCTACTCGGATGGGCAGTGCCTCTTCAAGATCCTCAGGAAATGGTCTTCTTGGCCTTGCTACCAGAATCCTTGGAACTGGAAATGCTTGGGATTTAACCTAGGCTCTTCTGTGTGCAGAATGCAAATTACCACTGAGATGGGCATTTAAATGCCATCAAGGAGCGGTCAATTCTGAGGGTACTGAGACTTACACTATTCGAAAGTAGATGGTAATAAGAGTTTTGAGCTCCGTCAAGTTTGTGAGTAAATTCCCTGCTTCTGCTCAGTGTAGTTGCCTTAAAACCAAAATTTCACCTGACTAATCTGTGTGCTTCTCTTGAGCATTAAGACGTTATTCAGGCTCTCCTTGGCTGTAACTGGTGTGCCTGCCAGGCTTGTAGTTGGAGGTGAAGAGGAGCACCTATAGGCATGCAGTTGTTTTTAAGGCTGAGCTGTCTCAGGCAAGTGGCATTGAAGTTTTACATCACATCTGCTGTATTGGAACCTTGTTCTGTTCCTCCATGGCATGATCTTCAGACAGTTCCTCAAGAAGACCAGAACTGGGCATTGGGCTTCCCTGAAGCACAGCTTGCCTATTACTACTGACCTTCCCCAGCAGGTATGCTCGTGACCTTCAACCTTTTCAAATCTGGGACCCAACTTAAGCCTTCAGCTGCAACATGGGCCCCAGCTTTAAGTTAAGGTGTATATATCCCTCCCTCGCTCGCTTCCCCATTGGCATACTTTACACATCAGACATACTGGTTTGCCATTCTGCCTCTCTAGAAAATCCTGGGAATTGCAATTTGGTGGGGTGGGGAGTCTGTAACACTCCTTAGCGCCCTACAGTTCCCATCAGCGGGTGGCAGATAAGAAGTTTTGATAGATTAACCAACTACTAGAACTAGTAGTGTAGGCCAAGGTTTCCCAAACTTTGGTCATCAGCTGTTGTGGGACTCCAACACCCATCATCCCATGGTAGCTAGGAATGATGGGATTTTCCAAGTTTGGGAAACCCTGGTATAGGCATACCCTCATTCTTTCTCTTTCTTACTGTTTTAAATTGTTGCGCTGCCACCGGCACACATGCACCATGGGGTCTGTCCACCAACCCCAGTAGATCAGGGGAGGGCAGCCTATTTTCTGCTGGGCCACACTCCCTTGGAAGTAGAATGGGGACGATAGAAGAGTCATTTGGTAGGCAGGGCAGACCCAGAAAGTAGGCGGGGTCAGAGCTAAAAGTGAATGGAGCCATTCCACTTCTTCTCTGTCCTTCTGCCACCCCATTTCCCCCTGCCTTCTTGCCACCTACGGCCACCTATGACTCTTCCAGTGTTAGAAACTAGGATAGAAAAGCTATTTGCCACATGGCTTCTGGAACCTATGTTATGGGCACAAAAACAAAGTCAAGTCACCTTTGCATGGGTAACTCGCGCTACACAGCAGCAAGCCTACTTTGGAGTCAGCTGGGAAGGAATTTCTCCTCCTATGCCCTCAGCACCAGCGGCAGCAATTTTATTCTTGAGTCTCCATCACCATGCATGGTGACAAGACTTCTCAAAGTGCTCGCATTCTGACAATCCCCAGTCACAAAATGTGCCTGGCACCTGGCTAATTTTGAACACTGGACTCATTAGCTTTAGGTTGCTTGCCCCTGCACTAGATAGTGGGTTGACAGACTCAACAGGCTTATGCATCATCACAGGGACTCTTCGGCATACCTGTGACCCAGGGTAGTCTTGCATGGAAGCGAGTTGTTTTGAAATCAGTGAGATGGCATGAAGATGTGAGAATAGCCGTTCCATGTTTCAGGAGCGTGTTTCTTTGATGCAATCAAGGCAGTGGCTAAAATGTTTCAGTAGAGAGTCCTGTGCCCAGATGGTCCTCTTTCAAGAAAACAAGCTGTCCTCAGGACTTCCTTCCTAGAGCATGTCCTCCCTGGCTAAATTCAGAATACAGTATAGTAGCACTCCCTTTAGGCACTCCCATGAAAAGTTTCAACTGTCCCCTGACCTTTCATGGTTTGAGACTGGATGGATGAAGTCATAACCGTGATATGTTTCGTGAAGCAAGAAGGGGACATGTTCATGTTCATTAACGAGGATTTCTTCCCTGCCTTTTTGTCGTTAAGGGCACTTAAGGTGGCTCTATGAGGATAATGAGCAGGAGAAATGAACACCCTTCCCGTCTAGATTCTGTACACAAAGGGGAGATTTCTGCTGTGGACTTCCAACCATTAGTCCAGAATGCAGCTCTTCAGAAGCTCACTTGTGGATGATGCCTTCTGGCTGTAATATTACACTTGTCCAAGAAATAGCCTGTCACGGTTCCAGCTTTATTTTCCCATGGCATTCTAAGTGTTGGGTGACTGAGAAGAAAAATCCACTGAGTAACTGAAACTCGGTTCTATTGCAATATGTGGGCTGGTGCCCTTAGGCTCTTGGCACACCCCTCCAGTGCCTTTCTCAACCATTGCCCCAAGCCTAAGGAGTGGTTCCCAGTATTGCTCTGTCGTGTCAACCCAGTCCAGAAGCATTGGTAGAATTACCCATCTTAGGGCTCTCTGACACCTAGAAAGGACAGGATAGCTCAGTCAAGGCAGAGGGCACACAACATCCATAGGAAGGATATAGTCAGATCTTAGGTGCACCTAGCCTCGTGGTGTTAATACTCTCCTGAGTTCCATAGAGGGGTCTTTCCCAGTACAGCCTCTTTATCACAGCTATACATTTGTAGAGTTGGAAGGGACCATGAGGATCATCTAGTCCAAACCCCTGTAATGCGGGAATATTTCACCCAACGTGGGGTTCAAACCCACAACCCTGATATTAAGAGTCTCATGCTCTACAGGCTGAGCTGTCCCTCAGGACATGATGCCTGGGGTTGATCCCAAGACCTTCTGCATGCAAAGCATGTGGTCTCCTGCTGAGCTACAGTCTCTCTCCAGTTCCCTCTATTACTTGATGTGACAGTAGTTGCTCTGTCCTGTGCAAGCAGCACAGGCTGTTGCAAACTAGTAAAACATGCCATTCTTGTAAAGCTTCAGAGTTCCTAGACACTTTGCTCAAGAAGCCCCTCCAAACATTTGACAGCTTATCAGAACTGGGGTGCATCTCCCTGCAGCCATGCCAGCCTGTAAGCAACCAGCATCATTCTGTTTACATGCACTAATTTGGGTTACTTCTATTCATCCACCCGGCATGCTCACCATTGCACACTTAGATATTTTATTTTATTTTAGCTGACCTGAGCTCTTCATCTGCTATGAACTTAACTGTTGGTGGCTTTTATGTTCCTGTGGATCATAATTCCCCTGTGAAGTGGCTCCCTTGTGAAGTCCTATGGGTGCCAGTCTCTTGCATGTTTGCCAAGGCAGATGTTTCGGAGTCTTGTCTCCCTAGTTCTAAGAGCATGTTGCCTGCTTGACTGTGAAATCTGTGACTGCTGCTCTTTCCCTTTTATCCCGTTTGTAAAATGGGGGCCCCTAGATGGGTCTGTGTCTCTTCTTCCATGTGTCCCAACAACTTGGGCTTCCAAGGTTGCAATTTCCTTCCTCCCCTGTGTTCTCTTGATCAGCTGGAGCTCAAGCTGCTTTTTTAGCATATTCAGGAAACCAGAGGGAAAGAAATGGCAAATCCGCACCCTCAGATGTAGGAAAAGAATTCGTAGATGGCCAAAGTCAGGACCACATCTATGGGACCAGTGAAGGTTTGGGAGCAGGGCCAGTCTCTGTAGGATCCACTGGCCTAGAGGAGTCGTCTCTCTCTGTTGGATCCAAAGTTCACATCTGTGACCCGGTGGTACAAGCTTCTTCCTTGACTCATAATGACTTTAAGGGAGGTGTTGCCCTAGATGGAAAAGTTGAGCTGAGTAAATGTGACCAACACAAAAAACCAGCTTCAAGTGGAGAGTCCAAATTAGCTTTGCTAACCAACCCAAAAGACGAACCCGAGCACTCTCCACCCAGAGTTGCCTACTCTCATTCCCCAACATCCCCAGTGGTAGCTGGTGAGGCCGTTGTGGAAAAAGATTCCCCTGAGTCTCCATTCGAGGTCATTGCTGACAGACTGGAATTTGATAAGGAATTCAAAGATGTCCTTGCGAGCAACTCCAGTGATATCAGTAGCAACTGGGTAATGCACAACGAAAGGGAGCTCCTCACAGACATCCCAGAAGACAGCGTGTGTGAGTTTCAAGTGAAGCCACGGGGCGGGAGCCGAATTCCACCGGGGCCTGGCCTCTCACGCCAGTCTTCAGGCACAACAGCAGCACTGGAAGAAGTGTCCAAATGTGTCCGTGACTTGCACAGCTTCACGAGCGAGCTGCTCAACTGGGATATGATTCCTAAGGATCTGGAGGACAAGCCTGATGACTTTGGCAGCTCGGGCTTCTTGCCATCGCCTACCCGAGATTCAAATGGTGTCGCTGCTGGGTCGGTAGGTGGCAAAGTGGAAGCGAGCAAAGCTTCCAGCCCTCACCAGCCCCTCAAAATCAGCATCCACCAAAAAGACCGTCCATCTCCAGTGGAGAAGGATGAGAAGCAGGCCATAGTCGGTCGTGAGGTATCTGTTGTGAAAGTCATTCCCACCGCTGCAGCAGAGCCGAAGGCAGATGTCCGCTGGCCAAATTCCAGCCTACCCGAAATGGCTGATGCTGACAGCTCTGGGGAGTCGGACGACACTGTCATAGAAGATGCTACCGTGATTCCAGCCTCCCAAAATGAGACTGCTGCAGAGAGCAGCAAGCCACTCCCCAAGGCACTTGACTCTGTCAAAACAGCGGTTGTACATATAGACGACAAAGGGAGCAAGCCACGTAAACCCAGCCCAGAAGGCGCAATTCCACCCAAGGCCCTGGAATGCAATTGGGGATCCATTGATGACTTTGAAGCTATCCAGACCAAGACAAATGTTCATGGGGGTAGCCCAGTCGCTGCTTCTCTGCCACCTAAACAGCCCTCTCCTGGCATACCTCCTAAAGCGGGGCAGGAATTGTGCACTTATGGACAGGACCTACTTGGGAAAAGGCCCAGGATGGATGGCCTCCCCTTGGACAATGTAAAAGAGGCTGTGTGCCCAGACTCCCTCAATGGGGAGAGCTTTATGGGCTTCATGAAGGAGTGCTTGAATTCCAAAGGGAGCGAATCTCCGGATGACGCTGTTGAGACCTTCTCGGAAGCAGAGCTAAAAGCAGCAAGATCCGAGGTGGCGGATCCCCATTCACAGCAGCCGCCAAAGGTGACTCAAGACTTTGAGCAAGAGCACCTCACCATCAAGGCCCTCAAAGAAGTTGGCAGGAAGGCTGAGACAGAGAAGCAGCCACTTCCACCAAGCAAGGTCTCCGTTCCCGGAGGGAGGCGTCCTGGGCAGTACTGCGAGGTACCCCCAGACCCCCGAGGTCCTGTTCAGAAGTCTGCCTTGGAGAAGAGACCCCTCTGCCTTGAGCAAGCTGTGGATGTGAAGCTGGCTTCTGCCCCTGCTGCCCTTGGCGGACACGACATTCCCAACAAATCTTCCCAGGCCCCTCTTCCCGAGCCTCCTATGCCACATGCTATTGCAAAATTACTGGCTGACTTTTCAGGTAAACACACTCTTTGGTTGCTGCTTTTTTATGCCTTGCATGTGTGGCCCTCTAAAGACCAATATTATGTTAGTTTACCTCTACAGGGGTGGCAGTGGGCCCCTCCATAGGTACCCTAGTTTTACAGCAGCCATGCCCCTGCAATTTAGTGTTATCAACCTGCTCTGCGTTTATCAAGGATGAGATTCCAGGAGTACCTGAGGGATCTGCAAACTTGAAATATGTCCAGTCCCTCTTAGTGCTACTGGCCCTATTAGAACTCTATTTGTATGTGCAGGAGTCTGCCATCTTACGCTTACTTTACCTAGGAGTAATCCTTTACGCTTACTTTACCTAGGAGTAATCCCCGTTGCCCTCAGTGGGGCTTACTTCTGGGTAGTTTCTGTATAGGATTGCAGCATAAATTCCAGATTGTGTTCCACTGCAGCTCATGGATGTATAGCTCTGCAGTATGAATCACTCTCATATTACAAGGTGTGTGTCTGAACTCACACGCATGTCTAGAACTCGTGTGTATTCATTTGCACACCCCCAAGATTTTTAGAAAACCTTTTGCTAGAGTAAGGGAAGGTGGGCATTGGCCTTCCTCTTTGCCTGTTTGAAAAGATGCTGTAAGAGTATCTTTCTGCATTTGGAGGTGGGTGTGGGTGGGGAGAAGTTGTTGCTAGGAAGACTTCCTCCCAGTGAGGGAAATCTCAGCCCATCACAACCCTGGGGAGTGCATGTTGTATTCCCCCTGCTCTCCTTTGTTCACCAGCATGGCTTTTATGGGCTTGATACCAGACAAGCACGACAGAGGGATTCTTGGCTTCTGCTCTGTTTGGGCTGCAGGCTTCAATTTTTGCAGATGCTCTTCCTCTCTCCCTTTCTTTGTTTATATTTTCAAGCTGAACTGCAAGCAGAGGGGTGGGGGTTAACGAGAGGCAAAACCCATCATTATTTGTATTTTCCCCTCCTCTGTGGGTCAAGGAGCAAGCAGCCTGAAAAGGGTTTTTTATAAACTTTCATCTTTGGCGAGTTGCCAGTCGCCCATCTCCCATAAAGAGGGAGTGGCTCTCCCATGTCTGAACAGAGAGAGTGTTGTGCTGAGTTTTAAATGCCTCCTCTGTGCTTCTGCTCCTAGGAGGGGCCCTTGGCCCATGGTGGGCCACATGCTTTGCATGTGTAAAGTCCCAGGCCCAATCCCTGGGGTAGTTCAGGGGATGGCAAGACGCTTTGGCTGCATAACGTCCCAGTTTGACAGACTCCAATGGGAAGGATCTCTGGTTGCAGGGCTGGAATCCTTGGGAGCTGCTGCCAGTCAGAGCAAGCAATACTAGCTAATCCAGTCTGACTTGATACAAGGCAGCTTCATGTTGTCATGTGCGTCTTACTTGCTTGGGCATTAGGGCAGCACCAAGTGATACTATATTGTTAACTCTGCTTTTAACATGTTCTTGTAATTTTATTGTGTTTTTTCCCTTGCTTGTAAGCTTTCAGGACTTCTGAGTTAGGAAGCCATATACAGATTTATTGAACCTCAACCCACACCACAGTTTCCAGGTGTACACAGATTAATATATTTGAAACGAGAGAGAACGCTGGAGACTCATAATATTTGCTGTATTTCCAAATATGAATAAGACAGGGTGGGGGCCTTTTCAGAGTTGTCTCCTACCCCATAGGATTCCCTTTCAAAGGCACAACTGGTTCTTTCAATTCAGGTTTTTAAGCGAGCTTTTAAAGACTGTTGTTTTTCCCTTTTGCTTTTAATGGCAGATATTTATGTATCTGCTTCTGGTGGTATTCCTTATGGCGTTTCTAAGATGTATTTTGCTCAGTCCTAATTAATTTTATATCATACTTTGTTACTTTTTATTTCAATTTGCATATATTTACACCACCCAGATAATCTTTTAGATCAAGAGTAATAGAGACGTGTTTAAATAAAAAAATAGATAACACAAGTAGAGGCAAAGAGGCACATCTACAAGACAACTGCTGTCTCTGCTTGCCTCTTCCGCTCAAAGAGTGTTTATTGCATTCCCCCAAACCTGATGGATAACTTAGTTCCAAAAAGCACAGAAGTTCTATTATGAAGAGAGAGCATTTCTTGCCACCGTCCGGTTCCCACTAGCAAAATCTCAACCAGCCTTCCTGAACTATTATTATTAGCCAGCAGTCTGCCTAACAACAGGAATGGTGAGCTGGAGGGCACTTCTTTAGCCCACTTCATTTACCGCGTAGGGGACGGGATCTGGCTGCCTAATTCTGTTTTCTGGTAGTCATGACATGGAGGAAGTACAAAAAAAAACACCCTCTGAGACTGGGGGCACTGCAATCCTTCCTCGAGCTGTGCCTCCCCACCCCACATGGAAGATTCAAATAGGCATCCCCTGCTCCCAGTCTTCACACTTTGCCTCATGAGAGCTAGCAACATCTCTTTTTAAAATAAAAATAAAAATGAGTGCTAAGGTTCTGAGAGTGCTGCAGTACAAAACAGCCCTGTTTGGCTGCCTGCTTGGCTCTTCGCGGGCTCATGAAAAATGCACGCTAAATGCCCCAGAGGGTGGCGAGCAGAGCTTAAGGCTTCCCAGCAGCCCCTTGCAGCAGACTAGTAAACACGAGCAAGAGAGTGGCGAAATGGGAGAGACGCTGACAGGCGTTTTTCTTTTCCGCTCTTCCATTCCTGCCTTATTCGATGCTGTGATTACTCATCCATCATCTCCCCAGCACCACCGCCACCCCCCCATCCACCTCCCCTTCTTGATGCATTTGCAGAAAGCATCATTGCCAAGATGTCTGCGTTGATGCTGTAGCAACCCGCACTTCCAGCATCTCTCTCGTGTTGTGTGTATGTGCAGGCTGTTGTTTTTCCTTCATACCTTGCTGTGGGCAAGCGACCCGTGATCTGTTCCTTTGTCCTCTTTCTGTCCTGCAACCTCCTCCCACTTCTGCCTGTTTTGACAGCTAATGCATTTTGGGGGGGGGGGGTGCGGGAGATGGGCAAGGAACTCGGCCAGGCTGTTGCAGCAGAAAGAGCTTTTGCTGGGAGGCGGGCAGCCAGTCTCCCTCCTCCGCTCCTGCCCCCTCAGAAGCAATGGGGTTCTGCCCTCAACCAGTTACCTGCTCTCTCTTTTGGTCTTTCTGAGGTTGCAGTGGGAAGGTCCAGGGCAGGAACTGGCTGTGCTGGCTTCCCTCCCAAAGTTACAAATTCACCCACAACCCTGATGTGCAAGTGTGTGTGTGTGTGTGTGTGTGTGTGTGTGTGTAAAAAATGGAGGGGGGTGATCCTGAGAGCAGCCAAGCACAATGTCTTGTCTGAGGCAAACCCACCTTCCTTTATCCTCTCCTGGGCTGGGACTGGGAGCCAGGCTTTGTCTTGAGCTCAGCGGTGTGGCCTCCAGCCAGCCTATCAGAGGAACCAGCCTCTCTTTCCATCAGCCCCCATCAGCCTCCCTCCTCTCTAGAAGAATAAACAGCAGGGGGCTGGCCTAATGCCATTTGCTGCAGATCCAAGGACTAGGGGCTTATCCTCACGGTGTGGGGCAACAGTGCCCCCTTCCTAGAGGTGGCTGGGTGTTACAGGCCAGAACCGCACAGTAGGAGGACCATCTCTGCCACCTTTGACGCAGGCGTCCGCCTGGGTGGGTGAGCGCCTTGTTTTCAAACCTGGCACATCCCACGAGATTGCTGTGCCTAATTCCTGAACTGGATTCCTTCATCCTACCAGCAGCAATCGAACCTGAGCATCTGTTTCCAAAAGACGGTTTAGTTTTGCTGCAACAACCAACTGATTTGGAAGGCAGGGCGTTAAAATACTGTAGAGCCTAGGTGGGGAAGCTGTGTTGGACTACAGCTCCCATCATCCTTGACTGGCTGGGGGCTGGTGGGGGTTGCAGTTCAGCAACATCTGGAGGGCCACAAGCTCCCCAGCCAGGCTGTCATTCTTTAGGAAACTAAGCTCTCAACAGCACTTGCTTTTGGGAAATACCCTGTAGGAACAAGGAGGGGGTTAATCCCAGGTAAGTTGTGGCAGGGAGCCAGTCTGTGACTTTGCCTTGCCAGACTAACTGCAAGGTACTTTTGTGTTAATGCACCAAGCCCTAAATGACCTGTGCCCATAGTACCTTAAGGATGGCTTGATTCCTAATGCTCCACCTCAGTTGCTGTCTGATGGGGCCACTTCTGGTGATTTTCCCACACCCCTGAGTGTTGGTTGGCCTTCACTAGGGGCTGAGTCTTTGGTGTGTCAGGCCAGGCTGCCCTATGGAACTCCCTGCCAGTAGAAGTTACATTTTTGGATTTTAGCAGTGCAGATTATAAATTTGTAAATAAAATAAATATATCGTTTTGGCTGTGCTTTGGACAAAACTGAGCTCGGTCAGTAGAACATGAGACTCTTAATCTTGGGATTGTAGTTTTGAGCCTCACGTTGGGTGAAAAATTCCTGCATTGCAAGGGGCTGGACTAGATGACCCTCGTGGTCCCTTCCAACTCTACAAAGCTATGATTCTAGCATCTTGAGCAGGGGAAGGGCTGAATGTTTGTGTTTAAAAAGAGCTTTGGCAGAAACAGAAAATACTCAGGAATTTTGAAGCCATGCAGAAAGGTGGTATGTGTTTGGAAAAGGGTAGAAATTTGTTGGAGGGGGTTTGAAATATATGTACACCTATTTTTATCAGTTATAGATGACTGCTTCAATGCATTAAGCCTCACTTAGCATATAAAATAGTACTGCAGGTCTGCCATGCAGGCCAACAAATGCTAACACAAATAATGTAGTGGGTGGTTTCTTACATATAGTAATGTCTCTTCTCCCCCTCCCCCCCCCCCAATCCAACTAGCTGAAACCAAGTTACCATTTTAAAAACCATTGTCAGTGGCTCTGCTCCATTCCTTAGCGATCTAGGGAAAATCTCACAGCAGTCCCCCACACTATGGAGGCCACCGCTGAACCATATTTTTCGGGGATGGCCCTTAGGCTTAGTTCAACAAATCCACCAAGTTGGCCCTTTTTAAGCAAGCAGTTGAGATGCTTTGTTAAGATAGTAGTCCTAGATGTGTCTACTTGGGAGTAAGCACCATCCCCACCGAGTTCAAGGGGACTTGCTTCCAAGTAAGACTGTGCACAGGTTGCAAACCTACATCCCATTGAATTTGATGGTGATGGTGCTTGCTTCCGAGTAGACATACAGGATTGCAAGAGCTTCATGTGCCTGCAGATTGCATTTATATTTATAAAACAGATTTATATCCCACTTTTGTCTTTTTGAAAAGATCCTCAAGGTGCCGACTAAATCTGGTTTTGTTTTGCTGCAATAAATTAAAATAAAGTATACGAGAAGCTTTCAGAAACAGCCAGGTTATAAATAACTGTTCATTTGGTCCACAGTATCCCTTTAAAGAAGTTGCAAAGCAGCCCAAGGGTAGCAGGAATGGGGCCAAACAGGCCTTTTTCAAAACTGCAGTCCACAGCAGTGGTGCCGTGATCACCCAAGCCCTCTCCTGTTTGCCACCTGCATCTCTTGGTTCAGGGGTTGCCAGCCTTTTTAGGCCCCATGGGCATATTTGGATTTTTGAGCGAGTGCCATGGGTACAATTTTTGGATTTTTGAGAGAGTGCCCCTCTGGACAATTCTTTCCCCATCTTTTGGATTGGTGCTGGGAGAGAAAACACGTATGTGAGAGCGTGTTTACTTTTCCAAGGAATCTGGGTAGAAGTTGTACCCGGTAGAATAAATCTGAGCCTTGAAAAAGCATAGAGCTGAAAGAGGAAGTGAGAGATAGTGCCACTCTTCCAACTTCCTCCTCCAGCTCTATGCTCTAAGGGAGAAAAAGATAACCGTCCTCGCCATCTCATGACCAAGGGGCAGTGAGGGGAGCAGGGGCCCAAGAGGCTTCATGGATGCCTTGGTCCTGGGAGGATGCAGAGAAGGTCCTTGGTTATCGCCCTTAGAATTGCATGGCCTGGGTGCTCTTCTTGCAGCAGTTTCCAACCCTATCCAGTGACCTCTTGTGCTCATTTCTCTCTTTGGCAGTGCGTGATCTGGTCTTCTGGCGGGATGTGAAGAAGACGGGCCTTGTCTTCAGCACCACGCTGATCTTGCTGCTCTCCCTGGCTGCTTTCAGCGTCATCAGCGTCATCTCGTACCTCATCCTGGCACTCCTCTCCGTCACCATCAGCTTCCGGGTCTACAAGTCTGTCATTCAGGCTGTGCAGAAGTCTGAAGAGGGGCATCCATTCAAGTGAGTGGGCTTGGTTCTCACCAGGTTCCGTTTAGGCCAAGTAGATTTCCATTCTCCCTTATCCTTTCTGAAAAATGGCCTGCATGAACTCGTGACCATGAGATCAGGTAGTAAATGCTAATATTGGATGTGAAGAAGCATAGGCAATTGCATGGAGGGGGAGAATTCTTTGGGTAGCTGTCAACTGTGAGAGCTAAATGGAGCCTCCAGGTTCAGAAGCAGTGACTACATACATGATTATACTAGAGGCATGTAGTACAGGAGGGCTCTTGCTTCTAGGTAGCCTAGAAGCAAGGTATGAGAGTTTATGGGAAGTTCAGAGCATTTGTTCATCTAGTGTCGTCTACTCCAGCCGGCAGCAGCTTTGCAAAGTCCCCAATTGTTTTAACTGGAAATGCTGAGAATCGAACCTTGGACCTTAGGAAGGTACATTGAAAGCTCAGCATTGTCTCTGCTGATTGGCAAGGACTCCCCAGGCTTTCAGATGGGGGTCTCCCCCAACCCTAACTGGACACACCAGGGACTGAACCTGGGAGAGTCTGCATGCAAAGCGGGAAACTACCCAGAGGAACAGGGGAAGCTGCCTTAAACCAAGTCTAACTGCTGGTCCACCCAACTCCGCATTGCCCACACCGCGCAGCAGTCATTCTCCACGGTTCTAGGCAGAAGTCTTTCCCTGCCCAGTTAGCCCTGTCCTGTGATGCCAGGGATTGAATGGGATATTCTCATTCGCTCTGGCCTTTCCTGTGTACGCTCTTGTCACTGAGCTGCAGTCCCTCTGCATCTGGCTTTAGCCACTGTTGGAAGGAGTTTGCAGGACTTGACAGATCCTCTGATCCAACTGGGCTCCTTTTTAAAAATAGATTTTTTTCCCCTTTGCTTAATCAAAGGCTTATAATTCAACAATGTATTAAAATGAAAACTGAAGAGGAAACTATACAATTGCATTAAAATGAAATACACATTTGAGTTGTTGCATTCAGAATCCCTGGGGGAAATGATTATTATTGGTATGATAAATAGCATGTCCATTAAAAAAAAATGTTGTTTATAAATATCAAGGTGTTGTCATACGATATTCCCACTTGATGCTGAAAAGTCCAAATAGTAGTGTGTTTCACAGGAAGCATTTGAGCATTGTCGTCTCTATAGAAATACATTTTTGCCACGTAGTTGAAAATGAATCCTTTGTTTGTCCTCTAATATACTGATGCACCGCCAGCAGCGATGAGACACTTTCAAATTGGCAGGAGTAGGTCCATCAGGGCTCTTCTTAAGGACTCACTCTTGTTAATTTAAAATTGGCTCATCGTTGATGGCGCCGCATAAGTATGGAGTGCCCACTGGAGAAGTCTAATTGTTGGTGAACCATTTCTCTCCTTCAGTCATCAAAGGGCAGACTTAGTCGTTTGCTGCTGCTGGGAGGGCAGGCCTTCATTTGCCACCTGAGGGTAGAGAGGACCCTGCCTTGTTCCCTATTTGGCTTCCTGGGGAAATGAAGTCAGCATCAGCCCAACAGCCATGATGGAGTTTAATAAAAAATTGGCCCACTCTACAGAAGGAAGGAACCTGCCATAACATGACTGGCAGGCAGTACAGAAGTGTTTGTTGCTATCTGGTGCTTCAGTTTTATCCACAATGTGGCTTTCTGCCCTTTTCCCCCTCCCAGAGCCTACCTGGATGTCGACGTTGCGCTCTCCTCTGAGGCTTTCCACAACTACGTCAGCGCTGCTATGGGACACATCAACCACTCCCTGAAACTCATCATGCGCCTCTTCCTGGTAGAAGACTTGGTGGATTCGCTGAAGGTCAGTGGAGGGCCAGATTAAGCATACTTAGTGTGCTACAGACAGTGCTCGAAATTAGCCAGGCGCATTTTGCACCTGGCTTTCAACCACTCGTGCCCAAGTGAAGATGCCTGGGCACCCACCATCTGGAGGTGCATGCCTAGAGATCTTTAGGATCTGGAGTGTTTTCATACACTAATACTCCATTCCTGTAGAATTCTATCAGTTATATTTTATCTGCACAATCTGAATGAATTTCAGGAATCCAAATGCTTTTTCTGTGCAGCCAGAACAGGAGCAGTCACCCTTAAGAAAAAGAGGTTGGAACAGGCCAATAGATATGTGGACTGTCCCTGGATCAAGTGACTTTTCTTCTTTTAAGTTCTCATGGTTCTTAACCTAGCTCAAGGCTGTCATCTGAACTAACCAGATGTTTTGCTGAGAATCAATCACAGTCGGTCCATCATTTGAAAAATAAGACTTTAGAGCTATCTTGCTCAAAAATGGCAACTAGACATTCTGTTTTTGTAGCTAACCTTGGTTTAAGGAACTATTGGGCGCTAGCTTATATATATTTGAGTTTCTAACACTGGCTACAGAGCAGGGGCCTCAAGCAGAGGACAGCTCCTACCACAGTGTCATTGGAGTGCCTGTTGCTTTGAGCTGAGGAGGAAAGACGTGTGCTTGTTTTCCCTGAAACTTAAAGCAGGAAGGTCTCACCATGAGCCCAGAGATGGGTAGCAATGCCACGCTGAGTCAGGACCCACTGGAATGCAGCGAGACTGAATTCCGCTTTTGTAGTTAATCTGAGGTCAGTGTAGAATTTGGAAGAGTTCCTGTCCTTTTCTAGGCTCAGGAAATGGTAGAAACCCCCCCTGCCACAGCCCTCTTGCAAAAAGATGCGCTCTCCTGTGGCGAGTGGCCACCTTTTTTGAACCTTGAAAGAAAAGGCAGAGTGAAAGAGTAGGGTGAAATGAGAGAGGGAAAAGTAACAAGGGATTGGCATAAGCAAATGCTTCGCTTTGAATGGGGATGAAGGCTAAGGGGCAGAGAGGGGGAGTCATTGTGGGAATGACCACCGAAATTCAGGTTGGCACAGCCATCTACATCAGTTTCTGCAGCTGTCCTAATAAATGGGGCACTGCAGCAAGCAGGCTGGTCCAGGGAGGTCAAAGAGGACAACTTCACAGGATCCCGTGCTCCAGCGTGGCCTTACTGATGCATTGATACTATAAACAGCCTAGGGTTTTTGCTAACAGTGTGCCATCCTGTTTTGCCTGCAGCTGGCAGTTGTCATGTGGCTGATGACGTACGTTGGTGCCATCTTCAACGGGATCACCCTCCTTATCCTTGGTAAGACGCAGTAACGATAGATGCCGTGGCATCGGCAGCCTGGCTCCTTGCCAATCTGCAGTTACATTTGACCAGGGAAATCTTAAAGCATTTGCCCTGGGGAGTCATACTCTAGGTTCAGCTAATCCAGGATCTTGTTTCATACAGCGAACAGCAAGATACTTCCAGGGAGCCCAGGGGCAGGATGTGAAGGCCAATATCCTTCCATTTGCCCACCAGCAACTGGTTTTCGTTGGCAGATTCCCTCTGGTTGTGACTGATAAAGAGTCTAACTTAGCTCTAAAAGAGGATTGGACAAATTCACGGAGGAGAGGAGAGGTCTGTCAGTGGCCATTGACATATCTTGTGGCAGAGAGTTCCATAATTCCACCTAATTAATACAGATTTCTTGAGGAACAGGCATGTCTCATAGGAAGAACATAAGAAGGTGCTGTGAACTGAGTTAGACCCTTGGTCCATCTAGCTCAGTATTATCTACGCTGGCTGGCAGTGGCTCTCCAGGGTCTCAGGCAGGGTCTGTCTTCGCCAGCCCTACCTGGAGATGCCAGAGGTGGAACCTGGCACCTTCTGCAAACAGAGCAGATGCTCCTCCACCACTGAGCTGCAATTGTTCTTGGTCACTCATGCGCTGTCCCATTTTTAAGGCCTGGGTCAGCCCAGGGTCACAGGCACAGCGAAACTCAAAAGAGTGAAACCTCCAGATTCCATCATGGCTGCCCTTGCGCTATGCAGCCCATCTGATCAGCCTGCCCCAGTTTTGTGACCCATCTTGGCTGCCTTGGTGACCTGTGACTTGCCTTTGTATCGTTTCAGCGGAGTTGCTGGTTTTCAGCGTCCCTGTCGTTTATGAGAAATACAAGGTGGGTAACCTGGAATGTGAGCTTGTGTTGTCTGGTCCACAGCAGGCTGCTTGACTGGTGCTCAGGGGGCAGGGGTGGGGTTAGGCAGTGTGGAACAGTGGGCCCATCTTTGGATGAGGGATGATATTTATTTTGGTGCCATGTTTCTTTGGTCAGGGGCTTTCCACAGAGCAGGCATGAACAGAATTTATCCTGTATACTATTTATATAAAAAAAGACCTGAGTGTTTTCCATAAGAGAATTTGGAGCTACAAAAACATCCATTCAGTAAGCACAATTACAATTATGCACTATATCCAATATAATCTAGCAGAGCCTCTGCCAACCTGGTGCCCTTAATATGTTTTGCACAACAGACCATACTGGCAGGGACTGGTAGGAGTTGTAGTTCCAACATCTGGAGGGCACCAGGTTGGCAAAGGCTGTTCTAGCAACATCTGGGCAGGTGCAGCTTACCTATCCAAAGGGGGGGGGGGGAGAGAGAGAGAAGTTATGCTGGTGGGTGTGGGTGTGATGCCCTTTGTATAAGAGCACGGTTTACATGGCAGCCCTAGTTAGAAATTCACAATGGTCTTGTGCAAGTTGGTTCCCATACACCTCTTCTAATTACTTTTGGGTTTTTTGTTCCTAGACTCAGATTGACCATTATGTTGGGATTGCCCGGGAGCAGATCAAGTCAGTTGTAACAAAGTAAGTCCCATCAGAGTTATTGGCAGGCTTCAGTATTTTGACTCTTGCCATGTGCAGCCCTCTGGGAAGTGTGGTGAGCAGCCAGACTTCAGATGGGAGGGTAAGGCGGGGGGGGGGGGGCATCGGTTGTAACCTGCCCTGGGACCTTAGGGTGGGTATTTAAGGATAATTAATAATTGGGACCAAAGCAACAAATCACCCACCCTTTCCTGGCTGCTGCTCATCAGACTGTAGGGTGGCTTAGCTTGGTCCTTGACAGCGTCGGACAGTGTTATTTGTTCTTTGCTTATGTTATTGTTTGTTTAATTATTATTGTATTTGTCACTTTAAAAAACCAATCAAATTAATGGAAGGAGAACATTGGTTTGGAGAGCAAAGCCAGTCAGAAATTGTAGGCATCTGGTTACCGGTCAGCCTTAAGTATGAAATTCCTTACAGGTGTGGTGTTACGCTTTGCTTTCATCTTTGAGCCTCTTTTGGCTGTCTTGCAGTCGGAACAGTTGACCTTTCAAGACATAAAAGGGCTTTTGCCAGTCCAGAGGGACAAGCCCCTGTACACACAAGCAGCTTGCATTATTTAGACAGCCATCATCGAGATCAGTTTAATGATGCCTGCATGTGGTAGTCTTGTTTAACCTAGCAAGGCTAGCAAGGAATTCCATTTTGGGGCGCTGAGGATGCTTCTAGTGCTCATGATGCCCCCCTAACAATGGCACGAAGGCTGGATAGGAGCTAATCCAGAACACTTGATTCATCATCAAATACATGCAACTGGCGAGGTCTATCTTCTGTCCATTTTTGAGAGATGACTCATGTGAATTTGAGTGTGTTTTGTTATTTATACCCCACCTTTATTCAGTAAAACTCAGGATGGTGTGCCTTGTGTTTGTCGCCCATCCAGGCCCTGACCAGATCCAGATTTGCTTTCTGTTAGCATCATGTCATTTCATACCGTATTGAGAAGTGTGACATGGGTCACTTTATCTAATACCAGGACTTAAAATGACACAAACATAATTGTTATTCCTGTGCCCCCAGCATCTAATCCCACCTCTTCTCTCTTTCTCCCCCCCCACCCACCCAACAGGATTCAAGCAAAGCTTCCTGGAGTTGTGAAGAAAAAGGCAGAATAACCTTGCAAGGAGCCAGGACTCAGCTGTTAACTAAAATGAAACAAAAAATACCCCCTGTGTCATAGTTATAACCATTGTTACTTGTACCTATGAAGGAACATGCCGAATCAGCTTGATGTCTGCATTCCAAGCTTACTGATTATGTTTTTTTATATATATATAAAAAGATTTTAAAAAATCCACCCCCTCCCCAAAGCCTCAACACTGGGTTCAGAATGCACTGGACTAAACACGAACTGGTGTCAGAAGTTTAAAAGAGGGGAGGGGGCACCTTTTGGCTCTAAAGCAGCTCTGGTGTCCTGTCTTGGATGGAACATTATAGTAAGCCATCAAAAATGGGTGTTCCTTTTCATGTTAAGAGATGTGCTCTCTGCTCAGCGGGACATTAGCATTTCTAAAACCAGCTTTGGTAGGCTGAAATAGCTGCAAGGTGAAGCTAGTCTGTTCCTCTCTTCTTCCTTGTTCTCTATTTCCCTCCCTCCTCCCGGCCTGGCCTCCTTAAAATGACAGGACTTGCTTCAAGTGCAATGTTCCCTAGTTCCACTAAGGCAGTGTCTCTTACCAGGCTCACCCATCTTTCTGCCATGGACTAACTGGCCTGAATGAAGAGGGCAAGCTTAAGGAAACTTCAGAAAGTACCCAGCCAGTACTTATCTCCCACCCCCAGCGTGTGTACCCTCACTGATGGAAAGGGGAATTCTCCACCCCCGCCTCCCTTAATGACATCAGTTCTCTTTTAGTCTGGTTCATCTTCTGCCTTCCTTACCACCACCCCCAGCCACAGAAATCAGTTCCTTACCCCACCCTGATTAAGATTACTTCCCCTACCCCTTACTCTTAAATGAAAATGTCTGTAACTGCTGTACACTTTGCTGTAAAAAGCAAAACTCAAGCTGGCGAAAAACCGAGAGTTCTGCATGTGATGCCCCAGTCACTTTACTTCCAGTCTAGGACAGGGGGCAGGGGCTGAGTTGCAGAGCACTGACACACCTTGACCCTGATCTTTGTCCTCCCCTCCCGTCCCACCCTCCTTTGGGCTGGCGAGGAGCTGCAGTCTTCAAAGACAGCAGTTTCAGGGCTAGATTTTGGGGCCCCTCTCTCACAAGCTATGTCATGTCTGTTTGCAGTTTTAGAAAGATGTTTGGGACTGGAGGATTGTCTTTGAAGAGTCTTACAGTTTTTAAAAAGGCTTTTTTTGTTTTGTTTGGGTTTTCAAAGGCTTCCTTGTTGGGAAGCAAATCTTCCATGATTCCGTGATGGTTTATCACCCACAGCTGCCAACTGCGGTCAGACTCACCCCTCTGGCAGTCTGCACCAAGTTAAGCCCATTCCTCCCCCGCCGGCGGGCAGTGCTAAATTGGTGGCATAGCTGCTTTCGGATGAAAGATGGGACCATGCACAGCTGGACAGGTGGGGGATAAATTTGAAATTCAGGTTGGCCAAAGGGAGCCCACCTCCTGCCCAAGGCTGAGCGAGGGGGGAAAGAGTCGAGTTGGCAGCTAAAATGGAAGGGACCACCCCACCCCCCAGCTGATGGATCTCAAGTGGAAGGTAGTAGGGGAAGGGCAACATCTTTCTTAAGAAATCCAAAGAAGGCGAGCCTGTGCTGCCCTCGGCCCCAGGGAACTTCCCAGGGTTGGTCATCCCTCCGCCTTGTCCAGCTGCGTTTCATCAGCCGCTACCTTTCCTGTTGTAAACAGAACAGCTGGAAGGTGGTGCTGAAAATAGGCGTGAGCAGAGCATCAGGCTGCTGTTTTTTGCACGCGCAAAAATGGCTGCTGTCGCCCAGCCCCTTTTTGCCTGTTCCCACTCTTTCCTTGCTTTGCAGACCTCGGTGCAAAGCTCCTGGAGGGCATGCACCCACAGGGCCCTGCCGTATGCAAGTCTGGCAAAGACACGATAGGACCATAAAGCAATCCAACAAATAGTTTCATTGGCTTTTTTTTTTTTTTTAAAAGACCCAAGCAATTTGAGCTGTGTGTGTGTCTCTTCTAGGTGGAATAGGAGCAGCAGATCTTAGTGAGAGGTGCATGAGTGTCTGTTGTGCTTCTGCACTCCCCACCCCCCAGCCCAGCCTGAGTAGGCATCTTGCACTGTCTTGTCCTGACTCCTCTTCTCTCCACTCCCACCCCCTTCGAAGACCTCTTCTCTGCACTGGAAGCCTTTGGCTCAGCTCTTCCATCTGTTCTGTTAACTGCTGTGTTTGAATACCGTGAACCGACCTCTTTGTGCCCGGCAGGCTTTTTAAAAAAACAAAACAAAAAAAAGAGAAAGTTGTACGTAGGTGGAGAAAACGTCAAAAACTACTAATGAAGCTCTTTTGCGTTTGTGTGCGTTTGTTGTGTACAGTGTGTGCAGCATTCTAAAAGTATGGTAGTGCCAGTTTGGGTACAGGCGGAAACCTGGCGTGAGGTTCGGAAGAGGACTGGATAAATGCAATTTGATGTGGTGTTAATAAAAAGAGCACAACATGTACAAACTCCAAGAAACATTGTCGTCTTAAGTTCTTGCTGGGAAATTAATGGACGTGACCAGGGTCCCATTAATTTCAATGGCTCTACTCTGAGTAACATTTAGTCGGCTACCACCCATTATATTTCCAGGGTAAGTATAACAACAGCCAAGTCCTACTGAGAGCCGATCCGTTGAAATTGATGGCCACGACTAATGCAAGTTCATTCATTGCGGTGGGTCTGCTCTGATTAGTAATAAGGATACTTGCTTTAGATCAGGGATAGGCAAACTCAGCCCTCCAGATGTTTTAGGACTACAATTCCCATCACCCCTAGCTAACAGGAACAGTGCTCGGGGATGATGGGAGTTGTAGTCCCAAAACATCTGGAGGGCCAAGTTTGCCTATGCCTGCTTTAGATGGTTTGTTGGGGAACTGTTGTTCCTCTAGAGATGTTCCTGAGCTGCAGCTCCTATCAGCCCTAGGAAGCATGGCTAATGGGCCTGGGATGATCAGCAGGCAGTGCTGAGCCACACGTACCCACCTGCCTTTCGGCATCCTTCCAATGACTGAGATCCCTGCATTTGCAGGGGGGGTTGGATTAGAGGACCCTTAGGGTCCCTTCCAACTCTACAATTCGATGAGTGAAACGGCACAGGATGGCTTGTGAAGGCTTGAACCGCATGAAGTGGCCTCATAAGGACTTGGATGCGCTGCTGCATCTCAGCCAGTACAGTGGAACCTTGGAAGCTGAACGCCGAAAACCCGGAAGTAATTGCTTTCGTTTTCAAACGCGCTTCGGAAGTCGAACGGCTTCCACTGCGTGTTTTTCAATTTTCTCAATGGAAATTGCTGACAGCCCTTTGCGCCTCAGTTGTTGAACATTTTGGAAGACGAACGGTCTTCTGGAACGGATTGCGTTCGACAACCAAGGTTCCCCTGTACTGCATAGCCCACCCTTCCCCACCCTGGTAGGGACTCCCATCTCTCAACCTAGTGTTTTAATTTCAATGTATTACCAGAAGGTGAACAATCTGTACCTGAACCGAGCTTGGGGCGGTGGGGGGCTGGGGCCTGCCACTTGTTGTCTGCCACCAATTCCCATCATCCCTGAAGATTGGCTGTGCTGGCAGAGGTTGATGAGAGTAGGAGATGGCAACAAGCAGAAGTACACAGGTCCCTCTCACCCCCAAAAAAGCTTTACATTGGTTCCCATTATTTTTCCCACAGACCACTTGAAAATGTCTGATTGTCTTTAAAGATGTTTTTTTCTGCCTATTGCAGCCACTGTAATGTGCTGTGCGATTTGTAATTGTGTTTTACTGACGATGCAGGCTACCCGAAGAAATCTTGCAGACTGCTGATGGTCCAAAGACCACAGTTTAGGAACCCCTGTTCTTAATCGAGGAAAATATTAAAATCTAAAAGGCATCCCAGGTTTTAATTAAAAACAAACAGCCAGCCCAGAGCCTTAGGTTGCATTTTAAAATAGCATCATTTTTTTAGGATTTATTGACATAACCTGTTTTACAAAACTTAGTGCTTATATATATATATTTATATAATATTTTTTAAAAACCCTCCATATTAATGCAAAACACCTTTTCACAAGAGACACGGATGAGGTTCCAATACAGTCACAAGGTCATAACAGGCATTATTGAAATTTTACCTCGGAGTTCACGTTTCACAAGGATAGCTACAAAAAGGACCAAGCTATTGATTCAGAAAGATGGGATTGAAGGAGAACAGCTGTGCAAAAAATGTGACTCCTACTTTCACCTTGGGTGGGGGAAAGGAACTCTGCGGGGGGGGACATTCCTTTAAATGGAATTAAAGTAGAGCATGAGACTCTTCATCTCAGGGTTGTGGGTTCGAGCCCCATGTTGGGCAAAAGATTCCAGCATTGCAGGGGGTTGGACTAGATGATCCTCGTGGTCCCTTCCAATTCTCTGGCTCTAATTTCCAGCAAGGATCAGCAAATTGGATTGTAAGTGCGGCTTTTCTTGTCCTTGCTTTTTTTGATATATGGCTGTAGGCTCTTTTTAAATTCAGTTTCTAGCCCTCATTTATTTCTAACGCATCTGGTCACCACTAACTCTGGACACATGGCCTGTGCAGGGCAGAGGCTCAGCAACTCAACCAGCATAACACAGCTGAAATCAGGCTGTTCCTTTGGCCTAGAGCCGCCCATCTCAACCACAGACCCTCTTCAGTCTGGAGCACAGATCTTTCCCAGCCCCTTTATGGTGGAGAATGAACCTGCAATATTCCAAATGGAAAGCAGGTGTTCCATCACTGAGCAACCGCATTTCCCTAGAAAGATAGTGAAGATTCCAGTCCTCGTGCCTCTTGAGTTAAAGGGTCTATTGATAAACTGGAAGCTCCAAATCAAACCATTGGTCTATCTTGCTCAGAATTCCCGACATTGACTGGAAGCAATGGGTAAGTTTTTTGGGCAAGGTGTCTCTCAGCCCTGCCTGGAAACGCCAGAGATTAAATCTGGGATTTTCTGCATGCCAAGCAGATTCTCTGCTACTGAACTAGGGTCCCCGCTGCCGGAAGGCAAAGTGCAAAAGGTTTACCAACCCCATTTCTTTAGTCTCCTAATTCCATCTAACCTAAAAAGGTAAAGGGACCCCTGACCATTAGGTCCAGTCGTGGCCGACTCTGGGGTTTATCGCTTTATTGGCCGAGGGAGCTGGCGTACAGCTTCCAGGTCATGTGGCCAGCATGACTAAGCCACTTCTGGTGAACCAGAGCAGCGCACGGAAATGCCGTTTACCTTCCCGCCGGAGCAGTACCTATTTATCTACTTGCACTTTGACGTGCTTTCGAACTGCTAGGTTGGCAGGAGCAGGGACCGAGCAACGGGAGCTCACCCTATCGCGGGGATCCAAACCACTGACCTTCTGATCGGCAAGCCCTAGGCTCTGTGGTTTACCCACAGCGCCACCCGCGTCCCCTCATCTAACCTAGGGTTTCCCAAACTTGGGTCTCCAGCTGTTTTTGGACTGCAGCTCCCATCCCTAGCTAGCAGGACCAGTGGTCACGGAAGATGATGGGAACTGTAGTCCAAAAAAGCTGAAGAAACCCTGATCTAACCCTGTTTTGGCATTTCTGCTACAAATAGTGCTGCTGTTGTTTTTTAAAAATAAAAATAAAATCCATTTTGGGAAAACCCAAGGGTTGTCCTTACACAGAGCAGACCCAATGAAATTAACAAACGTGAGTTAGTCATGTCTGTAAACTTCACTGGGTCTCTTCTGAGTAGGCCAAGCATGGCAAACACCCCACATCTTGCATAATTCTAAGCTTTTTAGACAGATAAATTTGGGTGGAGCATACATTGTCCTCTTGAGACCTACAGATGCAGCTGTTTGTTTTGAAGTGGGATTGTATTGGAAAGGGGGAAATACGCCTTGATCACAGGAAGCTGCCTTATACAGCGTTAGACCTTTGGGTCCATCTAGCTCAGTGCTGTCTACACTGATTGGCAGCAGCTCTCCAGGGTTCTGGGTTCTCTTCCAGCCCTACCTGCAGGTGCTGGGAGTTGAACTTGGGTCCTTGGCTACTGAAACTTGCTCAGCACCTGTTCATTGGGAGCAAACAGACCGAGAAAAGGTGAGTGTCCTATGTCAATTCACATCTTTTTACGAGGAAGACCAACAGCAAATAAAGTAGTCCACGTCCTCCTAATTCACTTACACCAGAGTAAGAGCTTTTAGGGCTAGGGACCTGGAAAGACAAGGGTCAAAATTAAAACCCAATGACAGAACGCAAATCAGGATATAGGGACGCTGTCAGCAGCTCCTCAAGGTGACTTTTCTGGACTGTTCCATTGTAGGTAGGATTGGGGGGAGACCTACCTGCATGTAGAAAGTTAGCACATGACAGATTCAACCTAGCATTTTCCTATGTAGCAGGGTTCCCACCCCCGCCCCAGAACCTGGCATAGTACAATCCAGGAAGTGCTGAGTTGCTCAATTCATCTGAGAGTCCAAAATGGCCATCTTAAGTGCAATCGCAGGGGAAATGCTCACAACAAGCCCAACTCCTCGTTTCAAATATTTTAACGTGGTATATTAAGTACGGCCTATGCTGCATCAAGCAGGAAGGCCTCTTACTAGGAGTTCTGCAATATTCTAGGGATGGGATGGGGGCAAGGGCCGTAATTTGTTCACCCTTCGGTTATATGATGCACACCCGCAATTCGGGGCCTAGGCACTTGTGGAGGACATGGGAATTATTTGTGGCACAGCTTGCGAGGGAGGAACTGGATCTTACCACCCACCTACCTGCGGGCAGGTCACAGTGGGCAGCTACCCGTCAACCGCTTGGTGTCGCAATGGCGTCAGGTGATCGTGTGGGTAAAGGAACAGGCCACAAAGTGCCAATGATTACCTGCTTGGGGTGGGCGGCTTGCAAAAAAAACCAGGGCACAGCAGGGTTCTGGCAACTGCAAACCCTCCTCTGGCCGAATGACATATTTACCTCCACCACGTCTCATGTCATCTATTTCGCAGGTAGGGCAGCTGGATGTGGCTCAGCTGAGGCCTGGCCCAAACAGCCTCCCAGACCAGAAGGGGAGGCCTACCTATCAAACCACCTGACCCTTGATGCCTTGGAGCAGGGTAGGAGAACCTCAGGAAGCATTTACCTGTGTTGCTCCTCCCATTTTTGGCTCTGGCTCCGCCCACCACTGCCAAACACCCCTAGAAGGGAAGGCAGCCCTCTGGCTGAAAAAATAGGTGCCCCACCTTACAGTAGCAGCAACTTTGCTTCCCACAGAAACCTCCAGGCCTCGGGGCTCGATTAAGTGCACTTGCCCCCCACGACAGTGCTCTTACAGACCTTCCTCACTTCAGAAAATACCGAAGCTCCCCCCCCCGCCACCCCACCTACCTTTCCGAAACCTTACCAAAATAGTTGGGAGCACAAAAAATCCAGGTGCAGAGAAAAGGGACTTTGGGGGTGGGGAGGTGAAAACACCTTTAAGAAACCCTTTGTCACTAGAACAGAACATGCAAATCAAAACGGATGCTGTGCAGAGAGAGAAACAAAGACAAAGCAAAACAAGACTTCCCCGGCGTCTGCATTATTCACTTCCAGTTGCAGAATTCTGCACTATCCGATTCCAGTCGCAGAATTCCGAAACCTGAGAATTCCAAAAGGGAATTCTGCCATCCATAGGAGGAAGGGGTGGGGAGGAAAACAAACAAGTTGAGTTCGTCGGTCAACGGAGTCCACCCTGTCACCATGAGGGCAGTCCACGTCCGCGGGCTACACCGTACATACCGGCAAATTGTAACCAAACCCCATTTTCCCTGCACCATGGACACTTGGCTTGACGTCGGCAGGCTCAGAGTCCGGGCTGGGGGAGGTCTTTGTGCCCAGGTGCCTGGGATTCTGAGCCGGCCCGTTTTCGGCGTAAGCATCGAGGATGGTCTGTTTCTCCAGCGCCGTAAACTCCAGGGAGAACCGGTGGACCTGAAGGATGTGCCGCTTGATGGTGCTGACTTTAAGGGTCGCCAACGTGCCCCCGCACACCATACACACCAGCCCGTGCCGCTGCTCGTCGTAATCCATCAGGTACTCTACCCGCCAGCGCGGCTGGTAGTTCCGGCGCTGACCCCGCCGGGACGGGGCACCGGCCAGCGAAGACGCAGCCTCCGAGGATTGCTGAGAGGGAGCTAGTCTTCCTGCTGCGGGGGCCTCTTCCTCATCTTCTTCCTCTCCTGCAGGCATTGTCCCGCCCTCTTGAGATTCCTCAGGGGACAAAGGGGGGTTGCAAGCCTGCTGAGATTCCACTGGAGGAACAGAAGAACAACAGCGGGGAGATCACAGTCCAGCCAGGAGTTATCAAATATCTCCGCAACTTAGGACTGTCGTATTTATATATTTATATTTAATTATTATCACTATTACTCTTATTAAACTGTATGCTGAACTGTGAAATAAAGCACCTGGGAAACCATGAAGCTGGGAGTCCAAGTGCTGTCTTTTTCCTCCTCCCTCCTCAATCCCTTTTCCTTATGTGCCATGTCTTTTAGCTTTCCTGTTAACAGCCCTGCTACTATACTGCCCTCCATGAAAGAGCCCCACCCATTTTTTATGATAATCTAACCCAAGCATAGGCAAACTCGGCCCTCCAGATGTTTTGGGACGACAATTCCCATCATCCCTGACCACTGGTCCTGTTAGCTAGGGATAATGGGAGTTGTAGTCCCAAAACATCTGGAGGGTTTAGTTTTCCTATCAAACCCATTTTTTGTCGTAGGAAGCATATTCATATATGCATATCCTATATCGTAGGAAGCATATAGGAAGCATATTCACACAGAAAAAACAAGGCGGAAATTGGGGAGTAGGATCCAGAGGCGGGACTGTACAGCTATAGCCTGCAGGCGCACAAGCACATTTTGAATGTTTTCCCCTGGCACGTCAGGGAGCAGCTGGGATAGCTCAGTCAGCAGAGCATCAAGCTCTTAATCTCAGGGTCGTGGGTGTAAGCCCCACAATGGGGGGGGGTGGATTCCAGCACTGAAGGGGGAGCATTAGATGACCCTTGTGATCTCTTCCAATTCTCCAGCCTGAAATCTCCACGTAGTCACAATGAGACCTGCACCAGGTAGTGTGTTGTTCAATAAGAGATTGAGTGTTTGGGGGCGGGAGGCTCGTTTAATTTCATTGTACACAGGTTGAACAATGCCATTAAATAATAAATAATAATAATAAATTTCATTAAATAATAAATAATAATAATAAATTTTTATTTATACCCTGCCCTTCCCGGTTCAAAAACTGGGCTCAGGGCGGCTAACAACAAATTTAAAACATTTAGTTGTAAAAGCAGCATAAAATGCAGTATAAAAACATGAATAACAATAAAATTCAAAGTTCATAAATCAATTTAGGGGAAATCCACCTAATAAGCATTAGATAATCACCAGGGCTAGCTGGCTGAAAAATAATAATAAAGATATTTTTATTTTTATTATTATTATTATACCAGGAGCAAAATGTACCAGGGGGCTTTCAAACCCCGCCTGCCCCTTACCTTTGTCTGCCTCGCCGTCTGTTTCGGGCAAGGAGTCTTCCGCGTCCGCCAGGCGGGCCACCTTCTGGTTCCACTCCTCCACGATGAGGGCCTTGACGTGGTGGCTCAGTTGGGTGGAGTCCGGGTGCTTCTGCTGAATGTGCCTCTTGATGGTGCTCATCTTGAGCGTGGCCAAGGAGCTCCCGCACACCATGCACACCAGGCCGTGGCGCGACCCGTTGTAGTCCATCAAGTACTCCACCCGCCAGTGCTCCTGGAAGTAGCGGCGGTGGTCCCTCCCCCGGGCCGGGGCGGGAAGGCCACTCTCTTCCGAGTCCCAAGCGCCGGCCTCCTCGGAGCCGTCCTCGCCAGCAGGCTGGTCTGGGGATGTGGGGGGGTCCACCTCCTTCTTCCTCAGGTCCTGAGGGGATGGCTCAGACTCTGCCTCTGGGGTGGATCCAGGAAGGAGTGGGAAGGGGTGGGAGGACAAGAGGACGGATTTAATTACACAAAGGTCCTGCTTACCAAACACACAGTGTTCCCTGCAAATCGATCGTTAGCCAAGCGTTTGCATAAGGAGTCAATGATTTCCATTGAGTCCTGTGGGGAAATTTCTAATTTTGAATTTTTTCCCTAATTTTTGAAAAATTCTAATTTTGAATTTTGACCTCCCAGTGTTCCCTGCAAATTGATCGTTAGCCAAGCGTTTGCATAAGGAGTCAATGATTTCCATTGAGTCCTGTAAGGAAATTTCCAATTTTGACTTTTCCCCCTAATTTTTGAAAAATTCTAATTTTGAATTTTGACCTCCCACCGAAAAACAGAAAAAATGCTCTGATTTGTCTGATCTCTCACTCACTCACTTCATTGCTCCACCAACCAGCAAACGGCAAGCAAGGAAGTAGAAGATGCTCTCTGTTCAAGTATCTGAATCTGTGATGTGTCTAGCGACGTTTGGGTAGTCATTCCTCATGTTTGAACAGGTGAATGTTCGCTGTTTCTCGTTCATAAAGCAGAACCTGCGCGTAGTACTGCCAAGGTTCTGGTCTTGCCCTCTCTATGTGCCTCACTTTGCATCCTCTGCTCTGAGCCAATTCATCCGCAGTAACGACTACCCCTTTGTAGTTCTGGGAACAGTGACATGTTAAGAGTGCTAAGATTTGTTAGGAGACCCTTATTCCTCTCACAGTGCTACAATTCGCAGAATTCCCCAGGAAGAGACGGAAAGTGTAGCTCTGTGACAAGGGGGTTCGCTCAGTAATTCTCAGCACCTTTAGCAAACTATAACTCCCAGGATATATTTTTTTTGGGGGGGGGGGAGAAGCCATGGCTGTTTAAAGTGGCATGATACTGCTTTAAAATGTATAGTACAGATAGCGAAGACAATACTGAGCTAGATGCACCAAAGGTTCAAGGGAGAACAAGTCAGTTTGTTTCCAACTCGCAAGCCATCCCCGTTTTGAGGACACTCCATTCCGCACGCCTATCTTTGATTTTCCGGGTTTTGCCACTCACCAGGATTCTGTGCCCACTGAGCATGCTCAGTCTGCACTCACTTATCTGTTTTGTACTTGCGCAACTCTTGGTTCCGCTCTCCCTCCCACAAGAGACTGCTGGATGCCTCACTTTCTGATTACACAAGGACTTGGAGAAATGAGCTGCCTGTTCGCACCTGCTGTTTGGCCCTCCCCCTGACCATTGGCTGTGGCTGCTGGGAACTGGAGTTCTGTACCATACAGACCACACCAGGTTCCCTTATCCTTGGTCACTAGCATGTATCCCAGGATTTCCTTCAAGAAGAAGCTACAGACAGGAGCTCCTCGATTTTAAGTACGGTGCCTGATTCAGAGCAACACAGCAGGCCCAAAACTTATGCGGGGCTTACGCTCTAGGGATCCATGAGCAGATACAAAATCATGCAAAGTCATGAAGATAACTGGAACCCCCCCTCTGTACAACCAATCCTACCTTTCTGGACTCCGGGAAGGGGAAAGTCGTTTGAGGCCTCAGAAATGCTCTGGGGGGTCCACACCCTTCCTGAGGGTTCAAGCAGCCTTCCCAGAGCCTGGGAAGAAAGGCTGGTGGCTTAAAAACTATTTCCGTGACAGGAAAAACTGGCGCAGAATGAGTTTTCCAAGCCCTCTGCCTTGCTTACTGGGCTCTGCGAAGGTCACGCGAAATCCCGTGTGGCCTTCACGAGGTCTCAGACAGCCTCTTCCACCAGTTTCTTCACCCTCCGCATTCTCCATTTACAGTGGTACCTTGCAAGTCGAATGGAATCTGTTCTGGAAGTCCGTTCAACTTCCAAAATGTTTGGAAACCAAGGGGCGGCTTCCAATTGGCTGCAGGAAGCTCCCGCAGCCAATCAGAAGCCGCGTTGGACATTTGGGTTCCAAAGAAGGTTCGCAAACCAGAGCACTCACTTCCAGGTTTGCAGCATTCGGGAGCCAAAATGTTCAAGTCGCAAGGCGTCCGTCAACCAAGGCACGACTGTATTTATTTACTTCCCCGCCACCTGCACAATCATGTCATTTGCAGGCCTGCTGAAATATCGTTCTAATTCCGGCGCTCTGCTTCCGGCCCTCCCCTCCCGCCCTCTGCCTGTTTCCTGCCTCACCCACTGGTGCCTCTCCTGTGCCCTCGGCTGGCGGGACCACGGCCCGGGCGTTCCAAGTCTCCAGGATGCTGGCCTTCTCGGCGGGGCTGAAGCCAAGCGAGCTGGGGTGAGCGTCCATGACGTGCCTCTTGATGTCGTCCAAGTTGAGGCTGGGCAGTGAGGAGCCGCACATCATGCAGAAGAGGCGGTTGCCCTGAGGGTCATAGTCCATCAGGAACTCAGACTGGAACCAGCTCTGCAGGGACTCTTTCAGGTAGCGCTCCAAGTTCTGCTCTTCCCCTCCCGGAGAGGCTTTCAAGGCCAGGCCGGAGGGCCGTCGCCCCCCACGAGAGGAGAGGGGTCCTGGGCCACGGCGCCTCCTGCGGCTGCTACTCAGCGGAAATTCTCCACCTGTACAGAAGCAAGGCAGGTGGAGAGCAGGTGAACCTTCTTGTCCGCTTTTCGGAATCTAATTTCGTCAGAGATGATGAACATTATTAAATAAACTATTGTCTGATGTCCAAAATTAATGTTACTGATATCTACAATGTAGATAAAGTGTCAGAAGAATTGGTCTTATATTTCACATTTTCACATGTGAAATGTGAATTTACGAATATAATGTATATGTAGCAATATGTAAAGATTTCATATATGTATTGCAACATTAATAATAAATTAATTAAGAAAAGGAAAAAAAAAGAATTGGTCTTATATATATGATTGTGGCAGCTCGAATAGTAATTGAAACTCAGGGGGGAAATAGCCCAAAATATTATGCTAAACACTTGGTACCACCCACTCCGGAATACAGCTATAAATGGGGGGAAATCACACATAATTTGAGATTTTGACAAGCCTAGAACCTCCAGACATATGATTTGGCATTCCTTTATGACATATACAAGGGAACCGTCATTTTCAAGATAACCCCCGTCACCACCTTGGCAAATCTGGAACTATGATAATCAGATCATGACAATATTTACTTGGGCTTTGTTTTGTTTTTAACCCACGTACAATTGCACTTATTCTGCATGCGTGTTTTATCGTTTTGCTTTTCATCTTTTAATTTTCATCTGTTCACTTTTATATACACTATAAAATTAAATTAAAAATCTTCACAAAAAGATAAAAATAAAACCTCCTTATCTGCTTGGGATGGCCACTTAATGTATTTTTTTTTATTAAAAAAGGAAGGATGAAAGAAATATCCAAGTGTAAAAAAAGCTGCATGGGTCCCCAGGGAGGGAAAACAGAGATCATCTTGTCTTTCATCCACAAGGTTCAATTCCCAATGGCTTCCTCAGGCAGGGCTGGCAAAGATTCCCTGTCTGAAAGCCTAGAAAGCTGTTGCCATTCAGTGCAGAATGGGAAACTGGCAGAATGGGAAACTGCAGAATGGGAAACTTCTCAGCTGATTCCACCAGCTGATTAGCAAGTGGGCGTGGCTTGAGGGAAATGACATCACTGACCAAATCAGAACCAACCCACCCCTGGGAGGCCAGGATTGGCCCACAGGCTGGAGGATGTAAACAATATTGAGCTAGAAAGAGGTGACGGCCCGACTTAGCAGAAAACCTTTGCTGTTGGACTTCAACTCCATTCATCCCCAACAACTCGGTAAGATGGCTGGGAATGACGGGAGTCAAACAGCATTTGGGGGACACGTTTATATCCTCGGTCTCCACAGTGCAAGTCCAACCCTCTCACTGTGTTAAGCAATTTAGTTGTCAGGATTATCTATCAAAGTATCATCCAAACATGAAGTTGCGGGCAGGAATTGAAATATAAACAGTATATAAACTGAAAGAACTAGGATAGCAAAGTTTAGATAACAGAAACACATGTACTGTAAAACAGCTAAGAAAAAGAAGTGGAAAACAAACATCAGGAAAGGGGGGGGGGGCGGGAAGCCAGTAAGAAATCTATGCTGAATTTTTTTGGGGGGAGGATATGATGATAAATGTTTTGGAATATTTTTGGAGAATTAATAAACATTTTGTGCCGCATATCTGAAGTTCCACAAACACTAGAAACAAAACTCTCTTTTTCAATGAAACCTATATAAAAATTTAGTTGTCAGGGTTTTTTGGAAGGTTTTGTCATCTGTTCAAGTAACAATTTTATGGCCAAAAAACAAATATAGTCACTGAAGAAAAATATACCATTTCTGACAATATTAAAAAAGGAGGTGGGATTAGATCAACAAACAGAGGATAAGGCATCATAAATCATATACAGTGGTGCCTCGCAAGACGAAATTAATCCGTTCCGCGAGTCTCTTCGTCTTGCGGTTTTTTCGTCTTGCGAAGCATGGCTATTAGCGGCTTAGCGGCTATTAACGGCTTAGCGGCTTTAAGAAAAAGGAAACAAACTCGCAAGAACTCGCAAGACGTTTTGTCTTGCGAAGCAAGCCCATAGGGAAATTCGTCTTGCGGAACGACTCAAAAAACGGAAAACTCTTTCGTCTAGCGAGTTTTTCGTCTTGCGAGGCATTTGTCTTGTGGGGTACCACTGTATGATTTTTGACATGACTGAGAATCGCAGACCCAGGGATGAAGAACTTTAAAGCGTTAAGGTCGGGATGTGGAAAATATGAAAACAACGAGAGGAGGCAGGACTGAAGATTTGGAGATATGCTTCAGAGGTCCAGACTATGGGGAGCGCGGAAAAATTAATAATTAAAATTTGGATTACAATTTGGACTTTTTTATTTTAGTTTTTTGTTTTTAATTAGATTATGATGTGGGCATGCTGATTGGCTGTCTTTATTGGAAAATCAATAAAAATGATTACAAACAAACAAAGGATAAGGCTATCCATGGCTACGATTAAGATGATCCACAAACCAGTGAACTTAGGCCCCCCTACCGTGGCCCCCCTCCTGAGCCTCGGGCGCGTTGGGGTGCTCTCTGGCTCCGTCGCTCTCTGCCTCAAGGCCCAGGTGGGCGTCCCAGCTGTTCATGATGACCTCCTTCTCATGGGCGCTCCAGGCCAGGGAGTAGGGGTGCTTCTGGCGGATGTGCCTTTTGATGGTGCTGAGCTTGAGGGTGGCCAGAGAGCTGCCACAGACCATGCAAATCATGCCATGCCGGGCGGCGTTGAAGTCCATCAGGTACTCTGCCCTCCAGTGCTCATGGTAGTAGCGCCGGTGGTCGCGCCCGGGGATGCGGCTCTTGCCGGGCCTCGACGCCCGCTCCTCGCAGTGATCCGAGTACTTGCGCCCTCCGGAGAGCAGGGCAGAGGGGTCCTTGACGGCGGTCCCTCGCACGAGGCCGTTCCCAGAGGGCCGCAGGGCGTGTCCGGAGCGCAGCTCGCCGCTGCTTTGCGAATCGGCCGCCTCTTCTGGGAACAGCGACTCTTCTGGGGAGACACAAACACTCGCCTTCAATAATAGTAATAATAATGAGTGGAGCTTACGACAAAACCTCTTCCTATTTGGCGTTTTAAAAAAAGAATTAAAGAGCTGCTGAGAGTAAGGGTGATGGTGGTAGTTAGGATCAGCACAACGGATTAACAACACAGGTCCCCGGCTGCAAGGAAGATACAGTGTACAGTGGTACCTCTGGTTAAGAACTTAATTCATTCCGGAGGTCCATTCTTAACCTGAAACTGTTCCTAGCCTGAGGTATCACTTTAACTAATGGGGCCTCCTGCTGCCGCTGCACCGCCGGAGCATGATTTCTATTCTCATCCTGAAGCAAAGTTCTTAACCCGAGGTACTATTTCTGGGTTAGCGGAGGCTGTAAGCTGAAGTATCTGTAACCCGAGGTACCACTGTAACTGTTTTGACGGGGGGGGGGGGAACGGTTGGGGTAGGGGCGGTGGTGCAAGACTTGCTGGCCAGGAAGCAAAGATGTTGTGTCACTTTGTGAAAGCAAGGTTGAAGTAGTGGAACCATAGGGTTGGAAGGGGCACCAGGGTCATCTAGTCCAACCCCCTGCAAAGCAGGAGTAACAGACTTTACAGGGGTATGGAGGAAAAGAGAGGGGTGCTGTATACAACACTGGAAGGGGCTGGTTTCAAATGGGCAGCAGGACCTGTCAAAGTGACAGGCCCACAAAACCACACCTGGGGGCTGGGGGCTGAGAGGGGTTTGTCCAAACGGGGGGGGGGAGGGGTTTCCCCAAAGGAGGAGAGCCAAACTCCCCCGAAGTCTTCCTGATCTTCAAGGGTGAGGACACACACACACACCCCTTCAGGGAGAGAGGGCTCCCCCCTTTTCACGTCATTTGATTCTTGGCAGCTCGGTTTCCTTTTGTGCTCAATCCCTCGTCGCTATTTTTTTGAATGGGAGAGGCAGGAATCCGTCCAGGGCTGAAGTGCCCAGGAAGATGGAGGAAGGCGGGGAGGGGGGGATCTTAAAGGGGCCATCGCTCTTCCTCCCCCCGCCCCCCCCACCCGACTTCCTTCTCCCTGCCCAGCTGGGCAAACTTGCAACACCCCCCACAACAAACACACCCCTACCAACACCGACCAGGTATTTTTTTCCGGGGGGGTGCCACTCTCCAACTCACACACGACCAGCAGGTGGCGTGGAAAAGAGGAGGGGGCGCGCGCATATACCACCCCCCCAAGAGGGGGCCTTTTGTACTCACCTGGATCCTGGGGCTCGAGCTTGATGCAAAGGCTGGGGGGCTCCTCCATGCTTGGCTCCCTCCCTCCCTGCCTAGGGATTCATCTCCACCCCCCACCTCGATGCACACAAATAACCTTCCCGGCTTCGCTGTAGATTCTCTCGGATCCGTTGCAATATTCCCCCCTTTCCCCCCCCAACCCCCGATTTCTTAAAATAAAAATATATATGGATAAATTGCAATTTTTTCTCCCTCCCACCGCTTCTAATCGACTTGCATCAAGGCTCCGTTTCCACGGCCGAAAAAGAAGAAGGAGCAGAGCCAGGCAGGCTCCGGTTAGCAGGGTGGGGATGCCTTTCCCCCCGGGGCCCCTGGGGCTCCTTTAAGGGCTCCTGGGTAAATTTAAAGGGGACGTGCTCTATTTTTGCAGCTGAGGGGGGAGGGAAGAGAGAAAAAGAGGCGAGGGGAGGAGAGGGGGTGATTCGCTGGACACCCCTTCCCCCCAAAAAAGTGTCTCAAAGCATCCCTAGCCCGGTTCTTCCTCGTTGTATTGTTTTGTTCCCTAAGCTATATATATATCCATATATCCGTATTTAAGGTGTATTTTTTTTAAAGCCTACATAACCAGGTCCCTAACGCGGCCCCCTGCTGCTGGCGCAAGATTTTGGGAAGTGGGGGGAGGGGAAAATTGGGGGAATGAGAGGAAGGGGCTTCCCCGTGGCCCCTGGCCCTTCAAACAAGCCTTCCGTTCAGTCCGATTGTTTTTTAGCTGTTGCAGGTTCTCTGAGTATACATCATGCATTTGAAGCACATTATTCCACCCACTAAAGAATCCTGGGAACTGTAGTTTACCCCTCCCCCACGGAGCTACAGTTCCCAGCACCCTTAACAAACTACAGCTCGTGTGTGTGAATAGGCTTTAAAGTGACGGCTCCGGAATAAAGCACGTTTCCCCCCAACAACAAATCCTGGGAACTGTAGCTTTTTAGAAGTGCTGAGAATTTTGGGGCCCTATAAGGGACAAACTACAGTTCTCAGATTTGTTTGTGGGAAAGTCATGTGCTTTAAATGTATCCTCGATATCCCTAATGCACATTCTAGAGGAATGCACAAGCAGGTAAATGGGTCAATACATTATGGAGATTCCTAGATGGAGTTTTGGAGAGTTACCATTCTCCACCCTTCTGACACATCTCTCTGTGGCAGGTGTAAAATATGAAGAAATCCAACAGGTGAAGCATACAGAGATGCACTGCTATGAAAAGCTTCCCTTGTTGCATTTCTGCCTACGTGGCAGGGTTTGAAGACATGGGAGCTTAGCTAGGAACAACAAATGTGGAGAGATCAACCCTCTTTGGGGCCCATATTTTCAGTATGTTGTAGGGCAGAGATGAGGAATCTGTGGCCCTACAGATTCCGTAGAACTACAGTTCCTCTCATCCCTAAGCACTGGTAATGCTGGCTGGGGCTGATGGGAGCTGGAGTCCAGCAAAATCCAGAGGGCCATAGACTTTCTATCCTAATTGTAAGGGATAGAGGACTGATCAACACAATCAAAGGGGTTTTGGGGTTGCCAACTGACCAGAAGGGAGGGGAGGGGGAAACAGGCACAGCACAGCCTGTTCTTGTGCTGTTAGCAACAGCTTTATCTGCAGAAGTCCTCATATGACCACTGATTTGCTGCGCAGATATCAGCAGCGTTATTGGCTAATGTGTGCTGACTGAGCACAGGCGCAGGGGACAGTAAATAAGTTGGCAACTTTAATTGGGTTGACAGGGAGCTGAAGAAGCTTGAGGCAGAAGATGCAATAAGCTTATTGATTTATTTAACAGAGCTTGTGTTATTTGATTGTAAGGAGACTCTCTAAAGTGGCTTGCGAGAACATACCAATAAAAGACAAAGTTAAAAACTGGTATTTTTAAAAATTCAAAATTTTATTAAAATCAACAAGCTAAAAACAGTTTAAAACACTAACTCAACACATCAGTTCATCCCTGTTTAGGTAGATTGAGTTTGGAGCTAAGCATGGTTGAAGAGAGATGCGGTTTGCCCTTGCTGAAAGACTTGCAGGAAAACCACAACTACAAGCTGCCCATTGGGTTGTGTGAACTGTCAAGTTTGGGTCCGGGTTGTCAGTTTTCACCTGACAAGACTCCTGTGCCTACAAGCGTGGCTAAGCTGTGCCCCTTCAGGTGTAGACTCCAATTCCCATCACCCCTGACTATTGGCTTGGCCCGCAGTGGCTGATGGGAGTTGGAGTCTAGCAACATTTGGAAGGCAGCCTCCCCTAGCCTAGGGTATGAATTCAACAGGTATGGCCGGGATTGGTAGCAACAGGTAAGCTTTATTTGTTGCACTTCTGGCCATTGTGTCACTATTAACGGAGGCAAATGTGACATTAAGTTGTTGTCATTATTATTATTTTCCAATCTAGTGCCATTGGTGTGCTCAGCAGTTGACAAAGTTCAAGAATAGCATTTCCTCCAGTATATCCCTTTAGGCTTAAATTACATTGGCATCTGGGTTCTAAGGGCCAAGCTTTACACAGCAGATTGCAAAGCTGTACGACGGGCCAAATTTGGACCAAGCGCACCACAAAGGGCAAAAACATACGAGCTCTGCCGGATCAGGCGAAAGGCCTATCTAGTCCAGCATTTTCACAATTTATCTAGGAAATGGTGTCTATCACTACATTTTGCAGTAGCAAATTCCACAATTTAACTTGGTGCTGGGTGGAGAAGTCCTTATTTTTCCCAGTCATGAATTTTCCAACATTTGGCTGAACTGGATGTCCATAAGTTCTAGGACTCAGCTATACAGCTGCAAATATAACGTTTTAAGTGAATTATACAAATGTGACACTAGATGGCGATGGTGAGCTAGTGGCAAATTCAATATATATATATGTTGAAAATGTTTTTTAAAAAAGCATTTTCACATCATTTTTATATGTGTGTAGATTCCACCCTAGTGTCATGAGGGAGAAAAACATCTCTCTGTCGCTTTCTCCACACAATGCATGGTTTTAGACACCGTGATCATGTCTCCCCTAAAAAGTCTCAATGTTGTAACCTTTCCTCACAGGGGAGTTGGGGGTGGGCTGGAGGAAACTGCATTCAAACATAACTACATATGAGTGCTAGTTGGCGCCCAAAGGGGTTAAGATCACAGAGTTCTCAGACCCAGAATCCGTGAGGGAGAATGTGAAGCTGCTTCTTTTCTTTTCGCTCATTCTCTTTGCACCATGTAAATGACCAGGATGGACATTTCTCCTGAACTTTCTCCAAGCTCAGGACATGCATGTTTGAAACTACAGTGGTACCTCGGTTTACAAACTTAATCCGTTCCAGAAGTCCGTTCTTAAACAGAAACCGTTCTTAAACCGAGGTGCGCTTTCCCTAATGAGGCCTCCAGCCGCCAGTAACCTTCCACTGTTCGGCTTCCGTTCTTAGACCGAGGTAAAGTTCGCAAACCGGGACACTACTTCCGGTTTTGCAGAGTTCGTAAACAGGACTGTTCTTAAACCGAGGTTCCACTGTACATTCTGTATTTTGTTCGTTGTGTTCTCCTTGCTGCTACATGGAACAACTCATGAATCAGACCTTTAGATTTAGTAAGTAAAGTATTTTAAACTTACTTAATAGTGTGTGGTCTGTTCATTGCAAGAAGGGTAGAGAGAGGGGCAAAGAGCTTTAAAGCAGACAATATGGGCCTAACAGTCCATATTCCCCCACTTTACTGTTTTTAACTTTGTTGGGGGCTCTCTCCTGCTGGAGAGTGTGCAAAGCCCTGTGTTTTGAAGCTAGGCATCCAGCTGATTCTTTTGTTAATTACACACCCAAGGGTCAAATCTATTTTCTTCCCACAGTGGGGTGGGGAGCTCTATCAATTTGTTTAGGCAATTGGGCAGCAGGCAATTCTTTCAGCCTCAGCCTGCACAGTCTGCTATGTAAGGGTTATAATACTGTCCTACCTTATAAGGTTCTTGTAAGGTTTAGCGAGACAATATGGGTGTTCTGTTTGTTTCAGAGCTTTGTAGCACTCCAAGGTTTTGCTGTTTCCCCTCATAATTTGATTTGTTATGAGTAAGAAAACGGGAGATGGAGAAAGAAGCCTGAAGTTTACTCAGATACCTAAACTGTTGTCGCCAAAAGGACAAAGAGCCTTGGAGCACCTTAAAGATGCCACAAGACTCCTTGTTGTTTTCCAGAGGATCGGATCATTGAAGAACTTTCCCTGCAAAGAAAGCTAAGCTAAAACATTTGGGGGGTTTACAGGGTGGTGGTGGTAAAGCAAGATATGACTTGGTAGACGTTTGTAACACTATACGTACAGAAGAAAATGGATAGTCCATCTATTTCTTCCTGTCCCACAATGATTAGAAAGGGGGGTATCCTCTCACAAAACTGACTGGAAGCTAGTTGAGAAGAAGTCAAGGAAAGCACTTCTTCAAGCAAATACATGGAATTCAACACTACAATATGTTGTGAGGGCCGGCCACTAGCTCCAATGGCTTCCTACCCATGGAGGAAGGGAGCTAGAGGAAGAGCTATATTACAGTGGTACCTCGGGTTAAGTACTTAATTCGTTCCCGAGGTCCGTTCTTAACCTGAAACTGTTCTTAACCTGAAGCACCGCTTTAGCTAATGGGGCCTCCTGCTGCTGCCGCACCGCCGGAGAACGATTTCTGTTCTCATCCTGAAGCAAAGTTCTTAACCCGAGGTACTATTTCTGGGTTAGTGGAGTCTGTAACCTGAAGCATATGTAATCCGAAGTACCACTGTACTAATGACAGCTAAACTCAGCCTCCACAGCCAGAGGCAGTCTACCTTCAAATGTCAGTCTATCTCAGGGATACTGGCGGGGAGGCATCAGGAGAAGACTTGTGGGGTTTTGTTACAGGCATCTCTGGTTGGCACTTATTTGGAAGCAGGAAGAGTTGGACTTTTCGCTTTCCTTAGGCTCTTTGATCCCTTTCTGCAGGCTCTAAATCGCCTTTGTCACTCCCTTATATTTCCTGCAACTCCACCCCTTCCCCTCCAGGGGGCGACCTTTCTCGGACTCGCTAGCCGCCCGCCTCTATGCTCCCGGTCTGTCTCCTGCGCCAAGTGGTCTATAACCTGCCGAGGGGCGGAGAAGAGAAGAGAACGCCGCGCTGGCCATTGGATTCGCTGGGTAGCGAAGGCACCGCAGATCTAAGAAAAAGAGAGACCTATACGCCATCGTCGCGCTCCCGAGCGAGAACTTCCGGCCTGAAAGCGGACTGTTCCTTTCCTTGCCGGACGCAACTTCCGATGCGGAACGTAGAGATAAGAAAACAGCCGCCGGGGCGACGTATCTATGGCGGCGTTCCCTTTCCCGCCGGAAGTTATGGCTATCTCTGACAACAGAGCGGAGGAGGGAAAGGTCCTTCGGACAATGAAACCATAGAGTGGGAGCGGGGAGGAGAGGCCGCTCTGCCTCGCTGGGAGCCGGAGAGCTCTATGCTGCGTGGCGGGGGCTCCAGCGGGAGAGCTCGGGAGGCCTGGAGCAGCTGAGCGGCCAGGTGGGGAGAGAGGCCCGTTGGGTAGGTAGGGGCGGGGGCCAAGGCGCGGGGGGGGGGAAGAGGTGCTGCCGGCCCCCAAATATGGGGGGGCTGCTGTCCCACCACACCTGGGGTGGGGGAGGGGATGGTGCCCCCCACACCTGGGGAGCTGTTCAACACCCCCCCCCCGCATAGACGTTGCTGGTGGGGGCTTTTCTTCCCCAATAAACATAGTTAGGATGGAGCTGGCGTCCTCCATACCTGGGGTGGTGTCCCCCCCAAAACACAACGGGGGTGGGAAGGGTTGGTGGCCCCTCAGCTGTGGGGCCACCCCAGTTATGGTGGTATTTCCCCTCCCACACACCTAGGGTGGCCCCACAACTGGGGTGCTGCTCCCTCACATAAACACAGCTGGGTTGGGGGGGAAAGGGCTGGCGTTTCCCCACACCAGCAGCACAATGGGTGGGGGGGAAGGGCTGGTGGGTCCCTCCACAGCTGGGTTGGCACATCTGGAAGAGGCTGGTGCTCCCTACCCATCCTCCGCCATAAATGCATCTGTGGTGGGTTGATGTGCTCATTACATGCATGCACACACAGAGATGGTCACCAGCAGGAGGGATGGGAGAAGGCCTGGTGTCTCCCCCCCCCAGAAAAACACCTGGGGTGGTCTTTGTTTGGGGGGAGAACTTATTTTTCTTCTAACAGTTTAATGGTATTACCAGGTCACTGTTGTCCGTCCCCCCCACACACAGCTGCTTAGGTTGAAGGGGAGGGACTGGCAAAGAGCTAGGTGGTCACCAAGATGGATAGAGGTGGGGATTGGGGCTGGTATTTTGAGGTGGGGCTGAAAGAGGGAAAGTAAGGATGGAGGATCAAGTCACAAGGGCAGGTGCCTGGTATGCATATTCAATGGGGTTGCCTGGCTCAGGAAGGGTGAGCATGTGGGGAGGTCAGAAGAATATTAATGGGGGGAGAGAGAGAGAGAGAAGAGGGAGCCTATGGCATGGCTAGTAGTGGGAAGGGGGTTTAGTGCATAGCTGTCAACGTTTCCTTTTTTTAAAGGGAAATTCCCTTATTCCGAATAGGATTCCTCGCAAGAAAAGGGGAAAGTTGACAGCTATGGTTTAGTGTGTTAGGGTTGTATCCAGCTAAGTCCTACTCAGAGCAGACCCACTGAAATGAACAGCCAGGTCCATTCATTTCCATGGGTCTACTCTGAACACTGGAGACAACCCATGAACTCTTAAGGAAGGAGATGTGAAAATGGAGCCCCTTGTGCTGAGTGGATGGGGGTGATACCTGGGATTGGGGAGGCCTGAGTTTCAGGAAGGAATCAAAATGGTACAGCAGGGAGATCTGGGTGGTGGTGGAGGGACATGGACCGTTGCCTCTTTTTGGGAGATAATGGGGAAGATTGTACTGTAATTCAGAAGAAGGTACTATGGATTAATCCAAGGAGGAGAGTATGGGGTGCATCTGCGAAAGATGGGGGCATTTTGCTTCTTTTAAGATGCAGATGAGACACACAAAGACCCTGAAAAGAGTATTACCCTGTGGGGATGGTGTGGGGCAGGATGTAGATGTAGAGGGAGAACAGAGGAGAAATCTTCTGTGGGTAGAGGCAAGGTAGAGAAGGGAGGGAGGTCTAGAAGGAGAAGTCAGGCTGGCTGGCTGGCTAGCTGAGATCCAGGAAAGAATTAAAATGGTGCCTGGTGAGGGGGAAGGAGGTGCAAAGTTGTTTTATTGTATTTTTAATAATTTGTTGTAAGCCGCCCAGAGTGGGGTACAAATAATGAATTGATGATGATGATGATGATGATGATGATACACTTTGGGGTAGAAGGTTTAGAACAGGGAGATGCAACAATGCAAATTGCTTGGTGGGAGAAATGAGATTCTGGAGAAATAAAGACTTGAAGGAAAGTGATATTATTTCATAATTATTATCACTTTATTCGTAGGCCACCTTTTCCCCCCATCCCTCCCAAAATGATGCTCAAAGTGGCTTATTACAATGAGATCAGAATAGACAATTTCATAATAAAAGTAATAGTTGTGGGTTTGCTTTAGAGGATGGAGGAGATTTGAGGTCCTGGTGGGAGTAATTGTGAACATGGCAAAAATGTGAACAGGGCCTTGTGGCTTTGGGGAGGGAAGTTAGAATTCCACGGGATGTTGTGACTGTTTCTTTTTTGGACATGCATGGAGTACACCTTTATAATTTAAAGAGATGGGGATTTGGTGTCGGCAAAGACCCAGCAGTCAAAGTAAGAAAGACAAAACTGTACATATTCAAACCAGGGAAAAAGGAGATTGGCCCTGAATGTGCAGGAGCAGAGGAGGGAATGACAAAAGTATTAAACAAACATCCTCCAGGTTATGTTGTTATGCTGAATGCACTTTGAGCACAGTAAGGCTGCCCACAGGATCCTGGGAACTGTAGCATACTGCTCCCAAAACTACAATTCCCACCATGCTACAATTCCCATGATTCTTTGCGGGAAGCCATGTGCTTTAAATGCATGGAGTGTGTGTTCACAGCCTCCCTCTTCTTCGGAGATGATGGCACTTTCTACATGTGAAGTTTTTCTTAAAGAAAACACAAGTATGTTTCCCCTTGGGTTCTCCTCTTTTCTAGGGAACAAAGACTCTTGTGGCTAATGGATTTACTATTCCCCACTTTTGTTTCCAGAAGAGCGAGCAGCTTTGCTATCACCAGGCAGCACTGAGTGGATTCTAGATCCCAAGCCCTTCCTCTGGTTACGATCCGGATTGACGCCCTGCCACAGGTAGGAAGGGTTTGGAATTAATGTCACATCCCAGTGCATTATGTAGTTCCTTTCGCCCCCAGTGTGGCAGTCTCAAAGTATTTGCTTTAAAAGTAACAAAGTTTCTAGTCCTCAAGGTGGTGGGAGGTAAATTTGAACACAGGGTGCCTGTTTGTTTGTTTTTTAAAAAAATCCTTAACAAGAAAACAAAAGATTGGGGGTAGCAACAACTCAGGGAGCAGGTTTCTTAGGATGTTTTGCACATGTACTCAGCAAAGAGGAAGGGGGGTATCCTATATTCCAGCAGGTTGGCAAACTTTATCCTTGCATTCATCCAAATAACACTTTAAAATGTACAGTGAACAGCAGAGTGTGCAGTTTGGCTCTGTATGTCTCCCCTGTATGGCCCTCGGATCCCCGCCCGCATCCTGGTTCCCGTGGCCTGAAGACAAAGAAGACTTTTGTGAGTCGAAATAAACAAATATAATTGAGGGGAGGAGTGACTATAGCAATGGCCTTCAGGTCCCCAAATAGCTATGTTTCCCACAGCTTGCTCAGAAACTGTATCCCAGAATTGCTTCATGTCGTGGTCTGAGTCTGCTTATTTTCTCTTCCCCTTTTTCCTTTTTGGCTTCATCAGCAGGAAGTTAGTAAAGCTCTGTTTCTATGATGAGTTTTATTTGTTCTTATTTTCGAATGGTTTTTAACAATTTGTTTACGCTGCTTAGAAATTCTGATTCTGTTTGCTTGCTTGCTTGCTTGTTTATACCCCGCCTTTTCCCCCTGATAGGAAGCAAAGCCACTTACAGGTAAAAAATAAGAGCCGGTAAAAACAGAAAAAGCAATCACTGAAAAACAATTAAACATTGATAAAAATAAAACTGTATACATACATAGGATGTACTGAAACCATACCAATAATTACAATAAAAACAGCACCAGCCCTTTCCTTAGAAGCAGTCAGTTCCCAAATGCCGGTTGGAACAAGAAAGTCTTCACCTGCAGGAGGAAGGACAACAAGGAGAGAGCCAGTCTAATTTTTCTAGGGAGAGAGTCCCAATGCCTTGGAGCAGCCACCGAGAATATTTAAATATTAAGTGTTATTTAAATGTCTTAAATAAATAAATAAATAACGACAGAGCCTTCCTATACAGTGGCACCTTGGTTCTTGAACTTAATCCATTCTGGAAGCCCGTTTGACACCCGAAACTGTTTGAAAACCAAGGCGCAGCTTCCGATTGGCTGCAGGAGCTTCCTGCCCTCAAGCGGAAGCTGTGTCAGATGTTCAGCTTCTGAAAAACTTCACAAATGGGAACACTTACTTCCGGGTATGTGACATTCGGGAGCCAGACGATTTGTTCAGGAGCCAAGCCGTTCAAGAACCAAGGTACCGCTGTATTCTTAAAGTGTGTGTGTGTGTGTGTGTGTGTGTGTGTGTGTGTGGTTTTTCCTGGCCAGGAGAAAAAGAGATGTGGGAACTGAGGTTGTCAACTTGGAAGTGTTTCTTTCCCTTCTCCATCTACCCCCTCCGCAACCTGAACGGTGCTTCTTCTTTTTCTACAGGTGGGCTTTTGTTGTGCCAGCCCCACTGAAACACTCATGGCACTGAAGGCAGAAGCTCCCCTCTTGGACTACCTCAAGGTCTCTTTGAAGTGCAAAACGGAGAAGGAGAAGGAGAAAGTGGCCGCAGGGCATCTGCTCCCCAGCTGCCCCCCAGTCAGGCTGGATGGGCCCCACGCAGATCCCGTGGACAGAGGTGGGGAACGTGCCCCTCTGGGGCGCAGGACAGGGAAAGTCCCTCCCCTCGCATCATCCTAGAACTCAGGCCCAACGAAGGCCAATGCTTGAGGACAAATGAAAGGAAATACTTCTTCCCGCAGCACATAGCTAAACTGGGGGATTCCCTCCAGCAAGATGCGGTGGTGTCCACCAACTTAAAAGAGGATTAGGCAAATTCACCGAGAACAAGGCGATCAATGGCTACCAGCCACAATGGCCATGTTCTCCCTCCCCTGTCTGTTGCTGGCCACTACATGAATTAGGTGCTGGAGGGGCTGCAGGCCTGAACCTGCAGGGCTTTTATTGGGTTCTTAAGGTGGAAAAGGACCCCCAGCCTTGAGTTAGCCTGTGAAACAATAGTAAGAGCTGTTTGTTGCCATTGGAAAAAGCTTGAGCCAATGAGGCTGACCTAGAAGAGAAGAGTGGAAGTCCTGTGGCTGCTCTCTACGTAAAAACCACCACCATTCCTGCTGGTAGGCCACACTGGCTGTGGCTGATGGGAGGTTCATTCCCAGCGCCATCCATAGGGCAGCCAAGGACTCTCTCTCCCTGCCCTGACTCCAACTCCCATCAGTCTCAGCCAGCATGATCATGGGGGGTGATGGGACTTGTAGTCCGGCAGCGTCTGGAGAGCATCTCTGTTAGAGAAAGGAAGGGGGCAGAGCGCGCGCAAGGAATCAGGGATATGGGAACTGTCTCCAAGGCTGGCGTCAGACCCCTCCTCCATCCCAACGTGCCCCCTTTCTCACCCCCAGGAGAGCGACTGGTTGTAATCCCGGTGGCCGAGGTTGGCCCAGAAGAGGCAGGCAGCTCCTGGAGTCAGGAGTACCTGATTGCCGAGAGCTCGGGGGGCAGCCAGCCAGTGTGCATGGTGTGCGGAGGCACCCTGAGTGCCTCGGGGCCTGTGGCCGCCCGCAAACACATTCTGGAGCATCACGCCCACTCGCTGGACTTCAGCTTCGAAGAGAAGCGCAACATCCTGGAAGCCTGGAGCGAAGGGGTGGTGCTTCCTGAGCCAGAGCCACAACCTTCCCCTGCAGGTAACACACACCAACACAGATCAGTGTTGTATTAAATGGTACCATCTCCAGTTGGGTCTGGAAAAGGTTTTGGGTTTTGAGCAAAGTCGCCCTCCGTGTCTGCCTCTTCCATTTCCTCTGTGCCTCCTGGAGAAGGGGCTGGGGGTGTCAGTGCAGTTTGCCATCCTTTGGGGTTCCTTTTCCGGTCAGCAGAGTCACCCAGAAAGTCTTCCAGAATCCATTTCTTCACAATTCAGCTCTTCTCTTGGCGAACGCATACATGGAAATAAACACACCTCCCATTTTGGTTCTTCTGAATGCATTTATTGTTGAATTAACACTACATCTTATATAACCACTAGTCTAGTAAAGTAAAGTAAAACTATGTTCAGATAATTATTCTGTCTCACTCTGCTCTTCAGCCGTCTGGCCAGAGCAACAGCCTCCAACATTCTCTCTCTCTCTCTCCCTGATCCATACCTTGCCTTATAAAGAAACCTGTTGATAAGGGGAAAACTTGTTGCCAAGGGCAGACTTGTTGCTAGGGCAAAATCTTTCAAGAATCATTTCAAGTCATTGTTTAAGACTACACTAACAGGATGTTGGCAAACGTTTCAGCGGAAGTGTTTTTCTCTGCTCTTTAGCCGAAAAAGCCTGGGCAGTTTGCAGACAACCAGTGATAAGGCGGAGCCTGCCCACAGGTTTACAGACTTTAAAAAAGACACAGCACAAAAGGAAAAAGGATTGGGAGGGGAAAAGCAAACTCGTGGACTTGTTCTCGCTTACATAGTGTTTCATAAATGTTCTCCCTGGCACGGAGAGGGGAAGCCAGCTCTCTGCAGCTGCTCCTTCTCTGGCCAGTGGACTGGGTCAGGCTGGTCTCCTCCTTGCTGTGATGTTCTTCCTAGAAGGCAGGGGGCGCTGCCTTCCTTAGACCCCCGGGTGGTGGCAGAGGTCCAGGCATGCTGCCTTCCATCTTTGCAGTCCCAGGGCAAAAGTTGAGTGGAGGGATCAAGAGGAGGCCTGATGGTGTTGAGGATTGACAGTGAAATAGCACTTGAATTGTGGGTTTTAGAGGCGTGTAATGACTACAGGCATTGGAAGATATTGGCCTTTAGGTTGGACAACGCAACCAGGAAGTTGTGTATTTATGCATGAAGAATGTATAGAAATGCAATCACTCTGCCTATGTTTGTGCCTGTTAGTCCCTGGGAGAAGCAAACAGCTGGCGAAAGCACTAAGGCCAACCTGGCACCCTCTGGGTGTTTGGAACTACAACTCTCATCAGCCCCAGCCATCCTGGCCATGTTGGCTGATGGGAGTTGTAGCTGAGAACACCCAGAGGGCTCTGGGTATGCAAAGGCTGCCCTAGACGATTGCCTATTGACTTAGCCTCTCTCTCTCTCTCAGCTCCACCCTGGATACCAAGATTCCTCCAGGCATTGCCTTGGAGTACCAATTCACATCCATAAGGGCTAGAAACTTGTCTCTTTCCTTTCTCCCTCCCCCTAAACGGAAGATGAGATCCTTGGGAGGCCAAGTCCTCTGCTCGCTGCTGCCCATTTCCACTCTTTGCCGTGGAACAAACACACAGTGCTGTGTGCCGCTTTTGATTCCCCTTTCTGAAACTATCCCCTGCCAGGCAACCCCGGCAAGAGCAAGCAGCCGGCTGAGATAGAGGTGCTCCTCGATTCGGAGGAGCGGCAGCCGGCGAGTCGGAAGCGTGGGCACCCGAGAGCGCGCTGCGGTGAGTGCTGGGGCCGGAGGTGGTGGTGGTGGTCGTCGCTTAGACGGGTCATCGTCATCGTTCTCAGACCCAGGACCCACTCGTAAGAAAAACAGGGAGCTGCCGTCTGGCCTAACACTGCCGACACGGACCGGCAGGGGCTCTCTGGGATTTCAGGCAGGGGGTGCTCTGCAGCCCCACCTGGAGATGCCTCCAGGGAGCTGAACCTGGGCCCTTCTGCAGGAAACATGTGAACTGTGGCCCCTCCCTTAAAAAAACGAAATGAGATTCTAGTCCTCATGGTTCTGAATTTAAACTGGAAAATAGGAAGCTTCCTTATGCCAAGGGGTCTAGCTTAGTGCTGTCTCCACTGACTAGCAGCAGCTCTCCAGGGTTTCAATTTGGGGGGCCGGGGGGAGTTTTTTCAGCCCTGCTTGGAGATGCCAGGGATTGAACCTGACACCTTCTGTGTGCAAAGCACCGAGCTATGGCCCTTAATCCCTCAACCAGCAGAACGACACCCCATTCCAATGTTTGTTTGTTTTTAACACACATGTCTGGCTTTAGCCTTCTCTTTCCCAGGTGCCCAGGTGCCAAAGAGGGCGCCTCTGTACCTCTGGCTGTTGGGTAGAAGGAGGAGTCTTTGTGGCTGTAGGCTCGTCTTGTAGGGATAAGAGCCTCATGCGGAAATCCCTTCTTCTGCAAAATGTTCGGGATGAGCGAAGCCTGGTGGCCACAGGCACTGCCTTCCACTTTAGCGTTGGAGTGGGATATGACTTGACTTCAGCCACCAGCTGAAGACCATGGACTTAACCCGTGGAACTGTTTTTCCTTTATGTACGCTTAGACCCTGAACGGCGATCACAAGGCCAGCAGAGGCGGCACAGCTTGAGCACCATCAAAGACATGAGCAAGCATCCCAGCAAGACCACAGGTTAGCAGCAGAGCTGTAAGGCTGCTTTTTAGCGTGGGGGCAGGTTTTTCCCTCCCCAAAGCAATGGAAGCGTCTTCCGTCCAGTCACTGCCACCGTTCCTTCCCTTTGCGTGCCTAGCTGCCTCCTTGTGTGTCCACCCACAGGCTAGCGCTCCGCAGAGGCGCCAAACATTCGTAGGATCTTATCTGCCTTCCTCCTTGGCTCCTTTGAAAGTCAAGTTTCTAACCTTTAAAGAGGGGCTTGACAGCATGCCGTCAAGGTTTTGGTAATACTGAAAACCTGAATTTGGTGGGTTGAACGAAACCATCCTTCATTCTTGCAAAAGTCGCTGTGTGCCCCTTCCCCAACACAGTCAGAATAATTTGCAAAATAGGTGGGGTGAAAATGTGGGTGGGGGGTGCAGAGTAGTTTGACGTGCCTGACTTACACAGATTGCAGAATTTGGCTCTGCTTGGTACAGAGTACATATTTTTTTTGTGCTGTTGTTTTGGGAGGGGACAGAATAGGATTGTGGGGGTTACATCCAACTTAAGTTTCTTCCTCAGAGTAGACCCATTTAAACTAGTGAACCTAGTGGAGCCATGCCCATCACTTTAAATGGGTCTAACTTTGAGTTTATAGCAGTCACTTTCAGTGGTGGCAGACTCGGGACTCTTCCCAGGCCACTTGCCTCCACGGCCTTGCTTCTGCACCCTCCTTGAGTGTTTTTGTCTGGCCGGAATATGTACTTGAATTCAGATTATGCCTCTAGCATGTCTGGATGGAGGAGAGAAAGTGGGGCAGGCATGCGGGGAGTGTGAGCGTGTGTGTAAGCCATCCTACTTGACAAAGGTCCAATATGCTTTGCCCTCTTTCACCTCTGGCCCCTTCCACAACCGGTGCCACTTCCACACGGCCCCCAGAAGGCTGCCCAGAAGGGAATGCAGCCTTCGGGCTGGAAAAGTTGCCCAATCCTTGGCTTAATTCCTTGCTGCCTCTTTTCTTCCCAGGGAAGGAATGGCTCTCGGAATGTGGGGTCCCAGGCTCGGCACCTGCCGAAATCCGTATCTTCACGGACGGCACTTTCCCAGCTGGCTTTGCCTTGAAACTGTACTGCCGGACTCAACCGGGTGAGTAGTGCTTTGGCGGTCATACTTAAAAATCTCCCTGCGTGAGGGAAAGGAGAAGGAAGGAGGGAGCAGGTGAAACACGTGTGCATTGCTGCCACTGCCGCCCGGGCCCAAACCAGAGGCACGTTACCTGTCAAATGCAACATGCACACAGCCAGGCTGTCACATGGCCTCCCTGAGGAGGTGGAGGCAGAGCCGCGGTCGGGCTTGAGGGTCGGTGTCCTGGAGGCTCGGACTTGTACTGACCTCTCCCCACCCTCTGCCTCCCATCCCATCGACTTCTTTTTTCCCACCCTGGCAACTGGCAGTGGTGGAAGGAGCAGGGCAGGGTCAGGAAGCTGGGGGAAAAAGCTCCCTCCTTGACTGTTGCAAGTTGGGCACCCAGCAATGTCCGGAGGGCCACAGGCTGCCCACCCCACCCTTAAAACGGAACACTGGCCACCATGTTCTAACCCCTTAAAGCAGGTCTGGAAGACTCCAACTCCCATCAGCCCCTGCAAGCACGGCCAACGGCTAGGGGCTATTGAGTCCAGCAACATCTGAGTCCCGCCCCCACCTGCAGGACTAGAGCCAAGGGGTGGAAATGGCAGGGAGCCAGGCTTCCTTGGAAGCTGTTGGTGGTCTTGCTGTTGGCTTAAGGAGAGGTGGGACGGCCCTCTGCCTGGAATGTTGCAGATCACTGCTCCTTCCCACTCCGTAATTCTGTTATTCTGGGATTTTGGGGGCATGTTGATGGCACGGGTTCCTACAGGTGGCCACAATGTATTATCGATGTTGTTGTTACAGAACCACCCCAGGACTCTGAAGCAAAGCCAGGCCCAAGGAAGAGAGCAGTGGGTAAGTCTTGCCGCTTGTTCCCAATAAGGAACAGGCGCAAGGGGCAAAACTGGGTCGGATTTAGGCCCACCCACCACCCACTCTTCAGCTGACTGCCAGGGGTGCTAAATCCTGCTCTGGCTGCAAGTGCCCACAGCCAAGGCAGAATTGAACCCATTTTCCTGAGTGACGGCAGCTGACAGACGGGTAGGTAGGGCTGGCCAAACTGGACCCCCTGCCTGGCCAGGATTGGCCTGCAGGCCAGAAACTCACCACCCCTGTTTTAGCACAAACGAGCGATGTTTCTTGTCCTTGCTGTGTTATGGTTTCCCCCCTGCTAATTGGGAGGCTGAATGTTATCTCCAATCTTGCCGGCTGTGTATCAAAAGTCACCAAAACAAGAGCAACCTCACATCAGGCTTATTCCCTCCAAGCTCAGCCAAGGCTGAAGCCCAGCTGAAAACTGGACTGGAACTCCTTCCGTCTCCCAAGGCAGGATTTTCACACCAACATCTCTTCTCTTTATATATCCCCATTCTCAGCCCTGCCCGCCCCCTGAGCTTTCTGCTATGCTTGGGGACTTCCCAGGGGCATCTCTGAGGTGTAGGTACTGCCCGCCAACTTGGATGGCTATAAAAGAGGATTACACAAATTCATGATGCTTAAGGCTATTCATGACTACAAGCCACAGCTGCTCTGCTTTACTTCCAGAGTGGAAGCAGTAAATGAAGGCAGTACATGTCTCCGGGGACCAGCTGCTGGGGATTCACAGAATCACAGAGTTGGAAGGGACCATGAGGGTCATCTAGTCCAACCCCCTGCAATGCAGGAATCTTTTTGCCCAGTGTGAGGCTGGAACCCACCGCCCTGAGATTAAGTCTCGTGCTCTGCCGACTGATCTATCTGGGTGGCTGGAGAGAGCACTTTTGTCCTCAAGTCCGGCTTAGCAGCCTGGATAGCTTGATTGGTTAGAGCATGGTGCTGATGATTCCAGGGTCGCAGGTTCGATACCCATATGGAACAGCTGCATATTCCTGCATTTCAGGGGGTTAGACTAGATGATCCCCAGGGTCCCTTCCAACTCTGATTCTGTGATCAGCTTCCCATAATGGGCATATGGTTGGCCACCATGAGAATGGGAGGCTGGGCTAGATGGGCAGTCTTTGGCTTGATCCAACTGAGCTCTTTCTTTGCTTTCTAATTGCTCACTTTTAGTTGTGAGAGCAGCTCAGTTGATAGAGCACGAGACCCTTGAATATCAGGGTTGTGGGTTCGAGCCCCACATTGGGCAGAACATTTCTGCATTGCGGAGAGTTGGGTCAGTTGACCCCCATTGTCCCTTCCAACTCTGGGATAGGTGGACTGAGCGAACGGCCTGTTGTTTCAATTTGCCGCCTCTTCCTCCCCAGATCGCAAATGCTCTGTGTCTCTACTTCGGCTCCACTCCACGGATCCTCCTCCCCGCCAGCTCTGCCCACCACGGGACCCTGCCCCTTGCGCCCTGGCCAACTCCCCCGGCAGCAACGCCAAAGATTGCGACGCCAAGCCCCGCCGGCAGCGGGCGGCAGCAGGCAGCGAGGACGCCCCACTCCTGGCCAAGAGCTTCAACCCCACCTGGCGTGCCCGCTTCCTCGTGGATTTTGACGCCGCGGCCAACCACCTGGTCTGCATGGTGTGCGAGTACCCTCTGCGCCGCGTCTGCCTGGCCACCGTCAAGCAGCACATCCTCCAGTGCCACGCCGAGACCCTCCACCTCCCGCGGGAGGTCCGCCGCACCATCCGTGAAGTCTGGGAGAGCAGGGGCCAGTCCCCCTCTGCCGCCCCCAGGAAGTGAAGGGGAGCTTGGCCGTCACCCATCCCACCCCTCCAATATGCCAATGTGGCGATGTAAGTCGTTGGACTGGCCACCCATGGCAGCTGGGGGTGGGCGGGTGGAAGAAAGGTTAGGCACCCAGTTACTAAGTGGGGTTCATTCTTCCCCCTCTCGGGCTCCCTACCCAGAGGGTGCCTCGTTCTTGTCTCGTTTCGTTACTCAAGCATGTTCGGGGGTCAGCCACGGCCTCTTCTGTCTTTGTGCCTGCCCTCCGTTCCCCACCAATCCGCCTGATCACTACCGCAGAGGATGATGGGAGGAAGGTGAATGTTTTGTGTGTCTGTGTGGCAGGAGAGGGAAATGGCCATTGCTGCCTCGCCTCCAAAGGTTTGGGGGAGACCCTTCACATGGCAACTACCCCCACATACACCCCATGTGTTCCCAAAAGTTTGCCTCTCTGTCTCCCCAGAGAGAGCAGGGGTGGTGGAGCATATCAGGAGGTGGGGCTCTGCCTGACCGGGGACTCCCGTAGCCTAATCGCTTAGTTTCCACACCAGCGGAACAGGCAAGGGATGCCTCTGGTTCCTTCCTCGGCAATAATGTTTTCCCCTCTCTGCCCCCCCCCCCACTGGCACTCCAGCTAACAGGGCACAATACTTAGGACCCATGGCAGGGCAGGATGAGGCTTCACACCCTGTTATATGACTTTTAATAGGCACACACCTGAGCGGGGAGGGGGGGCAGCACCATTGCCCAGCACTTTCCCAGGGATGAGTTACACTAAAGGGAATCTGAGTTGTTGTTATACAAAGGAACAATAAATTATTTTTATGATACCCTCCTGCTCGCTCTCTCTCTCTCCCTCCCTCCCTCTTTCTGTCTTAATTTTGTTTTCTGTGTTTGGCTGGCATGAAGAACCTAAGAGCAGCCACGCTGGGTCTGGCCAAAAGTGTCCCATCTTCTGTAGCATCCTCACAGAAGCCAACCAAGCGCCTTCCAATAGGTCAGATTCTTTGTCCCACCTGGTGCTACCTAAGCCCTTTTACTGGAGCCAATCCAGGGGCCTCTTCCATGCTAAACACAGAATCCTAGAACTGTAGAGCTAGAAGAGAGCCAAAGGAACATCTAGTCCCTCCCCTTGCAATGTGCTTCTCCCACTGAGTCGGGGCTCCTCCTATCCCTAGGCCATGTTTGTCATGGGGCTTTTGTTTGCCTGCAAAGTGTCCTTTAACTGGGTTGTGCCCCCTGCTTTCCTGGAAGGAAGTGGAAGAGTAGCTGTAGAAACCTCTGACTTACTTGTGTGACCAAGATGTAGCTTGCTATATACAGTGGTACCTCAGGTTAAGAACATGCCACATTTTATCTTCCCAACAACCCTGCAAGGTTAAGATAAGCTAAATAATATCACCCTGCTCTAGGTTACACGATGAGCATTGTCTCTAGGCAGAGCCATTGTGGCGAGCAGCTATGTATAGCCTTGGTTAATCCTCTCTTAAAGCTATCTAAGTTGGCTCTTGTGGGAGACAGTTCCTCAGTCTTTTAACACCAACAGATTGGTCAAAGGCAGATTTCTGTTCAATTCATTTCCTAGCAATTCCCAACATGGAGCTCTCATAGCATCTGCAAGTGCTGGGCTGTCCGCCACAACCCCAATATCCCTTTTTCTGGTCAATCACTGCTGGTTCAGGAAGCGATCAGCATGTATGTGAAATTAGGATTCTTTGGGCACAATGCATATCACTTCTGCAGGTGCTTGCATATTGATGCAGTTCCTGCTAGCTGCCATTAGGAGGCGCCCTTTACTGCAGGAGAGGAGGCTAGATCTCAGACGGACTAACCACAATGTTCTAACTCAAGGAGATCCCTTCGTGGGCCGGATTGTGCGCACGTGTGAGTGCACACGCCAGCGATTTCCAGCATCTGCATCCGTGCAGACGTGATTTTCAGCGTCTGTGTCTGCACAGATGCGATTTCCGGTGCCGTGGAAGCGAGTCCCTGCACTGCGCTGTGCCGGTTTAGCGCAGCGCATGGGGACTCACCGAGTGGGTGGCTCGGTTCGGGGGTGGCTCGTGGGCCAGTTAAACGACCCCCGTGGGCAGCATGTGGCCCATGGGCCTTAGGTTGCCTAGCCCTGTTCTAACTTAAGATTCAGGCGCCTCAGCCTGCTGTGGGTAGATGTGACTAGTGCAGAGTCTACCACCCTGGCCTTCGTTCCAGTGAAGTAAGAATGACAGTGACCAGCTCAGTTAACCTGAGATAAATCCTGCAAAATGTACCCAGCGCTGGGGATCAACCTGTCGAATTCCTGCTGGACCCACTTTGTGCACTGCGGACTTTCAGTGGCAGCTTGCAAACAGCTACTCGCCTGGGGCGAGTTGGTTCAGCAACAGCCGACCACACGGGAAGACTGGTGGGGGGAAATGAGGCAGTTCTTCCCTTTTAGATTATGAATGGGTGACACAAGAGAAGTATGTATTGCTCTGCCACTGTTGACTTCCGAGGTCTCAAAACTCGGTGGGTTTTCTTTCTGCTTTGAAAGGGACACCAGGGCTCAGTTCAATCTTTGGGTAGACATTGGCTTGATCTCCCCACCTCTCCCACCCTCAAGAGAGACAGGGTCTTGTTACAAAAAAAGAGAAAGACCACGTTTAATAAATTATGACGCTGGGGCCTCACACTTGGGCCCAATAAATAACAAAGACGAGATCCAAAAAGACACAGCAGGGAAGGGAAGGGGGGAACCTTATAGTCTTGACCACATCAGCTTCCTGTCCAGCGGGTGGATGGGGTGGGGCATTTTAGTTTCACTACAAAACTCTTTAAATGGAAAAAAGGGGGGAGGAACTGTTGCATTCACCAGCCACTCTGGATCTGCACCAGGGGAGGGGTGGGGGGAGCAGAGGGTGCTTTGCTGTTCCTTAGGAACATCAAGCCTTATGCTGCACTGGACCCATTGCTCCATCCAGCTCAGTAGTGTCTACACCAGCTGGCAGCAGCCTTCCAGGGTTTCAGGTAAGGGACAGTCCCAGTCCTGCCTGGAGATGCCAGGGATTGAACCTGGGACCTTCTGCATACAAGGCTCTAAGCACTGAGCAGAACTGCTCCCTTCCACAGCTGGGCAAACATCACTTAGCCGCCAAAGCCAGACAGAAGCCTTTCTGCATCTCTGCATTCCAGAAGAGGCGAGAGCGAAGATTTGTCTGCAGCTCAGCCACAAACATCAATCATTCTGACACAGATCCCACTTTCATGTTTAGGTGCTACCACCACCATCACCCCAACCTCAATAGCTGAAGTGAAATTTGGGGGCTGGAGGATTTTAAAACATTTCTTTGTGGGGCCAGGGGGCATTGATTTAAAAAACATTTCAATGGCAGTTTGGAGCGCTGGTCTGGTCAGATGTGGCCCCTGCTCAATCGCGGGCGGGGGGGGGGCACATCTATGGCGTCTTGTAATAGGTCCTTGAACCAGTAATTTCTGATCATCAAGCTGAGGGCTGAACAGGCTACCTTATTGCATCTCCTGGCCTCTTGGCTATTGGGTGTTTTTCCAGCCACCCAGAAAATTACAAGTTCCAAGTGGGTGCCATGCCATCCCGCTTAGGATTCTGGGAGTATTTGAGGATGGGTGGGATGACACTCTGGATGTTGCTGGACTCCAACTCCCATCAGCCCCAATGGTCAGGAATGATGGGAGCTGGAGTCTAGCAACTTCCAGAGAGTGCTACATTGGTGAGAACCTGGGGATGAGAGCAACGTCTTCCACAATGTATTTTTACATCTACAGAAATGATGAGATGTTGATGATTACAAGGGAAATTACCCCATCCCCAAACAAACAAATATTGTGCCACAGCTTGACGGACTGGGATGTTGGGCTTTTCCATTTTGTATGACTGGCGAGTTCGCTGGTGGAGAGATGGGGCCCATAGCCTCCATAACGTTTATCCCCCCACTTGCTCCTTGCTGGTGATGGGTTCAAATTCTGTTTGGGAAAAGACTGGGAACGGCTGAAAGACCACTGACATGAAGGGACGCATGTCACACCCTGTCTCCTCTTTGTGCGGTGCGGGAAGAGGAGCCGGAGGTGGGGGGCAGGGACACTTTAAAGCACCTAACATTAACAACCAAAATTTTTGTGTATATATTGCATCGTAATATAAATTAGCTGGGGGGAGACAACGACACCCACTCCATACCAGCCCCAAGAAACCTAAAATAAAATTTAGGGGAGCTAGAGAGTCCTAGGGGGACTCCCCCCCCCGCCAGTTTCAGCATCCCTTCCCCATTGTCAAAAAACCCCGAACCCCTTAATTAATGGAAGACAAGTTCCAGTTACATCATATAACCCTGAGAAGGGGAGGGGAAAGGGGGGAGAAGTGCTTAACAATATGTTTGAGGGAAGGGGCAGGAGGAAAAGGAGGGTCCAGTCCCCGCCCCCATCCCATAATATCATCAGTTCCACAGTATTAACCCTTGTTAAGAGCCACATAACAGGTTGGTGGTCAAAAGAGTCTAAGCAGCAATTACAGTTCAAATAAATAACTAGATGAGAGGGCAGAACTGAGGGCTCTTCTCCCCCCCCCCAAACACACATACACCCCAAGCAAAGGAGGGGGGGAGATTAATTGTGAATTGCCCCCCCCTTCTTTCCACCCACACTCTTATCCAGAAGAGATTCTGTGATCCTGAGCATTAAAATCTGGTGGGAATTGGGGGGGGGGAGAGGAGTTTCACACCCGCAATGTTCCCCATGGACACCCCCTCTTCCATTACTGCACACACACACACACACACACACACACACACAAACACACGTGTAAATTGCTTAGGATACCCCAGCCCCAAATTAGTCCATCGTGGTGGAAAGCAAGGCAATATCAGCATCTGGATCAAAAAAACTGGGGAGAAGACAAAGAGAACTCCCCCCCCCCAATTTATACACACACACACTCCCCACCCCAATAAATTAAAACCCAGCATGATCACACACACACACGAACACACACACCACCCATTCCCCACCCCACGAAGGTAAGAAAGTTTTTTTTCAGAAGTCATTGTAGAAATAACTGTTCCCCAAAATTCCGATGGCGGCAGCAGCAGCAGCAGCGGTACCTACAGAACGGAGCGCCATCAGTCTTTGGCGTTGTCTGTCGCCTTGTACGCTGAGCGTTTTCAGGTTGGTGGACTTAGAAAGGTATCCAAGCAAAGTTCCCTCAAGTGGGGGGGGGATGTAATAAAGTAGTTGAGAAGCCCCCCTCCCCGAATTCCTGCTCACTGCTTCAGCCCTCACTTGCCGTCCATCAGTCCCCTTATTGCACTCCCGCCCCCCCTTCCTCTTCTTCCCAGCCCTGAGATTGACGGAGCTCATCCTGCACCCCCATCTTGTTCACACTTCGGTCTCCACTCCGGCCAGCTTGGGGGTGAGGATCCGGGGTGTGACGCCGGCGTTGAGGTCCACTTCGAACTCCAGCAGTTGCCCCATGAAGTTGAGGTTGGGCGAGATGATGGGCCTTCGGCCTTTGACATACTTGTAGGCGTCGCCCATGGTCATGAGCGTGTGCTTCATCAGGTAGGCGATGACGATGGTGGCTGAGCGGGAGACACCGGCCTGGCAGTGGATGAGGACTCCTTTGCCGCTCTGGTGTGCCTCCTCTGGAGTAAGGGAAGGGGGGAGGGGAGAAACAGCGTCAACGCTAACCTGAGAAAGGGGGTGCACACAAATGCTTCCTGGACTAAATTCCATTTCACACACAACTCCTTGCCTGTTCGCCTACGGCGAGTTAAGAATAGGCCCCAGGCGAACAGGCAGCAAAGTTTTTTTTAGAAAGGGAAACAGATTGGGAGGAAAATAGAAATGAGGAACATAGGAAGCTGCCCTGTACAGAGTCAGACCCCTTGATCCATCTACCTATTGTCTATCCTGGCTGGCTTTGAATCATCAGGGTTTCAAATAAAAGACCATTCCAGAGGGAGATGCCAGGAATTGAACCCGGGACCCGCTGCATGCAAGACGGACGCTCTACCACTGAGCTACAGCCTCCCCTTTATTTCGCCCCAGGACTAGACCTCACCAATGAACTCAAAAGCTTCCTCGAAGTATTGGCGCAGGTCCTGGCGGTTGTTGTCGGTGGCGGGGAGGCGCTTGTAGCGCAGGCGCCCGCTGTCGGCGTGGTACAGGGGCAGGTGGGTGGTGACGTTGAGAACGTGCCCCACGTTGAGGCTCAGCATCCGTTCGAGGTCCTGCGCGTCTCGTTCGTTGCCCAGGAACAGGAAGGGCAGAATGGGGCTCAGCTCAGCGTTCTCCAGGTCAGGCGTGAGTGGGGGCCCCAAGTCATCTGGGCCGTCCGCAACATCTGGCCCAATCAGACTGCCTGTGGTCAAAACACAAAGCAAAGGGGTTGAGTCCCTGGGGTGGAAGCATTGTGCAGAAAAAGTGCTTGAGTTTTATTTTTTCCTCCTCCCTCCCAATCTGTTTTCCTTTTGTGTGTGCCCCCTTTCTTTCTTTCTTTCTTTCTTTCTTTCTTTCTTTCTTTCTTTCTTTCTCACTTTCTTTAAATTAAGCCTGAGGGCAGGGACTATTTTACCACTGACATTTGTAAGCTGATCTGGGAGCCTTTTCTGGCAGGATAAAAAGCTTTGTGTAAGCGAGTAAAGAAATGAATTGTAATAATTCAATTTTAATTAGGGCTGCGAAGTTTTAATCGATCAGTAGGTTTGGCTGAGCAGTTAGAAACCAAGGATGTGAGCACAGGCAAAACATTTTGCTCTCATTTCCTTATTTATTTGGAGTGTTTGCATCAAATGATCCTCAAGGAGTTTTGCACTAGACTGCAGTGATAGACAATTGCCTATCTCAGTATTGTCTGCACTGACAGTCAGCACCACTCCAGGATTTTGGGGCGGCGTGGTCTCCCTAACCTTACCTGGAGATGCTGTGGATGAAACCAGGGACTTTCCCCCTGCAAAGCAGCTGCCCTCCCAATGACCTGCCGGTCATGCTGCCAAGGTGGGAGGTTTGGATGGAAGTGTAGGCACAGAGCCCCACTCAGAAAAAGGTGTGTTGGGGACAGGGAGCTGGAAACACAGCAGGGCTGGCGCTCCCTAATTTTGAAGCAAGTGAATGGGGGGGCGCTCTGGATCAGGTGTGGGGGTCCTTTAGCCCTCCAGATGTGGTTGAGCTATGGCTCACATCTTCCCTGGTCGTACGCTATCCTTGCTGGCACTGATGGGATGTGTAGTTCATCAGCATCTGGGGAGCCAAAGGTTCCCCCCTTTGCCCGCTGCACCTGCTCTAGATGTTTTGCACTACAATTCCCATCACCCCTGACCACTGGCCACCACTGGTGGGCAGGTGGGGCACCAAAGAGCCTCTCCAGCCACCCCCATCCCAGCCAGATGCTGAAGTCCAAGGTATAAAATTACCTAAAGGCACAACACGGGAAAAGAGCTCTGTGTGACACCCAAAGCTGGTCAATTTGGTGGCAGAGTAATATTCTAAGTTGTGAGTTTCTGAATCTCTTCTGTGCCCACCTCACAGAAACAACCCCTGAAAAAGGTCGTGTGAGAGCCTCTGCTTAAATGCAGGTTCAACCCCCCAGTGACATCTCTAGATAGGGATGGGAAAGCTCCCTGCCTGAAACCCCAAGAGCTGCTGCCAGTCAGAGCAGGCAGCCCTGAGCTAGATAGGTCAGCGGTCCAATTCCGTATAAGGGAACTCCGTATGCTCCAAATTGGTGCTAACCAAATCACTTGGAGTGGCTTCCCCCTTCCCCTTTGCAGTTTTCTGTGGGAGGAAGGTGGGGGCGAAAAGGGAGGGGACTTGTTCTTCTTCCTGACCTAAAACATCTGCTATGTAAAATGACACCCCACCCTCCATGGTGGGGGCTGGCAGGGGCTGGGGAGAAGGGAGGGGGCAAGTGTGAAAGAAGGTCAAAGAAATGATGTCATGCTACCAGCTGGGTAGAGTTCATTCTGGTTCAACGGGGTTTTGAACAGGTGCTAAAAGTGAGGTGGGGGGGAACTGGGGGTGTGTGAAGCCCCCCTTCGCATCTTGCCATCTGCTCATGCAGCTGGGATGAGGTCACCAAAGAGATGGTGGAGTGGTGCAAATCTTAAACCTAACCCAATTGGCATAGGGAAAACATGCATGGAAAGAACTGCCCTGTTGTGTCTTCCTGCTGTATTCATTCTATCAACATAATGTTTTGTGGTTTAATTTCCCATATCTCCCCCAATGAGCTCTAGGGAGCATCTATGGTTCTCCTCCAAACTTCCTTTCTCCCTGTGGCTTTCAAGGGGAGTCTACATCCTACATTGGCTCCCAGTTTGTTTCCAAGCACAATTCAAAGTGTTGGTGCTGACCTTTAAAGCCCTAAACGGTCTTGGCCCTGAAGGAGCATCTCCCCCCCCCCATTGTTCTGCCCAGACACTGAGGACCAGCACTGAGGGCCTTCTGGAGGTTCCCTCCCTGCAAGATTGAGGTTACAGGGAACCAGGCAGAGGGCCTTCTCAGTAGTGGCACCCACCCTGTGGAACACCCTCCCATCAGATGTCAAGGAAATAAACAACTATCTGACTTTTAGAAGATATGTGAAGGCAGCCCTGTTCAGGGAAGTTTTTAATGTCTGATGTTTTATTGCTTTTTACATTATTATTATTATTATTATTATTATATCATTAATTCTGTTGGGAGCCACCCAGAGTAGCTGGGGAAACCCAGTCAGATGGGTGGCCTATAAATAATAAATTATTATTATTATTATTACCAACCAGGAAACAGGTAGTTCAATGTGGAACAAAATGTAATAAGGAAAAATATAACCTCAGGAAGCCTGAGAAGGACCCGAGGGAAACTCAAGGCTGATGGATAAGCGGCAGCCTTGCAGAAATAATCAACCTCTTGTCTGGAGGCAGGAGTTCTTTAAAGCGGGGAGACACTGTGTTAGCCCAGAACGCATTCCCCTCGGACCAGAAGAAGGCTCAGGGCAACTAGGGAGGTGGTGGCCCCAGGAGAAAGAACTTTTGACACACCAATGCAATTTCTGCCGCCACCACAGCGGTCGGCACCTAGAACCCCCAGCTCACCTCTCCGGCCGACCCCTTCCTGCCCGCCATCTTTGTTGAGCAGATCTAGCACCAGGTGGAGATTCTGGGAGGGCTGCGTTTTGCGGGGCTTGGGGGGGCTGGCAGGGAGAGGCTCCGGACTGGCGCGGCCGCCGGGCTCCTTGGCCCAGAGACGCTGCAGCGAGGAGTCCCTTGCGTCGCAGCCTCCCCGCGAGGAGATGAAATCCAGCATGGCCATCTTCCCCTGCTGGAGCCGCCTCCGGCCCGCTGCGTCGGCTGCTCCGAAGCGCATGGCGCCCTGAAGCTGGCTCTTGGTGTATTCCATCAGGTTGCGGCAGTCCAGGATGAGTGGGGAGACGTGCTGCTGCTGCTGCTGTTGCGCCCGGGACCGTGTCATTTTCTTGGCCAGCTCGTCGGGCCAGATGGTGCGGACGCTGTAGTCATCGTCGTCCCCGCAGCTGGGGGCCGGGGACGAGCCCGCCCGGGGGTCGTAGGCCACGATGGGGTCGCTGCTGCAGAAGCTACAGGAGGAGCTGCCCGACTTGACTGAGGGGTTGCAAGCCAGGCAGGCCAGGGAGCGCAGGGCCGAGGAGGGGGCGCAGGGCAGGCACCCCAGCTTCTTGACGGACGGCGGGCTGCAGCTGGAGCAGCTGAGGGAGCGCAGACTGGAACGGCAGGAGAAGCAGCCCAGGGAGAGCAAGCCGCCCTTGGGTCCGGCGTCCTCGCAGCGCATGAGGCGCCAGCAGCCGCGGCATCCGCATTTGAGGGGGTGCATGGCGGGGCTGGAGAGGCAGGAGGAGCTGGTGGATGTGTCCAGCACCGCCGGTTTGGAGTTCTCCTTGAAGCAGCGCTTCTTGAGCTTCGCCTGGGGCAAGAAGACCTTCAGCTGGGGCCCAGCGAGGCCTTTCGGCTTAGGCTCGGCCTGCTTGAGGTCCAACTGAAGGGAGACGTTCCTCTCAGGCGACAGGCTCTGCACGCCTCCCACCGTCAGCTTGATGTCAATGGTGTGAGAGTGGTTGGGCTGCAGGAGGCCCGGCGTCCCCCGGCGTGCGGCCTCGTCGCAGGGCGCCTTCGCGGGAGCTGGGGCGGCCTGGCCAGACCCTCTGGAGGCCGCCGGGGGCTGCTTCTCGCCACCGCCTGGGGTGCCCCCGTTGGCAAAGCTGTGGTTGAGGCGCAAGGCCAAAGTTTTGGGTCGCTGCAGCACGCCGATCCGTTCTTCCAGAGGCGAGGGAGGCATTGGGAAAGGTGAACTGCAGGGGGAAAGAGAGAGGGAGGGAGGGAGAGATAATAATATACAATAATAATATTTTTTTATTTATACCCTGCCCTTCCCGGTTCAAAAAACCGGGCTCAGAAGAGCATGCAGCAAGTTGGCGCTCATGTTTTCTTCCTTTTGTCAGGGGTGTTTAAGGTTTCATTGAGCTCTGCCACCCCACACGATCCAGATACAGTGGTACCTCAGGTTACAGATGCTTCAGGTTACAGACGCTTCAGGTTACAGACTCCGCTAACCCAGAAATAGTGCTTCAGGTTAAGAACTTTGCTTCAGGATGAGAACAGAAATTGGGCTCCAGCAGCGTGGCAGCAGCAGCAGGAGGCCCCATTAGCTAAAGTGGTGCTTCAGGTTAAGAACAGTTTCAGGTTAAGCACGGACCTCCGGAACGAATTAAGTACTTAACCCGAGGTACCACTGTATTACAATGTGGGAATCGCACACTCAAACACATTATTTCCCCTCAAATAATCCTGGGCACTCTAGTTTACACCTCAGACAGCTATAATTCCCAGCGCTTCTAACAAACTGCAGCCAGGGGCAGATCTACTATGAAACTAATGAAGCTTAAATTTCAGGGCCCCTAATCCCAGCCCCCCCCCCGAAATGACTTTACTCTGCATTGCTTTTTAAAAAATTGGGTCTAGTAGACCCAATTTGAATCACACAACTCACAATCATTTTATGACGCATCATGAATGTAAATAACATTTCCCTAATTTTCACACACACCCCGCAAATAACTTGAATTCACACAAGTGACTTTGAGATGTGAAATAGTCTAGTAGAGCAATTTTAATCAAAATATGAAATGTAGTGGCTATTTTTTAATTTTAAAAAATTGTGGTGAACTGTTGTGGAACAACCCTTTTAACTAAGATTACCCGGACCTTGTTGTTGGTTGTGAAGGGGACCCCATAGCAGTTCATTCTTCAGGGCCCCCAAAATGTGGGTCCGCCACTGACTGCAGGTCCCAGTGTGCATGTAGCCTTTGAGAGAGGCAGGGGAATCTGCGGCCCTCCAGATCTGACACTGGGTGAAAACTCCCACCATTGGCCCTGCTGGCTGGTATCCCGGCAACATAGAGAGGGCTGCAGGTTCTCCATCCCTACATTAAACAGGGAAGGCTGCCATGGGTAGCGAAGCGGATGTCTTCCAGAGAATGCCTTCTAGGAGTTGGCACGCCAGTCGTGGAATGCCCTCCCCAGGGGGACTTGCCAGGAACGCCAACCTGACTGGTCTTCCCCACAGCAGGCAAAGGCTTCCAAGCTTTTGAGATAGAATTATAGAACTGTAGGGTTGGAAGGGACCATGAGGGTCATCTAGCCCAACCCCTCTGCAATGCAGGAATCTTTTGCCCAATGAGGGGCTTGAACACATGACCCTGAGATTAAGAGTCTCGCGCTTTGGCAACTGGACATTCCCCATGTATTTCTCGCCCCCATCTTTCTCCAGATAATGGGTGAGGCAACTGGCTTTGGGTTACTCAGCACCAAGAAGTGAAGCTCTCTGCACATGCTCAGGGGACGCTTTCCTTTACATTCAAAACCTGACGAAGCCCATGCATGAGGAACCTGTGGCCCTCCAGGTGTTACAACCACTCCCAGTCGCCATAGCTTGTGGTCTGCAGAGCCACAGGCTCAAATTACATTAATGCATCACCAGAAGCACCCTGAGAAGCCAGTGTCTGGCCACCAGGCCTGGGAGTTTTTCCTCAGGCTCTGATTGGCTGTACTCTAGGTTTCCCGATTGGCTAATGAAGCATGTGGTCCGACAACATCTGGAGAGCCAAAGGCTCCCCACACCTGTGGCAGAGGCTTTGTGCCAGAAATCTTCACAGCTGCTTCCCTCACCTGTGGCATTTTGCTCCTTCGCTCACCCTCCCCAGACAGGTGTCATCGTTTTGTCCCGACTTAAGCAGGTAGCCAATTCTCTGGACTAAATCCAGGTATGGTTTGTTGGGGTTTTTGGTCATGTATTTTAGTGTTGTGATAGCTTGCTGCATGCATACATTTGGCACTTATATCATAATTGACAAATTGTGCCTTGGAGGGGGGAAATGAGATTCCAGTGTTGCTTTTCTGTCAGATTTACTGATTTATTTTCACCATATTCTTATCTAGTGCCGGCTTTTCATGGGAAAGGGAATAGACCTCTGTTCCCTGAATTGCTAGCAATTGTAATGAGTGCACCTCTAATTTAAAAGGTTCCAGCAGACATTATTCACAGTGAGAGTCGGTGTGGTGTAGTAGTTAGGGTGTCGGATTCAGACTTGGGAGAGACCAGGATTCAGATGCCCCCTTGGTCATGAAGCCCACTGAGGGACCTCAGGCCAGTCACTGGCTCTCAGCCTACCTTCCAAGGTTGTTGTGGGGATCAGAAGGGGAGAACCATGTATACAGCCTTGAACTTCTTGGGAGAATGATGGGATATAAATGCAATAAACGAATAAATTCTTTATAACAGCCTTATCGCAGCCTTAAGGGCTAGAGTCTTAAGAAAAAAGAAACCCTCAAAAACTGATAATTCTTAGATTGCTAAATTCTGCGTCTTGTGGGTTGTGCACTTGTCTGGAATTGTGGGCTTATGACTTAGCTCTACATGCTACTTGCTTGGCCAGCTCTAGCCATCATCCCTGGTATATCTTAATATTCCTTTCCTTCCGTCCTTTCATCTTTTCTTTTTACCGTGGGGTACACCCACGCTGGATGTGCTGACGAAATCCTTGCTGCATCTGCCCTCACAAAGCGGTGAAGCTTGCCCACTATTTCATTCCAATTTTACACATGGGAAAACTGAGAGGTAGTCGTTAATTGGTGGAAAGTGGGTTTCGATCAATTAATGACCTCCTTCTCCCTCTGTTTATGTTTAAATCCTTTCACTTGGTATATCCACCCTGCTTTTGATGCCATGAATTACATGATCATTCATGTAAATAATGAACGGCAGGGGGTTGGACTAGATGACCCTGGGGCCCCTTCTGTCAATTCTACAATATGATGTTGATGATGATTTTACAATCAAGCAGCATCTAATTTCATCTGTGGTTAAAAACTGGGGGGGGGGGGGAGAGAGAGGAGAATGCCACTAAGAGCCAATGAATGCTTAACTAAATTCCTTATTCCCCCTCTTGCTTTTAAAAACATCCTCTCTCTCTAGATATAAATTGGGTCAGGTTTAGCAAAAAGGCTTTCTGATGGGAGACAAACATGTTAACTCCCCCACCCTCAGATCTTTCCAGCACTTCATGTGCTGCTGGAACAGGAGGAGGAGATCCTGGATCAGCCTCCTTTCTCTTTCTCCCGCCCCCCCCCCCAATCCTGCTTTCTTGATGCATCTCCCCCCAATCCCCATTAAAGCCGTGTTATCAAGAAAAATACAGCTCCCTGCCACATTTCCCTGCAGGGACTTGGAAAAAGATTCAAAGGCGCTAGGTTCCGTGCCAAGGAGAGATTAGCCATCCTCTTCCAAAATCGCATCTTCCAACACACACACACAGAGAGAGAGAGAGAGAGAGAGAGAGAGAGAATAAGAAGAAGAAAAGCACTCTGCTTTTGGGGGGTTGTGGGCATTGAGGGTGTGAGCACGTGCCCAGCAACACCCTCCTCTGCAAGCATTTTTCACACTTCTGGGATGGAGGGAGGCAGCCTCTGTTCTGAAGGGCAGAAGCCGCTCAAGGGCTCTGTGTGTGTGGCTTGTGTGTGTGAGCGTTTGATCGAGACACCAAGGACCACAGCAGCCTTGTGATGTTTGCCAGGCTTGCTAAGAAACCCTTTCGCTGCGTGCCGCCTGGGGAACAAGGCTCCTGGGACTGCGGAGGAAGAAACTAAAACAGAGACAAACAAAAATTAAGAACTCTCTCTCTCTCTCTCTCTCTCTGAGTTTGTGTGTGGTTGCTGCACAGCAGCCTTCCCCAACTTTTAGCCCTCTAGATGTTGTCGGACCACGACTCCCATCATTCCCGGCCTCTGGCCTTGCAGGCAGGGCTGTTGGGAGTTGTAGTCCAATGGCATCTGGAGGGTGCCAGCTTAGGGAAGGCTGTCTCTGCCCTGAGGTCTGTGCCGCTCTCCCTCAACGCCCAAACTGTGGGATAACCAACCTCATATAACCAACATGCCTAAGTTTAATTAATGCATGAAAGGGTTAAGACCATAGAGTAAGCTCTCCTGCTAGGTTCAGCTTATCCTTGGCCAGCAGGACCAATGGTCAGGGATGATGGGAGTTATAGTCCAACAACAGCCGGTGACGCAAGTTTGAGAAACACTGTGCGGTTGACACTGTAAAGTCACTAGTTTATATGCTAATGGATGGTTTTGCTAGGTTACCCCCACCTTCTTGAAGCCACACCCCCTCTTCCGGGCCACACCCCTCAATGGCCCTCCCTCCACACCAGGCATAGGCAAACTCAGCCCTCCAGACGTTTTGGGACTACAACTCCCACCATCCCTGATCACTGGTCCTGTTAGCTAGGGATGATGGGAGTTGTAGTCCCAAAACATCTGGAGGGCCAATGCCTGCTCCACACCCTCCTGGAGTATTTCTGCCTGGCTGGGATTGGTCCATGAACTCTGACCATGCCTTTTGGTTGCTTGGATGGAGGATGTGTGACTGAGTGTAGAAATTTGCCTACTGTACAAAAGTTACGTGTGCATTTGTTGCCCCGCCCACTTTTGCCTCTGGCCCCTCCCACCACTGGCATGCAGCCCCCAGAAACCTTCCTGGCTCTTGGGCTGAATGAATTTTCCCACCTCTGTTTTAGCTGTAGGTGCAGACACTGAACCTGCACACTTCTATGTGGAAAGCAGCGAGCTCCGCCCTAGATCTATGGGACCCTCCCTCTCCAAATCTCTATCCCCTCCTTCATCCACCACCTGCAAGGGATCCCCAAAGGTCATACAGTCCAAACCCCCCACGATACAGGACTCACAGCTAAATTGTGTGTGCATGTGTTTGTTTCGTGTAACACGTGCATGCAGATAATACAATCCCCCCTCTGCAAACACCCCGTATTTCCTCTGCCTGCTCCTCGCCTCTCCCTCTTCCACATCCCGCAGTCCCAAAGTCCGCTATTTCCTAGTGACCCATATATACCCATCTGCAGCCAAAGCCCCGCGGTTCTGCTCCTATCTTCTGCCACCCCTTTAAAATAAAATTTTAAAAAACCTAGGAATTATAATCTTGGCTTGCCTGCGTCCCCGCCCACACACTCAGCCAGCACAAAAGTCTCCTTCTCCCGGAGGTTCTTTTGCAGAACAGCCACACAGCCCAGCGACACTAATCTGGGGCGACAGCGCTGTTATTTCCATCAACCGTGTGCCCGGCAAGCGAGGGGCGATTGCGCGCGACAGCCGAGTGCAGCACTTGGGGATGCAGAGGGGGAGAACGCTCCGCCCTCGGAGCGTTTGCAGAAAAAAGGAATTGCATCACCACACTGCCTTGGATGATTGGGGGGGGGGGGAGAGACTGTCCACCAACTGGATATTCTAATCCCTTCTCCCTGACTTTCATTGCATTTCAACCCCACCTTTCTTCAGAGGAGCTCAAGGTGATGAAGGTGATTCTCATCCTCCCCGTTTTTATCCTCACAACAACCCTGTGAGGCGGATTAGGGTGAGAGACAGTGATTCCGTACACAGCGTACATTTAAAGCACCTGCCTTCCACGCAAAGGATCGTGAGAACTGTAGTTTCTTAGCGATGCTGGGAATAGTAGCTCTGCGAGGGGTAAACTGCAGTTCCCAGGATTCTTTTTGGGGAAACCAGGTCCTTTAAATGCACGGTGGGTGCATAGCCAGGGAATGACCCACAGCCACTCAGTGAGCATCATGTCGGAGTGCGGATCAGACACTCTTAACCCTTACAGCACCCTGGCTCTTTTGTTCAGCTGCTGTTAAAAAAAGCTAAACACATTCCGTCTCTATCTAGCTGTTGCAGAGATAATGGGCAGGCAAGATTCTAGTCCATAGGAAGCAAGACAATGAAATAACTTTTTCGGCTGGAGTAGGGCAATCTGCATTTATGCTCTGGCTGGTTTGCAAGGATTATCGCAACTCCTCCTTCCTGCAAAATTCCTGGCTAAGGGTTAGCCCTGCCTTGTTCCACTACAGTAGTACCTCGGTATACATACGCCTCAGGTTACATACGCTTCAGGTTACGGACTCCGCTAACCCAGAAATAGTGCTTCAGGTTAAGAACTTTGCTTCAGGATGAGAACAGAAATTGTGCTCCGGCGGCGCAGCAGCAGCGGGAGGCCCCATTAGCTAAAGTGGTGCTTCAGGTTAAGAACAGTTTCCGGTTAAGTACGGACCTCCGAAACGAATTAAGTACTTAACCCGAGATACCACTGTACTTTGTTCTTGCTTCTCCTTATACCCCGATTATCTCTGGCAGATATCTGTAAGACAATCTCCACCGATCTGGCACCCTCCAGATGTTGTTGTTTGAAAGCAACACCCGTCAGCCCCAGCCAACGCAGCCAGTAGTCGCAGCTCAGAACATCTGGAAGGGGCACTAGGATGGCAAAGCCTGCCTTATAACCAGCCAGACTGTTTATCCATGTAGCTCAAGTGTGGGGAACCTTTGGCCTTCCAGATGTTGCTGAACCACAGCTCCCATCAGCCCCTGCCAACACGGCTGATGGCAAGGGATGATGGGAGTTGTAGTTTAGCGACACCTGATCTGGCCAGTTGCTCTGACAGGCAGGATTACAAGCAGAAGCCTTTCCCACCAACTGCTGCCTCACCTTTTTAAACCTCTCTGCTTTTTCTCTCTCACTGCTTCCCCATTCCATCCTGGAGCAGCCTGTCATTCTAGACCCCCAACATCTCCCATGAGATCTTGCAGCGGGGAGGGCCTTAGGAAGTAGCTCTCCCTTCTCAGCCTCCCCCTACCAAAGTAGCACGGAATTCTGCTCCACAAATAGTTCGCCCACCCCAATAACGTAATGCTCCCATTAAGAAACGGGAGCCTGAATGCTGATTCCCCCCACTGGCAGCATTTGTACTGTGGTCTCCCTGAGGGCAGGGACCTCTGCCTCTCTCTTTCCTGGGAAACTATGTAAAGTGTGTTTGACATTGATGGGGCTACAGTAATTAATCGTTATAAGAATAAGTAATGCGAGCATCCCCCAAAGAACGCTCCTCGCGAGCGAAAACCCCCTCGTGCGAAGTACTGCGTTCTGCACGTGCCTCTGTGCTTCGTGGCACATATACGGTACACTTGCACACCTGCATATACACAGAGGAAGCTGCTTCACAAAGAATCAGAACATTGGCCCATCCAGCTCAGTATCACCTACACTGACTGGCAGCAGCTGTCCAGGGTTTCAGCTGTACCTGGAAGTGTCAGGAATTAAACTAGGAATTAAACTTTTGCACGAAAGGCAGATGCTCTAACACTGGGACACACACACACAGAGAGAGTCATGGTCAGTTTATGAACATGCCACATTTCCTGCAAAAACCATGTGCTGAAAGCAGTTTATGCGCACACGTACACCAGACAATTTAGCTGCACACAGGCTTTCCATTGCACAATCTAGCAATTCAAGCATGCACCCTCTCTGGTCTGGGCTGGGCACACCGCCTCCCCCTGGCATTGCTTTCTACACAACCAACACCCATGCTCACTACACACCAGCAGGGATTTCCATCCCTTTGCTCAGCCCTGAAGCTCAGCCTGCTTTGCGTTCAGGGAATTCCAAAGCCCTCCGACACATCGCTTGCTTCCTTCCCTCCTGCCTGAATCGGATTTGCACACGCAGGCGGGCGCCCACCGCTTTGAGGACGCACAAAACGGCTGTGTGCACGTGTGTGTGTGTGTATACACATCTGCACACTCAGCAGTGCGTGCATCTCCCTTTCCAGCTTGGGTCGGTGTACACTCTCCAAATGCACTTGAAAGAAAGGAAGAAAGACGAGGTCCCGTCCCCCCCCCCCCGCAAACACTCACCCTGACGTGGCTGGTGGTCCCCCTGCAGCGCCTGTTCACTTCCTTTTGGGCTGCCGTTCAGCTCTCTCCTCCACCAAATGAAGTTGTGCGCTGCCTCTAAAAATACCCTCCTGAGCTCATAGCCTGGCAGTGCCCAATGAGGGCATCTGTCTCCTCGGGTTTCACCCCACACCATGAGCTCACCACTTGGCCCTAGATATGCTGTGTCGGGGGGGGGCGGGGTGTGTGCGGGCTGTGGGGGGGGAGACGAGGAGGGGGAGAGGCCTCCAGGGGATTCCACATGTCCCTGGGCCTCCGGGTGCTCCCTGCCGCTTCCCAAAACATGCTGATGGGCGGAACGCGGAGTTCCAATCGGCATTTGCAATGTCTCATCTGGTAACAACAGGAAAGGATGCGAGGCTGGCTGGGATTAATTGGTATGAATCACCCAAAGCCTTTGATTCCAATTTTGGCACATTGGGGAACTTCCCCCTGGTTCTTGCAGTCCTTCCATCTGCAGCAAGGGCGCAATAATCCCGGTCTACCTTACAAGGCTGTGCTGCAATCAATGTGACAGGCGGTTGTTGTTGTTTTCTGTATGTACAGCTATGGGCAAACTTTCCCACAGAACATGAAAAGCCGCCTTATATCCTGTATCAGACTATTTGTCCATTTGGCCCAGTGCAGCCCACTCTGGCTGGCAGCATCTCTCCAGGATCTAAGGCATGGAAATATATTTCCCCTTGCCTTCTTTTTATGTGGAGCAGTCAGGGATTGAACTCTCTGCCGTGCAAAGCAACTCTCGTCAGCACCACCCCAGTCCATGGGAGTTGTAGTCCAGCAAATATGCAGAGGGCACTGAGATTGCTTCCACAGCCCACTTCCCCACCCCCCAAAAAAAGTAACAGGCAGCTCTCCCCAACTGCACACAACTCCTTTTTCCTTGCATCATGATTTCTGGAACACATTGATGGATATTTGTCTTCACACCCTCTGCCTCTGGCTTCATTTCATCAGCCTTGTATCCAAAAAGCCAAACGCAGCTACAGCTGGGATCCGGCCTTGATATTTCTAGGTTTACTTCCCGAAGGGAGCAAAGGCCTTCACGTGCACCCATTCAGAATGACAGCACCACTCACCCAAGGTGAGGGTTGTCTGTACATCTTTCAATATTGGTTGACAGCATGCATTCACAGCACTCAAAACACTTAAACTGGCATTCTGTCCAACAGAGCACAATGCTCAAGTTTCTTCTGTTAGTGGCTCATTCACACATGCAGAGGCACACTTGTCCTCTTCTGGCATGTGTGAAGTGGCTTTCGGAGTCAACTCGCTAGAAGTAACAGCGAAACCTAATCTGCAGGCCACGAGAAAATCTTCTTCGCAGCCGCAACTGCAGATTTGGCAATTCGTGACCTAGATTTTGGCTATGCATATCCAAGAAAGTTGAGATTCTTTACAAAAGTTTGGACGCAAGGGAGTTGGAAGTTGCAAGGGCTGCGGGGCTGGGCATTGCCTTAACACTGGTGGTAGCCAACTTGTTGCCCTCCAGGTGTTGTCAGACTAAAATTCCCATGATCCCAGACCACTGGCTATGCTGGTGGGGCAGGTGGGAGTTGGTGGGGCCCATTTAGGCTGCCCCTGGTCTATATCTATATGGGCCTGCAGTGGCTTCTCTGGGGTTTCGAAGAAGATGCCATTTAGGATTGAGAACTTCTGCATGCAAGGCAGCTGCTCTAACCATCCCCCTTGTCCTACAAAGTGCCCCGTGGTTCCAGTGCCCTAAATCTACCCTTCCTAGGAGGTAATTCTGAACACAAAGTACATATTCATGTTGCCAAGAAGGGAGTTAATATGGAGGTAGTATTTTTCCAGTTTTCCGCTTGTTATTAGAGAATGCCAATGAGAAAATTTCTATGTCGTTTTTGAGTATTTGCATACATTCCATTCTAACCTTTGCAAAAACCTTGTGAGGCAGGTCAGTATTATTCTCCCCATATTGCAGACAGGAGGACTGAGTCTGAGAGAAAAGGGCTTGCTGTCTCATGGCAAAGGTGGCCTGAGGACCTAGCCATGACCCTTTGCCTGCTCAGATTTCTTTTTTAAAAGAGGATATACATTTTAGTTGAAACAACAGGGGGGGAAAGGCCTGGTATAGCTCAGTTGGTACATCATGAGGTTCTTAATCTCAGGGCCGTGAGTTTGAGCCCCACATCGGGCAGAAGATTCCTGCATTGCAAGGGGTTGGACTGCATGAACCTTGTGGTTCCTTCCAATTCTACGATTCTATGAAAAACGGGTATCTCCTGTGTGATACTGTTTGTTCACCTGGTGTTGGTGTGTTGCACAGGTGTGTTGCACAGGTGGCACACAGTGGATCCTAAGCACTATGTGACATGCACCTCAGTTCTGTGTGTGCAATTTATACTATATGAATTGGGTGTTTAATAAACCTTTGCACACATGCCGCGTGTCTCTGGGCTCATCGGTCTTCCCACTGATGCATATATTTCTACATACTTGGGAACACGGGAAACTGACTTACACAAAATCCTTGCTCCGTCTAGCTCAATATTGTCTACACCAGGCACTCCAAGGTTTCAGCTAGAGAGTCTCTCCTAGCCACATTTGGAAATGCCATCAAGGAATGAACTGGGGACTTTCTGCATGCGAAGCAAATGCTCCACCACTGAACTGCATCCCTTCCTTAAAAGCCAAGCAAGATTCTAGTCCTCATGGTTCTGAGGAAAAGACCTCATTAAATAGGAGCACAGAAAGTCCATCTAGCTCAATGTTGTTTTGTACCAGCAGGCAGCAGGTCTCCAGGGTTTCAGACAGGTTTCAGACCTGGAAATGCCGACAGTAATTGAACCTAGGATTTTCTGCAGGCAAAGCAGATTCTCTAACCGCCTTGTGTTTCAACAAAGGAAAGCACTGTGTCTGCGTGTCTGCCTCTGCATGTGAGCCCGGACACACGTGTCAGCGCGTGCCTCACCCACCCGCAGTTTTCACCCGTCTCTATATAAAGCCCTCCGGTATCCCCATAACCACCATGGCATCACCGGCTTAAAATATCCCCAAATGTCATCCTAGCAGTCAGGAGACGTTAAGGGTACCTGTAAGGGGAGAACTCTGCGAGCACACAGACAGACAGACAGACAGACACACACACACACACACACACACACCAGATCCTCTTTTAACCTCTTGTGTTGATGCTTGCAAGGAAAAAAACACTGGTCGGCTCTCCTTGACATCCACCTCCTCCCCCCCCCCCGCACAGCAAACACACTTTTCCAGCTCCCGGTGGCACCTCCACCCTCTCCGCATCAGCCTGCCAGCCTCTCCCCACCTCCTACGCACCCCCCAAAAGAATGATCTGTCACAACAAACCGAGGCGACAGCCACCACAAACAAACGCCCACTCTTTTTATTGCCACCTTGGGGGGGGGGAGGCGGAGGAAACAAGAACTCATCACCCTCTCTTTCTCATCTCTTTCCCTGCTTTTTGATCTCTCCCCCCCGCATCAAGAAATAAACAACACATTTCTCTCTCTCTCTCTCGCCTTTCATGTTGTCGAAATCTGGGGCGCCCGATCCCTTCAGCAAACGCTGCCCCTCTTTTGTTGCGAAGGTGCGTGCACACCCCCTGCAAACAGTGCCTTCAAGGACGGGAAAGGGAGACTCGTTTGCCACATCGTCCCTCTGTTCTCAACCCCCCAATACAGCCATTCCCCCTCCCTCCATTATAACTTAACGCAAATCGAGATTTCCAGGTGTTTAACCATCGCAAGACACCCAGTAAGTCCCCTGTTGCAAAAATAAAAATAAAAACAAAACCTTCCGTTTCAGAAGCAGATCCACTCACCTGCATTACAGTCTAAGCCTGAAATCCATGAGGATGTTTTTTGAGGTCGTGAAAAGAGGGGGAGGGCGGAGATGCCTTTTTGGTGAGGCTGGGATAGGGGAGAGAAGGTGACGTTTGAAACCCAGCAGGAATCTGGATTTGTTGGTCCTTGACTTCTGACACCTTTGCACCCTCCGGGTTATCCTAGGTCTGCCTTGCTGCTGATCACCCCGCATCCAGCTCTCTTTCCCCCCTCAGCCCGCTTTGTCTTGCTTTCCTTCCTGTTGTTATGTTTTTCTCCCTCCTTGGCTCTGGTGCTGGGGACGCTTTTGATGGGAGCAGGAGAGGGAAGCGGAATGGGAGGGGGGAGAGAGGAGGAAGGGTTGTAGGGTGACATCATCGGCAGCCAATGAGACGCCGGCCCGGCTCTCCCGGCGAAGGTGACGCAGGAAGGCAGCACGTGACTCAGGGAAGCGCTTACATTCATTGTGAAACGGGCTTGATCAGCATCAGCAACTTCGGCCCCGTAGAAAGGGGGTGGGGGGTGGGGAGGGAGGGGTTGAAAATGGGGAGGGGGGAGGGACAGGCTGGTTGGTAGGGGGAGGGAAGCTTGGCTGTGGGCCTTCCTATGCATTTTAAACGTCACCTGACATTATTATTAATTATAGTTGATTATCACCATCAGTAGTAATTTATTTGCAATGGTCACAGAAAAAAAAGGGAAATGAAATAATGCTAATAAAAATGACTAAAAACCACAGAAATCCCTTGCCGGCTGACAATAAGACTACTGTGTCCATCTTGTTTTAAACTTAAACATTAATATAAATAGTGCAAATGCCATATGTCCAAACGTATTATTATCATTTAAGAGCTATCAGAATTAAATGTGTCTGTTTTGCAAGTGGGGTGGTGGTGGAATGTAAGCAACTAATTTTCCTCACTTGCCCATCATTGTTGTTAATATGGAGAGAGAAATAGATCATTACATTGTTTTCTGCTGCAAAAATAACTGAGCGCCTTCCCCACTAGATTTTTAAGCAGCTTGCTAGCTTTTCCTTCTATTTCCATGCCAGGAAAACCAACCTTGTGCAGAGGGACAGTTCACCCAAGAAGAGAGAAGTCAGGCATAGAGGAAGCCAAGCAGGTCGTATAAGGCCTGTTCGGAGTTCAATTGCAATTCAATAAATGAGAGCTTGTGGTTGCAGCGACTCAGTTGTAACCACCCAACAGCTTGAGGAAATGCCCCTCTTTGGAGAATGAGGCAGAAACATTGAAGAGAGAGAGAGTCACGCCACCCCTCAGCAGCTCTGCCTGAACCTCCAGATGCAGAGCTAGTGTATCTTTATTAATAACTTTCCTATGGAGGGAGGGCTTTTTGTGCCCTCCTGGTGGGCTTCCAGAAGGCATCTGATGGGCCACTGTGGGAAATGGGATCCAGGCCTAGGTGGACCCTCATTGGTCCATCCTGCAGAGCTCTCCTTACATCCATAGATCCTGAGGAACGATCATGTGTGAAAGAAGCATCTCTCTCCACATCCCTATTTCAGCAGCCTCCCATGAAAAAAAATAGCGAAGCAATATGCATTGTACCTGCTTTTTCAGCAGGGTTGCCGCATGATGGACACAGCACATTCTGAAGTAAGTGAAGTAAAATTTATCATGCAGTGTCTATCACCTGGACTGTGCCCCTTCAGGGGGAGTTTTGCATGTCTGAATGCATGTGTCCATGCGGGAAAATGTCCTTGTATGTAGAAAGCTAGCAAGTCAGGGAGAAGAGTACAAGCCAGCCTCTTTGGAATGCTGTTTTCCAGGGGCAGTAGGTGTTTTCACAGGGCAGTGTTGCATGGTTCATCCTGCTCCCCTGCAGTCTGTAATGCTACAGTCCAGACACAGCTATAACACATATTCAAATTCTTTTATTATTACATTAATTGCCCACATTTCCTCCAAGGAGCTCCAGCTGGTGACACGCTCCCCCTGCTCGCCACTTTATCCTCACAACAACCCTGTGAGGTAGTAAGGCTGAGAGATGGTAACTGGTACAAGGTCCCCCAGTGAGCTTCAGAGCTGGGGTGGGGGTGGAATCTGAACCCTGACCTCCCAGGATGTCCAAGACAACTACCCTGAACTTGTTTAATTCTCTTTTAAAGCCCTCCAGGCTGGATAGCTCTGGTTACATTTGTGGGAGCAAATTCCATAGTTGAGCTATGCTTCCATGTGAATAAATGCTCTCACGTGCAAAATGGTGAGACCGAACTGGTTTTCTTCCCCAAAGAAATTAAAATACAGTGGTACCTCGGGTTAAGTACTTAATTCGTTCTGGAGGTCTGTTCTTAACCTGAAACTGTTCTTAACCTGAAGTACCACTTTAGCTAATGGGGCCTCCTGCTGCCGCTGCGCCACCGGACCACGGTTTCTGTTCTCATCCTGAAGCAAAGCTCTTAACCCGAGGTACTATTTCTGGGTTAGCGGAGTCTGTAACCTGAAGCGTATGTAACCTGAAGCGTATGTAACCCGAGGTACCATTGTATACGCTTTTCAAAGTTGAAAACCGTGATATGGGGGGAAAGGGTTGGATCATGGGTAGGCAAACTAAGGCCCGGGGGCCGTATCTGGCCCAATCACCTTCTAAATCTGGCCTGTGGACAGTCCGGGAATCAGCGTGTTTTTACATGAGTAGAATGTGTCCTTTTATTTAAAATGCATCTCTGGGTTATTTGTGGGCCCTGCCTGGTGTTTTTACATGAATAGAATGTGTGCTTTTATTTAAAATGCATCTCTGGTTTATTTGTAGGGCATAGGAATTTGTTCATTCGCCCCCCCCCCCAAAAAAATATAGTCTGGCTCCCACAAGGTCTGAGGGACAGTGGACCGGCCCCCTGCTGAAAAAGTTTGCTGACCCCTTGGTTGGATGAACCACAGTGCTTTTTGCTCCTTTCCTGAACACTTCCTTTGTCCGTCTGACTCTTGCCTGGTGATGCAACAGACATCACTTGAGGGCTGAGTCAAGGAACAGGCTCCTCTGCAGCCGCCCGCAATCAGGGATGAGTATGTGTGTTGGTCACTGGGATTGTGTGTGTCATCTAAGGCGTGTGTTATTCAGTTGTCAAGCTGCCCTTTGTTCTGGTGCCTCTGTACTCACTCCAGAGAGTGTCTAGTTGATACCTAGCTGATACCTTGTTAAGCCATTTGAGCTCATGGATGTAATGGTCTTATCCTGCCCTCCCCACGCCTTCCCCACCCCCCAGCCCTGCCTTTCAGGGGTAAAATGCTCTAACTTAATTTAGGGAGTCATAACCACACTATACATTTAAGGCAAGCTGGCTATCCCCTGCCCCAAGAATCCTAAGATCTGTAGTTTTTTAATGGTGTTGTCACAGACTGGTTGGGCACAGAGGAATGGTGGGAGGGACCAGCTGGGGAATCCCCAAAGGAAGAAGGCTCAGAGCCCGAGGGTTGGTGGTGGGACGACGATGAGTGGTCAGAGGGAAAAGACTGGGAAGAGGTGTTGGAAGCTGACAAGGTAACAGGATTTAGTGAGCAGGGGGAGTCTGTGGCAGAGAGCAGTTCAGAATCAGAGGCAGAAGCTGAAGCAGGGGATGGGGAGGCCAAGAGGCAGGGATGCATCTGGCTGGTGCAGAAGCCAAGGCGTCTCCCCCTCCTGCTGCAACAAGCTCACTTCCCCTCTGGTCTTCCAGTACCAAAAGAGGCATGAAAAGGACAGAGTAGAGATTGGCCACACACAGGAACAGTCTCTGATTGCTTGGGGGGGGGGGAACCCTGGAGAGGAGGGGACTTAGGCAAGGACCTTCAGTCTCTGCAACTGCTTCATGGGGGCAAGACCTGCCAGAGATGAGTTGCTGTGCTCATTAGACCTGACACTCCTGTGCAGATCCTGTTTTTGCTAATAAAGAGTTAACTCTGACTCGCTCAGTGTGATTTACTGCTGGCTCTCTCCTGCCAGGTGGAGGTGTTTTGTCCATTGTTAGGAGTGTGTATTCTCTGCATCATTTGATTTTATTGTATGAGGTGGGTCTCTAGTGGGGCCCCTGAGCAGAAAAAAGGTCTTGGGTAATGATGCCATGAAGAAAGGACTTTGGGGCAGACATCCAGGGCCCCACTACTCAGGACCGTAGGTCAGTGAGAGAGTATCTCCTTTTCATGCAGAAGGCCCCTGGTTCAATTCTCAGTGTCTTTAAGTAGGGCTGCCAAAAAAAAAAAAAAAAAAGCAAGAAGCCCCCCCCCCAATAGAAGCCTTTTTAAAAAAAAGTTAACTAATGTGAAGGGCAGTGGGGCATCTGAGGGTGCTTTGGTGCCCACAACATGTTGAGGATCCCAGGCCAGGAAATAAACTTTCTGTGCTATCAGCTCCCTTTCTTACAAATTCCCCCTGCTAGTTCAGGTCAGTGGTTCATCTAAGTATCCTCTGGCTATCTAGATACCTCTGGGAAGCCCACCAGCATGTCATGAAACAACAGCCCCCACCTGCTGTTGCTCCCTCAGTGACTGGCATTTGAAGGTAGACTGCCTCTAGATGTGGCTGCTCCACATAACCACTATGGCTAGTGGCCATTGACTTCCCTCTGCCCTCCATGAATGTGCCCAGTCCACATTTGAGGTCAGTTGTAGCTCTCATCACCTCATCCTGTGGTGACAAATAAGTTAATTATGTGTTGTGTCAAGAAGTTGTTCCTCTGGTCTGTCCTGAACTTACTGCCAGTCCATTTGTGAACTTGAGGCCTAGTATTAAAGAAGAAAGGAAGGAAATCCCCTATCCCTGACCTCTCCACACGCCATGCGCATGAGACAGCGGTGGTGTAATGGTTAGAGTTGGACTGGGGCCTGGGAGACCAGGGTTCAAAGTCATGAGGCTCAGCCTAACCTACCTCACAGTGTTCTTGTGTGCATAAAATGGGGGGGGGGGGGGGAGGACATAGGCTGCTATGAGCTCCTTGAAGGAAAAGTGGGCTAAAAATGTAATCAATTAATGTAATGAATATGTTTTGATTTATAAAAGTATTTATATCTTGCATTTTTTATCTGGTGGTCCTGAATTTCTCTGATGAACCATATTATAATAATAATAATAATAATAATAATAATAATAATAATAAATGTACCATCCTCTCACATAATATCAGAGCAGCATACAGCAACATAGTCTGTAGTCAAGACTGAATAAAAAGTCAGGGCTGAGGGGCAGTCCAGGCCCGGAATGTTTTCTAGCATGGCCTGCAAGCAGGGGTACCATTTCCTAAGGCCTGAGCCCTCCCCCCCCCCCCAAAAAAAGAAGGCCAGGCACATAGCTGAGCCGCAATGGCTGTGGCTCCTTCTCCTCCTCCTCCCATTGAGGAGAAGGAGGCTGGAAGGACGCTTTGATCAAACCTTTCCCATCCTGCCCAGCACTTGACATCAGGGGTCCCAGGCAATGCCCATCAACTTTGGGAGGGGTCCCAGCCCCTTCAAATATTTTATTGGCAGGAGCCAAAGGGAGCTCGGCCCCTAGGAGTTGGTTCCTATGCCTGGCATTGCAGATGGCATCAGATGTGCGGCAGGTAAATATATGGCTGATAGAAAGAGGGTTTGCAGCTGCCCCCAATCAGCTGGTTGCTGCTCCCTGAAAATTCCTGCGCAACCCCCCCCCATGGCGCTGTGTAGGCCTCCGAGGATCAGCTGACTGGACAGGCAAAACATTTCTCACTGGATGTCATTGCGATGTGAGGTGATTGACAGGTTGGGTGGCCCCACCCACCTGCCGAAGTTGGCCCATGCGGAACCGCATACAGCACTTCCTGAGTTTCTGGGCTGGATATAAATGTAGTAGCAATTGATTAATCATCGTCGTCTGTTTGGGTTCAACGGATTCAAATGACAAGAGAGGAGATTCTGACTAAACATCAGGAAGCAGTTTCTGGTGCTCAGAGCAGTTCAACAGTGGAACAAAGCACCTCAGAAGCGGGTGGGCTCTCCTTCAGTGGAGGCTTTTAAACAGAGGGGTTTGGGGGGGCCAAGTTTCAGGGATTCTTTAGCAGTGATTTCTGCATCTCAGTGGGTTGGGTAGATGACCTTGGAGTAATAATAATAATAATAATAATAATAATAATAATAATATATTATTTATACCCCACCCATCTGGCTGGGCTTCCCCAGCCACTCTGGGCAGCTTCCAACAAAATATTAAAATACAGTAATGCATCAAACATTAAAAGCTTCCCTAAACAGGGCTGCCTTCAGTACCTTCTACCTGTAAAAAAAGACAATGACAGTGTCTCCCTCCCTGTCGAAAACTCCAAGTGAACTTTGCAGGCACCTTTCTTCCACCTTCGGATGGAGACTGGCGCCAGCCCCTGGGTCCTTTTACTTGCCCTCCTCTGCCCCCTTTCCCTGTTTTATCTCTTGTGAGATGCAAAGACCCAGAACTGCAGGCAGCATTTCAGCCGGAATACAGCTCAGATTTGCTGAAGAGCACGGCAATATATTCAGTCTTTCTCTTCGATCTCTTTCCTAATCATCTCTAGTGTGGAAATTTGCCTCTGCAACGCTCTCTTCCCCCTTCCTTACTCATACTCTCCCCGCTATCACCTAGGGGTGTGTTTTCTTTTGTTTGACACACGCAAAATCCCCTCTTGCTCACTGCTGCATCGCTGCCCGCTGTCCCAGCTGCCCGATTATCATCAACAGCCGGGCAACCTTCCTTGTGTGGGCGAAGGGAAAATCCAGCCTGGATCCCTTTTCCCACGCTGACAAGTCACCGGCAAATCCCAGCCCAGCCTCAGCATGAGTCAGATACGCCGGGGCAGCCTTTGCCGACCCGGCGCCCTCCTAGTGTTTTGGACTACAGTTCCCATGTGCCGGCTGGAGCTCATGGGAGTTGTAGTTCAAAAGGGCACCAAGTCAGCAAAGGCTGTGTTGGACTAGGATAGTCCCAGATTTTAGGGCTCTGTCCACATCTATCTGCCCTAGTTTGCACATTGTTGTGAACTAGTAAATCTAGTCCCCTTCCTGGGCAACCTTCTGAGGGCTGCAGGCAGTGGTAGGCAGAGCAACATGTCAATCACTGTTTTCATGGGTGTAACCTGCTCTGGGACGGTAGGGTGAAGGATGGGTAAATACTACCACTACTACCAATAATAATGGATTAAATAAAAAAAATGAAAATTACCTTATAGTAGAGTGGATTCTACAGACCCAAACCTACCCACAAACCCTCTATCAACCATCAAAACAGTCAGAAGGCATTTTCAGAGTTCAAGGACATAATAATAATAATAATAATAATAATAATAATAATAATAATTTATTGTTGTATGTTAATATTTGCCTGGAAGCTGCTCAGAGTGGCTAGGGAAATCCAGCCAGATGGGTGGGGTATAAATAATATATTATTATTATTATTATTATTATTATTAACCCCACCCATCTGGCTGAGTTTCCCCAGCCACTCTGGGTAGCTCCCAAAAGAATATTAAAAACACAATAAAACATCAAAACATTAAAAACTTCCCTAAACAGGGCTGCCTTCAGATGTCTTCTAAAAGTCAGATAGTTGTTTATTTTCTTGACATCTGATGGGAGGGTGTTCCACAGGGCAGGTGCCACTACTGAGAAGGCCTTCGGTATTCCATATTCCAACCAGGGTGTGAAGCAAGGGTGTCGCCTTGGAAGAGTTCTGAGGGCCAGACAGAGACACTTTGAGGGCCACATTCAGCGGCAAACCATAATTAATCGCTTCTGCTTCTCTAGATAAGCACTACAAACTGAACCAGTGATCGTGGCTTTTTCACTCAAGCCAACCCATGAACTTTATCATAGAATTACCTGTTTTGAGTGAAACAAACTCCTGTTTCTGGTTTAGACGGATCACCAAGCCATGGTTTGCTGTTCCTGCTTGCTCCATGAGGCAAGGTGAGGAGAATGCCTCAGGTGGCAGGATTCACCGTGGCAGCAGACCCCAGTGTTGATCTTTCTCTCCCCACACCCCTTGTCCTTGATGTAGATCTTCCCTCACTCCTTCTTCCCTGGCGGGGTGTGTGTGCCATTTTGGGGTCTGCCTCATGCGCCAAAATGTCTTGGGGCAGCCCTGCTCCTTCCTTATCTTCCATCCGGGCAAAGGAGAGGCATTATTCAAAGTTCAGGGATTCATCCCAGCCAGTCAGAAGCACACAAAGTAGGGCCAGGGAGGAGTGTGGGTGGGGAGAGCTATGAGGGCCATTAGCAAAGTCTGGAGGGCCACAATTGGCTTGTAGACCTGAGGTTCCCTACAGCTGGGTTACTATGATAGGTGAACACAGCTCTATCTCTCTCTCTCTCTCTCTCTCTCTCTCACACACACACACACACACAGAGAGAGAGAGAGAGAGAGAGAGAGAGAGATGCTTCAAGGCGAAGGAAATGGGAGCAGTTGATTTTGAGCCTTAATTTTTCCTTGTTCCAGATGAGCCGGTTGAACCAAACACAAGGGCGTTAGCTGGTGATGACTCACCCAGCACACAGACTCAGTGCAATTACAGCAAACACCTGCTCCAAAGTCCTCACAAGGAGGCCTAGTTTACTGTGTCCTGGCAGGAGCAAAATCACTGCCGAACCATGGAAGTACAGTACAGGTTAATTCTGCGTCCAGGGCATCTGTCTCCCAGCTTCACCCGGTATGACGGCTGAGACCGTGCCTGCCTGCGCATTGTCTCGCTAGGGTGGTGCATGCTCTGCTTATCTCCCGCTTGGACTACTGCAATGCGCTTCTGTGTGGGGCCACCTTTGAAGGTGACTCGGAAATGACAACTAATCCAGAAAGCAGCAGCCAGAATGGTGACTGGGAGCAGCCGCTGAGACCATATAACACCGGTCCTAAAGGATCTACATTGGCTCCCAGTATGTGTCAAACAGATAAATAACTACATGCCTTTTAGAAGATATATGAAGGCAGCCCTGTACAGGGAAGTTTTTAATGGTTGAGGTTTTATTGTGTTTTTAATATTTTGTTGGGAGATGCCCAAAGGGGGTCACCCAGTCAGATGGGTGGCATATAAATAATAAAATTATTATTATTCTGAGAAGACTAAAGCTGGATTTCTTTGAATTGGAACTTAACTTATATTATAATTTTTATTGTTAATGTCTGTAATGTCGCTTGTATTGTCTGTTTTATTATTCAGTCAAAACGATATAACAAACCATTGTTAAGCAAGCCATGGTTTATAAGCCAACAACAAACCATGGCTTTCCATTGTGGTTTGTGGGTGGAAAACAGACCATGGATAGTCTGCTACACTGGGTTCACACGTTCAAGCAAACTATGCTTTGGCTAAGCTAACCATGGCTTAGAATTATATGTGAACCAGTTCATTAAGCTGAAGGGCTTGTAGTGACTAGGATACCTAGCCCACTGACTGCGGTTGCGGCACAGGTGAGATTTTATTTGGGAACAACCTCTTTAATGACTACACTAAAGAAAAGCCGGACTTAAAGACGGCAATGAGGCAGACAAGTTTGCTGTTGGGTGTGCAGGTTGCAGAGAATGTGCAAATTTTCATTGGTCAGGATGAGAGTAGGTGACAAATGGTTTGTGTACACCAATGTCACTTCCAGACTGTCACCATTTTGCAAGTGTGGCTCAGGCACATCCCAGGACATTTAGGCTGCACAATTACAGCTGATTTGGAGATCTTACGTTACGAATCCACTTTCCCAAAAATATTAGACTTTTTGCAGTAAGGAAAGTGATGGGAAGATGTGCTAGAGAGTGTGTGATAGCATTTGCTTGACACAACTCTCAGTCTAATCTCCCTGCAAGCCAATCAGGTCAAATGCTCACTAAATATCTAACATCATCTAACCTTTCTGCAAACAAACTGAGCTGAACGCTCTTTCAGCAGGTCACCTCATCCAAGTATGTGTATAATTTTGTATATTCAAACACAAACTATAATTATGTTCCTACTCAAATGCTTTGATAAAATCTATATAAATATCATTTATATTAATAATTGATTATCTCAGCAACTTGTGCCAAATAGTTCCAATGTAAACATTTGCTTCCCATTACTGACAGTGGGGACCCGTGCGTTTTCAAATGGCTTCCCCCCTCCCCACTCTCTTCCGTCTCTAAATTTCACCAACTCTGTGTAAGTTCTTCCATATACACAACAAACTACTACACCTTGCAAAAACCATTCTCTTTAAATAGGCAATTGAGTAGATCACCATCGTGCAGCTGGAATCGTTGTCGTCACATTTATTTAATCAATATACAATATGCTTTTTTTGGTAAATGAAGCAAGAAGTCAAAGCAATGTAAGATTTCATTCTGCCCACGTATTATAAAATCCTGCCTTGCTGGAGAAAGTCGCACGTGCATTTTGTATAACCCATATTCTGGCATTCTCAAAGTCTGATGACAAAGCCTTTATTCCGGGGGGGGGGGGGTGGTTAAAAGCAGCCGTGGTGTGTTTGTGTGTTTTTATTCCCTTGAGACTTCCAACCCCAGCTGGCAGCTTGTGCCCATATACAATAAAGAGCACACCCACACCCCCTCTGCTGCCCCACCTATTTTCCCTAGGGACTCAAGGAATGATGTCACTGCTGGCCAATCAGAACGCATCCCGCTTACCCCAGATTGTAAATCTTCCTATTTATTTATTTTAATTGGGCAGAAGGGTAAAAGGAGGGTGGTGTGTGTGTGTGTCTAGCAAATAAGAGCTCTCTGCTTGTTTCATTGTTAACCGCAATGGAGCGGCAGATAGATTATAGATTTTTGTTAAATAGTGCTGGGGAATCCTTAGGAATCATCATCATTACGACTATTAAGATGAAGATGATTAATTACATTTTACTTTTGAAAACTGGGTGGTTGGGGACTATTATGGAGCTGCTTTGTTTCATTTGTTTTATTGTGATTTTTTTAAAAGCTTCCTCACTCGCCTTACACATCTCAAGGCAATGTAAAAACAGCAAAAAGCAGCTAAACACACACACACACATCAGATACAGTGGTACCTCGGATTAAGAACTTAATTCGTTCCGGAGGTCCGTTCTTAACCTGGAACTGTTCTTAACCTGAGATACCACTTTAGCTAATGGGGCTTCCCGCTGCCGCCGCCACGCGATTTCTGTTCTCATCCTGAAGCAAAGTTCTGAACCCGAGGTACTATTTCTGGGTTAGCGGAGTCTGTAACCTGAAGCGTCTGTAACCCGAGGTACCACTGTATTCCTTTAAAAGAAACACAACACAACAAGGCAGAATATACACTCACAGCAGAGACCCATTCACTCAGCTGGGAAAGCCTGTCTTAACCCAAATGTCTTCAGGTGTTTCTGGAAAGCGCAGGCCATAGGCCACCTGTCCTAGGAGACGTCTCCCACAGAACAGAGGCAGCCACACAAAAAGCCCTGCTCTGAGTTACTACAAGTTACTACAGGGAGTCAAATCACCCCATTGCCTCCTTTCTCATTCTCCAAAGCACCTGAAATAATCTGATTTATTTCCTGCTAAGGAAGGCATGTGTGGCCCCATCCTTGTTCAATTCCTTTAGCTTGCATGTTGTTCTTTAGTCGTTTAGTCGTGTCCGACTCTTCGTGACCCCATGGACCAGAGCACGCCAGGCACTCCTGTTTCCCACTGCCTCCCACAGTTTGGTCAGACTCATGCTGGTAGCTTCGAGAACACTGTCCAACCATCTCGTCCTCTGTCGTCCCCTTCGCCTTGTGCCCTCAATCTTTCCCAACATCAGGGTCTTTTCCAGGGAGTCTTCTCTTCTCATGAGGTGGCCAAAGTATTGGAGCCTCAGCTTCACGATCTGTCCTTCCAGTGAGCACTCAGGGCTGATTTCCTTAAGAATGGATGCATTTGATCTTCTTGCAGTCCATGGGACTCTCAAGAGTCTCCTCCAGCACCATAATTCAAAAGCATCAATTCTTCGGCGATCAGCCTTCTTTATGGTCCAGCTCTCACTTCCATACATCACTACTGGGAAAACCATGGCTTTAACTATACGGACCTTTGTTGGCAAGGTGATGTCTCTGCTTTTTAAGATGCTGTCTAGGTTTGTCATCGCCTTTCTCCCAAGGAGCAGGCGTCTTTTAATTTCATGACTGCTGTCACCATCCGCAGTGATCATGGAGCCCAAGAAAGTAAAATCTCTCACTGCCTCCATTTCTTCCCCTTCTATTTGCCAGGAGGTGATGGGACCAGTGGCCATGATCTTCGTGTTTTTTTATGTTGAGCTTCTGACCATATTTTGCGCTCTCCTCTTTCACCCTCATTAAAAGGTTCTTTAATTCCTCTTCACTTTCTGCCATCAAGGTTGTGTCATCTGCATATCTGAGGTTGTTGATATTTCTTCTGGCGATCTTAATTCCGACTTGGGATTCATCCAGCCCAGCCTTTCGCATGATGAATTCTGCATATAAGTTAAATAAGCAGGGAGACAATATACAGCCTTGCCGTACTCCTTTCCCAATTTTGAACCAATCAGTTGTTCCATATCCAGTTCTAACTGTAGCTTCTTGTCCCACATAGAGATTTCTCAGGAGACAGATGAGGTGATCAGGCACTCCCATTTCTTTAAGAACTTGCCATAGTTTGCTGTGATCGACACAGTCAAAGGCTTTTGCGTAGTCAATGAAACAGAAGTAGATGTCTTTCTGGAACTGTCTAGCTTTCTCCATAATCCAGCGCATGTTTGCAATTTGGTCTCTGGTTCCTCTGCCCCTTCGAAATCCAGCTTGCACTTCTGGGAGTTCTCGGTCCACATACTGCTTAAGCCTGCCTTGTAGCATTTTAAGCATAACTTTGCTAGCGTGTGAAATGAGTGCAATTGTGCGGTAGTTGGAGCATTCTTTGGCGTTGCCCTTCTTTGGGATTGGGATGTAGACTGATCTTCTCCAATCCTCTGGCCACTGCTGAGTTTTCCAAATTTGCTGGCATATTGAGTGTAGCACCTTAACAGCATCATCTTTTAAAATTTTAAATAGTTCAGCTGGAATATCATCACTTCCACTGGCCTTGTTATTTGCAGTGCTTTCTAAGGCCCATTTGACTTCACTCTCCAGGATATCTGGCTCAAGGTCAGCAACCACACTACCTGGGGTATACGAGACATCCATTTCTTTCTGGTATAGTTCCTCTGTGTATTCTTGCCACCTCTTCTTGATGTCTTCTCCTTCTGTTAGGTCCTTTCCACTTTTGTCTTTTATTATGGTAATCTTTGTACGAAATGTTCCTTTCATATCTCCAATTTTCTTGAACAGATCTCTGTTTTTTCCCATTCTATTGTTTTCCTCTATTTCTTTACATTGCTCGTTTAAGAAGGCCTTCTTGTCTCTCCTTGCTATTTTTTGGAAATCTGCATTCAATTTACTATATCATTCACTATCTCACTCACATTTTACTT